TTTTTAAAATTTGCTTTTCTTAGTTTACATTTTTTTCTGTTTTCTGTATGTTTTTTCAATTTTTTCTTTCCTTTTTTCATTTCTTCTCTCACTTTTCTATTTTTACACGCATCTTTCTTTTTCCTATTCCTTGTTTTTGCTTTTTCTCTTTTCTTTTTTATTTAGTTTTCCTTTTATGTTCTGTTTCTTTTTGTTTCTTTACTTTTCATTTTCTTTTTTCTCTTCATTTAAATTTAACACACTACTTCAATTTATCTGTTTTTCTTTCAGACGTTTTACTTCTCAGGAGATGAAACAAACAGATTCTAGTGTAATAAGGATATAAATGTATTTAATCTCCATAAATAATATATTAGACCTAAGAATCTGAAACGCTGAGAATTTCCATAGCAAAATGGTTAACCTAAAATAAATCCACAGCAATAAAGACGTGTCATATTTAATAAGTGATGTGTTTTGCAGCCCTCTTCGCCTTACTAATGTAACCTTGTGCACTTTTAGGACTTTTTAAAATGTCAGTTAAACCTTAAAACCCACTTTTCCTCCTGTAAGGCGACATTCAGCCCTTCTGTGATGGTCTCAGTGTCTCCATGAAGAGTGAAAGCATGAATAATCTGCCAGATCAGCTGCACATAAAGAGCTATGCATCGCGTGCAGCCACTCATCCAGTGTTTGGATATGTAGGCCGCTGCAGCCAGCACGCAGGGACCACGGGCTCAAGCTGCAGACACAGGGGAGCGGGGGGGAGGGGGGCGTGTTTGTGTGGAGTGGTATAGAGAGAGAGAGAGAGAGGGCGAGCGAGGTTATATGAAGATGAAGAGGTGAGGTGAAGAGAGGAGAGTGTCCTCAGAATGACCCACAGCAGCAGACAGCTCAGCCCCTCTCTCTCTCTCTCTCTCTCTCTCTCTCTGTGCTCGCTCGGCCTTTGCTGCGTAATCAGCTGAAAAAAAAAAAAAAGGAAAAACAGAAAAGCATGGCAGGGACATCTACACTCTAAAAAAATCCTCCTGGAAAGGTTAAAAAAGGAACCCTAGAGTAAAACCAGATCAGACTAAAGACACTGAGAGACGTTAAAAGATCATATTTTAGATAAAGTCAAACATTTGATGAAGGGAAAGATTAACGGTAAAGACACTGGAGGGGAAACACGTGCTGCACCTGCAACATGCACATTAAAAACATTAGAAATAAACCTTTAAAACATGCAAAATGTAAAAGAGTTCAGGTTAAAATCTGAAAATCCAGAGTTAAAAGTTTGAAAAGTGACTCGTGTCAGTGTTAAATCTGAAGAAAGGAGAGAGTGAAATATATCTGCAGGTCTGTGTCACATAATGAGTCTCAAATTTAATCCAGTTTTTACATTAAATTTGTATAAATGAAATAGAAGCAGAAATGCTTAAAAGCTAAATCCACGTATAACTGTCATCCTTTATAATCGATCTAAAAGCTTTAATTATTCTTACTTCATTTAAATTATTTATTCTTCATTTTCCTGAAGGTTTGACTGAAAGGATCCAGAGTTTTCTTTTCTTGTTTCCTTGTTATTACCGTATTTTTCACAGTATAAGACACATTTAAAATCCTTTAATTCTCTCTAAACTCCTCAGTGAAACTTATGTATAAATTCTGGTCGTGCTTACTGACCTCAAACCGAGCGCTCAGAATCTGTCAAAATGAGTTAAATAAAGTTGTCTGACTGTTTTGTGGCTTAATGCGCTTTATAATCCGGTGCGCCTTAATGTATGAAAATAGACACGTTCATCGATGGTGCGCCTGATAATCAGGTAGTGTGAAAAATACAGTAAACGTGATGCCAACGCGTCTGCTCTGACGATCACTGTGTCTCTCCTTCTCGTCCCCCTAGTGGTGAGGTTGTGAGCGACACTTCTGTTGTTATGAATTTGGTGAATATTAGCACTAAAAAGTGCAGACCCTGAATATGAGACGACCTTTGACCCTCGGTTTTGTTCACGAGTGTCTCGTTTCTCTCGTTAAAATGTGACAACCAGTTTTTAATGTTTCTATACGAGCGACATAAACAAAAGCAAACACTGAAGGAAGTTATTTTGAGCGTCTTTTGTTGTTGTTGCTGCAGAGTTGAGGTCAGAGGGTGTGACCTGCAGCCTGCAGGGCTTTTACTATCAGAGTCTCGGAGGGTTAAAGGAAACAGACTGAAGCAAAGATCGACCGAGAATCAAAGTTTTCAGGATTTTGGTCGAAACTTTTTCATAAAATGTCAAAAACTTTTTTAGATTTCGAGACAGTTTTTTTTTTTACAGAGAAAGTGAGTTTGAAACCCGAGCTCTCATTCCTCCACTGTTTGTTTACATCTGTGAATAAGACCCACTTTTGTAAGAGTGAGTGTGTGTGTGTATGTGTGTGTGTGTGTGTGTGTGTGCGTGTGTGTGTGTGTGTGTGTGTGTGTGTGTGCGTGTGCGCGTGCGCAGCGTTAAACAGCAGATTTGGTCCTGGTCGGGCTGCCGTATAGCCTCAAACACACGTGAGCAGAGTGTGTGTGAGCAGAAGTAGGTCAGTAGTGAAAGGGTTCTGTCCTCACACGGCCTCTGCTCGGCCGTCACACCACTCGTGTCGACTCTCATTTTCTCTTCCTCCTCCCCCTCCTCCTCCTCCTCTTCCTCATCCTCCTCCTCCTCTTCATCTCTTTCTCTCTGATTAGGAGGGGAGCAGGTCCCACCCCTGCTTCAGACGGGTCTTGTGCAGGTTAACTCTTCGCTCGCCGCCTCCTCCTCTTCCTTTCGCCTTCATCCTGAAAACGGCTCGCTCTTCTCTCTGGTGAGGTTGGCGGTTTGCTCGTGTTTCCACAGAGTTTGCTGCCAGACCATTTGCGGCGTGTAACTGGTGTTTTTGAGGGAGAGTTGCCGCCACAAAATGAGGCAGAGCTCGCTGCTTTAAGGGACATAAATCAACCTTTTCCCCCCGATGCTTTCTTCACTCACAGACGCACGAAAATGACAAATTTGGGGGGAAGAACTCCTCGGGTTTCCAGCCAGTCAACTTCCAGGAAAGCTGGATAATGCCCAGATCTGTGAACAAATGTTGTATTACCTAACCCCCGGCCAGCTTTACATGATTTACAGTAGGGTGAGACGAGGCAGGAGTGTGAGCTCAGACTGCCATCTGCTGGAGGAGAGAGTCGCAGCTCCACAAACCCCTTCTTTACCACACAGACGTGCCAAAACGCCCCAACATGGCTCCCGAAAATGAAAACGTCACGGAAAAATTCACCCCAAAATTAGGAGTCCGGGTGAAAATTCAAACGTGCAGAAAGACGTGAAAAGGTGAAGCTGAGTGTGTTTGATGTGATGGTGAAAAAGTGAAATGAGGTGTGTGAGAGCAGCGGTTGTAATCTGGAGGAGAACAGCGTGTACCCTGGACTGGTTAGACTGGTTTCTATGGTGCTGCTGGTTTCTATGGCATTTCACCAGGCGCACTTGGCGACGGCTCTGAATACCTCGAATGATTGAGGCGGGTCACCGAGGACGAAAAAACAGCGGCTCAGTGTGGGAACGAGAAAGCTGCTGCAGTTTACAGACGAACATCCTGAAAATAAAAGAGTTTCAAACCCGAGAGACGAAGAAATTTTTATAAACGAGGAAAAATCAGCTGATCAGGAGAAAACGGATTTTTAAATCATTGATTATTAACAAGTTCAAATACGGAGGTCAAAGGTCGAGACGAGGATGTTCACCTCCACAGGTGTTTCAGTGTGAATTTAATCAAAGTGTTTCATCCCCCTGAACTTCACAACCTAATTTTAGATTTTTTATCATGAATTTCACTTTTTAAAAAAATAATTTAGGGTAAAAAAAAAAAAAAAGATCTATACGAGATAAAAATGACAAATATTCACTATTTTAACATTTTCATCGTCACTGACCGGATTAATGTTTCTGTTAGTGATTAAAAAGAGAAGAGACAATTAAAAAACATAATATTTCTGTTATTATCTGAATAAACATTACATCTTATTTCTATTTTTAAAATCAAAGAAAAATAAAAATAAATCTTTGTTTTTCTAATTTTAAGATAAGAACACTGAACTCTTTTCCACCATAAAAACTTCTCATATTTGTTCCTACAGGATTAATACAGAATTATATTAATATAAAGCGGTAAATTAGAGACTCGATGTCAAAGTAAAACGAGGATAAAAAGAGTTTGTTGGTAAACTGGAGTGGATTCAGGAGAAAACTGAACGATCTCGAGTCTAACTGATATTTTCAGTTTTTCCCTCCGTGGTTAAATCCCTTTTTTTTCGACTGTTTGGACAGAAAAACACGCTGTTGTCAGACTGCAGTTTGTCATCGACCTCTGAAAACGTCTTCACCTGGACGGCTGCAGATGTTGTTCCTAAACCTGGAAATCTTGTTCAAGATTCATGAAGCCCTCACAGATGATTCTGAACTCTGACGTTAAACCAGCCGGTCCTCCTGATCCTGATCCTCAGAGCGGCGGATTCAGCGTCCGGGATTTCCAAAAAGGATGTTTGATATTCGATCTTTAGTCCAGAGTTTGTGGATCCGGTTCACATCGTGAGGTCGAGTCTTCACCTGCAATCCTGGACGAAGTGTTTTTGGTTTTTGGAGGCGGTTTTGGTCTCATGCGGTGATCCCACTTCAGAGTCCTGTCGGTTTGTAGAGCCTCGTCTTTACTCCAGAGAGACTCGATCTCTGTGGACGGCCTCTCTTTGTTTCTAACATGTTTTATTATTTATTTAAACATCAGCAGAGTCGTCTTTGCAAATATTTTAAATCCTACATTTATTTTTTAATATTTCACGATTGTTTTATCATTTTAATTTGTTGTAAAATCTCTTCTTAAGTGTCAGGAAGTAAAAGAAAAAGAGGATTATTATTAATGTTGAAGAAAACGACTTAAATCTTTAAAAAATACTGATATTTGTGTTAAACATGATCATGTTTTTTAAATGAAAGTATTTAATAAATAAAACTGGACAAAAAGACAAAGACACGGCGACATGAAATCAGTTTCTTACTTTTTATTTCTTTGCTTGCAGACAAAAAAAGATATCCATGAAGTCCAGATATAATAATAAATAAATTAACTACTAAAAACTGTTGGCTATTAAAGCGATTTAAAGACGGCAGAAAGGCAGAACATTTGTCGTTAAAGAGCTCGTAAAAAGATCTCACGTTCGCTGCAGAAATCATTTCAAATAAAAAACATCAACTCTGATTGGACGCCGCTCCACCTGCTGATTGTTCGCTGACGTTTGCATATGCTAACAGAGTCTAAAACGTTGGCTTCACACGGGAAGAGACAGCCGAGAAAAGCAAAAACCAAAGCTTTCTTTTTTTTTTTTTTGACCCCATGTATGAAAAAGTTAAAAAGTTCCCGCAGGAACTGAACCGAGTGCTCGTGGTTTCCTGTCCCCAAAATATCTGTATCTGTAGTTCTGGAGGAAAAACCTGAAATGTTTGAACTAGTTCACCCGTATTTGAGCAAATAAATGCACTAATAATAACTACGTCTTTTCTTTTTTTCTTCTTAAAGTGATTCACTGACTTTGGTGGCGAGGAGAGAAAACGAAGCGCCATCTAAAAACCGTTACCGTGTTTTTCATGCATACAGTATTAAAGAAACTGTGGTAAAGTGTAAATGTCACAATCTTACCGAGTTTGTAGCTTAACTGACTGAGGTAAAGTTGCCTGTTTCCTGAAGAAGAGCACACAAAACGGCTTCTTTGTTTTTGTTTGTTTTTTTTAGCTTTTGGACACAAACAGGATTCGGGTTCGTCTCCTTTTCAAGTCCATAAATGCCGAGAAATGTTCACAAAGACCCATGAGTGAAAAAAGTGAGAACAAATTCATCATGTTACCACCAAAAATGTGTTTTTTTTTTATTCTGTTTCCACTTCAAATTAAAGGAAAAATCCACCTAAAAAAAAAAAACACTCAGGTTTCTGTTTTGGAGGATTTGTTTAGATTTCTGTAAAACTCTTTCATGGCTGATTCCTCCTACATTTCCCAGAATGCCTTTCAAAGCTTTAAACTCACAAATGAAGCAGAGAGTAAAAGATGATCAGCTGAGCCGTCTGTCGTTGTCGCAAATAAAAACATTTAAATACAAAAACCCTAAAGACAGATTTTTCTCTGTTTAAAATAAGATCCTCTTTTTTCTCTAAATGATGTGATTTTCTGCTTCTTTCCTTTAATTTGTTGCTGATTGTTGATATTTAGAGTTTGTTTTGATTGTCTGGTAAATAAAACGCTTCACAAATATTAAATATGTCAGAATTTGGCACTGATGTGAGCTGAGAGGAAAGTCTGAGCGCCCTCTGCTGGATGAACCGTGTCGCGACAGCTTCTCAAAACCATCCTGAGTGTTTTCTGTAAAAGCAGATTAAATCTCAGAGAAACGCTCTCCAATCGATCGATCATCTCAGCCTCGTTCTTCGGTGGATTTTTCCTTTAAATGACTGAAGTGTTTGGAGGTAAATTCACTGACTGTTGAGGTTGAAACTACATGGACCCAAACGTCTGCTAACATGGAAATCATCACCGATGTATTCAGAGTAACTCATAATGTCATCAGAATAATAATAATAATAATAGTAGTAATAAGAAGAAGAAGAACAGTATGATGGATTCAGTCCTTGTGGTGTTTCACACCTGCGGAGACTTCGATAAAATCACTTGAAAAAATACAAAAAGGTTGAGAAGTTGGATGAGCGCGGACTCTTCTGAAGATAATAAACAAACTCTTATAAACAGAATGGCACTAATCGGAGGTTCAGATCCACGAACGAAGCGACAGTTTGGTTTTAGAAACCTTTTTTGTTGTTGAGTTTGGAGGAGACGACGTTCCCTGGAGACGAAGGTGAGTCACATGACTCTGCTTTTTTTTTTTAAACGTGGATCTGAATCCATGCGAGGTCTGACCTCTTCAAAAGGTTTTGGATTTGTTTCTTTATACAAAGTTTAAAACTTCTTTTTTTTTTTTTTTTGTAAGAAAAAAACGACAAAAAAGGCCAAAAATGAAAGCCCTGTCATTCCCACCAAAATAAAAGCCTTGTTGTCTGTGCAGGAGCGGAGCGGTGACTTACTCTGGAGTCGTCCTGCTCCTTCACTTGGTCCCTCAGTTCATGAACTCAGTGATTCTCAGCTGATCTGGACCCAAAGGTCGACTCCAACGAACTAACCCCGCGCCTCGTCTGGACCTGGGACTCTGTCTGAGCGTCCTGCCGCCATCTTTGGGTCCAGAGCCACCAGCTTAGAAACACTGATCAGATTCTCCCTGTCGGCGCCGTCTGAGGAGGCGGGACGTCGGATCTGCAGAGAACCGACAAAGTAAATGTCAAAAGAAGCGAACTACCACAGAAGAGGCTCATTAAAGGTTTGGAAACGAAAACATCCTCTGATAACAGCTGCAGGCTTTTCAAAATAAAAGTCTCAAACTATGAGGATGAACTCTCATGTTTCTCTGGTTTGTAATTGTAATTATATGATTTTGGGCTTTTCAAAATAAAAGTCTCTTAGATTATGAGGATGAACTCTCATGTTTCTGGTTTGAAATTGTAATTGTATGGTTTGGGGATTTTCAAAATAAAAGTATCTCAGATTATGAGGATAAACTCTCATGTTTCTCTGGATTGTAATGGTTAATTTTGGGCTTTTCAAAATAAAAGTATCTCAGATTATGAGGCTAAACTCTCATCTTTCTGGTTTGTAATTGTTTTATTTTGGGATTTTATTTTTTAAATCATTTATTTTTTCAGACCTTCTGACTGAGTGTTCCGGAAAGTCGAGGAGGCTCACCTGTCCGCTCATGTCTGCTCCTCAGGCTGTGATTGGCTGACACCTTCAGACTCCTCCTGGATGGTTTCCTCCTGCTCCTCCTCCTCCTCCTCCTCCTCCTCCTCCTCCTCCTCCTCTTCTCCTTCTTCCTCCTGCTTCACCTCTTTGTCGTCCTCGTTGCAGTCCTCGTCTTCTCCTTGTTCTTTCACCTCCATCTCTCCTTCGCTGTCCGCCTGCTCTTCTTCTTCTTCTTCTGCTGCGTCTGCTACCATCGCCTCCTCTTCCTCCTCTTCTTCCTCCTCCTCCTCCTCCTCTTCCTCCCCTTCCTCCCCCTCCACCTCAGCCTCCGCCTCTGCGTCCTCGTCGCTGAAGGCCTCCTTCCCCTCCTCCACCCTGCGGGCGGCCTCGGAGAACCAGTCCCTCACCTGCTCGTAGCTCATGCTGGACTTCGTGACCAGGTCGTCCAGGTCTCTCTCGCTCAGGACTCGGTGTTTGAGGTAGTACTCCTTCAGGAACGCCTTACCGGACTTCACCTGCAGGGGGAGCCGTGACAAAGACTTTAGTAACAAAGACTGATTTCTTTGGCCCAAAGACCGAATGAAGTTTGTTTAATCAGCTTAAACTTGAGCTCTGATTGGTTCATTCACAGCAGCCGTCACCTCACGGTCCGGTCATCAGATCTCTGTTTTTACCGTCTGCAGATCTGTTATTTCTAAAATCCACTAATCTGGATTTTCACGGGTGTTCAGATATTTTACAGCTCAGATCTTATTGATGGGAATTGATAAGATTTTATCGATATCGATGCCGTTATCGATTCAATTCTTTAACGATTCCCTTATCGATGCCTTTCTTTGATTTAAAAAAGTCGACTGTTCTTCATCATTAAATCTTGATTTATTGAGTCTCTGATAACAGAAACAGACGAACGCCACCTTCAGCGAGAGTCTAAAATAATCGACAAACTATCTGTACAGCGTTTATTCTGGTCGGTATGAAGTCAAATATGAGAGACATCATGAAGTCTGACATGATTATGTTTATGTAAACACAGGACAAATGTTAGAGTGACCATATCCTGAATCCCTGAAACGAGGGCGGACCTGTGCGAGAAAATTTGAGGGTTTTTTTGGCGTTGGGTCGAGAGTTTTTTACGTTCTTCTCCGGCAGAAGTTGAAAACTCCGACTGAGCGAACGTGAGACCGTGAGACACAGACCTTGATGGCAGTGGCGCCCCCCTGTGGAGGGCGTTTGCAGGGATATGGCCGACGTGTTCTCCTGGACCAACCACGGAAACGCTTCCTGGACTTCTTCTGGATCTTCGCCCCTCCGTTCAGCGCCTCGTCCACCTTTAAAAAAAAGAAAATCACATTTATCGGGTTAGACTTTTTTTTGTTCACAGATTCAGGTTTTAAGACACGCCCCCTTTGACCCAGAGGGCAGGTCTGTCTGTGACGGGGGTCCTGACCTTCCCTCGCTGGTAGAGGTAGTACCACTTCAGGCTGCTGTTCTTGCAGGCGTAGCGCGTGTCTCCAAACCAGTTGACGATGTACGTCCTCGGCAGACCGCTTTCCTCCGCCATCTGGTCGTACTCCTCCGCCGTCGGCCACTGTGTGCGGACGAAGGCCTTCTTCAGGATGTGGAGCTGCTCTGGCGTCTTCTTCACCGCCTTCCTCGAAGATGGCGGCGTGGTCTGCCGCTCCACAGCTGTAGACGAAGGCACAGCGGATGCCTTCGCCTTCTCACCGTCCCCCTTGCCGTCTTCGTCGCTCAGCAGCGCTCCGAAGGGCAGTTTCCGCCTCTCTGTAAACCAGGCGTCCACTTCTCGCCGTGTCAGCTTGGTCTCCACCCGCAGTCGGCTCAGCTCCTCGTCTGACGGCGTGTCGGACTTCTGGAAGCTGGCCTCCAGGATGAGCAGCTGCTCCGGGGTCTTCTCCTTGAACTTCTGCGGCGTGAAGTCCGGGAAGGCGTGACGAAACTTCACCCTCAGGTCGCTGCAGGAGCCTGACGACCCCGGGGCGTTGGCAGAAGTGGGGGAGGAGTCACTGGCGTCGTCGCTGGAGTCGATGATGATGGTGGCGGTGGTGGCGGTGGTGTTTTCACTGCTGATGCTCTCGTTCAGGCTGCCGCCGCCGCTCCTTCCTCCTCTTCCTCCTGACGGCGGCGCTGCAGGTCTGCTGGACAAGCTCTCGCTCAGCAGGACGGCGTGATGATCCTTGGAGTTCCTCTGGTTGTAGCGCGTGTCACTGAACCACTTCTTTATTGCTCGTTTGGAGAGTTTGGTGACCTGCATGAGTCGTGAGATCTCCGCCTCCGTGGCGAACTGCCTCCTGCCGTAGCTCGCCTTCAGCTCGGCCAGCTGCTCCTTGGACTTCTTCGGTTTGGACGCCGTTGAGTCCAAACTGAGCGCCGCGCTCACAGACGACGCTGACAGCTCCGTCTTGGACTCGGCCGTCGTGGGCTCGGCGGCCTTGGGCTGGTTCCCGGGGACGCCTGCGACCGTCAGGGTGATGGGGGAAGCGACAGGTACGGCGCTGCCGTTACCGGCCACCTGAGTGAGAACGAGCCCCGGCTGGCCGACGATCTGGCAGGTCTGGAAGATGGACTGGAGGCCGTTTGTTGCGGCGGCGATGTTGGCAGGGATGACAGTGATGGTCTGAGGGACGGTCTGCACCGTGCCGTTAAACTTCTTCCTCCTCGCCTCCTCCACCTGCAGAGACAAACGACCGAAATCAGACCTTTTCTAAAAACAAACTTCCTCTGAGAGTCACAGAAATCTTAAACTGTTCTTTCTCCTCATGTCGTCCTCGACTTCTTCTCTCTATCATACTCTGAACTTAATGTCGAGGAAACTCCAGGTTATCCAGTATATGAAATTAAAGGTGATAAACGGCTCCAAACTTCACGTTGAACAAAGAAGTTGTGATTTCTTTAACCAGCTGAAGTCAGATTTAATAACAGGCTGAGCAGGATGTTATTTTACGTGATGATTCATCAGATAGATTTCGGCGTTCGCTCCGTATCAGGTCCCAGTGCGCCTCAGCTGCTCTGTGAAAATATGAGGTGTAAAAATCCAAAAGTGTGTCGTGAATCACGGACCTCCTCTGGCGTCCAGCTGACTCCGTGTTTCAGCCTCTGAGCGGAAAACCAAACTTTAATCTGCTCCTCGCTGAACTTGGTCTGAGACGACAAACCCATGATCTCTGACACCGAGGGGTACGGAAACCTGCAGCAGGGACACGGAAAAACACGGGTTTGAGTTTTATAAAAAAACTGTCTCAGATACAGAACAACAATGACAGCGGTGTAAAGACGTCACTCAGTCTGCTCCTATGTTTCTCGTTTTATAAATTCAACAACTTTTAAAGCTCATGAACAAAATAAATCAACGTCTTTAAGGTTTTAACTTACTGAAGGTCACAGGAGAACCTTTAACCTTTAACCTTTAACCTTCCTCCTGTGTTCGCTTTCACTACACACCCACCAAGTTAAAGGTCAGTTTTGACCCGTGTCTTAAATCAGCTGTAAATTAAAAACAGTTCTCTATCATCCAGTTTGGTTCTCATCTCCAGGTTACCTTGTTCGGCTTCATTATCCATGAAATTATTGATCATAATAGTTTTTTATGCAGGAAAAATGAGAATTTTCTAAATCTCACATGATTGAAGAGGATCTGACTGTCAGTGTAAACATGATTTCAGTTTTTGCTCTGATTATTGGATATTGATCTAACCAGGTCAACAGTGATCCTAACACAACAAATGCCATCATTTTGATAAGAGAATTTTATAATTGAGTCAATTGAATTTTTTTATTTTCATTTTGTTGAAATCGAGGTTCCTGACAAAGTCTAAAAGTCTTGACATTAATAAAGAGGATTTAAGGGGGTCGGTGTGAACGCTAACACAGGAGGAGGTTCAGAGAGTCTGAATTAGCAGCAGGAGTTTCAGTGTGACGTCCTTCAACCTCTTCTGCTCATATCTGCTCACTATTCTTCTTTTTTAGTTATTTATTCTTCTGTTTAGGGGTTCGAATGTGAAGGTATGGACGCTAATTAACATCAAAACAAACAATTACTTCTTTATTTTTCTGCCTGTAACCCTTTAACGCCTGAAACCACAAATTATGGCCAGAAAATTTAAATTCTTTTAGAGCTGAAATATTTATTTCATTTACTACTGAAAACCAAAATAATCAAAACGTCCTTAAAATTTAACAAATATATATATTTTTTTATCTCATTTGATACATGAGATGTTTTTAAAAACTGATAAACTACAAGAGGACATTTTAATCATTTATCTGACTGTATTCAGGTGTTTTTTCAAGTATATAAAAGTAATTATCAAAAGTCATTAAAGGGTTAAAAGTTTTTAAAATGATTCATTTAAACTCATAAATTTTCCCTTTTTTTTATTTTCAAGAGATTTTTTTTTTTTTTTAAGCCGTCACTTTAAAAAATCGTTTCTGCAGCATCAAACTCATGAGAACCAGAATTAGAAAATGTTTTTGTGACCAGGTTAGGCCCCGCCCCCTTCAGGTGTGCTCACCTGTTGTACGCGCTGACCAGCAGGACGTTGTTGTCCATGGCCGTGTTGTAGGTGGGGATGCTGCTGATGGGGATGAGGAGCTGGGTCTGTGTCTGGGTGCAGTTCTGCTGGTTCTGCAGAGCTGACAGAACCTGAGCCAGAGTTCCAGGGGGCAGCACGGCGCCGCCGCCCGACCCGCCTTTGATCTGCAGCACGTTGGGGCTGTTGACCACGATGCTTTGAGGGACCTGCAGCGGCGCCGACACCGAGAGGAGGCGGGGGGCGGCGGTGGGGGTGGGGGTCATAGGGGCGGGAGACAGCGTGGGCGGCTCTTTATTCTCATCGTCCTCGTCTTCGTCGCTCTCCACCTTGATGACATCGTCTGCGGGCATCTTGGTGAACTTCTTGGCCTCCGAGCGGCTTTTGATCCTCATGATGGGGGTCTTACTGAGGGCGATGCCTTTACGCGTCGAGTCCTCGCCCTCGTCGTCTTCCACTTTGACGAAGCTGCCGTCGAAGGTGAGGTCGTTGACCGTCTGCTGGAAGACGGTCTCGTTGTTTCTCTTCACCATCGTCCTCGTGAAGTTGTCCTCGCCGGGGTGGAGTCGAGCGTTGTGAGCCAGCAGAGTGTCGTAACTGGAAGAAAAGAGAGACGAGTCAAAACCGAAACAATAACCAGAGACGAGCGGCGACAGCTGATCTGTGAGTGACCTGAAGAGCTCCTGAGAATCGGCGAGTTTTGGCCGATTACCAATTAGTCTCAAACGGGCTTAAATTAACCAATTTAATCAGCTCGCCGATAAATCGGTCGGGCCCTAGTAAGAACTTCTTATCCATATGAAAATATTGTCATCCTGCCTCTGACCTATAAATGTGGACATTGTTTATTTGCGAGGATCACTCTGATTATTCTCTTTGATTCAATTACATTATCTGAGGATGTTTGTAAAAATACAAAAGGAAAAGAAGTGTTCTGTATTGAGATGTAAACGCTGTATTATTGTGGTTAAAAATTTTATAAAAATGAAGTAAAAAAAAAAAAGGCAAATTTCCAAAAACATCTCTTCGTCCTGGAGCAGTAACCAACTCCAGGACGTGTAATTGTAAAGACTGTTTTTGTTTTTTTTCTGTTTATATCTGTAAAAAAATAACAAAGGATTTAATTATCAGTCCGCTTTGAACTATTGAGGTCAGCTGATCGCCATTTTCAAAGGTCGATATTGATCCTGATTATTAGAGAGCGGCTCGGCTGATTGATGATATAAAATTCTGAGATTTTCATTAAGTTGATTTTTTAACATTTGACAAAATCCAAAAATTTAATAATACTACATGGTGAAATACTGAGTAACACAGACTTGAGGTGAAAGGCGACCATGACAACCAAAATCAAAAACCTGTTTGTTGCACGCAGAGGAACTCATAGGTACAGGTCTGACTAGAGGTGGGCGATAAAACGATAATTATATATATCGACAATTAATCCTTCAAAATCAATATAAAACATGGTTAATATTCTTTCCTATAGTCCTCATTCTGCCATGTTTTGGTAAACTATACGAATAGCCAATGAAAAGGGGAGTCGCTCCGGGTTCGCTTCACTCTGAACCAATCATGTTCTGAATTAGAACCAAGTATCAAACAACTGCGTCTTAGCAGACAGCAGCTACACCCAACCATAGCAGTTCTCAACAGATGACCACATCAATGTCAACGACAACACTGGCGTTAGGAAAACGTCAGTGGTGTGGAGGTATTTTGGTTTTTGGAGGTCGGACATGAAGCAGAGTAATGTGGACTGTAAATTATGTCGAGTACATGTTCTCACAAGGTCGGGGAATACCTCAAATCTTTTTCACCACCTGAAGCAGCGCCACGCCGCAGAGCACGCGCAACGCAAAAGGTTACAAACCCCGAGAGGAGCGAGGAGCCCATGGCGCCTGAAACAGACGACCATTCAGTCTGCTTTCTCGAGAGCAACGCCTTACGACAAAACGCCAAAGAGACACAAAGACATGAGACCAATAAACACTGTTAAATTTCATTTTTTATATCCTGATATTTATCGATATCGACTGATGTGAAAAAAATATATCATGATAAACTTTTCTTATCGCCCAGCCCTAGATCTGTCTCTCACAAACGTTGCGTCTGGGTTAACTCTGAACCCCCTCTCTCCCCCAGAACAGCGGTCTTGTTACCTCTTGGTGTGGTAGTCACACTCCATGCAGATGTAGGAGGTGTTGATGACGACATCGGGGTGTTCTGTGTCCACATGCATGGTGAAAAGGTTGAGGTCTGACGTCTGGAAGCTGCAGTATTTGCACTCATAACCTCCCTCTGCTGCGCTGGAGTCAAGGTAGTGGTCCGGCAGGGGTCTCACATCCGCGTCCTCACACTCCTCGGACAAACCGGACACCTCAGAGGAGACGGTCACCACGCCGTTACTGTCCTCCTGTTCCACCTCCTCGCTGACGTCCTCCATCTCTTGATCCAAGTCGACGGTTTCTTGCGGGGGGACCATGCAGGGGGTGGTGGACTTCCTCCTGCTCGCCATCCTGAGATCTGCTGAGCGCTGCGTCAAGCTGAGTATGAAACACGAGTTCTCAGTTCAAATGTTCCTGTTTCGGATCCATAAAGAAGGATGTCGTCTGTCAAAATGTGTCCTCAGTTTTCCCTGAAAACAAGAGAGAGAGAAATTCAGAGGGTGAGCGACAGACGGACAAACACGAGTCACATCTTTAACCCTCCATATCTGAAGGTCATTATACAGTACAGGCCAAAAGTTTGGACACACCTTCTCATTCAATGCATTTTCTTTGTTTTCATTACTATTTAAATTGTAGATTCTCAAAACTATGAATGAACACATGTGGAATCATGTGCTTAAGAAAAAAGTGTGAAATAACTGAAAACATGTTTTATATTTTAGATTTCTCAAAGTAGCCACCCTTTGCTTTTTTGATAGCGCTGCAAACTTTAGCTGTTCTCTCAATGAGCTTCATGAGGTAGTCACCTGAAATGGTTTTTACTTCACAGGAGTGCCTGAAGTAACCCTGACAAGGTACTTCTGTCATCAAGAGCAAAGGGTGGCTATTTTAAAGAAACTAGAATATAAAACATGTTTTCGGTTATTTCACACTTTTTTTATGAGTACAAAATTCTACATGTGTTCATTCATAGTTTTAATGCCTTCAGTGACAATCTACAATGTAAATAGTCATATAAAAAAAAAAGAAAAGACATTGAATGAGAAGGTGTGTCCAAACTTTTGGCCTGTACTGTATGTAAAAACAAAGTTACATACTTTTACCACCTGTCAACAAAACTCAAACGAGCAGCTATCGAATATTTTAGTAATCAAGTATTCGACCAAATATTCCATCGATTACTCGAGTAATCGGACCCAAACGTCAGACTCACATAAAGTTAGATTTCCTACAGCCCCACAATGAAGGCCAGACTCGGAGACATAGAGGACAATCGCGCTCAACCAAAACGCCACTCTATAGCCACAAATAATGCTCAGAACAGCACCTAACTTCATCAACAGGACATATAGGGTCACAGACATAGTACTAGACACCAAACATCTTTTTAACTTTGACTCATTTCTTTAGCAAAGAGACTAAACACAACTCACCTACTCTCTTCCAGCAGACGCTTGTTTGTAGAGAGACCTCAGGTCAGTCCATTACAGACTACAGCGGGGTGCCGCAGCTCAAGGAAGAACATTTATGATCATTTCTTTATCATTTCCTTGAAGTAATAATCATCATATTTATCCTTTTTCACTGCAGACGCAGTAGTTCTTCTGTCTTAGCGTCTCGGTCTGATTGTATTTCCATGAAGAAATGATCATAAATGTTCTTCCTTGAGCTGCGGCACCCCGCTGTAGTCCATAATGGACTGGCCTGAGTCAAAGTTAAAAAGATGTTTGGTGTCTAGTCCTATGTCTGTGACCCTATATGTCCTGTTGATGAAGTTAGGTGCTGTTCTGAGCATTATTTGTGGCTATAGAGTGGCGTTTTGGTTGAGCGTGTGGCTCTCTGTATTGTTATCCTGCGGTCGTTACTAAAGTTGGTATAACTAGAGAAGCAAGCGGTCGGTAACATTCATCTCTGGAGGGGGGGTCTAACTCGGTGTTACGGTGTGTTTGACCCTAGATTAATTTTATGCCGGAATATCCCTTTAAACCACCAGCTAACAAAACTCAGATGTTGAGGTTTCATAGAGGCGACAATATTAGCTTTTAGTAAATATCTAATGCTGATAGTTTCTCTTGTTTGTTTTTTTTTTCAGCCAAAACTACATGATTTTATTATAAATTTACTCTTTTTTAAACAAAGACACTCAGTCATGTGTCTGCTGTCTGTTTATGACACTTTAATACAGAGAAATACTACATCTAAACCCTCCTCTCTACTCTGTCAGGTGGAGCTGGTTCTTGTGTGTCTTGTATCACATTTTCAGGTGTTTATCTTTGGCTGTTTGTGTTTAATCTTCACTTTACAGAATATAAATGTAGAAATTCTCTCATAGATTATTTTTCAAAGTGTGTTTCGACACATCAGAGATAGAGATAGATGCGGACCCTGAGAGACTCCAGCTAACTCTCCCTTCATTACAAACAAACACATCACCGAGGCTAGCTTTATTAGCCTCCAGACGTTGAAGTCAGCGGTCCGTCCACTCAGCAGTCCGCCGACATGACGCTGCGTGTAACGGGGCACAGACACCGGGAACAGCCCGCTGTCAGCCCGGTGTGTGCGTGTTTTTTTTACCTGGTTGAATCAGCGGCTGTTTCCCCGCAGTTAGCTGGTTAGCGGCTGTAGCTTGGTAGCATCTCTGCTCGCTGTGTTGATCTGCAGTCTTCCGCCTTTTACCCGAATACACCGACGATCCATCTGCTTCTTCAGCCCGGACACAGAGCCCCTCGAACGGCCGGGAAGGAGCGAACCACCGCCCGTTAGCTCCGGGTTTAGCTCGCACCGCTGACAGCTAACATGGTTTTCTCGGCCGCTTTGTTAATAAAAAGGAGAGTTGAATAGAAAAGGCACCGATAGTTCACCGAGTCTGACGATGATAGCCATTTTTCATCCCGCCGCTTCAAGCGAGTAACGGCCGAGGACTTCCGCTTTGAGCCTTTCAAAATAAAAGCTGCAAACCAAGGACACTTCAGACAGATTCTAAAAAAGGTTGTAGCATCAAGAGTTTTACACAAGTAAACAAACAAATATTTTATACAGGAGAAAATCTAGAATGTGTGTTGGAGGTGGTTGGAAAAGAATGAAAAAAATAATACTAATACTACTACTACCACCACCGCTACTACCACTACTACTTATTATTATTATTATTAGTAGTAGTAGCAGTAGTAGTAGCACATTATTATTAGTTATTAGTAGTAGTAGTAGTAGTAGTTCTTTGATTACTTTTGTAAAATTCCTGATGCTATGATTGTGTTTTTAAAAGTGCTATACAAATAAAGTCATATAATAATAATAATAATAATAATAATAAAACAAAAAGCTCAGTTAAAACAGAATTACAGTCCATTTTCATGTCATAAGGAACCCAGACAATACAAGAACCATGCAACATAAAATGAGACCATGAAATAAAATTACAATAATAAGACGTCTTTTAGAGCTTAAATCAGTCGACTGTAGTCTGTGATCGAACCAGCATCCTAAACAAAGGTTTGTTCTTCATAGCAAATGATCTGCTCCCCTGGAATAACTGCAGAGTGCTGAAAAAACAGAATCACGTTATTTCCGTGGGGCTCTGAAAACATTTATTTTGAAGGTGCTGCTTTAAAGCGGAAACTATTTGTCGTGTACTGACCGACGCTTGACAGGTGTATTCGGAGGTTTACGTCGCCACGTCTTGACGTCATAGAGAGCCGACAGGAGCGTGTTCCGACCGTGTTCCCTCGGTCTGAAGTAGGCCGTGTTCTCATGGAGTTATGCAAGAAGTTCTAGTTACACTCTGTACCGAGGACACAGAAAACCTCCTCAAGTGTTTACAGGGAGAAAAAAGAGATTTTCGAAGATTCTCTGAAAATAAAACCAACGATGACACAATTTGGAGAAAGATGTTTGGAAATATACTAAAAACACAGAGTACCTGAGCTGGAAATGCGTTAAAATCAAGTCAAAGTGTAAAAGATGATCAGAAAGTGAAGTAAAGTTTGTGAAGAACTCTATAGACATTATTAAAGTACTTTGTTTTCAGCTGTTATTGTTGTAACTGTGATGAAACAGCTGTACAGTAGTTAAAGCTCCTATAAGGGGTTTTAACTTTGTTAGGAAAAGTCTGAGATTCGAGTCGATTTCTCATCATGACCTACAGAAACACAAACACATGAACATAAAGGCTTGTAGTGGTTTTCACCAGCACCTTTATTTGTGGTTAATTTGAATAAATACTGCACGATTAGTTCTTATCTGTAAATACTCTGATAAAATACAAACAAATATCAGAATGTGTTTTAGTTTCCTTCAAATGAGGAGTTCACACACTCTGTTTTAATGCACTGTGGTTTTATTCGGATAGACTTGGAGTAGACGATCAAGAGAAGCTGTCGATTTCTTTCTTCATGTCCTGACAATGAAATAAAGAAATATTATGAAAATAAGGGATTTTAAATAGAAAGAGAAAGAGAGAGAGAGAGAGAGAGAGAGGGTGGGGGATGAAGTTTGTATGTTTGGTACCTGGATGAGCTCGGTCTTGTTATTGTTGTTTCGGTGTCTGTAGATGGTCTGAGCCAGCAGAGCGTAAAGCTTCTCCAGCGGCTCCACCTCCAGGCCGTCTGTTTTCGACACGGCTCTGCCGAGGAGGTCCTGGAAGACACATCCCAAAAACCCTTACACTGAGTTTCCACCGCATCCGTAACGTCGGTAATTTTCTCTGCTTGGACCCCTTCGACCATCACCCCACCATCCCTGCAGCTTGTTTTTACCATACTCTCTCTCAGTATCTCTCCAGGGAGGAGGACCTGACAAAGCTTGACTTGTAACTTTAAACTGATCCGGGTAACTACAGGAAGTTGTCATGGCTTATAGCAGACAGGGAAACCAGGATTTCACCGAGTCCTTCTGCTCTGGTTCACAGTTTACACTCACCTTCAGCTTGCTTTGATCAACGACCAGCCGTGGTTTTTCCTCACTGAGGGTTTCCTCCAATCGGCCTCTGTTAAACATCTGCATCTGCTCTAAAGCCGCCTTGTTGGCTCTGCTGTCAGCTCTGTGAGGTTTCTCTGAGGAGGACGAGGGAGATACGTGTTCAAGAAATCAACTCTCGTAAAGACTGGGAAACACACTCTGGACAGGGTTTAGTTGCAGGTTTTGAGGCGTTCAACTCTATGAACGTAAACAAAGGTGAGAGCAGATCTGCTGAAGTTCACAGTGCAGGAAAATGTCAGTTTTGTCAGTGCGGCGCGGCGGAGAGCAGCGAGAAGGATAATCGGATAAAAACAAACGAAGAGCCTGCTGTCGCTCGTTACTATTTACTGCTCGTCTCTTTGACAGAGTCACATCCACGCTCTTCATCAGCACTTCATCACTGCTTATCATGTCATATATTCACGTTGAACTTGTGCACGCCTGGATGACTTGTGTTGTTTTGAATCTACAGTGTGACGTAGATCTTTAATTATCGATGTTTCATCTTGTTTGTTTCCAAAACTCAAAGATGTAGACTAACCCTGTGAAGCAGCTGAACTGCACACGTCTCCTCAGGTGCAGCTTTGATAAAATAATCAGAGACTCTCTGTCCTCAGCTCAGCGTCGTGTCGGCTTTGCTGGATGCCTGGAGTCCTGCAGGTTGAAGCTCAGCAGCAGAAGAAGAAGCAGCAGAAGAAGCAGAAGAAGAAGCAGCTGTTTCTGTTTCACACGTTTGCTCCGACACCGCACACATACAGACCTGCTGTCCTCAAACAGACCCCGTTCACTGTCCTCCTCTGCTGCTGGGGGGTCTTGGAGGTCCGGGGTTGAACCCCGAGGGTGCTGTTGGGTCTGGGTCGGTGGAACCCGTTCACCAGGGCTCCATTGTAACGCGCTTTTGTGGCGAGTGTTAGGCGGGTTTCCTCATCATCGCTGCTGTCTGACAGTTCGGATAAACTGCTGGATTCAGAGGAAGTCCTGCTGGACAAAGAGGAAGCAGGCGAGGAAGAAGAAGAGGAGGAACAGGAAGAGGAGGAAGAACAGGAAGAGGAGGAGGAGGAGGAGGAAGAGGAGGGAGAGGCCAGGACCGGCAGCTTCTTCTTGGGTTTTTTGATGATGCCCATGCTCCACTTGGATCTCCTCGGTCGTTTGTAGCGTTTTTTATTTCGCGCTGCGCAGAGAAAGGAGAAGGTGATTTAGGAGAGCAGAAAGTGAAAGCTGAAGGATGCTGAGTGCTCTCCAGCCTCTTCATCACTCCTCTTGAACTCTTCCTCTTCCTCTCTCGACTGTTTTATTTGAGCAGCACTCTCTTCCTCCTCACTTTGTCCCTCTGTCTCTCCTCGTCTGCTCTCCACTCTGACATTTTAAAACCAACTACAGCTCTCCGTCTGTCACCTCACCTGAACTCTCCTTCTTCCTGTTTTGAGAAGTTCTGCATCAATACGGATTATTAACATAATCCTAATAACAGACAAAGAGCAGAAGCAGATGTCGTCTCTCACATCTTAACGTCAGTCGAACCTCAGGTTCAGGTTTGAGATCCTGACAGTTTCAGCTTTTTAAAGTCAGATGGAGGTTTTTTGGTCCGAAGGTTGTTCCTGCTGCTTTGACGGATATAATAATATCTACCTGCAAACATTAATTATTCATAAATGCTGTTTATTTTGTTGTTATATTTCCTTCACCATGAAGCCCTGAGCTCTCTGATCATATTCAGTTTGTCTGCTCCATGTTACGGCTGTTTTCTTCTTGCTGTAAATCGAGTCTGTCGGATAAAATGAGCTGAACTCGACTCACATGAGACCTGAAACTCTCCTGCGGCTGCAGTCTGAACATCTTTGGACCTTCTTAACAACACCCGGAGGTGATTTCACACTCCTCCTGTCAAACACAAACACACGTGACCTCTCACTGACCTCCAGGGCTGTTTGCTGAGAAAGCAGAGCTGTAGCCGCCGTCTGAGTTCTCAGTCCTGCAGGAAGCTGAAAGCAGAACGAGAGTCTTCTTTAGACCTCATGAAGTCAGGAGGGGAGGTTTCAGAGTCTACAGGCTCTTTGTTTTCTTTACACTGATTTTCACGCTGAGTCATGGAAGACACCAAACTACAGACAGGAAATGAGGACAAATCAAACGCCGTGTCGGCGCGCGGTCTCACCTCTCCTGAAGCGGGACTCTCTGATCTCCTCGCAGACCCTCTCAAAGTCGCCGTCCAGCTCGTCTCTGATGATGGCGCGAACAGTGTCCTTCAGAGCGCACGCACGGTGGCGGATGTGACGGTCTGACACACACGCACACGCGCACACACACACACACACACACACACACACACACACGGACAGTTACAGGTTAGTATCTAAACTTTAATCAGAGAAAAACAACCTGCGCTCCAACCATCTTAAACATGGCGCTGTGGTGTTTCTCTTGATTTTTCAGACGACCTCAAACTGGGACCTCCATCGAGCCTAGAAGCAATTCTTTTCTCTTTTACCTACATCCCTAAAAGAAATAATAATAATAATAATAAAATAATAATAATAATAACAATAAAAATAAAAATGATAATATATAAAAGAAAATATAAGTAAATAAATAAAAGGATAAAATAAGATGATAATAATAATAATAATAATAATAATAATAATAATAATAATAATAATAATAATAATAATAAAAATAATAATAATAATAATAATAATAATAAAATAATATATAAAAGAAAATATAAGTAAATAAATAAAAGGATAAAATAAGATAATAATAATAATAATAATAAAAATGCTAATATATAAAATAAAATATAAGTAAATAAATAAAAGGATAAAATAAAACAAAATATAAAATAAGAATAACAACAGTAATAATAATAATAAAAATAATAATAATAATAATAAAATATATAGGTAAATAAACAAAATGATAAAATAATATAATAAAAATAATAATAACAACAATAATAATAATAAATATAATAACAACAATAATTATAATACTAATAATAACAACTGTAATAATAATAATAAAAATAAAAATATAAATGTAAATAAATAAAAGGATGAAATAAAAACAATAAAAATAATAACAATTAATAATAGTTTAAATAATAAATAAACAAATTAGTTAAATTATTTAATAAAAATAAATAAATAAAAATTACAGCAAAATGTCTGCTGCAAAGATCAAGACTTTGACAATGGAAAAGCACAGCTTCTCCTGCAGATGTGCTACAACCAACAACCACCATTGACAGTCTCATCCAGTTATCTGTGAGAAGTTATCCAGATATAGTTTAAAGTCATTCGTTAAAAGATGGGGTTTCTTTTTCATATTGAACATAATTTTTTCAGAGGCCGTGTACGATGAAACTTCCTGAAACAACCTTTTCTCTTCTTGTTAGTTTATTCGTCTCACCTATGGGGTCGTTGTCGGGGTTGTATTCCAGCGCGTTCTGCCAGATGAGGTCAGCGTCGGCCATGAACTCTCTCACGGTGTGGTATTTGTGCTCGTCGATGTTGGTCAGCAGCGTGGAGAAGTCCATGGGCTTCTTGATCACCATCAGGTAATCTGGGACCTGCAGGAGACGGAGAGGAAGACTGAGGCTCAGAGTCTTTTCATCAAAATCGAGTCAAACTCCCGTTTCTCTCACCTCCTCGGTGTCCACCGGTTTGGTGAAGGCCCTGAAGCGTCGGTCCAGAGACAGACGCTCGATGACGTTACGCAGAAAGAGGCGGAGCTCCCGCAGCACGTCCTCTTCCTGCTTGTCCAGACGGCGGCACTGGCGAGGGGAGGGAATGGGAGCGAGGGGGAGGATCTCCATGGGCTGAGTCCCTGAGAGGAGGAGAGGGAGGTGACAGAGTCTCTATGAGGCGATCTTTTATTCCTGTAACGTGAGGAGTCACAACTTCACGCTTTACACACCTGTTGTCTTGGAGGGCGGAGCCTCAGCCGCCTGGTTCAGAATGAGGTCATAGAAGAAGTCGGTCCTCTGCTGCCGGGTGGGAGCTCTGAGGGCGTAAACCTCGCCGTAATCCACCCGGAACAGAGACTGAATCTGAGGAAGGAGTCCGAGTTTAGTCTGAGAGTTTCCATCGACTGTTTCAAAAAGACTCAAATACCAGAAAAAAACCAGTCACTCACCTCGGCGTCCAGGTGCTGATGGGGGAGGCTGCAGGTGGCGAGGAGGAGGACGGGGGAGAAAGAGGGGATGCTGCCCAGAAGACTGAGGAAGGAGGATTTAAGAGCAGGTCCTGCGGTGTCCCACCACTGCTGGATGTGAGGGAGAAAGAGGATGCTGGGAGACGTGCGCTTGGCCTCGATGAACACCTGAGGACAAAAAAACAAACCTGCTGTTCAAACCGGAAAAGGAAATATCAGAGTACGTGTGTGAAAGAGGCAGAAACAAGGAAACAAGGAGACGAGGAGACCAAACTCAGAGGAGATAAAAGTCTCAGAGAAAACAGAGCGAACAAAAGGAAGTATGAAAGTCTTCAGGATCCTGTAATCTGACGTTTAAAACTCAGTCCTTCAGATCCTGAAATAAACTTCACCTGAAACTGAAACTCATGCAGCACAGCGCCGAGTCTGATTTACCTGAGCGCACGCCTCCTCCGGGGAGGTGCCGCTGACTCCAAACAGCACAGCGGAGTCCAGACTGTGGACGGTGAAACGCTCCAAAGCGTGCAGGACGGCGGGAGCCAGGTGGGAGGTCTGACCTGCGCCGTGACGACCTGTCAGGAGCAGCCGAGGGCGGTGGGATGTCGGGTGTCTGACTGCGCTCCTGCAGGGAGGAGGAGGAAGGAGAGCACAAAGGCAGGAGAAGTTTGAGGTTTCAGGAGGTCGAGGACAGCGCAGGCGGGTGAAAAACACACGATGACTCATCTGCTGTCCAGAAACCATCAGGAACTTTGAACATCGTCTCTAAATATGAAGTCAGAACTGGATGAGACTCACCTGTAAAGGTGAAGGAACTTTGCGCCCTTCGAGGTGGAGGGGGCGAGGACGTTGTTGGTGCAGGAACTTTCGTCACTTCCACACATCAGGCCGTCGTCGACCACGCCAGCTGTCAGATCTGATCAAAGACGATAATTCAGAGGTTATGAGACTCTTAAGGAGGACTACATCATCAGGTGTGTCTCCGCCTCCGCCCTCACCTGGCTCCCACTTCCTCTTCATCCCCTGCTCGGCGTGAGGAAACAGCCTCTGCAGAGCCTCCAGGACGCCTCGCAGGGCGGCGCCCAGCAGCGGCTGAACCACGGCCGACAGGGGCTTGGCGGGAGAGGCGGTGAGGCGGTGGGAGGCTGGCGTCATCTTCCTCATGGCTGCCACAAAGTCGCAGCTGCTGACGGCGATGGAGGAGACGTCCAGGAGGAGCTTCTGGGAGGTGCTGTAGATTTGTGGGTAGCGGCGCCGGAGAGCACAGAGCGCCGCCTCTGTGCACACGGCTCTGAGGTCAGCGCCGCAGTAACCTGACAGAGAAGAGTTGATCGAGTCTTTAAGATCGGAAAACGGCGATTCACTCGTCTAACTCAGGAGTTTGTCGCTCTGATTCTTACCGACACACTTCTCTGCGAGCTCGTCCAGGAAATCTTCAGACGGAGGAGGTTTCCACTGCTGAGTGTGGATCTTCAGGATCTCTTTACGGGACTGAGGCACAAACAAACAAACAAACAAATAAACAAACAAATGAATAAACAAACAAATGAAAAAACAAACAAACAAACAAACAAACAAATAAACAAAAACAAACAAACAAACAAATAAACAAAAACAAATAAACAAACAAACAAATGAATGAATAAACAAACAAATAAACAAACAAATGAATAAACAAACAAACAAATAAACAAACAAATGAATAAACAAACAAACAAACGAATAAACAAACAAACAAACAAACAAACAAATAAACAAATAAACAAACAAACAAACGAATAAACAAACAAATGAATAAACAAACAAACAAACAAACAAATGAATAAATAAACAAACAAACAAACAAACGAATGAAGAAACAAATAAACAAACAGACAAATAATGAAATCAACAAACAAAGAAATAAACAAATAAACAAACAAACAAACAAATCAAAAAATATACAAACAGACAAATAAAGAAATGAATAAAGAAATAAATGAAGAATTAAACAAACAAATAAATAAATAAACAAATAAAGAAATGAACAAACAAATAAATTAACAAACAAAAAACAAAAAATGAAATAAAAAACAAACACATAAATAAACAAACATCAGTTCATTCCCTTAAAGTCAGTCCCTCTGTTCATTTCAGCGACAGTTTTTCATCATATGATCAAAATTCCGTTTTCTGATCTGAAATTTTTAACATGTTATTAAAGAGTTTTTGTTTAATTTACATCCAAACTGGATCTTTTACAGTAACGGCCCCTAAAAAACTCACTTAGTCATCGACAAATAAAGACGTTTGTTTCTGTCTGATGGAATATAAAAGTATAAAACATCACCTCTCTGTCCGGCAGTCCAAACAGGAACTCTCTGTCGAACCGTCCGGGTCTCCTCAGCGCCGGGTCGATGGAGTCCAGCCGGTTCGTCGCTCCGATCACCACGACCTCCCCTCGACTGTCCAGGCCGTCCATGAGAGCGAGCAGCGTGGACACGATAGAGCTGCGGAGCGAAAACAAACCGAACAGTTGAGCTTTCAGCGTTTCTGCTGTTCTTGTTTCTCTGCGAGGAAGAACCGCCGGTGTTCTGACCTGTAGATCTGGTCCTGTCTGCTGGACCGGACCGGGGCCAGGCCGTCGATCTCGTCAAAGAAGATGATGGAGGGACGCATCTGATACGCCTGAGGACGACACGCACAGACACACTTGTTGAGATGAACCGACCCGGGTCTTCAGGTGTGTCCAGGTGTGTCTGCACGTCTTTACCTGCTCAAACAGCAAACGCAGCTGACGCTCGGACTCGCCCACCCACTTGCTGAGACAGTCGGCTCCCTTCCTCATGAAGAAGGACACCTTTCTGTTGCCATGGCTACACTCGTTGGCCAGCGCCCGGGCGACCAGCGTTTTCCCTGTGCCAGGAGGTCCATAAAAGAGACAACCTCTGCAGAGAGACGGATTAGAAGAGTGTCTTAAAATAACTTAAATAAAATTAAATGTGAATGTTTACCTTTCAAACTCTCAGATCAGGTGAGTCAACACCTTTTAGGGTTCATCGGTAATATTTAATATATGTACCCTTTAAACCTGCAGTTTATCTAACAACCACCAGAGGGCAGCACCTCACTCTGAATGTACAAAAGCTCCAGAGAAACGGAGGTCTTAAGTCTGTGAGGGTTCATCAGAAACCTCCAGGTGGAGTCCTGATGGAGTCTTAAAGTCCGTGAACCTCCGGTGCGTCTCTCACCTGGGGGGCTGGATCTTGAAGTTGTCAAAGACTTCAGGGTAGAGGAGAGGGAAGACGACCATCTCCTTCAGAGCTGAGATGTGACCCGACAGACCCCCGATGCTCTCGAACCCCACCTGAGGAGAGAAGGAAAGGAGGAAGGAAGCAAGGAGATAACATAGGAGTCTGTCCTTCAATTCCAACGCCGCCTGAACTCACCGATTGGTCGATGGCCATGGGGTCGATGTCAGCCAGGCCGGCTCCTGGTCTCATCTTGTCTCTGTGAGTCCCCAGGAGGTTGAGCGGGCGGCAGCTGTCAGAGGAACGACAGGTGAGTTTTTAAAGAGATAAAATCCTCGCCTCTCAGCATCATCTCCAACATACTGACCTCCTCGGGACTTTTACTGAACTTTGAACTTCTTCATCAGAGTCGTCTTCGTCAGAGTGATTGGACCAGGAGCTCTGTGTGGATCTGAGATTAAACCATTAAGAAAGCAGAAAACATTGTTGAATTAAGTATCGAGGTTAAGGATTTGAGGTTTTCAGACCGGACAGCAGACGACACATTTGACAAATAACAAACGAGGGTGAATTCATGATGTCCGGACCCTGAAAACGTGTAAAAACAGACGCCTGCAGCTCAAGAATTATCACAAAAGTTATCAAAACCATAAAGAGAGACTGAAAGGTGCACGTGTATCTCAGATGTTGGTCTGGGCTGCTGGACTTTAGAGACTCCCAAACTGTTGATACTGAGCTGTCAGGTCCTGTCTGGGGGTTCTAATCCCAGCAAAAACACAGACGATATCAAGGCTCCCCCTGATTTTGAGCATAAACAGTAAATAAACACACGACACAAAAACAAAAATAACAACCTGAGAGGTGAGAGTCTGACCTGAACGCTTCTCTGCGGGTCGTGTTTGGTCCTGAGGCGCTGATCCTGAAGGTTCCTCTAGGAAACTCTGAAGGAGACAAAAAAAAAACCTTTTAAATTACAGACTCAAACCTGGACACACCTGAATGTTTCATCTCTGACAGAAAAACTCCTTAAATATGAATTAAACTCCTGAGAGGACATCAAACTCTGAGGGGTGACTGAAGAGGCTTTATACCACCTTAAAAACAAACATCAGGTGGTAAAGAGGAGTAAAGGTGTGATTTAGGATCTGAATAATCATGCTGATGCACTTTGGTTTATTGTAGGTCAGCGGTTCAGTTCCTACCGCTGCTGCTGGGTTCCTGGCAGAGCGACGAGGATCGGCTCAGTTCGGCATCAAAGTTCTTATTTGCTCCACAGCTGTTGGTGTCGCCTGCAGCCGCTCCCCGTCTGTTGTCATCGACCACGCCTGAAAAATAAAACAATAACTCAGACCTCCATCTTCGAATGTTAAGGTCAGATTTTCTTAAATCCTCCTAAAGGTTCATACAGACCGTCGTCCTTCTCGCTGTCACTGAGATCTCTCTGTGGAGGAACCGGAGTCCTGCTCCTCCGGACTTTGGAGTAAATCTTCTGTAATTCATCAGAAACAAACACACACAGGTCATGTTCAGTGTGTGAAGGATCTGTGTGATCAGTGCTATTTCCAGTTTGAGGTCTAAATTACTTATAGAAACAAAAAGCATTATTTTTGAAACCATAAAAACTTTATTTCACTCTTTTCAAAGCCCACAGACTCAATCTAAAATCATAACTTTAACTTACACAACAGAGGAGTTACTGATCTACCCTGACCTGTCAGCCTGTCTGTGTGTCTGTTTCACTATTTTATCATCAGGTCAGAGTTAAAGACTCAAGTATCACCATGAAACAAACAGAGACTGCACAAGGTAATAATGTAATCATGTAATCCAGTAAAAAGCCCAAACTTGATGAGTGTAGATGAACTCTGTCTCAGAGTTTCTTTGACTAAATTCCCTCCTGGACACAAAAACGATTTCTTTTCACCACCAAACAGTTTTTAGAGTCACTGAGATAAATTCAGACTTCTGAGATGAGTTTGGTCCAAACGCTCTAACTGCAATAACGACAACATTCAAGTACAACAAACCACCAGAAAACACCTTTTCACAGTCTATGAAGACTCCTGGCTGTGTGACATTTGCAAACAGGTTGAACCAGGATCTGACACCTACCACCTTCACCGGTTCATCAACTCTCCTCCTTCTGTCGACGCTCCTTTTTGCTTCTTTGGGTCAATGAGACACATGAACTTTTATTTCAGGCTGTTTTTAAACACAAGGTTCATCTCTCTGTAACGTTGTCTGACTCCTCGTACAGACATCATCCGGATCAGCTGTTTACGCTCGTGTGCCGCAGACACACACAATCATCAAAATAAGGGCTGGTGCTCCTCGTGGTCTCACCGCTCTCCCATGTGGTGCCAGCTGATAGACATTTTTTACCCAGGCAGGGCGCAGCCGCGTGCACCGCCCTCACCGCCGCCTGATAAGAGAGGCGGCCCGAGCAGAGAGGCTCAGAGAGAGTAAACAAGGTTCGAGCTCAGACTGTGTCCACGTATCTGTCCTGTTTAATTAGCTGTCAGACCGAATAATACGACAAATCTTCAGTCTAGATGAAATGATTTATCTTTTCTCTAAAATAAAAAAAGAAATAAGAACGGGGGGGAGGGGCTTACTAACGGTATTTTGAAATAATCAGCATGAGCCAAAACCTGGGCTCATGAGGACGATCGGACCAAAGAACAAATCATGTCAGTGTACCTGCTGTCAGGTGAACATCCCCTCATGGCCCAGCGTTTGATGTGTGCTGATATAGAGTTTAATATTCGTCATGTTACCACATCTATAATAAAAAAAAGCCCTAAACCTGCTCAAACTCCATCTAAAAAAACAAGTTTCAGCTGACCTGCTCTGTAAATATCAGTATTAAACTCTGAAGTCTGTGTACATCCTGAATGAAGACACTGTTAATAAAATAATTAGATGCTGCTCTGGTGATGTAAACTTCTTTCACAGTGTAGGCTCCATGAACGACTGAACATTCACCTTCACATCACTCAGATGAAGGAGGAAACCACAGAGATGAATCCTTCAGCCTGGACAGTCCTTCTCTAATTATTAAAAATTTAAAGACAAAACTGACAAAGTGATTCTGGAGATAAGAATTAAAGTGACTGAAAAATGTCTCACTCCTTCATCGTTGTCACTCAGCCGACTCTTCTTCTTCATCGAGTCCACAGTGTTCATGACCGAGCAGGCCGCACTGCAGAGAGAGAGAGAGAGAGAGGTGTTTATTTCTCATCAATCAGCCTTATTACAAATACACAGAATAACTAAAGGGAGAAAACTGCATTTACAGATAACAGAGCTTTATTGTCCTGATCTTCTTTTAGATAATGACTCGACAGATTTACTCAGAGAACAAACGTTCCTCTTTCTTACTGATTTGAGACTTAATTCTGTTTGCTCAAAACCTCATTATAGTAAATGTTAATATGTCTGAATGATGACCAGCTCACCCCCATCATATCAACCTAATATCACGTCACATGACCTCATTTATCCTGACAGACAGGTGCGCCAAACAGAAACAGATGAAACACAACATTTTCCTGGAGTTTTACACACTGTTTATAAGTGAATTACAGAGACAGGGTAGAAACTTCTATAATACATTTAATGTGTTTTAGTGACGAGTCCAAACTAGACCAGTTTGGTTATTTAAGAGCAGTCAGGTGAACGTCCCCAACAATATAACTTTGACATCTATGTGCAGTCCAGTCAGTCAGTGAGGCGTCTGCATGTCTCTGTCTGCAGTCTACGATGAAAAACACAGTTTGAGTTTTGATTTTTTTTTTATTCAAGCAGAAGAAACGGAGAGAAAAGTGCCGAGTACACAGGTTTTAGTCATCGGTACAGGGGACAAAAGAGAGAAACCGGGCAGCAAACTCAAAACATTATCCTATAAAATGTAGGTGTTTTATTTGATTCAGAACTGACACATTCACACATGAGCTGTCTGAGAACATTTCACCCTGAACGCCCGGTGAGAAGTTTCTTTGGTGTGTTTTTGCTGCTCTGGGTCTTACTTTGTGCTGATGCCGTCGAACATGTCGGAGGTCTTGTATCTGTCGGTGGGTTTAGTCGTACGGGTGCTCCTCCTCAGCCTGCTACTCCTGCCGCCTGTGAACACACACACACAGACATGCTCAGACTGAATTTGCTGTGTCTTCACGTGATGTTGATCTTATATTTCAACTAGATTTGAAACCTACAAAAGTAACAATCCTCCCAAATAAACCAGTAAACTGTCTCTCTTTTCCAAACCTCCCTGATGTTATAATATTCGCGCTCATCTGTGACGTCAGGGACCTTACCTGTACGGTCGAGGAGCCTGAGAGATTTCCTGTAAACACAGAACAATGTGATGTAGCTGCATTTATCCTTGTTAGGGATTTTTTAAGTAAAGGGGTTGTTCATTTGTGTTTCTATGACCTCATGGCGCCTCGCTGTGGTTTCCTCTCCTCCTCCTCCTCCTGTGTCTCCAAATCGATGTGGTTCTGTTCGTCATCTTCGCTGGTAAATCCCTGAGAAATAAATACGATAAATCAGAGTTTAGTTTTTACACATTCAGTCAAAGTGAGACAACAGTAAACACAACATTTAGTTTATTTTGAAATCATGCAGAGAGCAGAAATGGTAGAATAAGAGTTTCACACACAACGAATACAGTTAATAAAACCTTAAAGATACTAAATCAAGTACTATTGTACCATAAAGGGTAAATATTGTTTTAAGTATATTTCAACAGAATTTTCCTGTTTAATGTTTTTTCTTCATGAGTGAAAACAAACAGCAAACAGAGCTGGAAAATTCCACACAAAACTAAAAACAAACCAATTATTTTAATCTTGTTAATTAAACTGATTTAAAAACTGTTCTTGAAGATTTCACTTTAATAGTGTTTCACTGATTTACCGTTTAAAAAGCAAATGAATTCCTGGTTGTTATATTTGTGACCCACACAGACAAACTCACATTAATCACTCCGGGTCTTTCTCTCCGGGTCCTCGGTGGACTCGTGGCCGACCTTTGCTGCTTCAGCGGCGGCCCGCTGTCCTGATCCGCATCCCGTCGTCCTTTACCGCGGAGCGTTACCATGGTGACGCCGCTAGCTCCGCACAAGCTAACGCGCTAAATGTTCACATTATTTCAGAGGAAAACGGAGGAACACGGTGTAGAAACACGCTTAAGTCTCTGTCGGTTGTTTTTCTCAGAGGGTAGACCGGCTGCTCCGAGTGTCAGAGTCAAGCTGGAACCTTAAACACACCCAAAAACACACACTTGATAAACTGATACAGAGCAGGCTCCTGTTACTCTGCTGCTGCGAGGAGGATTCAAAAACGTAGGTTTTACCGCCACCTAGTGACGTCATGACGCAAGGTACGCGAGTAAACAAACACAGGTAGGGGAGACCGGGGTAAGATGAGCCAGCGTCTCAACTGAGAACGTAAAGGAGCCTAATGAGAGGATCAGAGTTTCAGATCGAGTTTGTGATTCACACTCATAAATGAAAATTTTGCCATAAAAATTAACAGATTCATAACACAAAAGATTGTCTTTATCGTTTCTTAATGTTCAGACACAGCTGTATGAACCGCTTTCCTCAGATTGGTCAGGACATTATAGAAGTAAGCTGTTATTTCTTGACAGCACACTGTTGCTATGGGAACCATTTCAGTAATAGATTGGCAGACCTCTTTTTAAACATCTCATTGGTTACCTTGAAAAAAGTTCTTCACATAATTCATTAAAAAGTGCTTTATTTTAGCAGTAAACGTAACTGAAACTGAAACTCAAAATTATAAACAGTTTCACAAATCAGACAATCAATTCAAAACAAATAAAAACAATCAATGTTAAACTTCGATGTCAGCTCTTAGAGTCTGTGAAAAGTGGAGAAAAAGAGTGAAACATCAGCCTATTTAGACTTTGGCATGTGTAGTCACAGCATCATATTTAAGACAGACTCGTAGTCAACTGGCAAATATTTAATACGTTTTACATTTTATGTAAAAGTGAGATCACTTTAACAAATAACTAAAAAAACAACAACAACAAAAACACCATTCTTATTAATGTTCTTTAGCTAACGTTAGCATTCAACCACTTCCTGTTTAACTTTAACGTCCAAAAGTCCTAAATACGACAGGGAAACACAAATGTTTGCACGAGTGAATTAGTTATTATTGGTAGTTATTTTAAAACTGAATACTTTTGAGACCGTGTTCATTTTTACGTCACGTTAGCTTGCCAACAGTAACGTTAGCAGTACGGGCGGACATTGGTGTAACCGTTGAAAAAGCGACCTTGTAAACTGGGGACTTTGGGCCTGTTACTATGACAACCACGCTGTAACTCCGCTGAGGGTCTCTTGTATACAGGGTTGCTGTTTAAACCATCACACCACCACGTATCTATGACCAAGTCTCTTTCTGGTCATCTCCATTTGTAGTCTGTTGCTGTTTATCGATCATGAAATTACCACAATTAATCAGATAATTTATGTTAATTTGAGTCATGATCTGGAGCACCAAAATAATACTTAATACTACATGAATTTTGAATCATTACCGTTAAGTCACAAGATGGCGGCGACAGATGAGTATTTTTATGACTATTACAGTAACAGAATAAAAATTTCAACATTCAGTCTGATGAAATTTCTGCATTTAAAACATAAACTACTGCTGGACACTTTCATAATGTCTGGTAATATTCTTTCATTGTAAAACTGCAATACATTCAGAAAACTCTCCGTTTGACTCCCACCACAGAAAAAACATCTGCTTCAAAGTCATCCGTGCATGTTGACCTTGACATTAATCTCCTCCTGTGTAAACAAAAGAGTTTCTGCACATTATCAGGAAACACTCTCCTTCTTCCTGTCACATAACTATGAGTGTCTGAGGTTTGAGTAAAGCCGAGGTCAGGCTGCATGATTTTAGTACCATCTACAGTTCAATCCCACTGTTGTAGGGAGTCAGGTCCAGTCCAGCATGAGCAAACCGTGGTGGTGGTTTAGTGGTGAGGTCCTCTTGTTGGCTGTGTACCATCGTGTAGGTCATGTCTGTTTGTCAAGTCAAGGCCAACAGTCTGTTGGTGTGTTCTCTGTAGTTCACATTCCTCAGGTGAGTCCCACGACCTCGTGCAAACCTGTTTTCTCAGGTGAAGTTTTTTTTGCCTGCTTCTGTTGCTCTTTCCGGCTCAGTCATGAAAACATTTTCCTCTTTTTTTCTTTAAAACCATCGTGTAGTAACCACTTGGCTGGCTCCTTTTGCTGCAAACTACAAATATATTTGTCCTTCAGCAGCAATTTTAAAGATCACCACTCAAGGTCTTTTCCGTCCATCAGAATCTCGGACTCAGGAGTGGGACAGCTGATGCCACTGCTAGCTGCAGCTGCAATAGACAAAATACGATTGTATAAGTGAAGTTTCAATAACAGACATGAAGATTACCTGCTTTTCATTTATCATTCATTTCTTCTGCATGTGTTCGGCATTGGAGAAAAAAGCAGGGACACTTTTAAAACCAGTTTAACGCAGATTTGAATCAGTCGGTAAAGTGACTTACTTGAGACGCCCGAGTCGATGCTGCCACGAAGTTCTTCTGAAAAAACAACAAGATGAGCTTAATACATCAGTAAATGGAACCGGCCCTAGAGAGACCTGACCCAGTCTGGATCCATAAATACTCTGAGGTCCACACAACCAATCTGAACCACACCTCTGTGTGTCTGTGAAATGTGTTATTAATATGAATGATCTTTCCCCTATCAACCGGCGCACTGAGCTATGTCGCCACAACAAAAAGATCTTGTAACTGATTATCCCAGATATTATAATCCCAGGCTTTTCACTAATTGGCGTTTTATATTTCTCTTTGAATTGGATTTTTTGTCTGAAAAGTGCCATAAAAATACAGCTGAATTTGAATTAGATGATCCCTCTGGTGTCTTTATTGAGCTCATCCAGATCAAAATTCAGATCCGCCATGACCGAACCGTGAGGGCTGCACCAGTGTTTCACACTGACCTGTAAGCTGAAATTCTTCCCTGCCTGTGTTGCTGCTTTCATCACCTACAAAAACATACAAAACATCGAGACCCACATCAGGACTAAAGTTTAATATTTACACAATAAATTATCACAGTACAGTTTTGTCATATTTTACACATCTTTGCTGCTTCATGAGTAACGGGAGTTAACAGCTGTTATTTTTTAGTCTGTTTGTAGGCGGTCAGGCAGGAGAGTGAGTCCTTAAATCCTCCATCAGGAGGAAAGCTTCTCTCTGATTGGCTACTCAATCCTATCTGTGACAATATTTCGGTCTACTAATGAAGCTGAACCTGATGCTGTCATGGTGTTCAGAGACATTACTCGCACACAGCTGGTTCAACAGGCCACTCATCTTTAATAAACTACTGACCCAAGATTAAGACGTTTCCCCTCTTCATGCCTGAGAAAGGAGGATCATTTAAAAATTCAAAGCTGTGGGCGTCTCCGCACATCTGTGAGGAAAGTTTACCGCTCATGACTACAACAGCAGAGGGATTACAGATGGAGAGACTCAGCGATCATCCGGAGTAAAGTAAAAGCTGACCAAGTTATTTCACAGCTGAGGTGGAGTTCAGATGCTGATAAAGAACAAATGAGAAGTTTGTCAGCCCACTGAGATGTCTGTGAACATGCTTTAAATCGCGCTTACCCTCTGGGGATTCATCTTCACGATCTGTTCCTGAAAGAAAACAACAGACTGTTTTTCATCGTGGATGGAGTCAATTTTGATGCATAAATCTGCTTCGAGCTTTGACTGGTCAGAGGTATGTTTATGTGATATTTCAAGATTGAAAAGACATTTAATCAGTAATCAAGTCACCTACCAAAAACACCCTTTTTATACAGGAGTACTAATTTCACAATGAGGCCTATCAGCCCAAACAGCACCGGTACTGCCACAGCAATGATCCCTGCAGAGTTTGCAGAGCTGCTGTCAGGAGGAAGACTTTTATCTGAAACAGAATAAACTCAAATTAGTTTCACAGTCAACAGAATTTATATCATAAAGGTTCAGTTTTAACGTGGTTAAATGTTGTTGAAGTGGGGGAGTGTTATAATGCTGCAAATTCAAATTAGCCGGAGTTTGTCGCCCCCTATGGACAGAATATCTGGTTTTAACAATCACCCCCAATTTCCACCAGAAAAGGCCGTATCTGTATCGAGCATTTCCTAAAAAGTTTGGTCAACCCAACTATTTTAGATTTATAAAAATTCTCCAGAAATCAGGAAGAAAAAGTTTCTTACCCCAGGTCTCAATAATACTGAAGTTTGAAACTCTGTGCGACACCTCGCAGGTGAACGTCCCCGATTCTCCCCGTAAAATCTCAACGCTGTCTCTCCTCTGAAAGGTGTTGTCGTCGTTTGGAAGAGTGCCCGTAGATCTGATGCCGTCCTTTCTTGTTAACGTGTATCCATCCATTTTGATGAACAGGTCAGTTTCTTTAGAGAGGAAACCCGTGGCCAGGCACGTCAGAACTACGGTGGTCTTAACATTGGAGTTGACTGCAAACATGCGGACTGTAGGAGGTTCTGCAGACAAACACAGCAAAGTGAGATTATGTTGACGTGATTTAACCACACCTGACTCTGTTCTGTGGGACTTACTGGCTGTTCGAAGCTGCTCTTTTAGATATGTAACGAAAACTCTCAGCCAGTCAATGCACTGGATCTTCAGGTATTCTGTCGAGACCTGCACTCCGTCCCACTTCCTCTTGTTTGGTTCTGCCGCTGGACTCGCTGCCACCCAGCCTCCATCGGCTTCATCCAAGAACAGAAACGTGTTTCCATCGTAGCGGTACATGTCAGTGCCTCTCAGGAACCCCAGGGTGCCATCAGGCTGCATTTCACCCTCACAGCCGTGAATCCACTGAAGAGTATGGATGTCTGAAACCCGAGGTGAGAGGAGGAGCGGGCAGTGAGTGACCAAAAAAACTGACGATCAGACAAGACGACATGCTGAAGAAAGGAGGAAACCTCAGCAGTAGTGGTCAGTATCTGTGTGTGTGTTTAAATGTGGGGCTGCATTCAAATGATTTCAGATTGACACGGGTAGAAGATTAAAGAAAAACTCTGAATATTAAGTATTCATCTCTAATCTTCTCGTAGTTGGTGATTTGAGCGTCCTCTAAATAATCCATCATCCTGATCTTTCGTGTTTCTTACCTAAGCGGCTCTGCCTCATCCGGTCCATCAGGATCTCCATGTTTTCTTTGAACCACTTCTGCTTGCCCTGACGGGACCGTGTTCCCTGATCCCAGTAATCTCTATGCTGCCGCTCTGCCATCCAGTCCTGTTTGGGGACTTTCCTCTGGATGTCACTGTCGTAGTAGTCGATCATCCTGTTATCCAGCAGACCCATGGCAGTGAAGTCATGGATGCCAGGGAGCCCGATAGGTTTGGAGAAGGCGGAGTACATGTACATGAGGGAGTGCCTCTCTGGATGCCTCTCTGGGACACACACAGGTGATGTTATATTAGATATGGCTTCATAGTCAGAGTCTGTAATTTGACTTACATCACTACAGCTCCATTTTCAAATACAAACATGACGAAAACATCATTTCTAACAGCAGACTGATTATTTAGAGACCCTCAACAAACTATTGATCTACCATTCAGCTCCATATTCAACTGGATCATAGAGTGATGTACAAAGTCTGACCTTATCAAATCATGGGACCCTGAATCTGAGATTTGATGTTAGGGGAGAGTGGGGTAAGATGATCCATTTTTCATATTTCAGATCACTACATCAAGTCAGTCCTAGTTTGGTCTCTAACTCGTGTATCTGCAGATATTTCAGGATGTTGTTCATCCCTGAAAACCAACAGAATGAGTGTAAACAGAACGGTAATCTTGATAATATAACATGCCAAAAAAAGTGGTCTCCTATGGTCAACTTACCCCGTGTATGGTGGACTTTTATGTTTTTGTCCTCATGTTGTAGCTCATAGATACCACAATTGATGTAGAAAACACATTTAAAATGATCTTTTTTGGTCTGAACACAATTCTAATCAAACTAAAGACTAAATTCACTTTACAGAGTTAAAAATGTGTTTTTGTAAATAGATGTCTAACCTCTTCACCTGTGTGCTTCCCCTGGTATCTCACATGAACCGTTTTTAATGTAAATAAGACCGTTTTCTGAACTCTTCCACAGGTACGCCAGGTTACCTATCCAGTGACGCTAACGCCGTGACCTCACCGTGACGTCAGCCCCCAAACAGGAAGCGTAAACATTATCGTATTTTGTACAGTTTGTAAAGTTCATGTTGCATTAGGACAGTTTTAATATAGCACTAAACAGCACCGACACCAGAGTACCTACTTTTTTAAATTGTTACTGACTTTTTTGGACTGACTGAGATTACACACATTTAACCATCTATCGTCACATCTAAAAAGTGCAGCAGAAAGTCCTCACCTGTTTTTGTAGTAAAAAGAAAATTAAAAGTTGAAAGTTTGAAGAAGTACGAAGAGTAGAAATGAAAACAACAAGCGCGTTTTTGGTATAAATGTCTTAAAGGTCAAACTCACCGCTGTCAACCGTCAGTCCCGATCCTAAAAGGACCAGGACTAAAATAAAATTCATGTCACATCAAAACCATCTTCATCTGTGTCCCCCAACACCAGAAACTTATTTCGACTATCTGGTGGTCTGAGTTTAACTAACTGCTACTTCCGGCTTCTATCACTCTCTCTGTGATGCATTCACGGTCTGAACGAACAGCCTTCGGTCATATCCGGCGTCCACACACGAAGTCAAACTCGAACACTGTTCTGATTTATGTTATTTAGTCATATGTTGTTGTTTTTTTCACGACCTTTATTTATAATAATATAAGGTGACTTTACGCTAATTTTAAGTGACACTTCCATTCTGACACGACTACACAAAACGTTTGTACCCACAGTCATCAGACTTTATAATTCTTCTATAAAAAGTTGATGACTTTTTGAGAAACGACAAATGGGACTACAGTCAATTGAATTTCCCTTCGGGTATAAATATACTTTTTAAAAAAAATCTTATTCTTACAAAGAATCGCTTTTAAAAAGTTTACGGACTCAAGTGAACGCACCACACTTCCTTCGTCAGGTAATTTGATCTGTTTGTCAGTTTGTTATCTTTATGGTAAAGACAGTAATCTCGTTTGTATATTTTCACGGAAACACGCGTCGAAGATTATATTTTTGTCTAATCAAACACTAAAACTCTGAGAAGTAACAGCTAAAATCTCGGTATAACAAAGCGGATACGTTTGCGCCACAGAAGTCGACCAATCAGATGGCGCAGAACTTGTTACCAGGCAGATTGAGTCACAACAGGTTTTCAGCAAAGTAGTTTCGGTTTGAAGACAGGTTCCGCGCTCACGAGCCAGGGGGCGCTCCACGACAACAGCACACACAGCGGAGCTCTATGAGCGCATGCGCTGTTGGAGGTTAGTCCTAAACTGATCAGAAAATGAGGAAATCGAACCAGTAAAAGTTGTTCTTTGTCGTGTTTTTACGCAAATATTTACAGTAAAAAGTCAAGACTTTAGGAGATTATTGCGGGTATTTGGATTTGAATGACGGTGCTCCACACATGCGCACTTTACTACTTTTTTATAAAATGTGTCACAAAGATGTTTTCAGTGAGTTTGTAATCTTTATGTTAATACGTGACTTTTTTTACTCAGCTTTGATAGAGGTCTGTTATACTTTGAAAGCATGTTGTTGCCATAGATACGACTTAATAACAGACTCCAGTTGACCCTCCCTTATTTGTTTGTAGGCTTCAATAAAAGACGACAGCGTTCTCTATTAGCTAGTTATTGAATCACTATAAATATAGTTTCAGAAACACAAAACACTTATTTCATAAACATTTGGTGTATTTATTTTCAGCAGGTAATTTTACAAGCAGAGTCACACCAAAAACACATTATTTTCATTCAAGGAAAAAACATTTGACTTGATTTTGTCATCCCTAAAGTTTTGGCACATACAGTCACAGAGGCAGATATATTAATGATCTTTTACTTTCAGACTGTTTCCAAATGTCTGGTATTTGTCTCACATTTTTCTTGTTTGAAATCCTTAAATCACACTCTTATGGTGAAAAAATTATATGATTCACTTCTGATAATATTATTCATGAGACAAAGAGCAGAGGTATTGTATTGCAATGTCAAACAGCTGTTAAATCAATCACCATTTCACAGGTTAACTGAAGCCCATTTCCTATGAGAGGAAAATGACATTTCAACATAAAAAATAAGCTTTATCACAATACAATGAAATATTTAAGATAAAGTCACAAAGAGATCGGCGAAAAAGGACTTCCTGTGATTTTCCTTTATGGGCAAAGATAGTTAATCATAGAAGTACTCCCTTATTTAAAAATCTTAAAATGCTTACAACAAAGACATAGAAAAATAAAAGCCTTCCTTAATAGTCTTTATGAAAGTAAAAACTGTGAAAAAATGTCAATGAAGTTGTAGTTTCAGGTTTACCAAGAAAAGTCTCCAAAATAACTTTAAGACAAAAGGCTAAATGAAAAGTGTAAATACCACTGTCTATTAATCCAGATTAAAACCTGATGTCCATTTACTTTACATGATTATTCCAGTGTATTCAGAAACTGTGTTACTGATTGTTTTCAGTTTTGTTAACTTGATTTTCTTTAAGGCCAAAAATGAAGAGTTCACATCAGACCAGCTACCAGAAAGAAAATAAAACCCCGGATTCCCTCGGATGACTGTTTTCAGGAAAATACGATACAGAGAGTAAATAAGTAAAAGCATTAATGTAAAAGTGCTCTTAATTTAGGCTTTTCTTCACAGCCCTGAGGGTGTTTGAAGCGCTGATTTGTACTTAAAGTATAGTTCTTTATGCTGATGATACACAGTTTTATTTACAATCATCCTAAATGCTCAAATACTTCAAGAAGATCTCTGAAGAAGAGGAAGACAATCAAAAGTATTTACACTTCAATGATTACTAAAAAGGACACTATACTTATTTCTACACAAACTTAAAGTTAACTCAGGGTATAGTCCCAGATGAGTTTTTTTTCTTTTTTGGGCGATTTTTTGTGGAGAGGATGGTGTGGAAACATGGGGAGATAGAGAGAGAGGGGGGAGGACATGCAACAAATGGTCAGGGCCAGACTTGAACCCACGACCGCTGCGGGGACCGCTGTCCCTATACATGGGGCGCATGAACCTGCTCGGCCTTCTGTGCGCCCCTACTTGAACTTAAAATTGGACTCAAGATACAGTCCCAGTTCAGGTTTTAACAGCTTTTATCCAGTAGTTTTTTGTCTCTGATAACTGATTAAGTTTTAATTAACTTTTAACTGCTTATGAATTTGTTTTTGACACGTCACTTTATTTACTTTCCAATAAACTGGATGGTTATTTAAATTTGACCTTTTTGTGTGTTTCTGTATGACACACTCTGGGATGCATGTTGAATAAAGTTTTCATATAATGATGCAGCCCAATCTAAGACAACTCACTTTCAAAACAACTGTGTCACTATAATAATCATCATTATTATTATTATAATTAATAATAATAATAATAATAATAATATCACATTCATAACTTAAGGGTATTTATTTATAGTCTGTTAAGGGTTTCCCCCCCCAGATGTACTTATTATCTTTGAGGCAAAATAAGTGCGAGTCCAGACTTGTATTAACTACATTTCTCACATGTTTTGAACTCGTCTGCAGTCTAACATCCTCAAGCATGACTGGAGAGAACTTTGCTTTCTTTCTCAGGCACCTGTCCTCTGAAACAGCACGATTGAAGAAATTAGGCCCTCAGACGTTTCATTTAAGTGTCGACTTTTGTGTGACTGACCCTTTGAGGGTTTTCTAAATCTCCTGCCTTTTTAACGACCACAGTATTTCTCTGGGTTTGTTGGCCTGGTTTTCAGCTTTATCTGTCAAGCACAGATCACTTTTATATTTTGTTTGGCTAGATTGTTTATCTGAGGTACATAAGACACATTTCAAAAGGCCATTTTAAACACAAAGTGCATTATCGTTTAGTTAACTGGAAACACTGAACTCATCTGTGAGTCTTTTTAAAATAATGTTCTTTTAAAAGTTGGAGCCTGAAACTTTTCTCTTAAGTGGAGCAGACAGAGATTTCAATTTGATGGACATCCGTCAGACTCCATTCATTTCAAACAGAATTTTTTAGATTGTTCTGAAAACTTTACAGAACATCAGTTTGGGTTTCACGCCTGGTTCCCCGTCAGACTCTCGGACTCAGGAGAGAACTTCACATCGTTCTTTTCAACTGTAGGGAAGAACAAAGAAATCAGACATGAATTTTCTACCACAAGGTATTTAATCCAGACTTTGTGCCCAAACCTGTTCAGTAAAAGGTATTTAATTACATTCTAAGGATTGCATGAATTAAGAGACAAACAGGTTCATTTCTATGCAGATGAGACTCCATATTTAAACTTGTCACAATAGACATGCAGTTGGTCTCGTTTGCTTATTGAAATTATAATACACAGTATTTGTATGGTTGTGATCACCTTCACAGAGTACCTTTGAGCCATATATGTATACATGTATGAATTTATACCTCTCATTACTGTTTGTTCTAAACTCACCTGGTAAGAGAACGTCCCCACTGCCTGTTTTGCTGCTTGTGTTGCTGCCTGTGTTGCTTGAGTTGCTGCTTCGATCATCTACAAAAACAAAACACACAAACATGAAGACCCACGACTACGATCTACTCAGAAGGAAGAACACTTTTGTGTTTTTGTTTTCATGGTTTTGTGATTGAAGGTCAGAAGTGTTTACGGCAGTGGACGCCTCTGTGAATCCCACATACCACACCAGAGTTAAACTTGAACCATGAACATATTCAGCAGCATGTTGAATATGTTTTCTTTATTGTATTTGTCAGCCTAAATGTTACTGATCATTCCTCTACTGTGTTGTAGAAGGGAGTAAACATCATGTTACATTATCTGCACTTAGACACACCTACAGTTTCAATCAAGTCTGAAGTGTGACGACATAATTGAACAGAAACAGAGTGCTCACCTTCTGAGTTACCTTTACCTCCTGTTGATAAAGAGAAAAGAACAGACGGTTACTGATCACAGACAAAAAAAAGATGTTTTTATACAGCTATCAAACTGACTCCAGAACAGTGTGGGACACTTTCAGTTCACTTTAAGATCTAAGTAATAACTTACAGGACCTGAACCTTTAACGGCTCATAGAGCCCATCTTAAAAGAATAATTACAGACCTTTGAACCCCATACAGCCAACAATCATTTCATACAGTCATGTCTGATCCTTCTGGTTTACTCAGGGACGTAGAGTCATTTATGACCCTGAATAAAACACACTGACTTCTATCATGTTCATGTTGACTCGTCCATGTTGGTAAAATTTCTCTAATTTTCTTTAAATGGAGGACAGAGGATGTTTTTGTAATTTAATGTTCGGAGTATTTTCTTTGAAAAAACATGTAACTAAATGTGAAACACAGAAAGTCCTCTTCACTGGTATCTTGTTTCTGAAGATGATGTTCTAGGAAAACGTCACCTACCAATAACACCTTTTTTCCACAGCACGACCAGTGCCGTAATGATGCCTATCACCAAGAACAGACCCCCTAATACCACAGCAATGATTATAACTGATCCAGAGTCTTCATCAGGAGGAAGAAGCTTATCTAAAAAACAAAAACAATTAGATTAGTGAAGATGAAATCAATCTGGACAATTCTTCAGAAGTGAGCTCATCTCAGTTTTTTGATGCTCTTGAACAAGTTTCTTACCCCATGTTCTAGTAACCATGTATCCAGAGGCTCTGTGCCACACCTCGCAGGTGTAATCTGCCAGCTCTTCCCTCTTAATCTCAATGCTGTCTCTCCTCTGAAAGGTGTCGTCGTGGTTTGGAAGAGAGCCTGACGATGTTATTCCGTCCTTTTTTGTCAGTGGTAGACCGTCCATTTTGATCCGCATCTCAATGTCCTTTGGTAGGAATCCCGTGGCGAAGCAGGTCAGAACGACGTTTGTCTTCACTTTGGCGTTCTTTGCGAACACGTGAACAGTAGGGGGTACTGCAAAGAGAAAAGTGAGATTATACTGACCTGATTAAACAACATGTGGTTCTGTTTGTAAAGGTTAAAAATGTGAAAAAACGTTTTCTCCGACTGTTAGCGTGACCTCACGGTAGTTTCTGAGTTAAATACAGAAAAGTGTCTTTATTAAACGTACTGGATCTTTCAAGCTGCTGTTGTCCATAGCCCATGAACTTGCTCAGCCAGTCCATGCACTCCTTCTCCAGGTAGCCTCTGGTGTATTCTTTCAGCACCTGCACTTGGTCCCACTTCCTCTTGGTGGGTTCTGCCGCTGCAATCGGTGCGACCCAGACTTCATGAGCGTCATCGAAGGACAGGAAGTCTCTTCCATCATAGCTGTACATGTCCACACCCTTTAGGAACTTCAGGCTGCCATCAGGCTGCGTTTCACCCTCACAGCCGTGCATCCACTGAAGGGTATGAAGATCTGAAAACCAAGGTGAGAGACCATGAAACAACCAACCAGGTCCACAGAAAGGGAAAAACTGACAGAGAATAACAGACTGTTTTATCAATCAAACTCTGGAGATCAGGTTTGTTCCAGTAGAAGATCTGGTTGGAGGACAGGTGACTTTGTTTTACAGTTTTCTCTGTTTCTTACCCGTGTTGTTCTGCCTCATTCGGTCCATCAGGATCTCAATGTTGACCTTGAACCACTGCCGTTTGCTATGGCGGGACTGTGTGCCTTTGTCCCAGTAATCCGCTCCCAGTTTTTCAGCCATCCAGTCCTGTTTGGGAATTTTCTTTGGGTGATCGCTGTCGTAGTAGTCGATCATCCTGTTATCCAGCAGACCCATGGCAGTGAAGTCATGGATGCCAGGGAGCTCGATAGGTTTGGAGAAGGCTGTGTAGATGTATCTGAGGGAGTGTTTCTGTGGATAAAACTCTGAGATACACAAGAAGAGACGTTTTTTTATTCCACAACACGGCAGAGATACTCCAGAGTTATGTCAGATCATTTAAACTCTTAAATATCTTATTTCTTCAAAAGGTTTTACCCTGACAAAATTCACCATTTGGTCAAAGAAAGAAAGAAACTCAAACATTTGCCGTCTCAACTGTGAGTCGATGAAGGAAATCAGTTTGAATTTCTTCACAGCTTTGTTTACAGGCTACCTCTGGCTGACCTCACGACGTCAAAAATGTCTTTACAAAGTTGTCCGTCTAGATTTGCCACTCAGAGGAAACGCTCAGGCTGGATCCAAGGTTCAGTGAGTGATAAACACTCCCATTTACTGTCAAACTGTTATCTAAGATATCTACGTCTACAGATGTGAGGCAGGCTGAAATAAACGGTGATGTCTCTCTATCATGGATTTAACCTTCCTCTTGTGTTCGCTTTCACTACGCACCCACCATGTCCAGGGTCGGTTTTGATCCGTGTCTTAAATCCTATCATCCAGTTTGGTTCTTATCTCCAGGTTACCTTGTTCGGCGTCATTATCCATGAAAATATTGATTATAATAGTTTTTGTTGTGGTCCTCTGGGCCTTTCTTTGTCAGTATACCCCTCACAAGAGTATTTTATAACTGAGTAAATGTAATTTTTAATTTGTTGAAATCGAGGTTCCTGACAAAGACAAAAAGTCTTGATGAAAAAAAGCTAATTTAAGTGATTCTGTTTCGCTTTAATAGACAAAAACTGGTCGGTGCAGACCCTCACACAGGAGGAGGGTTGACCAAAAATCAGTTAATCATAAATTAATCAATTATTTCTTATTTACTTAGAGACAAATCACAACAGTTGTTATCCCAAGAAGCTTTCTAAAAGAGCAGATCTAGACCAAAGTCAACAAGTACAAAAATAATATAAATTCTTGGTATAATAGTTAAAACACAAAAATAAAGGTAAATTTAATAAGTTTATGTAAACTACTTTAGTTAAGTTGAAACTGTGTATGATTTTCAAACGGTAAATCTGAAGTAAAATACTTCAACAATAGTAATATTTTTATAGCTTTGACATTTAAGTTTAACTTTTAAAAGAGGGATTATGTTTTTAGAGGGTGAAGCAGCTTCCTCGTGTGACGCCATCTTGTATCATAAACGGGCCGAAACTTTAACAACTCTCCATTTTCAGCTCAAAGTTCGTCCAATTCTTTGTTTGATATAAATTATCTATTTAAAATGGATCCGTATTTCAAATTATAAAAGTACTTTAAGTCCTAAAAAACTTCTTAATCTGTTCTTAAAACCCCGAAAACAAAAGACGTCACAGCTGCTCCGTTTTACTTTCGTTTTTGACAAACTCCGAAAAACGAGTCAGAAAATCCGAACTTACCGCCGTTTACTGTCAGTCCGGTCCACAAAAGGACCAACAGTGCGGTTGAAAACATCTTCGCTGCCGACCAGCCTTCCTCCTCGTCTCTAAAACTCGTTTTCTTCACCAGCCTGATGGCCGCTCTAACTCTCCGCACCAACACCAACTGTCGTCTGTCTGCTTCCTGCTCCGTCGTCCGCTCCGTCTTTGAGGTGCGTTCAGGGTCTGCGCGGAGATTACAGAGATACGGGGGCGGATACACAGAGGTACAACACCAGCCCACTCTTTCGTCTATCCTAGCAGAGTTACGGTGGCCGAGAACCGCCACTGCTGCAAATCAAAAAACAAACAAACAAAATCAAAAAAAGGGAGTCACAACGGAAGTTAACAACGCAAAAAAAGAAAGAAAGAAAGAAACTGAAGCCTGCTTTATCATTCCGAATTGCCGAGATATTTGACTCTGTCTCATTATTATGATTACAATAATGTACGCATGTATGCCACCTCCTTTCCATACATTTCCAATCGTGCTCGATATTATGTAAATTGATTTTAAAATTTACTCACTAACGTGAACGCACCACCACTTTAACCTGTGATCAGCTCGCGATAACCTGATTAAATATTAATTTTGAGGGCGTCTGACGAACAACTATCACACGACTTTACTTTACCGCACTATATGTGTAATAAATATTATGTAAAATCTATTTAAACACTTTATTTTTTAAGGTAACCTCATTTAGTAAAGGGTATTTCGCAGTGAAGTTAAAACGTACTTGTTGAAACGATATAAATTTCTGTATTTCCTGGTCAACTCACGAGTCTACGTTAACAGGACTGTACATGAACATGTCACGAGCTGACTGACTGCTGCAGTGCAAAAGTCAGCCAATCACATAATTCAGAACTTGTTGCCAGGCAGATTACAGCAAAAGAGGTTTGCTGCTCGTTCAGCCGCGGGAAAGTCCCTGTTTTCTGTTCCGAAGGTAGAGGGATAATCGGCAATAATACAGTATAATATATAAATTAGTGATAATATACAGATGTAGTCGGTGACTTTACGGTTCAAAAGGCCAAAAAAACTTGTAAATATTTAAAAAATGTCCCTGTGGAAGTTTATGTAATCACAAAACAACAGTTTACCCTCTGTAATGTTACCAAACAGACGAGAAAACGCTTCAGTAATTAACAATAATACAGAAGTAACTGGACCAGTGGACTACCAGTGGACTAAAAATAAGTGTCACATCCTCATGACCGTGTAAACTGCTGATTCTTTTACACTTGTGTCTAAACTGTTATTTTCAGTAAGTTTGGACACAGATGCTGCTTTTTTAATGTTTTATTTTCTCTGTTTCTCGTTACAGTGTTTGACAGGATTTTTCATTAAATTCATATATACTGCCGAAGAATCAGACAAATGCTGTTTACAATTTGCAACTCCCAGCTCTTTATTAATTTATTATTCATACTCAGGGCAACAAACCAACACTTTTACAAAAGCTCACTCTTAATTAATATAAATATACATATATGTACATATCTGTGATCATATTTTGAATTTGACAGATACTTGACATTTACATTAACTTTTGCTGCAAATCTTTGCTATTTTAAGTAATTCTCAAACCTTGTGTGTGTTTTATTTACTGTACCTTTGAGATATTCTTGAAGGAGTCCTGAGCCCTACTTCTTCTTAGTTTAGAGTCAAAGTGAGTGAAAGTGAGCAGCCTTGTGACCAGCTTTGGCTGCTAATATAATGATGTACCCACTCAAAGTGCCTGTTTTTGTAACTTAAACTCTTACAGGTTCAGACTGTTGATCAAAACAGTGAATAAAATAAAATAAAAATGTTGCAGAGACATTTTTCCTTAAAAATTTTTTTGAGCCCGAAGCAGCTGGTCAGACTATTTTCCCTCCAAACCATCAGATTTAATACAAAATAAGTCCTTTGACATCTGGGTTGAATAAAATTGCGTGACATAAAACCTCTTTATACCAAAACAGGGCTTGACCATAGACTGTATATAGAATGGACAGAGTCTGCCTCCTCTCTGGGTGAAGCCACTCTGAGAACAGCGCCCTCTGGTGATGGGCTGCAGTATAGGTCATAAACCCCGCCTCCTTATGGAGCTGTGGACAAACTTTATAAATGAATGACTCAGAATATAAATGTTTCTCCCCCCTGGTTGTGATGTTGACATGTAGTTACTGTCAGACTGGTTTGTGCTCAAGTCCTCTTTTTCCTGTGAAGCTCCGTTTTTAAAAGTTATTAGAGGGTTCATGTTTTCTTTGATTGACACCTGATACAGCCTATGGGCGTTCAGGGATTGTGCAGCTCACCCGGGGGATACGCTGTTTGAGCCGAGCGTCATCACAGCGACTCTTGGCGACTGGTTTCCGGAAATGAAGAAAAATCCTGAAAATACCGAGAGCTTTTTGGCTTCAAATCTGTATACAGGCAGGAGGCGGAACCAAGTTGTCCAGAGTTTATACAGTCTATGGGCTTGACACTAAATTTTTTCACAAGGAGCACATGTGCTACTAAGTTGAAAAAGTAAGGAGCGCACAAAGAACTTTAGGAGAACGATGGAAATTGATCAAATAATGTTTGTCTTATTGGTCGACATAAGTATTATTATTTGAAATCAATTTTAGGTCTTTTGGTCACATGACATGGAAGCTATTGAAGGAAAACAGCCTTTTTAATTTATTGACGGTCCCTTATTCAACACCAACGTTGACAGTGAGGGTGTCGAGTAGATTTAACCGCGCTGCTGTTGTTATTCCCGGTTATAGAGAGTGAGAAGACACTGGTAGATCCTCAGAGAATGTCCGTCAGATATCCAACCTAAAACTAACTTCACCACCGTATTTACATGAGAAAACATTTGTTGCAGATTTTTTTTATGCGCACATGTACCTCTAAATACATTTTACAATTCGCACACATGTATTTTTAGTCGCAAATGTGAGTGAAGAGGTCGCACTGTCGAGGCCTGATAAAAACAAAAATTTTAAGTGGAAAAAAGTCCAGTCTACCTCATTTGTTTATTTAAGTCTGTCTGTCTGCCTGTCTGTCTGTCTGTCTGTCTGTCTGTCTGTCTGTTTATCTGTCTGTCAGTCTGTTTATCTGTCTGTCTGTCTGTTTATCTGGACGATGTAAATTTTCTGAAACATCGTGTTGCTGAATGAACCGTTCATCAGTCCCTCACTTTCAGAGCTTTGGCTTCATTCTGGTGAGAACACTGAATGAATTAAATGTCAGATTTCACTGTAAAGTCGTTTCTCACCGTGTCGTGACAAAAATTTAAGGATCTTTTACGGCTCAAATTTGATCACAGGCTGCAGCCTCTCTCTCTCTCCTTCCTCGTTCTGTCCCTTAGCTTTTCAGACACTCCTCCTCCTCCTCCTCCTCCTCCTCCTCCTCCTCCTCGAATGAGCTCTACTTGTTTTGATTTGTGTTTCATGAATGTGGTTCGAGACCTGAAAAAGGCACAGTAGTCACCTCTTAAATTGAAAACTAAGGCCCGGGTTCCTCTGCCTTTTATACTTTGTGCTGCTTCGTCTCAGCAGAGTGATCCCTGGGTAATTTTCCTGTTAGCGTGTGGTTACCGTGCAGCATTTAACCCCCGTTATGTCCCCCTCCCTGTTGCTGGGAGACACCTTCACTGCCCAAGAAAACTGTTGAGTGTAACCCCCCCCCCCTTAAAGCTTTCCATTTATACATCTCCCTCATCACTCCATCACCTGCCCATCCTCCCTTTATTCATCCGTCTCCTGTGAGTCCATCATTTCCTCCCAAAGCGAAAACCGAATCCTCCTTTCTCCCTGCTGACGGCCTGGAGTCCTCCAGCGATGAAGGTCAGAGCTTGGTTCCTCTTCCCGCCCTCGTCCCCCTCACCTCCGTCCTGGTAGCTCAAGCTCTCCAGAGAGTGGCTGCCAGGGAACGGCGACAGCAGCCGGGCTGACGGGTCTCCTCTCTGGGTCCGCAGCACGGCATCCTCCGCCCAGGGCTGGTACTCCCTCTGCCGGGGGTCTCTGGGCCACTCATTGGCCCATTCGCCAGGTTGGATCAGCCAGGCGTTGCTCGGGTCTTCCAGAAGAGCCTGGAGTCTGAGGAGGATGGACTCGAGCTCGGGTCCATCCTCCTTGGGGATGGCGGTCGGGAGGCGGGGGTATGAGGTGACGGAGTGTGGGACCGGGAGAAGGAGGGCGAGAGAGAGGAGGGTGAGCTGGGAAGAAGGTCTCATCTGGAAACAGACAGAAGTTCATTCAGTTTAATAATAGAGACAAAAAAGTGACTTTAGTTTTGTTCAGAGACGCCGACACTCGGACTTTGAGCTGCAGAGAAATGACGGTTTACATATATAAACGTTGGATGGATCAAACAAACTAAAGACGTTTCAGAAAACGGTCGGTGAGTTTTTTAACTTTCAGAAAGAGGAACATCTTAGTCCTCACTTCACCTCCTAAAGTTGGACTTACTCTCTACAACACCGATGCTTTAATAGTGACTCCAGAAAGTTGCGTTCTCAGTTTACTGACAAAGTTTTTCCTTTTTACCACAGAGAGTTCGGGCTGAACGAAGAGGAAGAATCCGTGAGAGGAAGAGTCACAAACACTCAAGAGTTCAGTCGTAAATTTACGAGTTTTAAATTAGCAAGAATAAAGTTCTAATTGTAAAAATCATTTAAGATCATCGCAGCCTAAAGTTTTGCTCTTTTAAAATGACATCTTTATCCTCGTGATTTCCTTCTATGATCACTGACAGGTATCCCGTTAGAGCATTTGGATTCACACTAAACACTCAATTGGTGACGACCATGTTTCTGAGTTGGAAAACGCGCGTTAACACCTGGTCAAGTCAGACTTTGAAACACAGGTGAGAAAATTGGCGCCTGACTCTCTGAGTCTAACTTTGAGAAAACCTCGGTAAATCCTCGACCTCTATCTGAGACAAAAACAGGAAATTCAGACTGAACTCATGTCTTACCTTGTGTTGTGATCCAAGTTGCTGTAACCTCTCTGACACCAGACCACCTATTTAAAATCTACCCACCTCCCAACCCCCAGGTCACCCATTGGTCCCCTCGCTCCTCTGACGCACACAAAGTCAGCGCCGTCCATCGTAACCTTCATTCTTTTAGCAGAGAAACCGCAGAGAGGCGCCGCAATTATCTGCGGTTAATTGAGGAGGTAATTCACAAGGAGGAAGCTGCAATTCATTAAGGTGTTTCTGAGGATGGGGGGGGGGGGGGCACCGAGAAGGCGACGGGGGCAGTTTGTGGCGATGCTCGTCGTCGTGAAGGTCGTTTTGCCGGGAAGACACAAACATACGTGAAAGAATTTCATTCAAGCTGAACCTCAACTCACAACCAAAGGAGGCAATTATGAAAGTTAGCTTAAAACCAATTATCTTTACAGAGAGACGACTTTGTGATTTCCACCAGAACGACAACGAGCAGGAGACTTTTAAACCTGACCCCCCCACCAAAAAAAGTCAGAAATACAGTAAAGAATAAAGTAAAATACAGTAAAATAATAAAGTAAAATACAGTAAAATAAAAAAGTAAAATAAAGGAAAATACAGTAAAATATTAAGTTAAATACAGTAAAATAAAAAAGGAAAATACAGTAAAATAATAAAGTAAAATACAGTCAAATAAAAAGTTAAATACAGTCAAATAAAAAAGGAAAATACAGTAAAATAAAAAAGTAAAATAAAGTAAAATACAGTAAAATAATAAAGCAAAATACAGTAAAATAATAAAGTAAAATAAAAAGTAAAATACAGTAAAATAAAAAAGTAAAATACAGTAAATAATAAAGTAAAATACAGTCAAATAATAAAGTAAAATACAGTAAAATAAAAAAGTAAATAACAGTAAAATAATAAAGTAAAATACAGTAAAGAATAAAGTAAAATACAGTTAAATAAAAAGTAATTAAAAAAACAATCAAATAAAAAAGTTAAATACAGTTTTTTTGGAGAGACTTTATTTTTCAAAAAGTTCATGAAGGATCTGAGAGATTTTTACAGTCAGTAAATCGTCACAACATCGTGTCTCTAAACATGTTTCAGTTTTTTTGGCCACAGAAATGAGAATAAAATGTTTTATTAGGTCAAATGTCCACAAGGGGGCACCATGGCAGACAAATCTGACCAACTATCAGGTTGATAACTGAACTGTAAATGTTGCATTCTGGGTAAAGAGGCCTTGGCTTGAGGCCTTTTAAACTCTTTTATTTTGAAAGAGTGTTTCCTGGAATAACCCAGACTGTAAGGACTTTGAGGTTTAGCAGTAATGTGGTTTAAAAGAGCTTTCCTGATCGACCTCCACATCTGGGACTCCCTGTGACTCCCCAAAGTCCTCGTAGGCCTCCAGAGAAGAGACGCCCCCCAGAGCATTCTGGGAGTTGAAGTCCAGGAAGAGGTCTTGGTTTTGCAGCAGCTGGTGGTGCTGGTTCACAGCTGGACTCAGAGGCGGGTCGCTGAGCGGGGCTGTGAGCTGAGAGAGCTGCAGGTCGTCGATGGTGCTGGTGGGGAAAGGCTGGGACTGGTCAGGTGGGGAGCAGGGGAGGAGCTTGGTCCCTGTTGCCATGGATACACCCCTGGATAGAGCGCCGGGGGAGATCACCTGCGAGTCCTCGGTGGTGAGGGAGCGTCTGAGTTTGGCCCGAGCGTTCTGAAACCACACCTGTGAGAGAGGAGGAAGGATGAGGACTGGTCTGTCTGGACTCTTAATCTGTTAAAGGGAAAATTAATTTAGGGTCAAACACGCCGTATATCCCTCTAATCTCAGATCTCCCACCTGCAGGACCCTCTTGGGCAGCCCGGTTTTGTGTGCGAGGCAGGTCCAGTCCTTCCCATCAGGATTTTGTTTCTGGGCGAAGTACATCTCCAGCGCTCTGAGCTGCTCGCTGCGGAAACACGTCCTGATTCGCTTTGTCCGCCTGCGGGGCCGCTCCCCAGCTCCCCTGTCGTCCAATCGCGGCTCAGGGCTGCTGACAGACTCCTCCCCTTCCCCTGAGGCCTGATTCAGAGCTGTGAGTCGAACAGGAACCGGAGAGTTATTTAGTGAAACAACAGTGACAATAAAAACACTTCACAGTCAAAACAAACCGGTCTCCACGTACCGCTCTCTCCTTCTGTCGTACTCTGATCCGGCTGCAGACCATGGGACAGCGAGGCGCTCTGGTCGTCATGGTAATGAGACTGACAGTAGAGGTTCTGGCCCTGCATGCAGTACAGGTTCCCTGGTATAAGTTTGACGTCACACTCCTGCAGAAAAGGTCAAAGGTCACAGAAATCACATGCTCTCTTTCATGTGACGTTTTCTACCATAGTGACACTTCCGTCAAGGAAACAATAGAAGAAGAGAGTGAAAGAGTTTGGACCTGATCTTTGCAGGTGAACATGAGAGTGAAAGAGTTTGGACCTGATCTTTGCAGGAAAAGATGAGAGTCAAAGAGCTTGGACCTGATCTTTGCAGGAAAAGATGAGAGTCAAAGAGTTTGGACTTGATCTTTGCAGGAAAAGATGAGAGTGAAAGAGCTTGGACCTGATCTTTGCAGGTGAACATGAGAGTCAAAGAGTTTGAAACCGGTTTTTGCAGGAAAAGATGAGAGTGAAAGAGTTTGTACCTGATCTTTGCAGGCGAAGATGAGAGTCAAAGAGCTTGGACCTGATCTTTGCAGGAAAAGATGAGAGTCAAAGAGTTTGGACTTGATCTTTGCAGGCATAGATGAGAGTCAAAGAGCTTGGACCTGATCTTTGCAGGAAAAGATGAGAGTGAAAGAGCTTGGACCTGATCTTTGCAGGTGAACATGAGAGTCAAAGAGTTTGGACCTGATCTTTGCAGGAAAAGATGAGAGTGAAAGAGTTTGGACCTGATCTTTGCAGGCGAAGATGAGAGTCAAAGAGTTTGGACCTGATCTTTGCAGGCGAAGATGAGAGTCAAAGAGTTTGGACCTGATCTTTGCAGGAAAAGATGAGAGTGAAAGAGTTTGGACCTGATCTTTGCAGGAAAAGATGAGAGTCAAAGAGTACGGACCTGATCTTTGCAGGAAAAGATGAGAGTCAAAGAGCTTGGACCTGATCTTTGCAGGAAAAGATGAGAGTCAAAGAGCTTGGACCTGATCAAACAGACATTAAGGAGTCCTTCCTCTCTGCTGTGACTCTCTAAATGCTGTAAAGTGTTTTTGTTAAAGCTGATCAAAAATATAAATTTCGTTGTACCTGACAGGAGAAGCAGTGAAGGTGAAAGGTCAGCTTGCCGGACCTCATGACCAAAGCAGAAGCTGGGATTGGCTGAAAGCAGCGAGCGCACTGACCGCCTCCAAACAACCTGAGAGGAAGGAGGAGAGATGATGAAGAGCGTCATAACCATTTACTCTGTTATTTCTGTTAGGTAAATATCAGAAGGTCGTCGGTGTTTGACCTCTGACCTGTTGTAGTCCTGTTGGCAGTAGATGTGTCCGTCCCTCCAGAAGAGCGAGGGGTGTGTCTGCAGCTCGCCGTGACACTGACTGCAGCGGAGGCAGGCGCCGTGCCACACCTGACCCGCAGCCAGGAGGAAGAAACGGTCGCACACCTGCTCGCCACAGCCGGCGCACATCACTGGCTCCTGGATGGTCACAGCTGCAGGAGGCTGAGGCGAACCAACAAAGACTTAAAGACTTAAAGACGATGAAACGAGACGCTCAAACGCCGTTTTTGTTTTGGTGTCAAACCTGTTTAAGTGTAAAATTTAAGGATGAATTCAGACTCAGGACTTTTATCTGAGAACAGACACTCACATCGTCTGCAGCAGCTCTCTCTGTGCCATGATTAAGCTCCGCCCCCTCTCTTTCGTCACCAAGGTCACTGCCATACAACAGGTCCTCGAGGGCCCGGTCGTCTGGCGACATCATGATTGTCCTGCAGAAGTGAAGGGGGTAATTATCAGGGGAGGGGGTTAATCAGTGTCCTCATTAGAGATCCAAAAACAGCCTCATTTACGGTTTCTATAATTAAACAAGAAGAGAGACGAACGTCTCGTCTGTGACACACTTTTGATCCTGTTATGAGACGCTGCTGAAGGTTAAATCACCAAAACAAACAAAACGGGTCGTAAAGGTGACCGACTGACTGTCTGATCCGACCTTTTTTAACCCTCAGGGGTCCTTAAAAAAAAGTTATGTTTAGGTCCTTAAATGGACAAAAAAGTTCATCTCCTAAAAGTGCGATAAAAATATTATACATTAATATTTTTTACAAATTTTTTTTTTGCTTAAATCTTTTAATCAACTTCATTCGTGATCATGTTTATTAAATATTAATTCATTTTCAGAATTTTAACCCTTTAAATGCCAGTTTGACTACATGATGTTACAATTATCATTAATGAATTTGGAGTTATTTTCCATATATTAGATGTTGGGCAGGAATTTCTTAGTTCTTTTTTTAAGGTCTATGATGTGTCAATAATAAACAACATTAATTTTTTACTCAACAATATTTTTATTAATTTTATACAGAATATACAAAGTAAACACATCATGGTCGTCTACTGCTGGATATTCCTGTTGCTGTGCTTCAATAACAGATTCTGGAGCTAAAACAAAAATAATAAGAAAATACAAGTGCTGGGGTTCGGGTTTTGTGGATCTTGAAATACAAAAGATGTTGAGGTATAAAAAGTAAAAAGAGAAATAGTTAAATGAACTACTGGACGTTAAGAGAAATACAACAAATATAAAGAAGATGCTGAAAACTGAAAAAGACCATAAAAGAAATAAGAATTTAAATTGTATGATTATAAAACAACAACATTCATTTTAATGCATTATTATGTTGGATGTTGTGTCTGATTTTTAAAAAAAAGTTACGTTGAAGTTCTTTAGATTAGAAGTAAAAAAAGGGGAAAAATATTAATGTTAACATTTTTGTCCATCTAAGGACCTGAACGTAAAACTTTTCTGTCACAAAGTGAATATTGACCTGATTTTATAATGGGGGGTGTCACGTTTTAAAATTTGGAAAGAAAAAAGAAAAAAAAAAAAAAAAATCATCTCAAAAATCAAAATGATCAACAAATAAAAGGTAAAAAGTCACAAAAAATGGACAAAAATTTCACTTTAAGGTGAAATTTACTAAATGAAAATAACAGGTCGACTCAGACCACAACAGCCAAGTCTTTAAAGGCTGCAGACCCCGGACCGGGTCACAGATCCAGAATGTTCTGAGCAGTGAGGTTTTCGTTAGTAAAACACGATTAACGTCTGTTACGAGCAGCTGAAAATTCACCCTTTCATCGTGTTTTATAAACTATCGCCTCGCTGCACAACTTTGAGCTTTGTGTCGTAGAACTGTGGAGTGAACCCAGTGGACACGGGCCCTTAAATATGTTCCCACTATGACAGCAGACACGTGTTTCAACGTGTTTATGGGATTAATTTAAACATGACTGTTCAACTGTTCGAGCTCCTGCCTCCTCAGGTCAATCATCAATCTTCTAATCTTCATTAACTTCAATCAGAAGACGCTCATATTTCAAAATAAAAGCATGACAAACAATTGTTTTATGAAAAGATTATGAAGAGACTTTTAAAACCCTTCTGAAGACGCACCTGTTCACTTTAGCTTTTGGGGAAGTTTAGTTATTTTTATTGGGTCTTTTATTTACTTGCTTTGTTTACTTTTATTGTTGTTTTATGTTTTATACTTTTATTGTTTTTTATTGTTTCTGGTTATTTTACTGTAAAGCACTTTAGTCGGCCACTGGCTGTTTTTAAACATGTTATATAAATTAAGCTGACATTGACAAAAGATGTTTTCTCAGTTTTACTCTCTATGCTGTTTTAAATTCTAAGCTTTCTATAAATAACGTATAAATATATATTTTTATTGAGATATTAAGTTGAAATCTGATGTAGTGATGGTCCTGTAGAAGTGTTTGTATCGTTAGCAGACAGCAGACACATGTTTTAATGTCCATATTTAATAAAAAAAGATAAAGATTTATCATTTAATATTAATTTCTCTGTTTTATGTCTGATTGTTAAACACAGACTTTATTTCAATCAAGAATAAAAACGCATTACATTAAAAAAAGACATTATCTCAGTGAAGAGATCGTCCTCTGGTCGTTTTTTGTCCAGGTGAGCTGAGGAGGAGGAAGTAAAGAGCGGCTTACCTGTGCTGTTCAGACTCCTACGTTGTTTCCACTGAGCGTGCTCCGTAGGAACTCGAACACCTGAAGGCGGTATCTCCTCTCTGTCTGTTCTTCGTCTCACGCCTCTCCTCCAGGTGTCTCTGCCGCCTGCTGTCCTGCGGTTTAGGGCGCTGACCTGAGATCTGTCATCACCTCAGCCCTCCGACCAATCAGGATCACCGTATCTGAACTGACAGCAGCATCAGCCGCCTGTCCCCCGAGACTCCCCCTCCCCCGGACACACCTGTAAACAGGAGGCCCGGGTGGCTCAGAGCGCAGGTAAGGAGGGATCTGATTGGCTGAAGTTGGGAGGGGCTACACCTGAGGGATCAATTAAAACTTAAAAAAAAATAAAAAGGTGGTTTAAAAAGACACCTGGGATCAGGGCTCTGATTGGAAGACGACACGCGGTCCCACATGACCTCTGTTCAAGGTGAGAGTTTGTCCTGTTTTAAAAAGACTTTTGATTATTAAGTAAATTTAACCTTTTAAACCTTAAAGTCATGAAGAGTTCAGTCGGACAGAGATTAGCTTTTGGAAAGATGGAGAAACAAACAAACAAACGTCGACTGTTGATTTTTAGAAACACGTTTCAAAAAGAGGACAAGTTTGGGTTAACCCTGAAAAAGTCCTGGTCTTGATGGCAGCAGATGTTGCTCCTAAACCTGGAGATATTGTTTAAAACTGAGAATGCAGCATCTATGATTTCAAGTTCTCTGTTGAAAGGACAACTGGACTCACTTGGGACGTTTCGCCTAGGGCCTTCCTTGAGGGTGCCGCAGCTCAAGGAAGAACATTTATGATCATTTCTTCATGGAAATACAATCAGACCGAGACGCTAAGACAGAAGTACTACTGCGTCTGTAAAATGATTAATATGGTGATTATTACTTCAAGGAAATGATAAAGAAATGATCATAAATGTTCTTCCTTGAGCTGCGGCACCCCGCTGCAGTCAGTAATGGACTGGCCTGAGGTCTCACTACAAACAAGCGTCTGCTGGAAGAGAGTAGGTGAGTTGTGTTTAGTCTCTTTGCTAAAGAAATGAGTCAAAGTTAAAAAGATGTTTGGTGTCTAGTACTATGTCTGTGTCCATATATTTACTAACCTCAGTAGATCATGGTGTAGTTCTGTTCAGTAACAGAACCTCATTGGAAAATTAGCTGATTTAACTTTACTGTGCTCTTGTTCAAATATATTAACTCAACAGCACATATATTCATACCTGTTAACAAAATCATGATTTTATTGATAATTCGGCTCAATAAAAACACCTTTACCTTTTTATTTTACTACAGTAGAAGTTTATTGGCCCAGCTTATAGACTACAGAAGTGGAGAAACACCCCCGCTCAAGTTTCTTTTTTCTTAGAAGTTAGAACAACTCTGAATATAGTACTATGTCTGTGACCCTATATGTCCTGTTGATGAAGTTAGGTGCTGTTCTGAGCATTATTTGTGGCTATAGAGTGGCGTTTTGGTTGAGGGCGTGGCTCTCTGTATTGCTATCCTGCGGTCGTTACTAAAGTTGGTATAACTAGAGAAGCAAGCGGTCGGCAACATTCATCTCTGGAGGGGGGGTCTAACTCGGTGTTACGATGTGTTTGACCCTTAATTAATTTTGCAACGGAATATCCCTTTAAACTCATGTGGTGACTCTGACTACAGAGTCCTGGAGATCTTGTTCAGCATTAATGGAGCCTTCTCAGATTTTATAGACTCAGTTTCATCTGTTATGGACAGGAGCAGCTTTCAGACGTCATTTTTAATCCTTTTATTATCATATTCTTTCAGGCAGCTCATAAAAAAAAAGATTTACAAAAAGACAACACAGAGAGGAGTTCGACCACGACACCATTAAACACAAACTCTCCATCACTCACTCACTGGTTTCAGGGTTTCTGTACCGATAATAGACTGAATACTGTCCACACAGTGCATTGATTAGCTTAGAGCAGACAGCAGGGGGCGCTGCTGTGCTTTAAAGCAGGACTGAAACAAACTCTGTCCTCCACAGTGAAGTGAGGAGGTTTTAATAAAAAACAAATCCAGTTTTTCTGTTTCATTTCAAATCCACATTTTTGTTTCGGAGAGAACGAGTTTATAAAAAAGGCTGTTCATCATTTTCATCAAAGTTACGACAGTCGAGGGTCTTTAAGGAATAAATTACCTGAATGATTCAGATTAGATTTAATCCTGAGGTTAGATTATTTAAAAAAATAAAGAATTGGAGTAAATCAGGACTTCTCTGATCGTGGAGGAGGGCGGGATTAGACTGGATTACAGGAACCAAACAAAATAAAATGTTTTCCTCTTTTTATTCTTTGGACTTGAACCTCTAAAATAGGTTAAATAGACATTTTAGAGGTCAAAAAGTAAAACATTAATATCAAACAAAGTGTTTAAGTGAAGCTTTAGTGTGGCAGTAAGGATCTGGCGCCCTCCAGTGGTTAAAGTGTGTAACATGTCGTTCACGTGTTCTTCCTCTTTTTCTTTGGGAAACTGTGACAAAAGTAAATAAACGAACCTGATGGTGGATTGTAAATAAAGTGTTTCTTCTTAAATTGGTGAACTGGCCCTTTAAATGTGGAACAGCCCTGCTTTAAAGAAGATCAAACTGAATAAACTGTACAATCTACAGTAACTGTATACCGATAACTGACCTCTATACAAATGAAAAAATACGTCGTCATCTCTGCTGGACGGAGAGTCAAGCTCCCTCTGTGTGTGTGTGTGTGTGTGTGTATGTGTGTAGGTGTGTAAGTGTGTGCACATGTGATGATGAACAACACTGCTGTCCATACATGTGACTAACAGTTCATTATCCTCCTCCTCCTCCTCTTCTTCTTCATCCTCTGAAGGACGCCGGCCTCATCTTCATCTCCACAAACTGGATGGAGTGCTCTTTTCCCTTCCAGGTGGTCCAGATGATTCCCTGAGGAAGAGAGAGAGAGACACACCTGAGCTCTGGAGGGTCACCGTCACCACGAGAATCATGACCATCATTTTCTATCTTGAGACCAGACTGTTTAAACCCGGTGGGGTCAGAGTGGCGTCCGTCTGACTGAGGTACCTGGTGTTTGACGTCGATGCCGTAGAGCCCGTTGAGGTTCGCTTCGTGACAGTTCTTGTACCACCAGCCTGCTCGGTACGACATGGCGCAGCGGGTGATGAACGGCGTCGGGTCGCGGTCTTTGGTGGAAAACAGCCGGTTGTTGTGATACGAGAGAGAATCACCTGAGAGCGAAACGGAGGGAAAGCAGGAGGGATGAGAAGTTTAGAAATGAAAGGTGAAGGAAGCGAGTGAGTACAGATCGCTCCTCCTCTCACCTGCAGTCCCGCTGTACCCGCCCACAGACAGTTTGTAGTTTCTCCTCGCCACTTCGAAGGTGGAGTATTTGGCGAACACCGACTCGGCTCCGTCCCGCATGTCCACGCGCAGATTCATCTTGGTCATGGTGGTCAGGTTGTGAAGGTTCTCGAGACCTGAAGGAGAAAAAAACGGGTTCAGAGACGTTGGCTGGACTGACCTCAGACTGAAGTTTCCTCCAAAAGACTCACCGAGCCAAAACTCTCCGCTCAGATCTCCAAACCCTTTGGTGTAATCCTTCCAGCCCCTGAAGAAGTCCACTGAGCCGTCCTTCCTCCTCTGGAAGACCTGCAGACAAGGATCACAAAAAACCAGGTGGGAATCATGAAGACTCAGAGATGATTGACGATCACGGGAAGGTTTCAGCGTTTTACCGTCCAGCCTCCTCCGTCTGTCTCCATGTCGCAGAAAACCATCATGGTCCTCCCCTGTTTGCCCTGAGGGAAGATCTCCAGCTCTCCTGAGATCCTGATGCCGTTCAGCAGCTCCTGGGAGCAGTCTGTGGGGAAGGGGAACCTCAGGGTACCTGGCAGAGAGGAGGAGGACCTGAAGTTAGCGCTCTGTGGTTATGAAACTTCTCTGGAGGACGTGAGCGGCTCTTACCGGTGGTGAACTCGGTGGAGATGGCGGTGGTGTAGACTCCTCCGTTCTCCGCCTGAAGCTGCACCGTGTACTTGGATCCGGGGTGAAGTCTGGACAGGTTGAACTTGGTGAGCGAGCCGTCTACCGTCACTTCCTGTTCAGAGATGAGCAGATGTGGATTTTAAAGGTTATTCTGATGATAAATCTGCTTTTACAGCCTCTGTGAGGAGTTCTTCAGACATCCTGGATTATTCTGACCTTCTCATGAAACTAAGAAGTATCTGAGATCGCTGAGACTGACCCCCAATTTCTACAAAAAGGTCGTAACCTCCGATCGTAGCTGATCGTAACCACTCAAGCTAACGTGTCTGCTCCGTTGACTTCACCTTCATGTCCTGATCTTCCGTCCTGTAGGTCAGTCTGTAGCTGCCCACAGGCTTTGAAGGTGGTTTCCAAGACAACGTGGCGGTGCGAGGGGTCACATTGTCGGCCAGGAGGTCTCGTGGTCCGTCCCCGTCGCCCCCTGAACCTGCAGAGGAAGAGCGGAGGCGTTAAAACCCCGACAGCTGTTCCTTCATGAGTTCCTTCAGGTCCGAATCAAAACCAGAACCGAGGGGGGATTACCGAGACCTGATCCATGTCAAACAACAAAGTGGATCTAAGAGGACGTCAGTTACTAATGGGGACAAAAATGAAACTTTATAATAATAATAATAATAATAATAATAATAATACATTTTATTTGAAGCGCCTTTCACGTCACTCAAGGACACTTTACAGAACATATAAAAACAATAATAAAACACTATTAACAATTAAAATCATTAATCATCAAACAGTTAAAATCAACAAAGCAACATTAAAACATGAACAACAGCAAAGGAATAAATAAAGAAATTAATAATACCGATTGAAATTTAAAAAAAAAAAAAAATCTGACTTTATGAGACGTCAGAGTAAATGGAGGTCCTCGCTCGGTCAGTGAGGAGAGACGGTCCCCTGTCTGTATCATAAACATGTGTATGTGTGTGTGCACTGACCCCCTGTGGTGGTGAAACTGGTGGTGGCCTTGGAGCTCTCCTGGCTGCCCAGCTGACTGGTTATGGTGACGGTGTAGGTGGTGGATCCTTCCAGACCGCTGAGCTGCTGCTCGGCTGCGTTTCCCGACACCGAGATCCTCAGCTCTGAATCTGCACCGAGGAGAAACACCAGAAAACCGTGAAGAAGAGAAATCTCTGAGCTGACAGAAGAAGCTCAAGTTTTAGGTTCTGTCGTCACTGACCTGTACCAGCGCCATAAACAATGACGTATTTATCCACGGCGGCCAGAGCCGGTCGCCACAGCAACAAGGCTGTGCTGTCAGTGACGTTTACAGCTCGCAGGTCAGTGGGAGGGTCGGGGACTGAGGGGGAGAAACACGATTTTCATTTTTGTTTTATCTTCATAAAAATAAACCAAACAGAGAAAAAAACACGAGAGGAATGAAAACAGAGAGAAGCAGGAATGTGTCCGAGACAAAAAAAATGTTGATTTCACACCGAGAGAGGATCGTGTTCGGTTTGTCAACAGTTACGTCATCAGCGTAAGAAAACGGTTTAGAAATCAAACACAGATCCAGGATGAGTCTCCGGTGACTGAAACGCTCAGATTGTTTCCAGATCGAACACCTGCTGCAGAAATCATCATCATCATCATCTTCATCCTGCTCTGAGAGAAAACGTTGAAAATCCTCCTTCAGAGTTTGTGTTCAGAGAAAATGAAAAACTGATCCTCTAAATCTGCCTGTAGATTCCTGAAAGTTTCCCCACATAGCTGAAGAGTTTGATCAGTTTTTATTAAAGTTTGATCCTGGTTTTTATTTTTGTGCTGCAGAACTTTTTTCTAATTCCACCATCGGAGTCGGTATTTCCTCAGAGAAACCTGAAGGACTTACGTGTTGTGACGACGTCTTTGAGTGGATCACTCTCGTCCAATCCAAGGACAGAGATGATGTTGACCTCGTAGGTGGACCCGGGTGAGAGCTTCGACAGACCCACAGAGGAGTCTCCTGAGTCCACGGACACAGAAACCGGCTCACCTGAAAACAGAGAACCGAGTTTTCAACTTTACAAACATCTCAGGTCTGTTTTAGTCATCTTCACATCTGGTTTTCTTTTTTATCCGATCGTCTTTATTCAAAAGCAGGAAAATCTGGAATAATTTATAAATCTGAGGATCCGACTGTTACGACAAACCTTCAATCAGGAACATCATTGATTCAATTATTCTCGACAAGAGTTGGCGGTCGACACACGACCGACAAAGGTCCTCTGAAACCTTGAACACTTGGAAATGAGTTTTGAAGAAGTCGCCATTTTCGAAATGCTGACTCAGCTGAACTCTCTGTCACCATGGAAACACAGGCGTTTCAGTTACCAAGTCTGAAAAAAGCAAAATCGGAGGTGGAAACACGATGTCTACATTTACGACAGTTATTTTAGCGCCTGCTTTGTCCGAATTTAAGGCAATGATTTAATGAGGCGATTTTTCTTTTTTCGAACTTGGTAACTGAAACGCTGGGAACTCAGGTGTGGCGTCATTTTCGACCCCGACATCTAACTTCCGAGGTAACTCGAACGCAGGATCAGGCCGCCTACTGGGTCTGAAGTCAGCACCTGCCAACCCTAACCCAAGAGCTGGCTGATTTTTGGCCAGTAAACATGGAGGACTGAGCGCCAGATGTCCGATTAATGATTCTTCTAAAATAGTCAATTATTTAAAAACTGTTTAATTAACTTTTTAATTGTATTTAAAATGTCCTTAACAAAGTGGACCTCATCAAATTAATGTTCAATTATGTTCATTTTATTATCTGATACGGCCGACAGGTGAATTTTTTCATCTACCCGCCAAACCGATCAGTCAGTCGAAAAGTTAGTTTGGTGTCAACTAAGCCACGCCCCCAATCATGAAAAACGCTGCATCACTTTTGGTCGTAAAATCTTCTAAATGGACGAGTTTTAATTAAATGAAGCCGATTCAAAAAAGTTAAGAGGGGTTTCCCTGGTGCTTACAGACAGCCTCTAGTGGACACTTGAGGAACTGCAGTTTCTTTCCCCCTCTATAATGGTTCATTCTGATGACACCATGGATGAGGAGATGCTGATTCTAGAAGTCTAGAAGTAGATTTCCTCCTCTGGAAGGACACAATCTACTGCTTATATGTCTATGTGTCTGTCTTTATAGAGAACTCTTGATCGTGCGATTGAACGTGAATCCACGGGTTCTTGTGAGTTCTCGCGATTCGTTCTCAGAGTCGTTGCAGATGCGGGGAAAATTGGGTCTAAGTATTGTGGGCTAAAACCAGTTCTTACCTTCCTCCACGTGGGTGTAGGTGACTTTGAATCCACTGACAGGGGACTTGGGTTTGGTCCACGACACAGTCAGAGAGTTTTCGGTCAACTCACTGAAGACTATGTCAGTGGGCGGCTCCGGGCCTGAGGAGAACCATGAGAGAGATGATTGATCGGGAATCAGAGGATCGATACAGATGATAATCTTTAAAGAGAGTGAAGCAGGTTAGGTGAAAAGACGCTGACAGAGTGAAAACTGTGTCCATTAAATTTGATTCATCCACACATTTACTATTAGTGCTCGGATGAGTTCGTGTGTATATATGTACAGTGCAAACATATATACAGTATACAGGTCATATACAGACAAACAGTGATCAATTATAACGATTAAAATGGGTCCTGGACAGCAGCAGAGGAAGGAAAGGTGAATTTAACAGAGAGCTGGTCCCTCAAACCTGAAAATAGAAAGTGTGGCAAGACTGAAGAGCACAAAATAAAGAGGTGGACATTTAACAGCATAAACCACGGACTGTTAAAACTCTGTAGGAAAGAGGGCTGAACAAATAAACAACACACTTGTGCATGCATCATGAAATGCACGTCTTCATTTCTCTGAAGATACTTACATACTTGTATTACAAGAGAGAAGCAGACTCTGTCATACTCATCTCTTAGACAAATATGTAGCTTTGGTTAAGTCTGTTAAGCACTAATGCATGTTTGTTTTTCTGAAGACAGACCAACAATGGAGACCAGCCGTGGTCTTACCCTGTTTGGGTGAGAGGTGAGGAAGTGTCAGTGAAGCTGGCTGTTAGCTTACCCTGAATGAGAGAAGACCAGAGCAGCAGTGAATGAACTTGTGGTTACGTTGAAGTTTGGTTTCAACTCTCATTTGATGTCAACTTGGAAAGAAAAAAAAAAAAGAAAGAAAAGTTCCTGCTATCCTGAGAGGCCAAAGATGAGCCCTGACTGATTCAGACAGGTGAATAAGAGAGGATTAAAATAGAAGATCCAACTAACAGACTTCAATTACAATAACAACTCCAGAAACAGTTGAGGTACTGTGAACATGTTAAAGAAAACTGAAACTGTTGGTTTAAAAATCATAAATATCAAACATCTCAATAATTTCATGTCAGCGTAGAGTTTCAAAAAAGTTGGGCACCAAAGACTGAGAAGGTCGTGTGACGCTAAAATAACATGAACTAGAATAAGATACAGCAGGTTAGTAACATGACCGGGTTCAAAAATAACACTCTTAACTCATTCAGGTTCATTTATGCAATTTTTACCAAGTGCCACCGTTAACCGCAATGGAAATCTCTGTATCTTTCAGGACCCACAGAATATCTTGTCCTTGGACTAGAATAAAGTGCAATGGTGTTGTTCAGAACAACCCCAAACTTAGTCGCATGTTGGGGAGGAGCGCCCTCTGATGGAAAACAAAAAAACTGAAAAATTTGTCAAAGGCACTGAGTGAGTTAATATTCCAAGTACCTCAAAAGACACGACGGGACTAGGTTAAACACCTATTCCCCGAGATTAAACCTCAGTGTAAAATTGTAACAAATATGGAATGAGGCCTAAACTTGAAACTGACTTGTAGTGCTCCTCTGGTCAAAAGGAGGTACTGCATTAAAAACAGACTAAGCTCTGGAGGGGAAACCGCTGCATGGGTCCACAGTTCCTCCCAAAAACCACGATCTCTGAACAATTTAAGATAAAAACACATAATCTGACAAGAGACGTCTTTAGGCCTGAGCCCATTTAAGGTGGACTTCGGTGACCCTAACCCTGAAATCATGGACCCCATTTGTTATCTAGTGCATACCCTTAAGCTAACACCCCCTGTCACGGTAGGGGCAGCGTACAGAAATGGAAAGGCGACCAACAAGAGCCGTTAAAATAAATGATGAGCCAACTCCTCTGAAACCTGCTGCTGACGTTTTGTTCTCGGTCACTTTCTGAGTTTAGAGTAACTTTGACTTCTTCCTGCTGAATTCTTGAATATTCCTGAAATTGTGCTCGCTGTTGTTACCAAAAAAACAACAATAAACCTGAGCTGGAGGAAAAACACCTGTGTGAGGTTTGACATCAAATAACAGAGCGCATGATAATGGCAGAGACAATGTTATTTATAACGTATGAATATGGGACAAAGTGGTGCACAAAAACAGCATCGACATAAAACACGAGAGAACACTGACCGTCGAGGTTCACCAAAAACAAACAGAACAGGTACGACATAAACTCAACCACTGACGAGGTGACAAAAATATGAGGTGAAATGATGAACTGCAAGCGTTATGGCGCTGGAGCTGTGGACGCCAACATGGAGGAAGCTTTTAGTCAGTGAGCAAACACTTCCAGTCACACTGACGACACGTGACGATTAGTTCACAGATTTGGTTGAAATGAAGACGAGACACAGAGTGCAGTGAGGTAAAGTTTTCCGTTTGGAGAAAATCAGACAAGTTCCCCGGAGAGGACTTCACAACATTGACAGGAATGTTGAAGCAATGTGGAGCAGGAACTGAAGATGTTCTGCTCTCACAGTTGCTTGTACCTGTACTGATGACCAGCTTGTGCAGTCTGGACAGGATGCCGGGACCCTTTCCAAGCAGGGTCACGGTGTAATCGGTCTTGGGAGGCAGGTCCTCAAACAAGAAGGAGCGAGCTGAACCAGGAAGAACCTCTCTGAAGGGTTTGTCGCTCTCTGTTAGGGGCTTGTCTGTGGTGCTGGTCTGGATTTTTGAAAACTGTGCAACAGCACTTTCAGGAACTCTGTTTTCGTCTTCGCCGCCTCCTCGCTCTGATTCTTTTTCTTTGGTTGGTCGATGGCTCACCTCCTCACCTCCACCATCCTCTCTCTCAGACTCTCCTGGTTCTTCTCCCCGATCCGTCTTCCTTCCTGTCTTCTCTGGGCTTTTGGTTTTTTCAACTTTGCTTCGTGTCACAACAAAGTTTTTATACTTCCCCTCTGGGGAGTCCCACACGAGTGTGAATCTGTCTAAGCTCCGGTTTGTCACTCCCACGTTGTCCAGCGGTTCCCTTGTGACTCCAGGAGAGGAAACGTTGACTCCTGTTGGAGGTCTGGAAGCAGCAGTCTTGCTGTACAAACCACCTTTGGCGGTGTTGTTTGGTCTTGTGTTGTCTCTTCTTAGACCCCCGCTGAGGTAGGGTCTTAAACGGCTCTGATGTTGTGTTGCTGTACCTCTTGTTGGGGATGGTCTTCTTGAAAAGGTAACTGGTTTATGGTCTGGATCACCTGAGTCAAGTCCTTTGGTTGTTGGTCCACCTTGACTTGTACCTCCAGCATTTTCTCCACCACTGACTTTTTCTTCTCGTTGGTCAGAGTTGGGATCCCTGATCTTGGTCTCCTCTGCTCCCAGTTTGGGGGCTTGGATTAGAGTATCACCTCTTCTCTCTGGACTGTGGATCTCTGGTTTGCCATCAGAGTCACGTCCATGAATCTGGTCTCTTGGGACTACCTCTGCAGTGTCTTGACGTCCTGACGGTCTAATCTGGACTCCTTTGGGACTCGTGGGGGAATCCTGCCCTCCAGATGGGATCTCTGGGATCTGATCAGCTGTTTGTTTTTCTAACTGGTTTGTTGGACCTTCAGCCGGAATGCTGCTGCCGCCGTTCAGTGTTCTGGTTGGTAAAGGCTTGCGAAGAGGACCTCTATAAGGTGGCCTCAGATTGGTTTGGTTTCTGTTCAGGAAACGCCCTCCATACACCGGGCGGCGGAAGGGACCAACGTTTCCAGGACGATGAGAAGAGGGCCCGCCGTTTCCTCTGAGGGTGCGATTGAACTCAGTGGTCATGACTGTTGTGGACACTCTCAGCCCACCTTTGTCACTGTTCACCTCTTCTCTTGGCACCGTTTCTTCAGCTTTATTAGAAACTTCAGAAACAGGAGGAGAAGAGGAGGGGGCTGGAGGTTCAGAGGAAGGTAGCTGCTCTTCTTTGGTTTCTGAAACTGGTTTTAAAGGTCTAGCGGGGGGAGGGAGCAGCCTCTGATTTGGACGGGTTCTGTTAAAAGGTCCAAAGTTTTGGGAAGTGCGACGTGGGTATCCTCCCTTTGGAGGAACGCGTCTAAATGGGGGTTTTCCTCTTTCTGTTGAAATCTTTGTCTGATCCTGTTCAGCTCCAGAGGACGCAGGTGCGGTTGTTTTGTCTTTGTCTCCACTTGAAGGTCTCACAGGTCCAGTTACCTCACCTGAGAGGGATTCCTCTGAACTGGACGGAGATGCTGTGGACGGTAGTTCTCCTGTGGATGGATGTTTGGTCTCTGCCTTTCTTCTGAGGTTGAGGTTCGAATAGAAAACGGGACGCTGTGGGACTCTCAGATTCTGGTTGTTGTTGTTCTGGAGTTGTCCAGTTTTTGTCCTACCATGTGCTGGATCTGTAGGCCTGGGCAGATGAGGATGCATCCTGCCCCTTGGTGAGGTTGGTGGTCCTCCTTCTTCTTCAGGTGATGCAACGCTCACCGTACTTTTGATGTGTTCAGTTTTTGCTTCAGCACTTTCAGATGAACCTGATTTTTCTGGGCTGGAGTGGGCTGCTGATGAAGGTGATGAAGGTGATGAAGGTGATGGTGAGGACTGTGGCAATGGTGATAGTGGTGAGGGTACTGGCAGTGATGGAATCAGGTTTGTTTGTGATGATGAGGATGGACCGTGTGAAGGTGATGACTGTGATGATGTTGAGTGTGGTGGTTGTTGTGAGTCTGCCTCAGCTGTGGAAGAGGACCTGAATGTAGACAGGGGCTTGAGTCCATCTAAAATCTGCTCCCTCACAGTTTCAGCTTCCGTGGAGAGGTCTGATGTTTTGGACAGGTGGACGGCAAAGGTTGTGATATTCAGGCTGTCAAAGGTGTCCGTCAGGAGCTTGTGTAAAGGGTCTGGTGTGTAATCCAGGTCAGGACTTTCATCTGTTTCAGAAGATGTTAGATGGGAGTCTGGAATCTTCCCTGCCAGGACTTGTCCGCCCCCCCTGCACCCGCTGCCTCTGTCTTTAACGGGTAATCTGACGTGCGTCACTTTAATTTTGTTCAAACATTTCTTGTCTTGGCTCTGAACAGTCCCAGTTGGCTCTGAAGACACTGAGGCAGTGTCGTTTCCTTGGCCATCTTTGCCAACATCTGGTTGCTCTTTGGAGCCAACAGTAAAACTCGGTCCCTCTGAGCTACTTTCTCTCTCTGTAGTCGAATCAGTCCCAGATATCACTGTTGGATTTTTGGCATCGGTCTTGTCTGTGCTTGGTGCCTCTTTACTCGGGTCTGTCACTTTCAGAGCGGTTGTTCTGTTACCAGCAGTTGGGACACCTGGTTGGGGTCTTTTGGCTGGTATCGGTACCTTCTTTTTCTGTCCAACAGGGAGCTTTTTCAAAGGACCAGGGCCAATCTTTCGACCTCCAGGTATGACTCTGGTTGTGTTTGAACGGAAAGGTCCTGGCACGTTTGGCTTCTTGGACACTGCGGGCCTTTCAGCGGGTCTGGTACCATTTGTCGCCACCTTCTTGCTGGGATAAGGTTTTGTTCTTGTAATCAGAGAGGCGGTGGAATCTTTCTTCGATCCATCGATAAGCCTGTCTTTTCCGGAGCCCCTCTCACTCTCTCCCCCCCTCTGCCCCTGCCGGTCAAAGACTCGTGTCTCAGCTGATGGGCGAGACTCTTCATCTCTGCCCCTGACATCTTGTCTGGGTGCCGCCGTGACCTGCAGGGTCACAGCTGCTGCCGTTCTCCTTGGTAATGTACTCCCTAAAGATATGGATTGAATTGAATGTTAAGGTCACGGTGAGCTGTCGATTAATAATCTGTTGGATATCATCTAGAAGAGAAGTTTAAAAGAAGAATCTGTTTAGTAGTCGTCGTTACAGCTTCAGGTGTTGGTTTCCATGTGGAGCCTGTAAGGAAAAACTGAAATATAATTGATGTTAAAAGCTTTGACAGTGAAATTCAACGTGCTCGGTGTCTGAGTCTGTTAAGAAGGAAAATATCATGGCTGAGTGGGAAACAGACGTTTATTATTTTGGCTCTGGGAGGCTGGACCTGACTTGATTCAGTCACCGGACCGTTCCTCCACTCTGTTATGTGTTTTATACGATGCTGCCGTTGAATGATGAGGTGTCAGGACACATAAAGTTTCACTTTCCTTTATTAAACTGGAGCAGCTCTGTTCTCACCTCAGAAGTGAGCGCAGGAAACTCACAAAATCCAGATTTGTTGTTTTGGATAGTGTGTGTGAGATTTGGTTCAAGACAAACTGCAAAAGTGTGTGTGAAGAGGAAACAGCGGTGAGCTTTTGTAGTTACTCCAGGATGAAGATGTTCAAAGTGCAAAGTTTTAACATCCTAATCTCGACAGTAGATATGACTCGACATGTTACCAATCTTAGCAGTGAAGCTCTTTATGACAGTTTGTCTTTGTTAGAGCGTACAAATGTGAATATAAGAGGGTTTTTTTCAGCTTCTTCTCAAGTTTTAGTGATTTAATGTCAGTGTTCGTCACAACAGATGGCGCCACTCATCGGTAAAGTAAGTGTACGCGTCATGACTGAGACCAGCTGTCACTCAGGACTTCGGTCAAAGGGAGGGCACCGCATCCACAGGACAGCCCATGAAAAAAACGCTCTTTAAATGCACTCATGAGTGTTTCAGGGAAATATTATTCTCATTTTTACAGAATTGAAATACCGTCAATATTCAGTGTTTTGTTCTCAAACATTATTCTGTTTTATTTCATTTTGAAGTGAAATCTAAACTTCTCGTCATTCAGTGTCTTTGTTTTGTCATTAAAGTGTTTTTCTTTAACACTTTTATCTGATCTATCAGGACACGAGTTTGTCTCTAACTCTGTATTTGTTTCTCTAAAGTGAGTCGGATTAACTTCTGATTAACACATTAGATAACGACCAGATAAGCCCACTTAAGAGCACTTAAAGACATTTAATGACCAGAGTCCTAAAAGCTGGACTCGTTGTCAGTTTAAAAAATCGAACCCTGAGTCATCGTCCTCAGGCTCTGTTGTTCGGTGTCTTTTTGCGGTTATTTGTAAATTTCCATGACATCAAACTAATTCATAAAAATCTTCTTCTAAAATGAATCCATCTGTTTGTTGTTGTGTCCCGCAGTTTTAACTGAAGTATCTCACTTTTACGAGAGAAAAGGCGTCAGGAGGCAGGAATCTCTTACGCTAGAACAGACAGAGGAAAACTTTCCCATGAGCCCTTTCTGCGAACCAGCTGTGTGAGACGGAGGAGGTCATTCAACGGGAATCTGAGCTGGAAAACTTTAGACGAGCTCATTGGTTAAGAAAGATCCTACTCACCTGGAGTGACCTGGGTGACTGCGGGTCCGCTTTGACTGGCGCCCTTCTCCGCCACGAGTGTGATGTCATACAAACGCCCCGCCTCTAGCTCCTGGATGTGGGCGGAGTCTCGTCCAGCTGGGACGGTCATTTCTTTACTCCTCCCTGCGCCGTCGCTCGGTGTGACGGTCAAACGGTATCTGTCGATCTCACCCTGAGACTGCTCCCACTGCACCACGGCTGATGTGGTGGTCGTCTTGACGACTTGGAGGTTGGAGGGACCGGAGATCACTGAAAATGCAGAAAACGCAGAAGAAGAAGGAAGATTACAGTCCAGGAGCTGTGTGCAGATGCTAACCGGGAAACTCAAATTTACTTTCTTCAGAGTTTCTTTAAAAACAACAAAAATAAACAGAGATGTAAGCCGACAAAACAAACAAACAGACAGTTAAAGATACAATAAAAATACTGATAAACTACAATCATCAGTCCAACAACAGAAGAGCGAACAGCTGCTGCAAGACGTAAACAAACCAGGTGTGATCATTAAAAACTCAGAGAGGTAAATTCAGGGGTTCCTTGTCTCTGTCTTTCACCAGGATTGGATGTGAGGAATTACCAGGAAAAGGGTCCATTAAAGTTATTAAAGCCGTCTGGGTAAAACAACGTCAGTCTGAAGTCTGTGGGTCAATATTTGAGTCCTGGTTCAGGGTCTTCCTGCTGTACCCTGTCAGCATGAACGGACTGGATGGATTATAAAATAACTTAAAATCCAGTCCAGATTTTTAACGGCCTCAGGTCCAGCAGGTAACAGATACACTCAGATCCAGTCAGCCTTAAATTTACCTTGGCCCGTGACTTTTCCTCATCTTTACTGTGCTCACACTTTGACTCGACATCTTTCACAGGAAGAGCAGCTGGAGGGAAACATGTAAACTCTCTCTGAAGGTTTTGGACCTCTCTCTCCTCAGAGCTCTGTTTTCTAACAAGTACACTTCAGACTGCCCTTTAAACGTCGAAGACTTACTGTCATCAGTGTGATACTTATGTCTCCATGTGCCTGATAAAATAAGCGGATCAAACTTGGAGCTGATGTTGACCTGCAGAGATCCGGAAGCGTCTGCACGTGTCTGTTGAGAGAAAACTAAAGTAGCTCACAGGTCATGAACTCAGCGGTGCTCTCAGCTCCCCTCCTGCCGTCGATCTCTCCGGTGATGCTGGCCGTGTATTCCTGACCCGCTGCCAGCCCCGTCTGGGTGAAGGTGGTCAGGCTGCCGTCGACCTTCACGTTGATCTGCTGGTCACTCTCTTTCTGCACGAGACAAAACAGACAAAACAAATTTTGTGTTAGCGTGTCTGCAGCTCCTTAAGTTATGTTATTAGAAGAAGCAGCAAAATAAAAAACGATTGCAGCAGATGAGATGATATTTCACTGATCTTTAACATATCTTCAAATCTCCTCGGAGGTTTTTCTGAGTTTATCTTCTGGAGCTGAAGACACGGACTCAGAAAAACCTCCATCTTTAACTGTGAAACTGCGACCCTACAGCCTCTCACAAAGACCAGAGGAGAGATTTCCATGTGTTCTCGATCAAAAAAGTGAAATATAACCAAGGTTTCTGTAACGTTAAAGGAGGATTACGCTGTTTTTAAACGGTAGATAAGGTGGGGAATCGCTCCACTAGATTGTTTCAGGTTTGAGAGAAACAGGCCGTCATGGCGGCGACTTCGATGCTTCTATCACCCGGAAAAGTCTAGTTCTGGTAATTCAACTTTGAGGAGGAAGAGCTGCCTCTATTATTTAATGATTAGACAAAAGTACATGACCCTTGAAAGAACAGCTGACTTCTTAGTGATTCCAATGAAAAAAAACAAGTTTCTTCGTCATTCCTGATGATTACATCCCCAGGAGTTCATGAGTTTCTCTCTAAATTACAAGTTACCAAGATTAAGATCTGTTTATCTGATCGGTTGTCCAAAATCGCTTCCAGGCGCACGTTCGTATGCCACATTAACATCTGAAAAAGTGAATGAACTGAACCGGTCTGGGACACCAGGCTAGTATAAGGAGTCGATTTCCTTCTAAGTCCTTGAAATGAACGGGTCTGGAGCGCTCAGACGTCAGCTCGGTCACGAACGTCCTCAATCTTCAATATTTGTTTGTTGAGTCGAAGTCGGCTTGACATCTTAAACACTGCAGAAGTCACGAAACCTCAACACCATCCAACTTTTGCAACACAGCGTCAGGCAGATTCGTCGCTCCGGTGTGAATGTTTGATCCAGAACAGACTGTTAGCTGCACTCGCACGCAGATACTTGTTTATACAGACAGATAAATTGCCATCAAATCACCTCCAGTGGGAGCTGGACTGTCGTGACGACAATTGTGTGTTTCCCTTACTTTAACCCTCCGTACACCAACGCCTGCTGACAGCCGATTGGTCACTATCATTTGGACTAGAAACAAGAACCAGATCCCTCCCTGAGAGCCTGCTCTGTGAAAACTAAAACTCAGACTAAAACACAGACAGATTAACAGATTAACTAATTTATATAAATACTTAAATGTCACTGAGGCTCCAGATTACAGAGCAAACAGACGTGTGTGATGGTGGAGGGGATGAAAGCCTGGGATTATCATGGTTGGAGTTCACTTTAAACCTAATAAGTCTGAAACAGATGAAACGCTGCTCTTCATCAGTGGAGCTGCAGCTCTCACCACAGTGTTCGGTTTATCCTCTTTTGTTCCTTCATTTCCGTGTTTCAGTCAGCATTATTTCAAACCAACACAAAGTTCTGATTATTCAGATGATCTGTTGGAGAGCCAGAAACTTCTCATGCATTAAAATCGGAGGATTACTCAGCTGGAAGTGACTCTTCTTGGCTGGGTAATGAAAGGATGCCCTGTTAGGAAGTAAATGGACCACAGCTGGTTGCCATGCTGGTTGCCGTGTTGGCTGCTCCAGAGGTCGTCCTTGATCATTGTCTGCGTGTCGCCGAGCTTTCATCCGTCTCCATATGAATGAGGGTATATCATTAAAACTGAAGCCCTCATAAATTCATGAAACGAGTCAAAGCTGTTAAACATGCCTGTGAGGCGTTCAGGGACCGTGGGGTTTAGATCTTTGAGCACATGAGGAGGTCTGAGGGACTCTGTTTGACTGTTAATGACCAAGAACAAATGAAAGGTCTCTGAAGAGGGTTTTCATCAACCCGTTTTTTCTTTTTCTCCGTTTGGTTCCATTTTAAGCTGCAGTTTCGTCACCGGAGTCAGAACCAAAAACACAAACAGTGTTTGTTCCAGTCCAGGAAGTCGAGGGAGCAGGATCAATGACTTTGACTTTACTTTAACACAGGTTGGCACAAGTTATTAGTGCATCAAAGCGTTAGCTGCATAGTGCTAAATAGACCTGTGTATTAACTCATTCAGTGCCATTGATGGATTTGGATGAATTTTTCAGTTTTTTCATTTTCCACCAGAGGGCGCTCGTTCTGAACATAGAAAAGCCGACAAATTCGTCATACCCATGTTACAATGACAGAAAAAAGTACTCGCCAGTTAGAAGTGCGTCATCAAGTGTGCCAATCAGCCGAGTTATGGAGTGTTTTTTCTCTGAGGAGAGGAGGAAAATGTCAAAGTCATTAGCCAAGAGCTAACCGTCTCGGCGCATCCGCTCCCGTGGGCGCGGTGCTCCCGTCTCTGGATCCAGCGGAGATCCCGGTACCGGACTTTTGCATCGTCAGCAGACAATCAAAAAAAACAATTTTCTGGCGTGACGTTGTGCCGCCGGTGCCGGTACTGGTGAGCGAGACTGAGCCGGAATTCAACGACAATCTGGGCGAGGAGGACGCAAGCAGTCCGTGTTGTTTACATGGCGGCGTCAGATTCTTGAGAGCCAATAGGACTCCCAGCCGTCCCAAAGTGACCTATCACAGTCGGATCTTGAGAGTGATGAGGAGTGGTGTCCGAGGAGGGAGGAGCTTGATGCCACCGGTGAAGTAGTTAGAAGTGAAATGAAATAGACGATCAGAGTTCTGACGATCAAAGTCTCTCCTTCGTAAAAATGTGTTTTTCCAGATCGGCAAAGACGATACGACCACGCTGCATTGAGCAGACAATAACTGAACACAGGAGTGGGTTAGAAACTAACTTTTTTTCTGGTAAAAGAAGAGAGACGTTGAGATGTTGCACTTAATTCTAGTCCAAGCACAAGATATTCTGTGGGTCCTGAAAGATACAGAAATTTCCATTGTGGTCACTGGGTGAAAACTGCCTAAATGAACCTGGAACTGAATGAGTTAAAACGGAGGTACTGGGATAATAGTTCTTTAACTGTCACAACATTATATCCAGGTCGTCATGAATTGACTGACTGGATCTGCAGCCTCTCAGTTTCTAACCTCATTATCTATGCAGTGATCTGAGTGGGCGGGGATGATATGATGATGAGGCTCCGTGCTGGTTGGCTGATCTGAGAGTAGAAGACACAGACCGGTGCAGAAAACCCCTAAAACGAGTCGACTGTTTGAGACCTTCAGAATCCTGCGCGGACTTTCAGAAGACGACGCCATGACAAGGAGCTTCATGGGAGCTGAGAGTCTGTCTGGACTTCATGTAGGAGTGAGAAGAGCCTGACTTTACAGTTTGTGTTTATATGATAGTAAACTGTGTTAGTCGAACAAACAGGAAAGTTCCTGAACATTTATAGGAAATGTTTAATTGAGTCTTTTTGGTATAATAGGCAGTGAAATAATAATGACTTACAGCCCAGGAGTGGAGGACTGGAGTGTTGTTGTAACCTTTCTGTAGTCTGAGAGTGAAAAGTAAGAGTCTATTCTTGGAGGACAGATTGATGAGGTAACCTGGAAACCGTAAATATCAGAGGGATGTAAATGTGCCTCATTAAACTACTTGAACGTTATTTCTTAAAACCAGATGTTCTCCGACGTCCTCAGAGACTCGTCTTTTTTCTCCTGTCCCTCAACAATCTGTTCTCACTTCAGCTTGTTGTTGTCACACTGTCTTGTTGTTTGTCTGTCCAGCAAACATCTCTTTCTAGGTCTTTCTCTGCCTCTCTCTCTTTCTGTGTCACAGCTGCGGACCGGCACTGATGTCATCCATCTGGCAGCCGCCATGTTTTTGACGGTGTTTACATGTTTCTGTAGCAACAAGCATCCCACATCTGCATCTTTTCCTCTCCAGCTCGGAGCGCTCTGTTCGTTCACGGCTCCTCTGTTTTCATCCTGAGCTCTTACCGACTGTTTTTACTTTCATTTCTCGTCTTCTTCTTTACTCAGAGGCTCCTTTGTTGTCTGGTTCGTCTTTCTTAGACGATGTTGGATTTCAGAGAAGTCCTTAAATCCGCCTGACAATCATGTTGGAAACACGAGGAAGTCATCAGTGAGAAGACAGTTGGACCACACCGTGAGACACGTCCACCTGCGACTGGCTGAAACCTCAGAAGACTCAAAATGATCCAAATCCTGAAATTTGGGACCGAAATTTCACAATGTGCCTTCTGCAAGAAGTTAACCAAACTAAACAGAAAAACACAAAGTTAGGCGTTGGTTTCCAACATGTTTCTACACTGACATGACAGATTTTCATCCTGCAGGGGAATCATTACTTTAAAACTGAGTTTCAGGGGAGAACCGGGAGAAAATAAACAGAACGACACAAAAAAAAAAACTAAGATTCAGAGCATCTCCACAGATTTTTGGATCGAATGGATTCCAAAGAACAACAAGCAGACGGCTCATAAACACTGACCGCTCTGCAGATCATCTCCAATCCTCTAGATTCTCTATGCTCAGTGCACAGATATACAGCAGAGTAGATCTGAATCTGTCCTCTTTCAGTGACTATGTGGAGGAAGCCTGATCGCTCCAAAGTCGTCTCACGGTGGATGAAGAACACAGAGTTTTAGAAAGATGAACACTGCAGAAGTTTTTCATGGAGTTCAGTGGAAACGCCATAAAAATGTAAAAGAGTATAACGTTTGGAACCACCGTGAGAAATACCAACAACCATCCAAACTGAAGGTGCGTTTTTTGGTTAGTCTGAAAAAGTTGTGATCCAGGAAATAAAAAGTAAATTTTCACGGGTTCGCTGCTTTATTGTGGCGTTTTTGTTCTTCAAAGATAACAAACCTGGAGGGTCTAAGTCGGAGACCCCCGCTCTGAGGAAATATTCTGCAGGTGTTTCACACTTTTTTGAGTCACTTTAAAAATCCATCACTTGAAACTTCGACTGTCATTTCTCTCAGAACTAAAAATGTGATTTCTGCATTTGCCATTTTTCTCCCCTCATCTTTGGATCCATCCAGTCAAATCGTGAATCTTGTTGAGGTTTTTATGATATCTTCCTGTCAGATCCAGTATCTCTCCCTCTGCTCGAGTCTCTCCATCCCCTCCTCTGTCTCATGACTTTTTAATCTCCTCTCATCTCTCCTCTCTTCCTCCCTCTCCAGTTCTTGGCGGTCCTGGATACTTCCTGGTGTCGTCGCTCAGGTCCAAACCTCTCGGAGTCATTACAGGGGCTGAACCCTCGGTGATGTCATTGCGGGGAAATCTTCTGGTCTGGTTTTGTCAAAAGAAATCAGAGTTCAGAGTGACTGCTGTAAGTGTGTGTGTCTGTGGGAAAACACGTCTGAGAGGGAGCCAGGACACGATCGCTCTGCGCTAAACTCTCCGCTCTGTGTGCGAGCTGCTCTCTTTTCATCTCGGTGACAGTTCGGAGAGGATTCGGACTGATTTAGAAAGTGAAGTTCGGAGTGTTTCCTTTGTTCGGCTTCCCGCTCCCTCCGTCTTCAAAATGACTCTCATAAATACCGACGCAATTAGTAATTTTCCAGGTTTTTAATGCCTCCGCTGCAGATTGATGGCACATGTTTGAGAACAGATCGTCACGATGAACAAGCAGAGGTGGGTTTGGAGTTTGGAGCCAGAGAGAAATAACAGTCAGTGCGATTATTTACAAAAGGACATCCCTGATGGTTATTTGGATAGTCTTGGCCACACCCATCGCTCAGCAGATGGCTTCTCTTTCTCCTCTGCATTAAACGTGGGCTGGACGTGGACGCCATCCACCGTTTCTGTTCCCCGTTAATCAGACAAACAGCACAGCAAGAGGATGAAGTCCTGTGGAGTCTTTAAATAATGATCCACCTGAGTTCACCATCTGACATAGACCAGGTCCACAGCGCTGAAAGACCCCTTAAGAGCCAGGGTTTAGTTTTTGAGTTTAACATGTTATGATATAATCCAAGATACAGTAATCTATAAGATTCCAAAACAACAGGACCTGATATGAACCTGTAGGAGGCAGTTTTCTTATTCTTATGTTTCTCTCCTTTAAGACGTGAAAAAGTCCAAAACAAAATGTAATTCTAAGTTAAATCATAAATAAATCACGATGGACTTCATCACCGATAATAATCCCAAAGTAAAACATTCACTGCAGATGGTGAACTGGTAAACACCAAATCCTAAAACAGGAATCTGGTTGGCATAATCACATTTCCTGAGAAACGACAAAGTTCTGTTTGACGTGAGTCATGTTCCAAGGAAATCTCGAAAAGATGAGGATGTTTGGGAACGTTTTTTTTTCTTTGGTAAACAGAAACACGGAGTGCTGCTCGAAGCTGAACTGATGCAGATCATCAACATGTGATTAAAAACCTCCACAGTGAAGTGGGTTTTAGATGGAGTCTTGTTGGTCTCACACTCAGAGCTGTTAATCCCTCCCTGTTGCTATGTTCTCTTCATGTTTGTGAGTCACGGCTTTAAGCTGTTTGTGTTGCTAACTCTGTCTCCACTGACACACCCTCGCTGACCGTCCAACGGTTCCTGTGAGGGATTAAAACGAGTGTGAGAAGCAGATCTCGGAAATGCAACACTTCTTCAAAAAGGGGGAGATGAAGTGTGAGTGTCGTCCTGGTAGATTTACACACAGGAGGTCGTCCAGCTGAGAGGAAAACACGCGAGCGAACACGCAACCTCAGATTTTAGCCCGAAGGATCATGACGCCAGAGTGGAACCGTCAGTGAGACTATAAATAAAAATTTAGGGATTATCTCTGATATGTTGAAATGATGCTTTGAAGAACCTCACAGACTAGAGGACGATACCTGAAGAGATGGCTGAGAAGAAAAATGAATGACAATGGGACTAATAGATTGTCGTACTTCAGCTCCTATTTCATCCAAACATTCATGCTCCACCACTAAACCAAGTGATGGTGGACTTCACCATCACCACCATTACAACGCCCCTGTAACCCCGGAACAAAAACACCAGAGGAGTAGCGTTCGTCTCATCTGTAGAAAAAGTAGCACGTCCATCATGTCGGACAAAAACAACGCTGTCTTCTTTCTTCTTCTTTCTTGAAAATGCCCATTTCGCCCCCTAGTGTTGGGGAGGAGGACACGTTCACGTCAATAATTCAATTTTCTAAGATGGGTGTATACGCGGACGAGGAGAAAAGTCCGATTTGGCGTTTAAGCCGTGCATGTAAACACACTCTGTGTTAAAATACAACCCTGTCAGCATCTTTCAGCAGAGCCAGACTCCTGGAGGAAACATCAGCACACGTCCTCCTGAATGACCCTTAATAACCCCAAATCCAAAACATGAAGACTGATGGGAGATTACAGGGATTATCCAGTGGGCACCTCTTGATATAAATAATAAAACAAACAGAGAGTTGAAGTAAAAGAAGGAGAAAAAAACAGATAGGAGTGTCTAGACGGATGGTGGACTGAGATGAGGGAGTCAGACACCTGTTTGTTTGGACCTCAGGTTAGGCTGAACGCTTTACCTCGACTCTCTGAGTTTTTCAAACTTTTCTTTTCATGATTTAAACATAATCAATACTTTGACGAAAATGTCACCTTACTCTGTCCTAACTTAGAGCTGACCGTGTTTTTCTTTTTTAAAATCTAACAGCACATATCCCTCTGTAAGTTTATTGTCTGAATCTTGTATTCAGAGGTTTGTGGAGAATCGTGGACATGTCTCTCTCTCTCTCTCTGTCTCTCTCTCTCTCTCTCTCTCTCTCTGTCACTGGGGGGGGGGGGGGGATACATGATCTCTGCAAAGACACTTAAAACTCAGTGTTGTTCAAACCATTCGACCAAATTCATGAGAGTAAAACAATGGATTCAGTCTGACACTGAGTTTGATTTATGAGACACTGGTCAGGCCCTGTCTCTGTCTGTCTTTGTGCAGTAACTCAAAACGTCTCTGGAGGACATCTACAGTTGGAGTTTGTGGTGCTAAAGCGTGAGATTACTTCCTCCTCTTCCTCCTCTTCCTCTCAGACCTCAGAGGTCGTTTAAGGTGATGCACAATCTGCAGACCTCATCGGCGTGTTTTTAAAGGATCCCTGTGGATCTTGAGTAAATTTCAGGGACAGATTTCAGACACGCTGTCCAACATTTTTCGAGCCGTCTCAACACGACTTGGCGTACGGAGGTTTTGACCTCTGAGCAGCTCAGAGTCGTGAACGCTGGGACGGACGGGGATGGAAAACCTCAGGTGGTTCTGGTGAAGAGCCATGATTGTCAACAAATACATCTGCTGCCTGAATGATTCCTGGATGATGAGTGTTTATTTGTTTTGTCTTTGTGGTCCTGCAGGTCAGGAACCGGGGCATAAATTTAAACAATATGAAGCTACTTTGGAGTCTGACTTGGCCCGGGTTTGAATTCTTTTTACATGTTCTTCAGATTATTAACTGTGAGTCTAAAAAAGAGACCCAACAATCGTCATTTGTTCTTGATTTGTTCGTGTGACTGAAGGAGCTGTTGCAGTGAAGATGTTCCTACCTGGCTGGTGAATGTTATGTAGTAGGTCTCATATCGGACAGGAGGTGGAGTCCAGACCAGAGTGGCAGACGTTTCTGTGATGTCTCGAGTGCTCAGCTGAGAAACGCCGGACATCGCTGGAGCAGGAAAAGACAAAGAGAAGATATTTTATTATATTTATATAAACATTTTAATTCTTCAGCTCCTCTGGTGTCGAACAATAGAGTCTATGTGGAACTGCTAATGACTGCCGTGTCTCGAGTGTCCACTTGAGACCGGCTCCACAGGCACAAAAATAACCCCCCTCATTAGACCTCATGTTTAATAACCTCTTAATGGCGGAAAAATCCAGTTTACAGCCTGATGCAGAAACAATAATGGTCTCTAGAGGTCGGTTTTGGGAGCATACGGGGTAAATCTTTATATAAATCACCTGTTTTTATTATTCTAAGGAAATAGTAACGGGGCACTGTTTGTTCCCAACAGACTGTCTGCTAAATATCAACTCACTTAATCCAGTCACTGACCTTTAAAATCTGGACTAAGAAATCTGTCTTGTGTGTGGTTCATGGTACCGACTGCCCACCCAAGAAGTCTGTGCTCCGACCTCGTTCGTGATGTTCTTTTAATATTTTGTTGTTTTTTTGTTATTGCACTTCACGTACCGAACAGTTATTGTCCTAATAAAGAGCAGGCTGGACTTTAGAGAACAGATTGTTCGATTCTGAATCCGTCACAGATGGTAACTTCAACATTTTTTAAAGTTTAGACAACTCTCCTGACCGCTCCTCCAAAAATGTTCACTTCTGATTCCAGAAAACTCCAAACAGAAGACCGAAAACCTCGTCTGCAGTCAAGAAAACAAACAAGTGACTTCCGTTATTTATGCCGTCTATGGTGTCCCCCAAGGGTCAATCCTCGGTCCTCTGCTTTTTAATCTGTTAGAGTGTGATTCCCTACTTGCTGTGGGCCTGACCTCAACCTTTACGCAGATGATGTGGTTTTATATGTGTCTGGTAAGTCACCTGGTGAGGCGTCTGTCTGAGGTACTAACTTGAATGTAGACGAGCAGCAGCTGTGATGGAATCGACTTGTTTGAAATCTAAAGGACCAAAAAAAAAGTATTTTTCTTTTTCACAGTCCAGGAATCAAAACATCCATCTATACAACCGATTAGACCACATATGTCAGAGTCAAGGCCCGCGGGCCACATCCGGCCCGCGAGAAGGTTTTTTACAGCCCCTGGGATGATCTTGATTTATTATTAGAACCGGCCCGCAGACCGCAGCAAGCCGGCAGCCCGCAGATCTTTTAGACGCACCAATACTACATTTCCCACAATGCAACAGTGACGCACCGAGCAGTAGGCTGCTTCATTTCAATATTTATTAGCACAGCAGTCGTCAGCATAACAGTAAAATTAACTTTCAGATACCCATCAAAAATGGCAAAACGGAAGGTGGACACTGAGAACCGGGGGTTTCAAACAAGGTGGGAGTCGGAGTATATGTTCATGGAGATAGCTGGAAAACCTGTGTGTCTTCTGTGTGGAGAAAGTGTGGCGGTACTGAAAGAGTATAATCTGAGACGACATTATGAAACGAAACACGTTTTTATTGTATTTCAATCCAATTATATTTTAAAAATATTTCAGTTGAGTGGATGATAGAAAATTGCGATTATTATTTTTTTCTTTGAAGTAAATTTAGCCCACTTTTGCTAAAATAGAAAATATAGGCTACTGATGGTGCCTTGAATAATACCGGTTTCTTTCATTTAATGTTCATGTTATGGGGATTTTTATATAAAGGAAATTTGTCTTTTGTGTCTGTTGAAAATTAAAGATTACTGACAGAGCCATAAGAAAATATTGCTTTATTTATCTGAACATATTGGAATTTATTTGTTAGGTTTTCAGTAGGTTCAGTTAGGTTCACTAGACTATATGCGTCATTTAAAAAATTTTCAATGAACACTCTATCAGTCCGGCCCTCGGCTTGTAGCTAAATTTTTTATTTGGCCCTCCGTCCATTTGACTTTGACACCCCTGGATTAGACAGTCCCTGTATAAAACCGCCTAAGATGTAAAAGTGTCAGACTGTCTTTTGGAAACAGTTCTGAGTTATTAATCAAATATTTTTGGACAAGAAACACAAGTTCACGTGTCAAATTTACTCAAATGAGTGAAACCGCTTCTCAAACTGCTTCAGGAGTGGAAATAGCGTGACTTGAAAATGTACCTGAGCCTCAGTTCTGGGCAAACAGGTCCCTTTTTTTCCACCTGAGTTTTTCATTTAAAGCTCTCCTCTCCGTGTGTCTCTGTCTCTCTTGTGTGATTGATGCAGTGAAATAAATGAACCAGAAGTCTCAGTTTATCCTGAGATAGAGACGCACTAGATCCAACTGAAGCCGGTGATGAATGTGACAGTGTTTGACATCAGATGGTCGAACGCTGGAATCACAACCATAAGACTGATCTGTTCCCTGAAAATGATCCGGCTCAGTCAGTCGGGGTGTTTTTGTCATCAGAGGATCTCGTCCAGTTCCTGATTTGAGGTATACTGGAACAAAACGAGGAATATTCCAACGCTTTGTTTCCTCCAGCTTTCAAAATGAAATCAGCTTCAAAACAGAGAAAAAAGTGGAAACGCTCCTCCTATCTAATTATCAGTCAAACTCGGGACATTACTGTCGCTCTACTTCAGGCTCCGGACGGTCAAGATGTCCGCACCTGTTACTTCAGGTGTTACAGCTTCACTTTTTCACTGGAGGGGGGGTCGTGTGGTCCATTTTTATACACAGTCAACGAGCAAGAAGCTGAAGCCTGAGCTGGAAGCTGATTGGTGTGTAAGTGGGTGTGGATGTAAACTAATTCAGGTCCTGAGGTTTGGGTTGGCATCTCCATGCAGACGTGTGTCAAAGAGCGAGTGTGACATGTAGTGTTAGAGTGGAAATGGTGCAGTCTAAGTCCTGGTCCATTAACGTTTTATAAACCGAGCAGCAGAGCCGTTCAGATTTTCCCTCATGTTATAGTTCACATGATTCACTCCGCTGAACAAAGTGCTGCTAATAAACCTCAAACTGAAACATGTGTCGCTCCGAGAAGCTGCCAACACGAAGCTGCCCTCCTCCTGGCAGAGACACGCGGCTGATGTGCAGCGTCACACAGAGAGGGCGTACTCCTAATAACTCTCAGTTTGGTTTTTAGTGCTCCACTTCCTCATAAAATTTGTGCTGAAAAATTCACAGCTCAGTGGGTCACTGAGAACCTGACGTCGAGTTTTCCATCACCGATTACGAAAAATCTAACTCGACATGTTGAGACAAGAGAAAGAAAAATGAGTGGGTTTGTGGCCGACAACTGAAAATCCTCAAACATGTGGTCAGAAACAGAAAATCAATTTAATGATTATTCCAAAAAGAAGGAGTTAAAGAACGACTTCTTATATAGAACGATTCTCATGATGGTAAAACGAGGATAAATCTGCGCTCTTCATTCTCTTGGTCGGAGGGTTGGTGGCTAACTTTAATTTTACAAACAAATAAGAAGTCAAATGTTGGATGTCAATACTGAAGATGGCCAGAAGTTCAAATTGTGAGCTAAAAGTCCAGCTGATTGAACAGCTGTTTATAAAGCCACATTTACTAAGAAAGATAATCATGAGATTTACTTCAATCCTGACATGACTGTTTCGTAAAATGTGACAGCTAACAGATCTGTCCTGCTCTTTTCTTTAATGCTTAGATTTTTAATCTCTTTCCAAACTTTCCAGGTCAGGTTTGGGCCTCAAATCTGATCATATCTCATTATTTGTCATTTTTAAGGAGAGAAACAAGACTTTGTGTCATGACAACAGCAGAGGAGGCTCCTAGAATGCAGCGGTCCTTTAAGGAATTCGATGTTTGTTTGAGTCATGATGCTAACATGCTCAGACGATCTCCGTTCAACATCGAGACCAAAAACAAAGTGCAGTCCAGGCTGACGGACGGGTGGGTCAAAAGTTTGAGCTGCAGGTGGATCGAGAAGAAATGAGATTTTAAGGACCTGAACAGATGGATCCCTCTGCAAATAACCGAACCAGTAACGCCTGTGTAAACCTCTGTAGATGATCTCATTTCAAATAAAGATTCAGTGAACGAAAAGACGGAAAGTTGAGGGGGCCAAAACGGGCAGAGGAAGTGCATATGAAGCCCCCTTATCTCGCTCTTCCTCCGTCTCATGTGGATCCTCAGATAGCAGGACATCTCGTCTTTCACTTTAATCAGCTGGACTTTTGGAAAACACTTCACACTCCCACGTGTGTCTGTGCTGCCTCACCCTCAGGCTGCACGTAGCTGTTAATGAAACGGTTCCTTTACTGGAATCACTGCAGCTAAAACGGCTCCAAATACACTAGCTAATATGCTAACGTAGCCTAGCAACGACCTAAACAACAGAGTGAAGAGGCAAGCTGAGGGATCCAGTCAGTAAAGATGTATGAAGTCATAAAAGTGAATAAAAATGTCCAAAATACTGAGAAATATGTTTCTGTCATAAACGAAATGTTGAGCTAATGGGGATAAAAAACGGTCTCAGCATGACCTGTTCAACAAACAGTCTGAAAAAAGTCTGCAAACATTTAACACCTGCACCCTCCCACAAATGACAAACTGTCTGCTCCCTCCCAAGTGTCCGCCTCATTAAAGTCATTATGTGGAAATAGATGACACTTAAGTTTAAGAGCAAACTCGTGTCCCCTAAACCTTCAATCCACCCGGGAAAACGAGCTTCAGTAAGAGAATGGACCACAACACAGAGGATGTGATTTATTACAAAGATAATTCCCTTTAAAGTCCAACTAAACAACAAATAAGTAAACAGCATCGAAGTCAAATTAGACTTATCCACAGGATCTGAAAGAATGGATCTGTTTTTTTAATCTGAGAGGATTTGGTTCAGAGGTACGAAGAGTTAAACGGACAGGTCAAAGCCAAATTCACTTGGAGGCTCACTTCATTATCAGAGGACTTGGTGATCCTTCAGGGAAATGAAAGATGGTATCTTTTAACATCGAGTTCTCGAAGTTCTGGGAAGTCAACTCATCAGATCCTGACTTTCACACACAGACATGCAGGGTGTCACATGTTTCCTTTAAAAAAACCCGTAAAAGAAAAAGAAAAAAGTCTGTCCTGCCAAGGCCGAAAAAAAGAGAGGCTCCGTCGTCAAGGTGGAATGTTATTGGGAAAAAGTGATGTGACCAAATGTGCTTCACTGCTGAAAGTCTGTGACCAGTGAAAGTAGAGGATCGTAAGTAAAGAGGGAATGTTTCGATAGTACCGGCAGCAGAAATTCGAGAATTCGAGCAGAAAAAAACAGAAAACTCCTCCATGCAGTCTGCTCTCGTTTTTCAAGCAGCTGAGGAGATGAGCTGTCAGCATCTTCACTGGGCTGCTGGATGACGAGCTCACAGGTAGAGGTTCTGCAGGTGTATCGTGAAGTATCTTTTATTCATTTATTTTCATTATTATTGTTATTTGTTTGTTTGTTTTTTTTTTGGGGGGGCGATTTTTTCCATTTATTGAAAGGACAGGGTGAAATGTGGGGAGATGGAGAGAGAGTGGGTTGGGTTGCTGGCTGGTTTTTGGTTGTTTGTTCTGACTGTTTACTTGTAAGTTTGTTTGTTTACTGGCTGGTTTTTCTTTTTTCTTGGTTGTTCTGACTGTTTACTGGTCAGTTTGTTGGTTTGCTGGCTGTTTTTTGGTTGGTTGTTCTGACTGTTTACTGGTAAGTTTGTTGGTTTGCTGGCTGGGTTTTGGTTGGCTGTTCTGACTGTTAACTGTCATCATGCAGCATATGGTCGGGGCCGGACTGAAATCCGCGACCGCAGCAGGGACCATGGTCCTCATACATTGGGGGGCGCTAACCTGCTCTGCCATAAGTTTTTCTCGACAATAATAAACTGGTAGAAAGACGCTAACCTTAAATCAACCTTTTCATTGGTTACACGATTTAAACTCAGTGTCGACATTCAGGCTAACAGTTGTACCTGGATACCTGATCAACATAAGAACTATCACTGCTGTTCTACCTTCGATGGGTTTGTTGGGTTTGGCTCACCTGTGTCACAGTTGGGTCCGGTCATTCCCTCCTCACACTGGCTGCAGTCAGGTCCGGTGAACCCGCGCCGACAGATGCACTTCCCTTTGACACATCGTCCTTTGTTGCTGCAGTTACCGGGACAGCCCTTAGCGGCGCAGTCCGGACCGGCAAAGCCCACATCGCAAACACATTTCCCATTCACACACTTCCCCTGGTTGCTGCAGTTAGCGGGACAAGCTTTCTCAGAGCAGTCTTTACCGGTGAACCCATCATTGCAAACACACTGTCCATTCACACAGCGCCCCCTGTTGTTGCAGTTCCCTGGGCAGGCTTTCTCAGAACAGTCTTCACCGGTAAACCCATCATCGCACACACACTGTCCATTCACACAGCGCCCCCTGTTCTTGCAGTTTCCGGGACAGGCTTTTTCAGAACAGTCCTCCCCTGTGAACCCATCATCACAAACACACTTGCCGTTAACACAGCGCCCCCTGTTTTTGCAGTTTCCAGGACAGGCTTTTTCAGAACAGTCATCACCAGTGAAACCAGCATTACAGACGCACTTGCCATTCACACAGCGCCCCCTGTTGTTGCAGTTTCCAGGGCAGGCAGCCTCAGAACAGTCCTCACCTGCGAAACCAGCGTCACAGACGCACTGCCCGTTAACACAGCGCCCCCTGTTGTTGCAGTTCCCAGGGCAGGCTGTCTCAGAGCAGTCCTCCCCTGTGAATCCCTCGTCACACACACATTGACCGTTCACACACTTCCCGCGGTCGTAGCAGTCATTCAGACAGATAATTTCGGAGCAGTCTGGTCCACCGAATCCCTCGTCACAGACACACTCGCCGTCTACGCAGCGCCCTTTGTTGTTACAGTTTCCTGGACAGCCCGTCTCAGAGCAGTCTGCACCACTGAAACCGCTTTGGCACACACATCTACCGTTCACACACCTGCCGCGGTTGTTGCAGTTGTCTGGACACCCCCTTTTAGAGCAATCCGGTCCAGTGAATCCAGGATTGCAGACACACTTTCCATCGATGCAGCGCCCCCTGTTGTTGCAATTGCCAGGACATGATTTATCTGAGCAGCTGGGGCCGGTGAAGCCGCTGTCACACACACACTGACCGTTGACACAGCGGCCTTTGTTGTTGCAGTTGTCAGGGCAGCCGCCCTGCGAGCAGTCAGGACCGGTGAAACCCGGATCGCAGACACACTGTCCGTTCACACACTTGCCCTTGTTGTTGCAGTTTCCAGGACAGTTGGACTGGCTGCAGTCCGGGCCGCTGAAACCGCTGAAGCAGACACATTTGCCGTTCACACATCGACCCTGATCGCTGCACTCGTTGGGACACTCGCCGTCACCTGGTTTGATGGAGCAGCTCGCACCTGAAGCAGAGAGAGGAGAGGACACAGATTGGTCAAAACGTTTTTACAGAGAACCTGACAGAGAACGGAGTTTCAGGGGATTCATTCAGGGACAGTTTTGATAAGTGGCCGAATAAAAATGGTTTCATTGCTACTTTCAAGCCTCAGATTTAATGTGGTTGATTATTAGGAACGCAATAAATGCAAAGTAGTGATACATGTATAGATGTTGAATTATTGATTAGTTTGTTTTCAGATATCCTCCAAAAAAAGAAAAGACTGAACTTTAAGAAAGTGTCAAAACTTTAACGTCAACATCCCCAGTTCTGATCTTAAGTCTGTTTTTCTTCTTGTTTCATATTTAGATTCATTTCATCCTTAAATCACTCCTTTAAAGATGAGGTTTGTAGGTCTGTAATGAGATCTGTAATCACCCAGCTGAGCCACACACTTGATTCTGATTGGTCAAAACTAAAATTATTACCTGTTTGTAAAAATACATCCTTTTCAAATCAATAAAATCATCTTTTAACACCTGAGAGTTAACGTGTTTGTATATTTTGATAGTCTTGAGGTAGAATAAAGTCAACTTTACATCACGCCTGCTATGGTTAACATCATTAACTACAGAATAAACGGTGTTAATTCAACACTTTATGTTCTGGTCAGTGTCGTTTCATTGCTCAGATCTTTTCGTTGTAAGGCCGAGTGTTGATCGTGTGTTTCAGGCTGTGAGAAATTCCCTGGAAATTCATTGATTTCATCCGTTCAGACTGAGATCTCTGAGATAAACCAAACCTGGGGCTCCTCTGAGAAACATGTTCCAGAAATCATTTGCGGATGAGGATGTTATTTTGAGCTCACATTACAGATAAGATCTCTCTGCAAACTTCACTAATATGAAGTAGATCCTGAAACTTGTGTACGGACGTATCGTCAGGATAACCATCTCATCTGTAACCTAATAATACTTCATTGTACTCTGTAATTGGACACATGCATCTCGCATTCTTCTGAGCTCTTCTGGAACCTGAAAGTCTATTTTGCATCATCTGGACTTTTTGAGACTGCTTCGGTTTTAACAGCGTCCGCCTCTTCTTTCTCCTTTTGCGTCACATCTGTTTGGTACCAGATGGACGTAGTTGGACTCCGAGGAATAAAAGAGATCATGGTGGTGATCAAAGGTAACGTCCAACAGATTCGGACGTTTTTCTATGTTCTGTTTCCTTTAGGTTAGAAAGAAACAAACAGAGAATCATAAGCAGAGAGAACATATGGGCACCATGACCATGACGTCCTTACAGCTACAGTAACTAAAAACAAAACCTCTGAATCCAGCGAGGAGACGGTTCGGGCCCTGGGGACCAGAATGTTGAAAGATGCAGAGAGTTTAATGATGAATAACAAGGATCACAGAAAACAAACGACCCTCAGATGTCATCCTGGAGCAGACTTAGAGCCTATCTGCTCAGAAATGTGAACTTTATCCTGAGCTGCGTTGGTTATCTGTTTCTAGACGTCCACCAGGACTGAAAACAGAGCTTTAGTTAAGTGTCTTAAAAACATGGAAGTTCACTAACAGATGCTTCAGACCAGATCGTTTCCACTCAGCGCTCTGCTTCAGTGTTTGGGTGGTTGGGATGTTGGGGGGGTGGAGGTCTTATCCTCTTTAACGAGTATGTAATGCACTAATTATCCTGCTCTGTGTGTGTATGGAGGGTGGAGGGGGGGGCTACAATGGTTTGGGAGGCGGTCGGGACTGAGATCACACTGGGCAGAGAGCTTCACAAACACACACACACACACACACACACATACACACACACACGGCAGAGTTAGCTCATACGCCGAGCTCTGCCAGTTCCAAACGTGACCGGCTCTGAGGTCAGCTCTGTTTTTACTGAAGATACGACTGACGAACATAAATCTGTACAAAGTCGTTTGACTGACATCGGAGCGTACTTCACTGAGGAGCTGAGATTAACTTTAATTCTATAATTGAGGGTAAACTTCAGCATTAGGAATCCGCGCCCTCTGTTTACATATTTTGGGGTCCAGTTTGCCAGAAAAAGTTCTGGGATCGCTCCAGAAGATCGCTCAGACCTGCAGCGGTGAAAAAGCCTGAAGTAGGCCGATTATCCGACTTATGGGACTTAACTTCTGATGGAGCAAAGTTCACTCAAAGTTGATCTTTTTGTCCCTCACAGGCTCAGATTTTCCCTGACAGTGAAAGAACTTTTTAACTCCTGAAATCTCAAGAACATTTTCTACAAATAATTATTGAGTCATTTAATAAAAATGAACAAAATTACAGGTTTTAACTTCAGGAAATTTATATTGTAGGATTTCTGTAATGATTCCAAACACTCAGATGAATAACAAAGACTCGTCAGTGGACACGTTAGCTTGACTAACCGATCTGCAGCTGAGGCAGGAGGGGAAACACACACTGCTGTTTCTGTGTCTTTGTTTTTGCTCCTGTTGTTGTTATTCTTGTTCTTTTGTGTGTTTGAATCTTTCTGGTTTGTGTTTGTCCACTTAGTTAAGAATAAAAAAGAAAACACAGAGAGAATAGCTGGCAAACCGCTCCGACTCTGCTCTTAATAAAAAGATAATTGTGAAAAGAATCGGCATTTTTGATATATTTGTCATCTGTCGGCTTATGCTCTGTGTGTGTGTGTGTGCGGGGGATGAGTCAGTCAGCTACAGGCCGATCGGTGAAGTAATCCAAACTTGGCTGAAGCGGACACACATGCACGTGATCGGGTAGATCATCGATATAGGAGTTGGTTTTGTGATGAAGACTCACAGCAGAGGAAGAGAAGCGGAGCCGCCATCGGCTGATTCGATTCTTCTACAATTATTAACGAGAGGAAATTTCTCTGACTCAGACTTTTGTGCCTCAGGGAAAACGAGGTTATAGCAGATGTTATAGGAGGCGTTACAGACGGACCAGTGCAGTCTGGACTTATTTTAGATCAGAGAAGACGGTTCCTGGTCTGAATCCCAGTCTGTATGTTCTCTTTAGGGACTCCAGCTCCCCTCTGAAGTTTAAGACACGGGTGTTTAGTCGTCCACTCACTCTAAACTGCTCATAGTTGAGAGTGTGTGAATGTGTACTCACCCCCTGACAGGGATGAGGATCATATTATTTTATTGTTGGTTATTGAGACCCTTTAAAGAGTCATTTCTCTCCTACATGCTGCTGATAATACTGCTCTCTGTTGTTGTGGTTATTGTTCTGTGTCTTTCTAACGGGGCCTCATCTCGTCTGTGTTTGTGTGTCTTTACTCTCCTCTGACACAGAGAGTTTTGTCCGGTTCATTTCCACATTGGTTATCTACTTTTAACTCAGTTTGAACTTTGCAAACCCCACAGATGCTCTGAGTTGAGGTTGATGATGACTCTGTCAGCTGTTACAGTTACTTTAACCTGCAGACTGTCAAATGTACTTTACCACGGCTTGACAGTGCGACCGTTTCGCTGGCATTGTAAAATGTATTTAGGGTCACGTGTGCGCACAAAAAAATTAGCTGAGATCGAGATCGGTCTTGTTCTCGAGACCATTTTTTGAGGGTCTTAGCGTCGTCTCAGAATCTAAGGCATTTTCACTCGGCCTTGTCTTGGTCTCGGACTGAGCAGACTCAGGTTTTTGAGCGAGACCTGTCGAGCTAATAACTTCACATCATTGGTCGTACAGATTCTCCCCCAGCTGCAGCCGCTAAGTTACCTGCCCAGTGTCACACAGTCTGAGTGACTGACACACCCCCTCCACACACAGAGAGGATGGAGACGACAGGAGGAGAGGCTGTGTTCATGCTCGGCACCCGGTGAACTCGTCATTAAAGATGTCTGTAAACTCAGCATTAATTAAGTTTGGTTTCCTAAACCACGAGGAGTTTATTTGTAAAACGACATGCAAGTGAAAATACTCTGCAGCGTGCAAATTCTGCAGTGTACAACTGACAGAAACAGACGGTACGACTTCAAACTTTTACCGTCACCTCCAGAGGAAGCGTAAAGACAGGTAAGCTGACGGTTATCATACAGTAGTGTTGAAGTACTTGAGATCGGTCTTGGTCTCAAGATGATTTTTTGAGGGTCTTGGTGTTGTCTCAGAATCGAAGGCATTTTCACTCGGTCTCGGTCCTGCCTGGTCTCGGTAATGTCTTGGTCTTGGTTGGTGCAGTCTTGACTACAACACAAGTTTCAGGTTGGATATCTGACAGACATTCACTGAGGATCTCCCGGTGTCTTCTCACTCTCCATAAACGGGGATAACAACAGCAGCGCGGTTAAATCTACTCGACACCCTCACTGTCAACGTCAGGTGTTAAATAAGAGACCGTCAATAAATTACATGTTGATGTTTTCAAAAAAGGCTGATCTGGGACATGAGGGATGATTTCAGAAACAAAGTTGTTGAGTTTTTCTCTCTGAACCACAAACGTCAACAACAAAGTCAGACCAGAGATGTTTCACTGAACTTCGTGTCAGAATTACAGAATATATGACAGAAAATAACAGCGATAGTCTGTTTAAGAACATCGATCATGTTAACCAGACTCAGATAATCGTCTATATGAGTGTGTGTGTGTGTGTGTGCATGCATGTGTGTGTTTGTTTGTTGTCACCGCGAGGTTTTGTTGGTAGATTACAAACAAACTCGCTCTAATGACGACAAACTTGAGGGCAGAGAGGAAGTTTCTCATTAAAGACAGCTTATTGTGTGTTTATGGACCACATGTTGGTACAAACACACACAAACACACACAAACACACACATGCATGTGTCTGTTCAGAATGTAAATAGACTAAAAGTGTGCTCCTCGGGTTTGTTTGTTTTTAATACAGAATAAATCACATTCATATGAGCAGCTCTGTGTTTGTGTTCGCTGTCATGGTGCCCAGGATCCACAAGAGTCCGGACCTTAAATCCGATCTCCTGTTTCGGGGACTTTTTGGACAAATTTGGGGTTTTTCAAATTAACTTGACAAAGTTGTATGTTGTCTTTTCTCTGCGCTGAGGCGAGAGACAACACAGACGTGACAGAAGTGATGTGATGGAGTTTACAGAGAGCTGAGAGGGAACGTCTTTGAGTGTTTTCAGAGCTGATCTGCTCGATGAGGCTCATTAGGAGGAAAAGAAAAAGACTTGGCCGCAGATTTGATTAGAAAAAAACACAAAAACAAAAACAAAATTTGAGGCTAAAAAAAAGAAAAAAACATGATCCAGTGTCTTCAGAACATTTTCTCCCATGAGACGGTTCTGTTTGTGTTCAGAGGTGGAGTCACAACAGCCAAAAGACCGTGAACCGTCACCAACAGTCCAGTCCAGTAATCAATAAAGTCTGACTGATGAACTCCTGAAACATCCTCCGACCGACTCTGAAGATAAACTCTGTTCCTCTTTCACAAACAGCAGGACGTTCAGCTGTTTTTATTCATTTCTGTTGTTTGGAAAAAAGGTGGAAAACGCAGAAATCGTGTCGCGGATGAGCAGAGAAAAGCTCAACTCCTCTTAGTGTGAAGTTCTGAAAACTAAACCAGGAAATCAGAACCACTCACCTGAAGACCGGTTCAGTAAAGTCAACCACATCACAGGTGTTTGTTTGTTCGTTTGTTTGTTTGTTTGTTTTCTTCTCTCACACGGTAGCTCAGCTGTTATTGTGTGTTTCTAATGAAGCTGCATTTTTGTATGAAAAACTGTACATAAATACACGTATTATTATTAAAATAACATTAGTAAACTGTGATTGTGAAGTTCAAACATGTTCGATCCATTTGTGCGTTACAAAGTTTTAACACTCGATCGCCCTGAAACACTTTAAACATTCAGAGTGTTTGAATAAAAGCTGCCAACGGAGCGATTGGCCCATCAGGATCCAATCCTCCGAACCAAACCTCTGGATTTTCTCTTTTTGGACTCGAGGAGATGAGTCAGTGATTTACAAACATCTCTGAAGACTAAAACTGTCAACATGAGCGGGTTTTTTACTGCCTTATAAAAGCACAAGTTTATGACGGCACACTGACACAGTTGGTTCATATTTTCAGTTCGACCAACATGATCATTAAAGTGAAGTGTTTGTGTCCCCCTGAAGAATAAGAGGTTCAGACTGACTCTGTTTTTGTGTTTTTACCACCTGACGTTTCCTCTCTGAGGGCAAACGGAGGATTAGGAGACGTTTACAGTTTTGTTTGGTACTAAAAAGGTCATGTGCAGCAGGATTTTACCGCTTTTATTAAATAAACACAACTGTTAGTGAGTTAAATCAGAGGAGGTGTTGGCAGAAACTTCCTCACACTGTCCCCGTGACGCAACGGTGATTATCAAGTATTGATCAGTCTCTAAATACCGTCTGTCTGTTCGTACCTTTGCTCTCCTTGGAGGTGCAGCAGCCTCCTTCAGCTCCTCCGCATTTCTCCCTCAGGTTGGACACCTCCCTCTCCAGCCGCTCCAGCCTTTCCCTCAGGGAAGCAAAGTCTGCCTCACAACCACAAGACCCAGAACCTGAACCAGAACCAGATGGAACCAGTTTGATCTTATGGGTCAGGACCAGAGGAGAGCCGGGGCTCAGGTCGATTTCTTTCCCTGAGAATCCCAGAGACAAAAACAGAGATTAAAACCGAACCGAACCTCAGGCGCGAGATATCACAGGAAGTTTGGTCCCTGTGTTTGAGGTTTTTACCTCCTTGGGTGACGTCAGATGAATCCCCCTGATCGGCGCAGCCCTCAGAGATCACCACCTGCAACAAGGACAAATTACGAATTCTTCATGAAGTTCAGCCTCTTGATGGAAACATCTGCAGCATCATTCACTGAGAGCTGAGCTGAGATGTTTTTACTCCGTTTTTTTAAAGTTTGATGAGTCTGTCCTGGAAACTGTCCGGCCACAGCGCTGTAAAATGTCCGGTCTGGAGCAGATTTGATCTCGGGGATGGGAACACTTGGACTTTTATAGTCCTGATGAGGTCTTCTGAATGTCACATGGGTTGAATTTCTGATATTAGCTCAGTGTTTCAGTATTTTTATTCTTCACTGACAAAGAGAGAGATGATAAACTGCAGGTTTGGTTACACTCTCACATAAATGTCATGAAACGGGATGAAAGCATATTTTGGTGTTTAGTTTAGTGAGTCTGTAACACTCGAGGAGTCTGAAGATACGATATGATGTGAGGAAAATTCAGCTCAGTGTTTGTCCCGTTAAAGAGCTCTTTATTAAATCTGATCCTTTTAAGACAAAATCTGGATTCTTGAGGTTTTGGTGTCGTGACTGTGACCTCCACTCGTTCAAGATGGAAACCACAACAACTCCTGTTGAATTCACACATGAAGATGTTGTTTTTTCACTCATTCATCAGTTTTTTAATGTCTCACACAAACACTCCTCTCATGTCTCACCTTGATGGAGTCCTGCTTGGTGTCCCTGGGAGTCCTTTGACCTCTGACCTCTAACTCCTGGGAGGTTAATGGGGTCAGGAGGGCCGGAGCAGCCAGTAGGAGGACGAGGAGGAGGGAGGGAGACATCGCCGGGGTCAGACCCAGAAAACTCCTCCTCAGGTTGTTCAGAAAGAAGATGGTGGACTCTGAAGGTCTGAGCTGATGGTCAGATGATCAGGATCTCTGTCAGGTTGATTCTCGGTCTCTACGTTGAACTCGAAGGATTTTCCCTCCTGGAAAGAGGTCAGAAACACATTAAGAGCCCGTTAAAGTTCTGGTGAGCTCAGCAGACTCCACTTGAGTCACAATTAGCAGAAATGAGGCCGTTAGCTGTTTACGGGCCTGTCAGTGTGGCGGCGTGTCAGCCCGTAAAACACAACGGAAAAACCAACTCTGTTAGAAAGAGTTCGTATTATTCTCCCCGCTGCCAGGTCCTGACGCTGCCGCCGCCGCCGCCTCACGTGTCGGGGCACACGAGTCAAACTGACGGCCGGGCATTCAGGGGTTAATTTATCTCAGAATATGAAATCGAGCCTGACGTCTCATTGGCTCGGCTCCGTCAGGCCTCTCTGGTCCTGATTGGTTCGGGTTCTCCCTGGAGGGCGAACACTGAGCTCAATACGAGTTTGTTTGTTTTTGAGAGCGATTTAGATTCAGCAGCTCTTCACGGCGGACATCTGTGACTGCGGCTCTGATTCCAGTTTCCACTGCAGTCTGTTTTTACAACTACACTGATATTAAACCATCATCAGACCCTTTATTTGTACGTTACCTTACAAAAACAGAAGTAAAAAGTGCTGAACGTGGACCAACAAACTCTAAAATCATTTATCAGGTAAATCAGGAAGAATTCACAAACATTAGGCTAGATTATGACAGATGTTGTGTTTATAAATATAAATATTACAAAGATAAAAGTTGAAAAAGTAGGTTTAGTTTCTGCCTCAACTCTTTTTTTCCCTTAAATCTGTGCGACACAAACAGAGTTTCATCAGGTTTTTACTTTATAAAGTGTTAACGTCCAACTATAAGAGACAGACACAGAAAAAACAGGAACTCTGGAGGTCATACTTTGAAGATAAAAGTGCAGCAGCAGATTCAGTTTTACTGCTGCAGACTGAATCTATCAAACACAGAAATCCTCTTTCGTACCTCCTGGTTTCCTCATTTGGACTTTCAGAACGAGAAGAAGGGAAAAACCTTCGATGGCTGCAGGTGCTCCATGTTTGAGCTTCTCATTTTTGATTTGATTTACCGGAGAGTATTAGTTTGATTTACTTAAGTAAAACAAAAATGGTTTGAAGATAAATGAAGTTTTCCTGATCACACGAATGAAGTTGAACTTTTTATAAAGCTGCTTCTCCGTTCGATAGTCGACCGTATGAGGTTCATAAGGATTAAAGTGACTGAAGTTCAGTGGTGGAGAAAAACCGCTCAGAGAACAAACTGACTAATGACCACGCTTCATCTCAGCAGCTTCTCCTCCCGCTCTGACAGAAAAACTCTGAATGATCGAACCGCCGCGTCTCCTCTGAGAGATTTATAACCCGAGCCGGTTCAGTCCAAAGAACCCGAGTCCAGCAGCAGCAGGTCTGAATGCAGAAACCAGCTGTTGGGATCTCACTGTGCTGAGTCCACATCCACAGCATCACGTCATCCATGCTGCTGCTGCTCCTGCAGAGGTGATGGAGAACAGAGAGACGCACCTGAAGAGCATTTTACGCATTTTAGGAAAAACCAAAACCTGCTCGAGAATCTCCTCCAGGGAATCTCCGGGAGGACGCCCGTCTGCTCCGTGTTTCATCTTCAGGAGATTACTGTTATAAGAGCGGTCAGAGGAGCCTCCACATCTCCATTGATCATGTTTCTACAAAGTCCTCCTCTCTCACGTCTCCTCACGATATATAACACAGAAAAAGACAAAAACTGTCATGGATAACGGCGAGAAAGAGTCCTCGATCAGACCCACATCTGGACCTGACCTCTTTCCTCTGTTTCTGTGCAGCTGATCTGAGTTGACCCGACACGGACGGGGTTCAGCATCTGGACTTTAATGGACGTCTTTGTCTAGACCTGAGCCTGTTAGTGAGCCTCCTGCATTGACCTCGACAGGAACAATTAGCTTGTAAATACCTGCAGCTCACAGCTGCTCCATCTGCACAGGCTGGACCGCTCAGGACACGAGAGGGCAACAGGAGGTCACTGAACGTTCGCACCATAAAGACTCTCTGCTCTTTCACCTTCATTTTCTACGGCTGCTCTGGATCTGTCCTCCTGTTCACACCGAGTTCAGCATCCAGAAGTGATTGGACTGAAGAAGGTCAGACCGGCAGGTTTGAACACAGACACTCAAAGACGATGACTGCACTTAGAAAAATATCACTTATCCTTCTGTGGAAGTTTGAAACTGGTGAGTTTTCCTGCTACGAATAAAAGGAAATCTGGTTCTTTCAACAGAAGTGATTTTTGGGGACTCAGAACGGACCGTCTGGGAGACAGGACTTTTTTTTTTTTAACCCGTATCCTGTCAATACAAGCGTTCACATCAGCGACGTTTTCCTGTCTCGTCGATTTTTCATAAGTTTCTCATACTGTGTGTCCACTTCCGACCAATCAGATTGCGTGTTGTTGCAACGTCAGATTCACCGGTATATCAGACATGGCCGACCGGCTGATTGTTTCCGTGTCGGAGAACAGAGTGATTTTTGATAAAAGACACAAACATTACAAAGATAACGACCTGAAGGACGACCTGTGGAGAGTCATAGCGTCAGATTTGTCATCTGACGATGGTTTGTGAGCTTTAACAGTTTGATAACCGTCTTTGTTTGAACTTTCATCTGTGCTAAGTAACTTTAGCTCGTATGCTAACCTGTTCAGATACAACATTAGGTCCCAACAAACAAACCAGGAAGTGTCCTGAGATCATTTTCAGCTGAGGACGTGTTTTTAAAGACGTGTGCAGAGAGGCGATAACTGCAGGGGTCAGAGTCAGCGTTGACAGTTTGCTCAGCCTATGATAAGAGCCACTGTTGTTATTGTGATGATCTCTCACACGCCTGTACAGAGTTTTAGCTTTAGAAGCAGCAGCTGATTCACGCACCGAGCTCGCAGCAGAGATGAGAAGTTGGTGTTAAAACTCAAAGTCTGATGAGTTCAGTTCTTTTAGCTCCACATTAAAACTATTTTAAGAGGCTAAAACTTGAACGTTCACATGGAGTCGGTGAAGGAATGAGAAAACCTGCAGTTCCTCAACCGTCCACTTGGGGCTGAGAAAGTCTCCATGTGAAAATGTCAGAAAACTGCGCTGGTCTCTTCCGCTCTTTCGTACATCCTTGTTATTTTTGTCAATGAGGGATTTTCTGTGAACCGAGGAGCGGACAGATGTTTGGAGAGCGGTCTTTGACACATCAGCCAATACACACGAATACATGATCAGGTATAAGACACTTCTTCCACAGTCAGCCTCTGTGAAACCCATCAGAGTCCTGGACGGAGGACTTTACAGGCTGAGGTCACACGGACACACTGAACGATGGAATCATTTAAAGGAGGAAAAACTCACAAACTTTGTGGTTTTCACATAAATTTGCATCGATTTCCATCTCCTGCTGCTTCGACAAATCACATTTTCACACCCACATGCTCCGGCCACCTGACATCCTGATGTCAGCCAGGTTCACTCACAAATCTGCACCTTCGGTTTTCCATCATAAAATGAAAATCCTCCTCAAATGAAGCTCTCGTTATTTCTGTTCTTAAAAACATCTGGAGAGCTGAAAATCAAACCTCATTAAAACAAGCTGTAAAATACCAACGAGGTGATTTCAAATGTTTCCAATATCATCCAACCTTTTATCATTTTCTAACAACAGTCTGCTTCTCCGCCTCCTTTTGGTTTTATTTACTCGACCCTGGCTGAGATAAACTCCAGAGTTTTGGTATGACACCTCGATTATACAAACTCTTATTGATGATTCATCCTCTGAAGAATCACGTGTAGAACTCAATTGTTTCATAAGCTCATCTGCAGTTCAATATTCCTGCACATTTATTAAAACATGGATAAAAATTAATGTTAAAATGGTTTTAAATACAACAAATATGAAAATAAAGTAAATAGTTGATTTTCTAGATGTCAAATTGAGTTTTTTGGTCTGAAAATACCAGAAAAAAATGCAAAAGATGAAAAATAAAGTTGCTTATTTTCACTCAAACAGTTTTTACTTCAGTCCAAAGTCACTTAAAAAAGTTCAGCTGGGGGAGAGTTTGCAAAAATCCGTTTCAAAGTTTCATGAATTAGTTTGTAATCGTTGCCAAAACTACATATTTCATTCACATCCCTTTGCAGACTCGTCCACAACGATGAATTAAAGTGAATCAAACATGCAAATAAAAAAATGGTCTGTCTGAGTGAGTGGAGGAGCATCTTACCTGCTCGGAGCTGCAGGAGGAGGTTTGTCTGTCAGCAGGTCCTGAAGCGTCTCGGTGTGATCGTGGATCTGGTGTTGACTGACCAGCAGCAGGAATGGACAGAGAAAGAGGAGGAAAGGAGACGGAGAGGGAAAGAGAGAGAGAGAGTGAGAGAGAGAGAGAGGAGAGGAGAGCTGTAAAATTTTCTCATACTTGAAGAATTTTTCCTCCCTCTCCTTTCTCTCTCTCTCCTCTCCTCCTCTCCTCCTCCTCCTCTCTTCTCCCTCTGATGTAATTCTATGTGCTTTACAGGTCCCTCCTGGGCGGGGGGATTCGCGATGGAAAACATCTGAATTTTTAGATGTTTTTTACTGGAGCGCGGGGGCCTGAAATCCTTAATGGGTTTTGGACAGTCTGTGTCCTCTGCTGGACCCTTCATGACGTGAGAGACGCTCCTCTCTGGTCCTCCTTCTCCTCCTCCTCCTCCTCTGTCTGATTGTTTTTGTTTGTGGCTCACGTGCTGATGCTGCTGACAGACCTGCTCTCGATCCAGGATCTGACCTCACCCTGACAGACACTTGGCCGCTGCCTTTAGTCCTGTTTTGTTCAGAGACGTGTTTGATTTACAGCTCTTCTAAATCAAGATGCAGTAGGTGCACCGCCTGGATGTGGCGGGTCGGCGGTCTGCAGGACGATGTTCCAAAGCAAAACTGTATAAATGATGGATGCTCACACGATGTTGCCGCTTAGCTGTGGTGTGGACGTTCTGCTCGGAGCCTCCAGTTTGGCAGGTTGGTCGATTTTCTGGAACAAACATCTTCAAAGGACAGGGTGGAGCTGGAGAGGTGTGAGGGGTCAGCAGACTCGGAGTTATCGAAGCTGAGCAGTTTAAACTGGACTGTGAGACAGTTTCTGTTGTTTATGAGACTTAAAAATCCAAGAGAGCTGCTGAGGAGTGGACGGCTTTCTGTCATTACAACATGACAAATGAAAGACAAGCTGAATACTAATACCATAATATCATAATACCATAGTAACCTGAAAATGAGACAGAGTTTCAGATAGAAGAGTTTAATATTTGGAGTTTGGTGATAATAATATTTGTTTCAGCTGTGAAACACTCATGACTTATAACTACAGAGTAAGGAGATGAAAAATGGACAGACCGAGGAGACTGAGACAGATTGTCACAACAATCATGAAATATTGGTCAGAAAAGTCTTTTTAAAAACGACGGTCTTTGCTGACACTCACAAATAGATCTTAACCAAATCACAATAAACAGTCTCACATAACCAACACCATTAATGCTGATTAGCATTTAAAACATTTACTCATTTTTGAAACCAGTCTCTAGTGGACGCTGGAGGAACTGCAGTTTTTCACAGCTTGTCAATCAGTTTGTTTACATGATACTCAGTAAAACTGAATTATTGCCTCACTCTGATTTAGACCGGACAACTGAAGTCCATGTAAACACCTTAGTCTACGTTCACACTGCAGGTCAATTCTGATGTTTTAACCTCATATCTGATTTTCTCATCGAAGTGTGAACAGGTCAATTCTGATTTGTTCTGATCCGACCCAGGCCTCTTTAGTATGTGGATATAAATCGCATTTGTTGTTGTAATGTGAACGGCCGCAAAAAAAGATCGGATTTAACAAAAAATCCGATCATAACCTGCAGTGTGAACGTAGCCTTAGTCCGACTATAATCAGAGTTTGAGAACTCCGATTAAGACACCCAGATAATGTGACTAGAATTCGATTTTCTCTACCATGTGACCAGCGTAGTCAGAGAATGATCGGACAATGCGTGTGTGCCACACCCCCTGAAAAGACCCATATCGCCCCCTAGTTTTGTGGAGGAGGACACGTTCACATCAATAATTTGATTTTCTCAGATGCATGTAAACGAGGACAAGGAGAGAAGTCTGATTCAGAGAAAAAGACGAATTATGAGTTTAGTCCGATTAAACTGTGCATGTAAACACACTGACTGTCAGGACTCCATGTAATAAAAGAGAAAGATTCAGACAGTTCTGGAATTTTCTCACAAATTAGATTTTTTGATAATCTCATTCTTGGAGTTCTTTTCAGATTAAAACTGGATTTTATACCTGCAGCACGACCAGAACATACCATGGATCGAGGTTAAAAAGACTATCTGAAGTTCAATCACAGCGAGTTTCCAGCCTTTTCTGCCAGGAGGAGACGATCCTCACCGAGTTAAACCAAACTGGGCACAGACCTACCTGCAGAAGGAACCCATCACTCATGTCCAGTCCTGGTAATTTATCCTCTCTTCTCACAGTCCTCTGGATGACCCCACGTGAACCGCCTGGATCCTTTGTCTCGCCTCGACTCTTCTTCAAAGCTGCTCTGCTTGACTCCTGAACTCTGCCTTTGAACGACAGACAACGATAAACTCACTTTAATACTCCGTTTAAAGAGACGGTGTAAATAGACGGCTTCTGCTACCATCTACACCGGTGAAAGTATGCATCCTTAGATATTTGATATGTTACACCGAGCAACCAAAAATCAAGACAGCTCTGAAGTTTGTTTTTGCTGTTCGGTGAATTTATTGATCCCTGAAGAAAAGGCAGTAAATCTACGACATTTGAAACTTGATTATTTGCCAAGAATCCGTATTTGCTGATAATACGCTGTAGTTTTAAACACTGAGGTATTGTGTTAAAGTTCAGTACAGGTCCTGAGTGTTTCCTCCCAGACTGCAGACTCATTAAAAACATTTAAAATGTTGATTTGATTCGACTCTTCACATGCCTTTTTAACTAAACATAATACAAGCGAGTTGAACTTAATCGATTTGAGTCTTAATTCATTTCTTTCTTGACTTTGTGTGTTTGTGTGTCATCTCTCCACATTTTGAGTTTTCTCTGCTTGGTTATTGGGTGATTTTCAAAGCTGTGAACAAAGAAGCTGAAACAGACGACCTCAGAGTTGTTATTTGTGGTCTAAAGCCAGTCGAGTTTATTAACCCTCAACTTTACAGCCTGACTCTGAACTCTGACTGACCTCTGTGGTCTCAAACTCCCAGAATAAATCACACTTATTTTACTTTGACTTTAACTCTACGTACAGACGTGCTCGTTCAGGATCGGCACAGAAAAATGAGAGTTTGTATTTCCTACAATCCAAACTGACACTCAGATTCATGTTTTTAACTTGTTGCTTGGAGTGTGAGATACGGACTCGGGGCTTTCAGCCGCACTAATCAGAGGCTGAAGGCCAATCAAGTTTACTATCAGGTTTACTGCCGGCCCTAAAGCCTGTCAGACCCCCTCCAGGGTGAAGAAAAACTCTCACTGCTCCCCTGGGCGTCTCAGCTTGCTGCTCATAACACCGAGGCTGGCACGCCACGCTTCAGACCTCAGCGTGGATGTAATAATACCGTTTACTAAGTCAGATTATTTTTAAAACCTTTAATAATCTCTTTATTTGTGTTTAAAGTTTACACAGGGACAAAGATTAGGCAGAAAATAGCCAGCTGTAAACGTTTAAGTGTTTTCAGTCTGTGTGGTATTATGTGCAACAGAAGAAGACAAAACTGAGAGTGTTTTGTTTTCCACTGCTGTCTTGATTCTTATTCATGAATTCACAGGACTCAACAGTGCAACCGTTTCACTCACATTTGCGACGAAAAATAGATGTGTGCGAACTGTAAAATGTATTTAGAAAATGTATCAGCCGGGGCAACAAATGTTTTTTTCCTGTAAATACGGCGGTGAAGTTAGTTTCAGGTTGGATATATTTTCCTGTAAATACGGCGGTGAAGTTAGTTTTAGGTTGGATATCTGACGGACATTCTCTGAGGATCTACCGGTGTCTTCTCACTCTCCATAACCGGGAATAACAACAGCAGCGCGGTTAAATCTACTCGACACCCTCACTGTCAACGTCGGTGTTGAATAAGGGACCGTCAATAAATTACCTGTTGATGTTCTCAGAAAAGGCTGTTTTCCTTCAATAGCTTCACTGTCATGTGACCAAAAGATCTAAAATTGATTTCAAATAATAGTACTAAGGTCGGACAATAAGACAAACATTATTTGATCAGTTGTTTAATGTGCCTCCAAAGTTCTTTGTGTGCTCCTTACTTTTTCAACATGTACTACTTGTGAAAAAAGTTAGTGTCAATCCCTGGAATATCTTAAATTTAGAATTATTTTCTTGTTATAAAGAAGAGAAGTCAATGGTGAAATGTGGCAGCGAAAATAACTTTAAATTTCTTGTGAGGACGTATTAAAAGTTTGAAATATCTTCACATGTGATCTGCAGCTTAAAGCTCATGTGAGGAGCTCTTAATGGACAAAGAATGTGATTTTAACTCTTCAGATTTGTTCCTTTGAAGCTCAGAGTGTCGCAGCAGCAGGAAGCAGAAAGAGGGCGTGGCAGATTTGATTGACAGGTGGGTGTGTTACAGCTGTTCGGGTCTGGATAGTTTCTAGATTAGCTGGAAGTTAGTTGGAGTCAGCTTTTCCAATATTCAGAACCCAGCTGGTGATACCACAGAGACTCCGCCCATCTTTGACAGTGTGAACGCTCACATTCGTCCACACACAGATGTTCAGTCGCTGTCGCCCACGGTTTCTCCTCTTTATCTCTTAATGATGTACATCCGCGTGGCTGGAACAGTTCTCCGATCTACCTCTGGCCTTGTGTGTCTCAGACTGCAGAGATAATCACCTTAACTACTTTCTTTAACTACCCGGCTCAAAAGCCTTTCGTTTGCCCCCTCGGACTCATCAACAGCACTTTCACGGCCTCGATGGGAGCCCTGAATGCCTCTGAAAGCAGGAACACATGCATGATGAAGCCTGGGCTAATTGCACCACGTGCGTTCTGAAGCGGGCCAAACCCAGTCTGTGGGAGCGGCGCAGCAGAGCCGGAGTTTGGCCCGAAAATAATGAGAGCATGGATCTTGTTAGGCTGGAAAAGGCCTAATTGAAGGGGACACCGGCTTCTTGATGGTTCTGTCAATAACTCTGACAGAGTTGGTGTGCGACCTGGAAACAGGTCCCACTCTGGGTCTTTTGGTTTTTTCTTTCCACTTCACACTTCTCTCTGGTTTCACTCAAACTGCAGGTTTAGTATGAACCTCTGGATTATGGCGATTTACTTCAGAGCAGATTATTATAAATGACATGAATATGTTTTGAATATAAACAGTATTTAGTTTTTTTAAATCGTCCAGGAAGAGCTAGCAAGTGTATAAAAAACAGATTTAATCTAAAACGACGAGAAATGATCACGTGTTTATTGACGTTCTTCTCTCTGTTAAGTCTGAATATAAAGAACGATATCACAAGGTACCTAATATTTTGTCCTCTGCTAAAACTACAATAGTACCACGATGCAGATGTTCTGAGAAGTTTCCAGATTAAATGCAAGAACAAACCATGATAGCCAAGTATTATTAGCGCCACCTTGAGGAGTCACAGACTGAGTCAGGTTGACAGGAACAGCTGTTTTGAAATAACCTGAGATACCAGGTTGGTGATGTTACTGAAGCAGTTTGTGGTCAAATTTAGTGTGTGTGTGTGTGTGTGTGTGTGTGTGTGTGTGTGTGTGTGTGTGTGTGTGTGTGTGTGTGTGTGTGTGTGGTTTTGGTTGGGTAAATTACGCCAAAGTGTTCGAAGGAAAAGCTGAAAATCTGCTCTGGATCTTCACATTAGGAAACCTCTCCGTTTGGCAGCAGGACTCTCTACCAGCTTTTTGGCTTGTCAGACTGTTGGAGTTCAACCAGCAACCTCTTAATACTCTCCTCCTCCCTCCAATCTCTGTGGACTGTTTCTAACTAGCAGACTAATGGCTCTCTGGAGAGGTGCACAGCCTCTTCACTGCCATGAACCATCACAGGCCTCAGGTACTAAAACTGTATCGACAGAGAATATTGGAATTATTAGGTCTGAGCGTACGGCTGAAATTCAACCTCTGTCAGATACTCCACAAAGTATCCACACAAGATTTTGGACTGGGAGAGAAATATCGTAAGTTTCTTGTTCAGCAGGAGAAGAAAAGATCCCAGAGAGGACATTTGTCGGGATTTTTACCTCATCCGTCAGCAAAACACACAATCAGGAACCTTCCAGAGGTCGAGTCTGAAGTGAGTTCAGCCTGGGTTATCTTCTGGTTTTCTGACAAACCAGATGAAACTTGGAGGTCTCAACAAGAATCACTCTTGTGTTGACGGCCAATCACACACAAATGAGACCGACATCTTCAATCCACGCTGCTCTAAGGCAAACTGACTGTGTGTGAACACAGATCAGAGCCAGGATCTCTTTTCCACGAAACTTTTTACAATAATAATGGATTTTTTTGCGTCCCTGGGCTGCCTGCTTCAGATCCTCACTCTGCTGTGCTGTGAGGTAGTTAGTGGATGAAGATCGTCATGATGTCGCTGCGCCATCTACAGGATAAGTCGGGGAACTTTTCAAATGGCCGAACATTTTAAAAGTGAAACCAAATCTTATTCTCCGCATTTCATTTCTGTAAATATCGGCGAGTTTTGGCCGATTACTAATTAGTCTCAAACGGGCTAAAATTGGCCGATTTAATCGACTTGCCGATAAATCCGTCTGGCCGTACTATGAATAGAGGCTGTTGTCTTTCTTTCAGGAGTTGCTGAGTCAATTTCTGGCCGTAGCCCTTTGCTGCATGTCTGTCCAAACTCTTCACTCCCCACATTCTCTGTCTCTCCTCAGCTGTCCTATCAGTGAAAAGGGCAACAATAACAGAGTTAAGAACAACAACCGTTATCAGACACAGAGACGCAGACAGAGCCCCAGTCTCCCTCAGCAGCAGCTCGTTTTGCTCTCTCTATCTCTCTCTATCATATATGTCGCTAACCACATGACGCCAGCAGTAAGGAGTGAGAGCTCGTGCCTGAAGGGTTGACTAGTGCACCAGCTATTGGGAATTAAAGCATCAATATCATTGAACCAAAGGGCCGGGTATGTCGTATGCATGCATGACACCGTCTCTGCAACAGAACAATCAGCTGGGTGTGGTCTGCAGGCCTCAAGTTTTACTCCAGAGATCCAGAACAACAAACTATTGAGATCCGAAGTTCTTACCACCAAAGACTGAATCAGCTGTTGAGCTGCAGCCGAACTGTGGAGGAGAAACGGAGGAAATCTCTGCTTTAAAAACATCCTGACTTTCTTTAAATGAAGGAAAGAAAAGGGAGGTTTGAAGAGGAGCTGAGCGGATCGAGGAGGTGAAGTCATCATGACAGCAGAGGAAATAGGTCATTAGGAGAGAGCAGAGGTGCTTCCACCAGCCAAGTCATTAAGAGAAAAAAGAGGATGATGGAAGAGAAGACAGAAAGAGAGGAGAGGAAAAAGGTCATTAGAGGAGGAAAGTTGAGGTTTGTGAAGACCGCCAAAGAGCTGACACGTTAACAGTCACCCGCCAAGACACGCAGAGTTCAGAGTTTGACTGAGTGTCCGACCAGCTGCTCTGAAACAGCGACATCACCTCTCCTCAACATCAGCTGTCCATCAGAGTCATCTCAGTGACCGTTAATGAATGATTACAGTGTTAGAGGACCACCGCCCACCAAACAGGAAGAGCATGATGGTTGATCAGGATTATTTGTGGTTTCTCCTGGTGCGGGATCTTGGAGGAAGACTTCTTCAGTAGGGGGTCCGTCTCTGCTGAGTGCGACTGGCTTCAGAGGAAGGGAAAGTGTCAGTCTCAGTGATCTCAGTGGGTTTCACTTCTTCACCAGCGCTCATATAAGAAGCCGCTCTGTGGTCCGCGGTCGAGTATGAGGTTTCATTTCTCGATTTCCTGCGTGCTGAGCAGTCGTCGCTCTGAAACTAACCAGCAGCAGCGGTTGGATGACTCACAGCCTCTCCTCATTTTGACCACAGAACCACATCTGAAGGTTGGAGGAGACGCTGCAGAGCGAGTGTTTGTGTGAAGTGACAGATTCAGAGATATTTAGAGTTCAGGTTTCAGTGTGTGGAGGGAGTTTAGTGACTCATTAACATGTTTGTTTACTGTTAGACACAGACGATCACCAGCCTTCAACTCTTACACACCGCAGTGAACAGTTTCCTGCTTAAGAATTTCCTCTGCACAAATTTATGAGCTCTGAAAGTTAAAGGTATTGAGCAGAAGGAGGCTTTGTAGTTTGTGCCATAAAGTTCTTCTCTCTGCACTTGAATATGTTTATTATTTTACTCCAGACTCAGGTGCAGTTTTTACAAAAACTACAAGGGCATCAGATAAAGATTCTTCATGTTGTTTTACATCCATCGCTAACTCGTTCACACTCGGCTCTGTCCCTGATTTATTTTTAATAAATGTAGCGTAGGACCACAATTTAACTAAGGACTGTAAAGTACAGTGGGGCGCTAGCCACCGCTCCCTGGCGTCCCTTACTATGGACAAAGATGCTGTGGACTCTCACTAAATAACAGGGGAGGGACAAGGATATAAAGGGAACAACATAAACATTTATTACACCACAAACAAAATTATGCACAATTGACTCACTAAAACTTACACTAAAATATGTCCTGTCTAACTATACTAAGTCCTACTTAATACTAAACCTAATGGTACCAATGTTGCCCGGGGTTGGAGCTCAGAGGAGGACGTGAGGATTCTGATGCAGCCAGGATGGAGGTCTGTGGAGAGGTCCCGATGTTGAGGGATGGTGTGATCAGATGTCCACGGGAGATGAATGGGCGCTGTTCTCGGGTGAAGAGGGGAGGGGGTGAAGATGTGGTCCAGAGGAGGAGGGGGTAAACTAAAGTCTTTCAACTGGGGCCAGTTAACGTTTGCTGAAGGTTTGATACGAAGGACAATGAAGCGGCTAGCGAGACCTAGCTAGCCGCTGTCGGGAAACGAGAGCTAACATTAATCGGCGAACTAACTTCAGTTCAAAGTCCGTTTGTTCCTCTTGAGGTATAATCTTCACTGGTCTAAAGACAACTTGTTGTGCGGGTTATTAATCACCCAAAACTTCACCGAAGTAATGAATGAATCTGTTGAATACACGAAGCTGCTCCGATCGTCTCCTCTTCTCAAACTTTCTCCTCTCACTCTCCCAGCTGACACACACACTCGCACCAAATCACACGCGCACTGATACAAACATATCAGCCTAATTACAGCAACACTGAAAGGACGTATATCTCCGCTGTATGAATGACATCGGGCACAACAACAACAATAACAACTGTACATCGCTGCAGTAACAATAATAAACAGATATATCAAAATAACAAACCAGAAGTAAAGAAGAAAGAGGGCTTAACTGGGCAGGGAGCAGTGGGAAGCTTATGTTACTGCTTAGAGGGGTTCTTAAAGTAAAACTATAAAACTAATCTTCTAGCCACTTCTGAGTCTTCAATACAGCCGCCCCCTAATTCGCTATGCGTAATTAGCTATCACTCAAATCAGAAGGCTCAGAGTTAAATCAAATACGGTAAGTTAAACTAGAATAGGTTGACTATCTAGCAGGATGAAGTTACGGGGGCGAGATGGGGGGTGGGTCATCTGTATTGGCGTCAGGGAAAGCAGGAAGCTCTATGAGTCTCATGACCGGCCTGGTGTAGGTCCGTCCCTGGACAGTAACATCTGCTGCTCTAACTTTCCCATCAGATCCGACGATGACTCTGCTCACTCGCCCTACAGGCCAGATAGCTCTTGGTAGAGACTGATCAACGATCATCACGACTGTGCCTTCGGTCAGATTGTCCTTATCTCTCACCCATTTTTGTCGGGCTTGGAGGGAGGGGAGATAGTATAGGAGGAAATGGGACCAGAACTGATCAGCTAAAACCTGACTGTGTCTCCACATCCTTCTTCCTCTCATCTCGATGGTACACGGTCTGGGGGAGAGCAGGGTCCAGCCGCCCCATAAGGAGGTAGTTTGGAGTCACAGGGTCCACATCAGCGACGTCCGTGGATACGTACCCGAGAGGTTTGGAATTCAACACTCCCTCTATCTCAGTCAAAACAGTCGCCAAGACTTCATCAGTAATGGACTGTGCTCCCAACACGGTGTACAAGGCGGTCTTAATAGACCTCACTTCTCTCTCCCATGTGCCCCCAAAGTGAGGTGCATTTGGGGGGTTGAACTGGAAGTGGACTTGAGCTGGAGCTAAACGGGACTTCAGTTCTTCTGACATGGCCTCAAAGCTCTCACGTAGCTCAGACTCTCCTCCCTTGAAATTGGTCCCCTGGTCTGACAACAGCACGGCAGGGTTCCCTCTCCTAGCTTGAAATCTCCTGAAGGACATTAAGAAGGAATCTGTAGTCATAGACTGTAGCAACTCAATGTGTACGGCTCTTGTGGTCATGCATTTGTACACGATTCCCCAGCGCTTCTCAGTCCCCCTCCCTCTCTTGACTAAGAATGGACCAAAACAGTCTACTCCAGTTGTGTGGAATGCCCTCTCTCCTATCCTCAATCTTGAAGGTGGCAAATCGGCCATCTTGGGTATGGCGGGCTGGGCTCTCCATTTCTGGCAGGCGGTGCAAAATCGCTGGAATCGACGTACGGCTTCTCTTCCCTGCAGTATCCAGTACCGTCGTCGTATCTCGGCGAAAACTCTCTCTGCCCCTGCATGGCACACTGCTTGGTCGTACTTCTGAATGATTAACTCTGTCACTTGGTGTTTGGTTCCCAACACAATGGGATGTTTAATGTCTTCTGATAGGTTCATGGCACGTCGTAACCGACCTCCCACTCGGATCAGACCTTCAGAATCAAGTTCCGGGGCTAATCTCAAGAGTCTGCTATCTGATGGGACGGGCTTCCCAGCGGTCAAGCACTCCAGGTCCTCAGGGAAGGAATCTCGCTGGGCTCTCTTCAGGACTAATAGTTCTGCTTCCACATAATCTGCTGCACTTAGGTCTGTAGTGGCCGGGAGGTCTGGGTGGTGCCAAAGAAAAGTCGCCCTCTGCAGATGCTCGAGTGTAGGACTGTCATCAAGGCAGGGGCCATCTGCAGGTGGGACCTGACATAATCCACAAAACGGTGATCTCTTCAACTCTGCCTCGTCTGGGTTTCTCAGCGATGGATGGTGGTAATGGCCAGTCTTCCTTGGGCCGCCGAAGAAAGCCTGGTCCGCAACTGTAAGGGTTCGCTTGAGACAGGGTGGCGAGGGTAGCACCTCTAGTGATTATATCCGCCGGGTTACTTCCTGTGTCAACATATCTCCAACACTCCACTCCAACTAGGTCTTGGATCTCCGAAACCCTTGTTCCGACGAACACTTTATAGCGGCAGGATTCGGATTGAAGCCAGGAAATCACAGTCATGGAGTCGGACCACAGGATGGTCTCCTGCAGCGGTAGGGTGAGCTCGTCCTTTACCATCTTAGCGAGTTGTGCGCCGACTAGGGCCGCACAGAGCTCCAGGCGTGGGATGGACTGCTGCTTACGAGGGGCTACCCGAGAGCGGGCTAGGACGAAGGCTATGTGGACGTCACCAGCGGTGTCGATTGCTCTGAGATAGACCACGGATCCGTAAACAGTCTCGGAGGCGTCACTAAAGACATGCAAGTCTATCTTACTCGTTCTCAGGTCGACGGTCGGAGGGAAGTAGCTGCGTGAAAGAGTAACTTCACCGAGGAGAGAAAGTTCTTCTTCCCACTCGCTCCACTTGGCAGCGAGGTGATCAGGGATAGGGTCATCCCAGCCCAGGTCCTTTGCCCACAACTCTCTCACCAGCACCTTGGCTCTAGTCGTATATGGGAGGATATAACCGAGTGGATCGTATTGACTTGCAAGAGTACTATAAATGCTTCTTCTGGTGATGCGCTCCTTCGTAGGTGGGGTGTGACGGTAGTGCAGGGTGTCTGTTTGGAAGTGCCATACGAGACCCAAGGTCATCTCCTGAGCCTCTCCGGGGCTCTGGGCCATCCAGGTCTCGCTGCTCTTGGCTTTGGCTTCAGGGGGAAGCTGACTGAGCACCCCAGGATGGCTACTTGCCCACTGACGCAGGTCGAATCCTCCCTTCGCTAGCAAGGTCCTCAGCTTCATAAGGATGGTTTCGGCCTCATGCTCAGTGGGGACACTCTGTAGACAGTTGTCTACATAAAAACAGCGTTCAATACTGTGGCGGATGTCTTCTCCTGCCTCTGGGTCGTCTGTGACATGCTTCTGCAGTGCGAAGATCGCACAGCAGGGGCTGCAGGTAGTACCAAATGGTAGTACTTCCCATTGATAGATAGAAGGGTGTTCGTCACTTGGGTCATCCCTCCACAGGAACCTCAGTAAGGGTTTATCCTCTTCCAGAAGGTGGATCTGGTGGAACATTCCCTTAATGTCCCCACTGATTGCCACTCTGTCCTGCCGGAAGCGCACAAGGACTCCTAGGAGTGATGGCCCAAGGGTGGGGCCGGGAAGGAGGTACCGATTTAGACACTGTTTGCCGACCTGGAAACTGCAATTAAAGACTACTCTGTCTTTGCCATTGTGTCGGACCTTGTGGTGCGGTACGTACCAACTCTCTCTTGACTTTCCCGCTTCAAAGTTGTCTATCTTCTTTACATGACCGCTTACTATTAACTTGCCAATCTCAGCTCGGTAAACTGCTGCTTGCTGCGGGTCCTTGGCCAGCCGTCTCTCCGTGTTCCTCAGGTAGTTGCTGACTACTTCCTTGGATAAGTGCAAAGTCGGCATGTTTTCTCTCCTCAATAGTGGAGTGGCATACCTCTGTACTCCCTTGACGTCTATCCTCTTGGTCTTCTGCTCAAGCAGTGTCACGGCGTACTTATCCTCCTTGGAGCGCACCATCTGTTTCTCATTACAGAAGGGAAGAACGTCCAGTTGCCACAGGCGCTCGACGTGGTTCAGCAGAGTGGCGTCTGCAGAGGTGACTTTGCTGTACAGGCAGCAGGTTGGTGCTATTCTATTGCGGGGAGAGTTGAATGGACCTTGGAGAGTCCAACCCAATCTTGTCTTAACGGCTGCTGGACACCCTCGGGGCCCAAGATATACTGCACTGACAGGGACGATAAGGTTGGTGTGATCAGAGCCGATGAGGAGGGTTGGGTGGACTTGATCAATTAGTGGTACCGGTAGGCGTCGCAGGTGCTCAAACCTCTCTTTGAGTTGCTCTATAGGATAATCGTACTGAGACAGACCAATCTGTTGGCTAGTGAAGACGTCGGTCACTGCATACTGTTTGTTTGGCTGGTCAGCAGGGGATATGGTGAAAGTGACTCTCTCACCCTTTATGGTCTTTAGATCTCGACGGATAGTGCGGAGGTTCAACTTCTCCTCCCGTCCCTTTATTCCCAGTTCCTCTGCAGCAGATGCAAGTAAGAGTGTTCTCTCAGAGCCGTCGTCAAGGACAGCGTGGGTGTCCAGTACTCTATCCTTGTAGCGTAGGAGGACTCTTACTATCTTCAACATCACTCTGGAGCTTCCGCTCTTTGCTGGGTCGATGTAGTGTACCTCGGCTGTTGACTCAGTAGGCGTTTCTCTGCGATTAACATCGTGCAGGATGGTCAGGTGGGTAGCTTGACATTGCCTACACCTCTTCTTAAGGTTGCACTCTGACGCTTTGTGTTGGCGGGCACACCTCCAGCATCGCCGATTGACTTTGATCCACTCTGTGGTCTGCTCTTTGTTCATCTTGGTGAAGTCTTCACAGGCATGTAGCCAGTGCTCTTTATCACAGAAGGGGCAGTGAGGTTTCACCTTGCTCTTGTTCGGAGTGGAAGGTTCTTTCTTATGGGCTGACTGGGTCGGTTTCGGTTTGAAATCTTCTGTCTGAAGCATCACAGTAGTTGGTTTCCCATGACCTCTGCTCTTCTTTCCTACATCTCCTGGGGTTGGGCCGCCCCGTAGGGAGGGGTCCAATCTGAGGCTCCGAACTTCCATCCGTAAGAATGTGGAGAGGTCCATCAGGGACAACTCGTGCTGAGGTGCGTGGAGGTAGTTTCGTTGACGCCTAAATCTCTCCTGTCTGAACTTGGGAAGTTTGTCGAGGATGCGCTCTACATTGGAGCTGGCGTGGAGTTCATGGTTTCCTTTCTCCTGCTGGGACTGGAGCATGCCTACTAGAGATTGTACTCGTACAGACAGGTCGTCAAGGGTCCGGTCATCTTTGACTGGAGGAAGTTTCTCTATGTCCCTCATCTCTTGGAGGACATAGTCCCATGTTCGCCCGTAGCGGTCATCAAGATCTGCTAATGCATCGGAGTAAGGGGTAGTGGAGTGTGCATGTGCTAATACAATATTATGGGCCCGAGGAACCTTGACATGTTTCAGCAGGAGGGCATATTTATAACGCTCATCTTGGGATGGAGAGAGCAGGGTTCCCAAGCACATGCGTAGCTCTGTATACTGGGACCTGTCCTCTTTAGTGAAATCAGGAAAGGTCGGCTCTTCTACTCCGTAGATGGCTGCTGGTCGAGAGGCGAACTGGACAGGAGAACTAGGATATTGATTAATCAATGGTGAGAACGGCTGACCTTGGTTAGAGGGCCCGTGGTTCTGCAAACTAGGTTGGGGTTGTGAGCTAGCTGCTGGAGGAGGGGTCACTGTGCCGTGTCCATCTAGGGGGGGAGGCGGTTGGCTCAACTGTGCAGGTATGCTGTAAATAGGTTTTCGGTCTCCTTGGTAGGCAGAGGAGATATGGGGAGCTGCGAACTTTGCGTGATCTCGCATTTCATCGTCTAGTGCTTGCAGCTTGTTGGATAGCTGTATAGCTACCTCTATGGGTTCTGCCTTAGTGCCATATACAGCTTGGCTCAGACGAGCTGGGGAGTGTTGTCTCGACTCTCTGCGTGAGGACTGCCTGGAAGATCGGGCGGAGGGGCGTGCGGATTGACTCTGATAGGCCTCGGTAAGTAACTGGATAGTCTGTCTAGCAGCTTCATCGTTCTGTTTAGCTAGCGCTACCAGAGCCTGGGTGTGTGCACTCTCTCTCTCAGCTTGTCGGCGTTCCCTCTCAGCTTGCAACTCAGCCTGTTGTCTAGCTAACGCTGCTATGGTTTCAGCTTGCTGCCTGGCTAGCACCACCTGTTGCTCTGCTTGTAAGCGTTCCCTCTCCATCTGCATCTTAGCCTGCAGTTGTTCCCTTTGTATAGCCGCTTCCTCTAGACGGCGTGTAGCCTCCTCTGTTGTCGCCATCTGCAGTTTAAATAGCTCTAATAGTTCTTTGTTGTTAGTTTTCCCTGGTGTAGAATAACGCACTGAGTCAGGGCTTCCTGGCGGGGTAGGTGTTCTGGGTCTGAGGAGCTCCTTATCATTCATGTCAAACATGTTCATTGGATCAGCCTTGTATAGCTCATTAGCTCGTAAAGAGGGACTGACACCTATCTTGTGTATATTATCCATGCTACGGTTAATAGGTAGATCGAACATGCGGGGCCTGGTCTGAATAAGGCTTCTGGTACTACCTCCATGTGACTGTTCAAAGTTGTGGCTAGGGGGCAAATCAACTTCATAAGCATCTAAATATCTGGGACGTTGACGGATACGTCTGGGGCATTCGGGTGGAGTCCTATCTCCTGCTGATAGTCCACTACTAGCCATGGGGGCAATGCTAACTCATCCGGCTCGAAGGACCAAAAATTGTAGCGTAGGACCACAATTTAACTAAGGACTGTAAAGTACAGTGGGGCGCTAGCCACCGCTCCCTGGCGTCCCTTACTATGGACAAAGATGCTGTGGACTCTCACTAAATAACAGGGGAGGGACAAGGATATAAAGGGAACAACATAAACATTTATTACACCACAAACAAAATTATGCACAATTGACTCACTAAAACTTACACTAAAATATGTCCTGTCTAACTATACTAAGTCCTACTTAATACTAAACCTAATGGTACCAATGTTGCCCGGGGTTGGAGCTCAGAGGAGGACGTGAGGATTCTGATGCAGCCAGGATGGAGGTCTGTGGAGAGGTCCCGATGTTGAGGGATGGTGTGATCAGATGTCCACGGGAGATGAATGGGCGCTGTTCTCGGGTGAAGAGGGGAGGGGGTGAAGATGTGGTCCAGAGGAGGAGGGGGTAAACTAAAGTCTTTCAACTGGGGCCAGTTAACGTTTGCTGAAGGTTTGATACGAAGGACAATGAAGCGGCTAGCGAGACCTAGCTAGCCGCTGTCGGGAAACGAGAGCTAACATTAATCGGCGAACTAACTTCAGTTCAAAGTCCGTTTGTTCCTCTTGAGGTATAATCTTCACTGGTCTAAAGACAACTTGTTGTGCGGGTTATTAATCACCCAAAACTTCACCGAAGTAATGAATGAATCTGTTGAATACACGAAGCTGCTCCGATCGTCTCCTCTTCTCAAACTTTCTCCTCTCACTCTCCCAGCTGACACACACACTCGCACCAAATCACACGCGCACTGATACAAACATATCAGCCTAATTACAGCAACACTGAAAGGACGTATATCTCCGCTGTATGAATGACATCGGGCACAACAACAACAATAACAACTGTACATCGCTGCAGTAACAATAATAAACAGATATATCAAAATAACAAACCAGAAGTAAAGAAGAAAGAGGGCTTAACTGGGCAGGGAGCAGTGGGAAGCTTATGTTACTGCTTAGAGGGGTTCTTAAAGTAAAACTATAAAACTAATCTTCTAGCCACTTCTGAGTCTTCAATACAATAAACATTCGCATCATTCGATTTTGTCTTAAATTTGAAGTTCTGCTCCAGTGAATAAAGTTTTATTCTGGATTCCTCTTTTAATTCGATGATGTGTTTCTTTCTACCTGCAAAACACAATCCTGAAGGAGTGAGCCCAGACCCAGATGCTTGTCCACTTCACAGGGTTTATATTCTGCACAACCAGCTAACTATCTATAGACGATGCGGCCGCGCGTACATACCTGCGATGATGTTGCACAGAAACCTGCCTTTTATGGTGTTATTTATCCAGCTACTGACCAAATATTCAAACACGTTGACATGAACTGTTGGTCTTCAGATGATTCTTTTATTTTAAAATGATTTATTCATACAGCTAAAAAGTAGGGCCTGACCAATAAGGATTTTGTGGGGCCGATGCAGATACTGATTATTTGGGGGGAAAAAATCTGTTTACCAATTAATCTGACCATTTTTAAAAATTTTTATGAAGTTATAAGAAATATATATATACTGTAAATATCTACAGTATACTACATACTGTAGATATACTGAAGGCTACTGCTCTTCAGCCGACAGGAAGACCAACTGATCAAACTCGGACCAGAAAAGCGTTTTCAACCTCCCGGCTCGCTGATAAATCGGTCGGGCGCTACTAGAAAGTTGTCTCTCAGTTGAAGCGGTTGGTTGTGCTTCAGTATGACGGTAAATTAAAGATTTAACAAACTTCAAAATGAAGATTTTCATCCTCGGTGAAGTGAAAACATGAACCTCTTTTTGTTGGTGTTTTTAACAGATGCAGAAAAAATTACAGCAGCATCTCTATAAGCTCCTCTTCTAGAAATAACAGACTGTTGCTATAGAGTATGGACCAATCAGAATCTTCACAGCTGTATAAAAGGGAACGACTGCCACACTTTCCATGTACAAATACAATCATCAGTGCAGACTTTTCCACAGTAAGTGGACGCTCCATGAATCCAACACTGTCAAACGTTCTCTCGGTGAGCACAGCTGAAGTCTGGCCCTAATGCAGCTACACAGTAAATGCCATCAGACACATAAAAGTCGTGTTTTTACCGTGCACAAACGTCCAGTCATGTCTCTGCACCTGCAGATGTATGCTGGGGTCCTTGTTGTGTTTGTAGTACTGAGTCTGCTGTGAAATATGACCCACCGTCCAGACTGAGAATCTATTAGAGACGAGGGGATCCAGCTCGCTCCCCGTTCTACGCACAACTCCAACAGAGAGTGACTGCAGCATTACCTCAGGAGGGATCAGGTTTTCATTAGTGTGTAGCTCATGTACAACAGGACCGCCAGGACATGTGCATCTCGATGCCTGCTTCTCCTCCGCTGCACAAAAAGACACGCAAAGGGACAATCAGCACACAGAATCACATATAAGTCATGTGTTTGACCTGCCAAGGCTCTTACCTAATGCAGAATTACACAGCTGATTGACAGTGAACTCGGCCCCGCTCGCTGACTTTAAAGGGGCACAGGACAGTTTTTAATGAATCAGCCTCAACATCTGCAGCCGCAAAGACACAAATCCTGCTCTCATCAGGTGATGGAGCAGTTTTCAGCCGCCGAGGTCAGATATGAATCATGTTACAAACACGCACAGTGTGTCGAGTTAAAAATGCTGTTAAAGGTCGCCAAGTGTGACCTCAGCATAGTGACACGGTGATACACAAACATCAGCTAAAAACACAGTTAGTGTTTATTTTTGGTTTTGATTAAAACTTGTTGCTGTATTTTGGACTGAGGTCTAAAGTGAGTGTGTCATCGGCACCAGGAAGCAATTTTACAACAATTACAATGACCCCCCCCCCACACACACCAAAAAACATTCAATCTGTCATCGGGTTCGCAGTTAAATCCCTCATTATAAAAACCTTGATGTGCTTTTGTCTCGCTGTGAACATTGTCGACCTGATCTTCACCTTCTCAGGTGTTAACGGTGACAAACGTCACTTCTGGAAAGAATCTGCTCCGTGAAACGGGTCACCGCTGTCCGCCATAAAACTGTCAGTGAGACGACGACGACAGAGAGGAATCCTGTGTCGACTTTATGAGACATGTGCTGTAACACTTTAAACATCTGTCTAAATAAACACCGACAACAACAGGCCACTGAAAACACACACACACACACACACACACACACACACACACACACACACACACACACACACACACACATGTATGAGGGCTGGACAGTTACAATACTGAGGTATTGTTCACTGATTTACACACAAATAAACAGCTGTAACTCTGAACCTCTTATTGTGACTTTAAAGTAAATATGGCATCTAAAAAAAAACACTTTTTTTTAATCTGCTGTAGGCCGTCACATTTAAAGAAGGCAAAATAAAAATACACATCAACTCATGTAGAGACTTAGTATAATACATCTGAAGGTGCAGATTAAATTCAGGGTCTGAAATGTTAAATATTGAGTTCACGCTGTTTTATTTTTGAAACAAAAAGCCAATCACAGCTTTGGTTCAGTTTTTTCTTCTTTAAAAAGCTGATTTATAAATAGGATTGTAATCTTTATAACATTTGTGGAGTTCACCAACTGTGTTGGCTGCAGGGAGAAACTCTGAAAAGGTCTGCTTGCCCCGGTCTGAAGTCTGTCAGCAGCTGTATTAGTCTATGCAGAGGTGAAATGGTGCCTTTCTCAACAATACAACGCCTCACAACCCTCGCCTCGTTGGCCTGTGACCGCATGCTTCGCACAGAGCGTGGTAAAGCCGACACGTTTTACAGCCGTGACAGAAAGTTTAACAAGAACGTTCAAATTTGCATGTAGAGGTGTGATGTCATTCTGTTGACTGATAATGTTGTTTTTTTCCACTAGAGGGACGATTGTAAAGAGAATATATGAAAACCAAATCTGATCGAGGTCACAGTATTTATTGTTGAAGTCTGAAGTGTTTTTGAAATTAACTTTTGAGACGATCAGCCAAACGGTGGGTTGATCACTAAATTATACCACCTTAAAAAATGTGTTTCTCGGTCATCATTTGTTTCCTTCTCTGTACTCTGGTTTTCTCTCTCAGGACGATTTACCTCTGGGTTTCACAAACACACTCGGATTCTCCCCACCAGTGCACGCTCTTACGTGCATGACTCTAATGCAGGCCAACATCCACATCATGGTATGAGGGGGCATATGTCGGCCACACAGAGAGACCGCCTGACCGCTGACTCGGTTTCATCACAGTTTCCACTCAAACACTCCAGATTCAGCCATGACTGGATGGTGAAGTGAACGGTATCCTCAGCTCGGTCCTGCAGCAGCCAGATGCAGAGGTATAACACACACACACACACACACACACACACTCTCACAGAGTACATATGGATTCTTATAAAACCATTCAGAGCTGTGAAGAAATTCTCTCCACCAATCAGCCTCCTGCCAGCCTGGGCAGATGGAGACACAGGAGTCTTTAAACGCACAGCGGCGTTGGACTGATAGGTTTATAGACCCCGTCTTTGACAAAAAAAAAGAGCAGTATGGATCAGTTTAGATCAGCGTGTATTTCTTCATCACCCTAGATCAGCCTTTAAAAAGAGGTCAGGTGGACAGGTATGACCTCCATCAGAGCACACGTCAAACAGCCCAGTGCAGCTGATCACCTCAGAAACTGACCGACTGTCCTGAATATGTCTTGATTATCATAACTCTGTTTTTATTTTGACAGTGATTTTATTCACAGTACAACATTATAGATCTGTTACACTGTTAAACCTCGTTACACACACAGGATATAATCATTAACTGCGCCGCCTCCTCTATAAACAGGACAAAGTGATTCTCTTCCTCAGGACAGCGGGAATCATCCTGACTTATTCAAACTCAGGATGTTTCAGCTACGTAGTTTCAAATCAATCAATCAAATTTTATTTATAGAGCGCCAATTCACAGCAGTCGTCATCCCAAGATGCTTTCAAAGAACAAGAGCAGGTCTGGACCACGCTCTTTGTTCGATGAATTATCAAGAACCAACCTAAGATGGGATTTGGCCCGTCTCATCGAACATGAGAGACATTGGCGAGGAAAAAGTTCCTTATAACAGGGAAGAGGGAAGGAGAGAGAGAATGAGATGGAGTAGAGAACAAGGGTGAGGGTGAGAGAGAGAGAGAGAGAAAGAGAGAGACAGGGGACAGCAGCAACATTAAAACAACAACAACAACAGCTCATATAATGATGAAACAAACTGAATTCAGTTTCACCGTCCAGGTTTAACTAAAGTTAACAAACACAGCCGAACACACGTCTTTCTCACAGACAGTATAATCACAAACTAAAGGTGTTTGTGTGGTACCGGGATTATCTGTTCATAAATCACTGAACGTCATCACAACAAACCATGTTTACACTTCTGTTTATTTCTTCTTCTGTGGTGGCATCGAGCCCGCCACTGTGCAAATCCTGCCCAGTAAAACAACAGTTTTTTTTCCTGATATGAACGAAAATCGTTGCACATCCTTATTCTTGTCAACAGATTTCTGCACGCAATCACAGCCCATAATCTGTGCAACAGACCGGCCTGACCTTGTGTCAGCAGAGACTATCAGAGGTCACGATCAAGGTGTTCTTTAGGACTTCTGTACTGGATTAACTGTTTCAGGACTGCTGCACCTGGACCTGGACTCAAACTGTTTTCAGTGGATCCGACTTGGACTTCAGACTCCATTCAGAACCTTTATGAAAGACAGTCAGGTTGTTATTGTGTCCTTTTGTTTTGGTAGAAACCTGGTACGTAAGCGAACTCCAAACTCTGGTTTGTCCATCTGACTGAGACTGGAAGAACATCAAGAAACATCACAGCTATCAACCCTCAGGGGGAGATGGAGGCAAAAAGGAGGATCTGAGGCCACATTCACAAAACAGACAAAAAAATTCAGCCTGCCTTTTTCTCTTTTTTCTTCTTCTTCCACCTCTTCATCATTCCTTCACCATATGGGGCTCTTCTCCTCGGATCTCGTAAAAGGCTGAAGGATAGAAACCTGGAGCAGCCAGAGGCGGAAGACGTGACCCCTGGAAGAAAAAAGAACAGAGAGTGAGAGCGGGAATGAAAACATCGTGAGAGAGAGAAGAGTTTTATTCATTCAGGTTAGACATTTGTTCACATGTGGAGAGTTTTCAGAGTTTTGAGTCTCAGAGCTTCATGAGAGTCAGAGAGCTCAAATCTCAGATAAGTCAGGTCTGGTGAAGATGTAACGCCAGAGTTTGGGGCAGAACTTCAGCCTCCGGCCAAACTTCGGGGTGGAAATCCCAGACTTTTATGATCCTCCCTGTCTGCTGTTGGACTTATAAACATGAAGAGCTGAAGTTTGGGGATCTGCAGAATTGATTTATCGACTAAAACAAAAACTTTTTTGGCTTTAAAGACTCTGGTCTTACTGATTTTTCATTAGCTGAACAGCAACTCAGAGGGTCTCAGTTCTGAATCTGGACATTAATGTTTCAACACGGTGATTTCAGTCAAAATAAACATTTTTAAACTAAATGATCATCAGTGTGTAAAACTGTTGGCAAAAGAAGTTCTGAGATGAAGTTTTGGGGATAAGAAGATATCGTAAAGTGATTTAACAGTTTTAAGATACCATGAGAGGTGGATCAGTACCTCTCTTCACAGATGGTACAAATACGTGAGACTATAGAGGGCGCTATCTGCTTTTGACTTCTGTTCATCTGTCTCTGAAAAATGAGGCTGTTAAAAGACAAAATAAAAAAAAACATAAATATATGTTTCATGAGGAAAAGTGTCTAAAACTCAACACGGAGCAGGTTTCAAACACCATAATAGGAAGAGCTAAAATACACATTTATGAACCGAACATTATGGAAACGATATTATTGTGAAATATACAAAAACTAACCAACTCTGCAGACAGTTATCTTTACTGTAACTTTAAGTTTGTTTGTTTGGTCTGAGGTTAAAGGTCGTTTATAAAACGTTGTTTTGTCGTGTTTCCTAGTTGTTGTTCCTGAACATGTCAGCCCTTTAACTATCAGAGATTTCCCCGTCTATCTGTCTGTCATGGAAATCTTTCACTCGCTCCGTCAAAGGTTAAGTGTTTCTCACTGAAGTGGGGGGTGGGTGGGGGGGCTGCCTTTGTTTTGGCCGAGTGTGGCTGTGGGAAAACACGTCCTGTGGGCTGAAAAGGGAATTCCTGGGAAGTTACTCATATGTCACCGAAACACAAATTGTTGTTGGTGTTAAGATGTTTCCACCCCGACGTCATTTTCAGCATTTTTGATCGTTTGCAGAAACACAGCAGCCAAGAAGATGACTGCTGTATCTGTCCGATCTGATCAAACTTGAAATAAAAATCTCAGAGATTTCGGTGAACAGTGAAGCTTTTATCACAAACAAAAAAAGAGCTTTTGTTTTTGCATGATTCAGATTTCTACTTTAAATGTGTTACAGTTCTTCTAAAATGACATAAATGGCAGTTTTGTGTGTGTATTATTGCTCTGAAGTTTTCCAACTGACAAAGCAGCTCAGACTTTCCTCCCCGTGCCAAGAAGCTAAAATGAGCCTTTGTAACAGCTGAGAGGAGGAAGAGGATTTACTGTGAAATTCAAATTATTCAATGACGAACGCTGAAGGAGAATCTGGATTATGCCGAGTCACACGCTGTGGGAGTAAGGAGAAGAGGTCGAATAATTATCAGAGCGGTCATCAAACTGACAGAGACGTTATAATATCAAGTTATAGTGAGAAAAACAAACTCCAGACTTCTTCGACAGTCAGCAGGATCCTCTTGTGTTAAAATACGAAGCAAAAGTCTAAAAACTGCAGTTTCCACTCGGGCCTGACCGATGTGGATTATTAGGGGGGAAAAAAATCTGATTACCGATTAGTTTTCACCGATTACCGATTGGTCTCAAACGGGCTAAAATTGTCCAATTTAATCGGGCCCTCAGTCGGACCCTAGTTTCCACTACAGGCTGCCTCCAAAGAATCGCCATTAATGTCCATGTCCAGCAAAACTAAACCTGTTTACCGCCTGGTATAAAAATCTGTTTACGTCTGAACACTTTGATTCTTCATATATTTTGTGGGAGTCACACCCCTAATTATGCAAAATGTTAAGTCTCAATACAAAAGGTGAGTTGTGTATAAAAATCTACATTCTTTTAATCTTCACTAAACCCTAAATGAGTTAATTTTAGAGAGTAGAGTTCTCCAAACTCTAACTGTGGAGGTAGCTCACCAGAATATAGTTATGAATTACAGGCCGTATGTGAAGGTAATGACGAAAAGCTTCTATCAAACTAACTTTGTAGGAAATTATGTAAAATTATTCCGACACTCACTTCTAATCAATACTGACAGGAAGAAAAAAAAGGTCCAAAAAGGATCAAAGTCCCCTCTGTCCTGTGACTGAAGGAGTCTGGACTTCCTAAATGGTTCCAGTCTGAGATCCAAACCTGAAACACAGTCTGTCATCCGAGGCCGCGCTTGTTAAAGACACAACAGAGCTTCTGTTTCTACGGGCCAACAGGAGCCGATCCAGATCAACAGCTCCTCCACTCACATCTGTAATGTCCGTTTATTTGATCATCGGGGGATTTGGAAACTAAATATTTGAAGGTAAGGAAGCTGCAGAGAGAAAAAGAAACACTGATGTCATGCAGGTCCAGCAGGCTGCTCTCCAAAACCATCATCATCATCATCATCAGCAGCATCTTCATCATCAGTCCTGCTGCAGAAATCCTCGCCTACACACTCCGAGTCAGGGACCTGAATCTCTCTGTTGTGAGTGAGCGATCCTCTTTTCATCCCTGCAGGAAAACTCCCTCTCCAGTTTCTCACAGCGCACTCCGAGACCGCGGGTCAAACACTGGGGGTGCGCTTAATGGTCACATTTGCACAAACACGACTTCAGGGTTTGACTGTTCTGCAGCCAAACCTCACATCATGAACACGTTCACGCGTGGTTTAGTTTCAGACTAAGAAATCAGTGAGGTTTGCTTAAAGGAATAGTTCGACAATTTCAGAAATACACTTTTATACGATCTCTGGGACAATTATCGGGATCACACTGATGTTCAGAGTCCTGGCACCGTGACAACAAGAGTCTTTTACATCAGAGACACCTTCTTCATTTTTGTGTCAAACAGACCTGATCGGATCCAAGCTCACAAACATCTTCAGTCAACAAACACAACAAGCTTCTGTGCGTGTTTTAACCACGAGGAGGGAAAGGGGAAATAGTTTAAAGACAAATATTGACTCTTGTTAAAAAGCTACATCTCTTTTAAACACACACACCTGGAGCAAACTGTGTAAAGAAACAGCCAGATTGAGAGGAAAATAAACATTAATTTGGCCCAAAATGTTTAAGAATCGAGTCAAAACGTCACTGTTCTTGTAAAATAGCTGCTACAGCCCTCACGTGTGCGCTCTCCTGCATCTTTAGATCATTTCTCTGTCAAATCCAGAGTCACTGGAGAATAACTGAAGACGCACGCAGCCATCTCTGGACCAAACTCCTTCAAACATAGAAAAGTGCTAAACCCTGGAAAACAGGCTGAACATCAGAAACGCTAAAAAGGTTTAAATTCACACGTCAGGGATGCTGTCTGGATCTGAAACAGAGGTCTCCTCTGCAGCTTGTTTCCATCAAATTATAAAAACATGAAGAAACACATTTCTTTGACTTTTCCAATCATCCATTGTTCGTGCAGATGTTTAGGTCTTTAAATTTCCAGTTTTTGAGTCGTTGTTTTACAGGATTTCTTTGCACCGTTGATTCGATCCTCCTGAGTCCACAAACATTTCTCCTGCGACTCCTCAGCAGGTTCCTGACCCTCGGATTGGAAACCCCTCTAACAATCACTCCGGGGCTGACATTTCAGATCAGATTCTGGGAAACGAAGAGAAAAGGAATAAAGTGAAACTCTGAAGCTGATCTGGAAACAGTGTGCGTGTGTGTTGGTGTAGATTAGGTGTGTTGAGTTTTCTGTCAGCTCAGTGTGGCTGAGTCACCGCGCTTTGACTCCAGCTGCGTCTCCACCTTCAATCTGCTTCCTGTTTTCAAACATCACTTCTTCGAGCCAACTGGCTCTCCATCCTGCCTGGAGGATCTCAGAAACATGGATTTATGACCCGACAAATTCTTCTACTTGTGCCAGTCCAACCGTCTGTGAGGGTGTGAAAACAGAACCGCAGGGAACAATCCAAACTCTTTTTCATCAACAACACACACATGCTGGTCCTCAGACACACTCAGAGCAAACAAACTGCAAGTGCATCTCCATTAAAACACATCAACAACTTCAGGAGGGACAGTCTCTGTAACATCCTAAAGAATCCAGAACCTTCTTCTGAACGATTCTGTGTACTGAACTCTTTGTCAAATGACCAACAGAGTACAGAGGAGTGACAGCAGGATAATATCAACCTTCATAAAGTCAGAGTAGGAATGAATGAGACCGAGGTTGATCATAGACGCTCATGTACCTTCTGACTGATGTGGTTTTACTGCTCCTATTAGTGGCACTTATAATCAGACACTGGTTATAATGAGTTTTAGAGAGAAATGAGGGGAAATGTTTCATCACACCAGTGATTTACACTTACGTTTGCTCTTAAATATCAATGTGGTTGACCAGCGAAAAAATGGTCCCAATGTCATTGTGTCTCGGTGTCTCGTCATTAAAGGTGGAGTAGGCAGGAATCCGTTAAAGAAGCATCTTTTTATGTGGTGTTTATACCAAAAATCTATAAATATCAGTCAATAGTTATTAGTTATTGATGACATTTGTTAATATATCGATATCTCTGTGTTCTCTTATGTCTGTGTCGTCAACATTTGAACATTTTTGAGCGGTCCGCTCTTTCTGACTGTAAACAAAGCCGTTCTCCACCTCCTCTAACCTGATTGGTTGTGAGGCAGACGCTGCTCCCCCGTGTCGTTCAGGAGCCCAAACAAAGTTAGCGTGCTACAATATCGGACAGTAGAAACCAACCAGAAAGTTCGGAAAATTGTCTGAATCCTCCTTTGGCCACGACTGCCGACACAAGCGAGAAAACAAAGTAAATACCGGAGACTCTGGAGGAATAACGGGCGCTTAAAACGGAGGTAGACCGGACAAGAGCTAAAAAGCCGGGTCAACATAAACGATGGGGGACGCTTGGGGATCTTGGTGACCCTGTAACCTTTCTGCTGGACAGGTAAACCGCTTTAACAAAGTAAGACAAGTGTCTGTAACAGAAGTGTTTCTTGTCAAACGGACCTGCTGTAGCGTGTTGTAGCGCCATCGCTAAACTGTCCTCCCTCGGGTCCTGGACTATGTCACTTTATCCTCGTTGTAGAAGTCCTGCAAACATTGTGTTTGCTGGTAGTCTGTTGGCATCTACAGTAGCACCAATGCTTTTGACTTTCACCTTGACTGGGCCCCATTTGTAATGATCTGAAGTATTTATCTGCATTATATCTGAATTTAATCGGAACGATACGAGCGAGCAGGAGCGTCTGTTTGTGGGCGGGGCTTAAGAGAGGGAGGGGAGGAGCTGAGGGGAAAACTAGTTGGGAGGGGTCGAGTTTACATTCAAGATTTCTCCCAAAAACTGGAACTAACTCATCCTGACTGCCCTACCTTTAACCGATAACTGTTTTAAATGGTGCAAACTGGTATCTCATCTAAACAAACATTATTATAATAAGGTTACTGGGGCTTATTCCGCATAAATCAACAGTCGGTGGTAAATTCCTGAAGATTCACACGTCTCTTAATGATGAGTATGTGTGAGTTTGTGACAGATCCACTGTGGACTGAGCCCACTCAGGCAGCAGTCTGCAGGTTCCTGTCTTACATTAGAGATGCATATTTCACTAACAGCTGTTAAAACCATCAGTGCTAACCTGAACATCTGGCTGAGGGGGGGGGACACTTTTATTGGGGACACATGACTGCATCTCACACCCCCTGAAAACACAGCTGGAGGGTCAATGGTTTCCAGGTGAGAGGGTCCCCCCTCACTCTCTGTTTACCTTTGTTTCCCTGCAGGACCCCGTACGTAAAGTGTCGCTTCTGAAAACACTGAATTCAACCCAGAGGTGACGGGCTGCTCAAAGTGTTTGACGGGGCGACCAGCAGAGGGCGCTCAAGAGCAGAGGACATGAAGAACAAAGGAGAGCAGGTGAACAAATATGACATTTAAAACAGAGGTGAACATATTTGGAAGAAGAGCATGTTCCTGTGAGGTAATGATAAAAACACAGAGTTCAGTTAATGCCAAGGTCAGAGAAGGTCAGAGAAGGTCAGAGAACACAGTCTTTTTGTCCCTCATGATGGTCACTCTCAGTCGTTATAGTTGAGTTTGTCCCCGACGTACCGGACATGTTACGTCAAAATTTTCTGTCGGTGTTTCCAGATGAAACACCTCGCTGTATTTGCGTCGTTTAGTTCAGTCGATGTCGTGGTGACCTGAAGCGACCGTCAGTTTGAATGAACATCAGACAGACGTGGTTTGGTGTGAGTTAGTGATGGAGGAGGATGAAGAACATTGAAGTGGTCGGGGAGGCTGGAGCTGCGGTGGAAAACTAAAGGACAGGGACTGTGGTGAGGTGACTGTGGTGAAGTCACTTTGATTTGATGGACAGTAACCGTCGGAGCTGAAATGTGCTCTGCATTATAGTCATGATGGATGAAGTGGGCAGAGCAGCACTGGTGACTACAGTGGATAATGAAACGAAGAAAGAGCTTCGACTGGGTTTGAAGTGGGATGGTTCCAGTTTAGTCAGGAGCTTGTGCCATGAAATGAAGAGGATTGTTCCGTCATGAGGGACAGACTTTAATGACATCTGCTGGAACATCCCAGCTGGTAGGAGAGTCAAAACAAATTAGGAATTTTCTCGAGGTAGTAACTGTCTGAGGTTGGCGGTTAGAGGGATAATTGGATTACCAGTCTGAGTTTAAAGGAGTAATGATGATGGATGATTTGTTTCTGTAGAGTGGAAACGTTGGAGACGTGAACTCTAAACGGTTTAAAGAAACTATTCCAGGGTAATCGTTTTTTTAATCCTCCAATAACTAAAAGTCAATTTTGTCATCATCCAAACTGCCAAACTTTGGATCCCAAATGTTTCTTCCTTTTCCAAATAAACAAGAACCAAAAGAGTCCTGTAGATGTAATGGAGTGTGAAACTAGGTGTTCAATAAAGAGCATGAAACTGAACTTCTGCTCCGTTTTTTGTTCTTATCCAACTTGCAGCCTTTCAAAAGTCATGGTTTTACTGTCCACACAAGACTCAAACAGAGTGACAGTGGCCTCACAGTACACTCTGTCTAAAGTTAGGGTGTAAAGTCCACACTGAAATAGTGTTGGGCGGTATGATGGAATTAAAGTGTCTACCAGCTGAGTCTGTGTGTAGTTGTCTGTGCTTGCTAAGAGGAAAGCTGGTAGACACTTTAATTTTGGAGCGTTTCCGTGTTTTCACCAGCGTGTTGAACGGCGTTTGTTCGCTCCGTTTGATTGGTCAGGTTTGAGTGTGCTCCCTTTAATCACCAGCAGACTGTTTAGCAGAGTTTCAACAAAGAAGAAACCGCTTCACTGGTGGTGGTCATGGCGGACGCGGGGTATGGTGGCGGTACCGATACTCGTTCTGAAAAAAGGGCGCGAGTCGCGACATCGGTTGTCTGGAGATCCTTCGGAAGAAAATCCAGAAAATCCAACAATGGTCAAAAAAACAATCCTATACAAAAAGTGTCATGTTGCTGTGGTTGTTGGAGGAAACACCAGAAACCTCTTCCTCCACCTAAAGATGAAACATGCCGAGCTCTATTATGAGAGACAGAAGATGAGTGACGCACCTGCTGCACCAAAAACTAAAACTGCAGCAGCTCCTCTCAGACTAAAGAGCTCAGCAGAGTCTTTCACCAAAGGTACACGGTATGATAAAAAAAAAAATCGCCAGACTGGTCGGACATTTAGTTTCCGTTTGTAAACAAATCAGAGTTTGAAAAAAAAGGAAAATGAACAAATGAGACGGTACGGTTATTTTTAAGACACTAACTGAAAAAATACTGTGATACTGTTACCATGATATGAAATTACTCATACTGGGATATAAGATTTTGTTCATATCGTTCAACACCACATTGAATCCTGCCTTGAGGTTGGGTAGTTGGATATTGAAGTCATTTTACACTTTGCTAGTTTGCAGTTTAGACGGCAGAAACTGTCCGACATGTCTGGTCGTTCTGGTATCTGGATGTTTGGATGTTGGTGTGAAACAGTAACATGGAAGAGCAGATTTTAACACTTGAAACTCTGACAAAAGAAACATCTGAATGTTGAATATTGTTTCTGTGAGGTGAATGAAACTCTAAAAGTCATATCTCAACCAAGAAAAGGCATGCATGCATTTACCCCCATTTTCCACTCCACGGGTAAGAATGTCAGTGAGTCAGTCTCACATAAACAATCGTGGCTCAGTTTCCAGGTAACCAGGAAACAGCTCCTGAGAAATGTTGGATTATGGGAGTTGGAGGCTTTCTCTCTCTTTGACCCTGAAATGGGTTGGTCGAGGTCTTCACAGAGAGCTGAGAAAGTCAGAGAAACAAGACAAAATATTCTTTAAAAACTAACAAACAAACATGACCTTCTCTGAACACACGACTCCTCGATTGTTTTCTCTGTCTCCTTTAAAACTTCAGGACTTCCCAATCATCTACCCTGCCTCTTCTGAGCTCTTCTGATTACATCAATGGCTTTAACAGTTAATTGTGGAAAGTTATGGAAGGTGGAAAAGACGTAAACAAGCTCGCAAACGTCTATTTTAAAGACTCATTAGTGCTCTGGGGTTTTGTTTTTCACAGTCCATGAGATAACTGAACGTACGAGTCAGAAATCAGGACTCTGTTGATGTCAAACTGACTGTCCGTCCAGAAAGAACAGGCAGAAGAATTATGGAGGAGGATAAATCTCCACATTAGGTATCCATTCCTGATGTTTCCGACCCTCATTGAACTCAGATCTGTTTCAGACATTTCTCCTATGTGTACATATGTGAACTCTGAGGAGAAACCATAAAGACAGAGAACAAATTATACGACTAACATGTGGAGGTTCTCATTTGTTTTGTCTGATCTCGATGTTGCTGCTGGCAGGACAAGAGGCCGCTGGCTGTCAGCGCCGCGGTGTTGGAATTTAAGTCGAGCTGCTGAATCTAAGCATCCATATATTATTGTAGTTTTACCACACAAGAGGAGAAACCTGAGGGACGGTGAGGTCATGACTTTAACGTCCAGATTTACATCAAACTTGCGGTCAAACTTCATCCTCCTAAAGTTATATATGACTGTTTATATCTGAATGTTTCTGGGATTCCCTAACCGTTCTTTAAGTGCCACTGTCAGACCAAAATGTCCAACAATAAAATAATGAAAATGAAGAGGACAAACCACTATAAAAACGTACAGAACATTACATACAGATCACAGAACCTCACCCTATCTTAAGAAAAGTTTGAATCAGACGAAGCATCATTAATTCTTCTGAAAATGTCCACAGATAAAGACTGACATTTCTCACTTCAGTACATCTTCTGTTTATTCTTCTTTTCACCCATTTGAGGTCAGTCCAAGTTTAACTACCAAAGCCACCTACTGCCACAAAATAACCCTCTTAATTAATTTAGAGTTAATCATTTAGACTGGATGTTAACGGCTGACCGTCCACCAGCGGAGAGATGAAAACGAGAAGAGGGAAAACAGCGCTGATATCTGAGAGGATCCGCACGTCCTCTGACTGATATCTTTACTTCTGTTCAGTCCCTCATATTTTATTCCTCTCTGTCTCTCGTTTCTTCCCAGTTTTTACGTTACGACTTATTGGAAACATTGGAAATGACTCAGAAAGTCCGGACACCGAATTGTCGTTGTTAAAGCGCATCGATGAGTTTTTCATCTGGGACCTGGGAGACGGACAAAGACAGGGAGCACAAACATGGCTGTAGTCAACACACGGGCCTCTGTGTGTCTATAAAAGAGTTTTATTCAGGAAAAAGACAAACTGTTCTCTCTGGCCTACAGCGGACTATAAACCTGCTCCATCATTTTCCAATTTAAGCCCTTTTCTCTAGAACGTGAGCTTCTCTGCACATGACTGCTGACATGTTCCTGTGCAAAGATGGTTGATAAAAACAAAGACTCGGGACTCTCCTCATCAGATTTCTGAGTCAAAAGTTGAAGGTGCAGTTTGCTGCTATGGTGGCTGAGAATGGCCACTGCTGCAAAAAAAAAAAAAGAATGCAAAAAAAAAAAAAAAAGAAGCCACAACGGAAGTTACCAATGCAAAAAAAATTAATAAAAAGAAACCAAAGCAAGCTGCAAATAAAAAAAGAAACGGCAAAAAAAGTGGGGATGCAAAAAAAAAGCCACAACAGCAGTGAGCTGCCAGGGACCAATAATGACGATTCAGCTGTGTTTTATGATCTGGGCACAGAAGACAAAGTGCAAAGAAGTAAGTGGAAAGGTTATTGATTAATTTCACTTTAATTTTGGATACTGAAGCTGACACTATGAGGAACTTCCTCCAGCTGAGCTTCATATCTAACCACGTGACACATTAAAAAGTTTACGAAGCGAAATTAATCAATAACCTTTCCACGAACTTCTTCGCTCGTCTTATCGCTGTCGTCTTCTGTGCCAGATCGTAAAACATCATCATTATTGGTCCCCCTCAGCTCATTTCTGTTGTGGCTCTTTTTATTTGCATCCTTTTATTTTCACAATAAGTAACTCTTTTTTTTTTTTTTTTTTTTGCATCGGTAACTTTTTTTTGCAGCAGCAGCGGCAGTCCTCGGCCACCGTATGCTGCCGCCTTAAATGACGTAAAAAGAGGCTAGTTATTGAAACGAACGACAGATGAACTGATGCAGACCTAATCTGAATCTAATTAACTAAATCTGCAGAGGAAAACGACACGAGTAAGACTAGAACATTAAAAATGAAACACAAATAAACACATCAGGAGGCGAGAAGGAGGGTCAAATAACTGCTCAGGTTTTTATCATCTCTAATTCTGTATGTTCCACAGTATAGTGTATATAAAGTAATAATATCAGTCAAACTCCAGGTCTTATAGCTCTGAGCATCTGGAATTCTGTCAAAGTCTGGATGTAAATTTACTCATTAAAGAGAAACTCTCAGAGGCTTTACATGGAAAATCTTTTCACATCTTGTACTTAAGCACTCATATACAGACAGACAGACTCATATACAGACAGACTCATATACAGACAGACAGACTCATATATCAATCAATCAATCAATCAAACTTTATTTATATAGCACCTTTCATGCTTTTAAGCTGCAACACAAAGTGCTTTACAAAGAGGTAAAAACAAACAACGTTAAAAAAAGAAAAAACAAAACAAACAACAGTAAATATAGGGCACTTAAATAGGCATAAAACCCGTCCCTTCCCACCCACAGCAGCATATACAGGCATGCACAGCAGCCCACCCCACACACACATACACGCACACACGTATCCACACACCCACACAGTAACTGTCAGTAAAAACATGGCAAGGCACTGATGATTCTGGTAAGGAAAGACCATCTATGGGAGCCGTCCACACCGAGAGGAGCCACAGCCCACCCCCACAGGGAGCACCGCCCCCGAGACCCCCCGACCCAGACAGCCCGGGTGCACCCTGCACATAGTGCAGAGCCCCCTAACCGTCTGGGCCTGGACGATCCCAAGGACCGCGCCCCCGGGGGCGGACCAGACATACCTCCCAGTGTGGAGGGCCCCCACGAGGAAACTCTGGAGCTAAAAAGACTAGGGCATAGAAGGAATTAAAATAATATTAAAATATCTAAATGACGTAAAAATGTGATAAAAGTAAAGGATAAAATAAACTAAAACCAAATTAGAATAATGTTAGAATATCTAAGTGACATAAAAATGTGATAAAAGTAAAGGATAAAATAAACTAAAACAGTTAAATCAGCTAAAAGCCAAACTAAAAAGGTGGGTCTTGAGCCTCCTTTTAAAAACATCAACAGTCTCTGCGGTCCTGATGTTCTCTGGCAGGCTGTTCCATAACTTTGGGCCATAATGGCTGAAGGCAGCCTCTCCGTGAGTTTTGGTTTTTGTATGAGGAACAACTAAAAGGCCGGCGCCAGAGGACCTCAGGGTACGCGAGGGTTGATAAGATAAAAGCAGTTCAGATAAATAAGATGGGCCAAGACCATTAAGACACTTAAAAACTACTAAAAGAACCTTGAAATCGATCCTGAAACACACGGGGAGCCAGTGCAGGGATTTTAAAACCGGTGTAATGTGCTCCCGCCCTCTGGTCCCCGTCAGCACACGTGCTGCAGAATTTTGTAGCAGTTGTAACATGTGGGTGGTCTTTTTGGGAAGACCAGAGAGCAGGGCATTACAGTAATCTAAACGACTAGAAATAAAAGCATGCATCAGCACCTCCGTGTTGGCCTGAGAGAGAAACGGGCGGACTCTGGCTATATTCTTAAGATGGTAAAAACCTATCTTTGTTATGTTCTTGATATGTGGAATAAAATTCAGCTCAGAGTCAAAAATTACGCCCAGATTCCTAACAGATTGAGCAGGTTTAAAATCTTGTAGTTTTGGTAAAAGTTTCTCTCTCTTGCCTTCAGGACCAATAATTAAAACTTCTGTTTTGTCCTGGTTGAGCTGTAGGAAATTCTCTGCCATCCATGACTTGATATCTAAAATGCAGTTAAAAAGGGCATCAATAGGCCCTGTGTCCTCAGGAGACACGGCAATGTACAACTGTGTATCGTCAGCGTAACTATGGAAGCTGATGCCGTGTCTCCTGATGACGTCCCCAAGGGGAAGCATATAGAGATTAAAAAGTATTGGACCTAAAATTGACCCTTGGGGCACCCCACACTTAATTTCATGAGTTTTTGAGGAACAGGTATCCATACTTACAAAGAAGGATCGTTCCGAGAGATAAGAACTGAACCAGTTAAAAACAGTCCCAGAGAGGCCCACCAGGTGCCTGAGTCTGCTTAATAAAATCTGGTGATCTACTGTGTCAAAGGCAGCGCTTAGATCCAGTAGTACCAGAACTGTGAGTTTCTGTTTATCGGCATTACACCTGATATCATTTAAAATCTTTAAAAGGGCTGTCTCGGTACTGTGGTTCATCCTAAAACCGGATTGATACTTCTCTAAGATATTATTACTTTTTAAGAAATAATTTACTTGGTTAAAAACCAGTCTTTCTAAGATTTTACTTAAAAACGGTAAGTTGGATATGGGTCGATAATTATTAAAAACATCAGTATCCAAATTTCTCTTCTTCAGAAGGGGCCTCACCACCGCCGTTTTAAAGGCAGTGGGGAAGACCCCTGTCTGAAGAGAGCAATTTACTATGGTTAAAATCTGTTCCTCAAAAAATTCGTAAAATGTTTTTAAAAATGACGTGGGAATCGGATCTAAAAGGCAGGTAGTTGGGTTTGCTTGGGAGAAAACTCGACCAAGTGTCCTTGCGTCAACCAGGGCAAAACTCTCCAGTGTTTCCTCAGGTAAAATCAGCTGTTCAGATGTGTTGGAACTCACATTCTGATGAGTTAAAAGACTGGATCTAATATCATCAATTTTGCTCCCGAAGTGGTCTGCAAAGTCCTCACAGAGGGCGTCTGTGGGGGTCTTAAAAGATTTTTTAAAATGGGAGTTTGTTAAGAGGTCGATGGTGGAAAAGAGGAATTTGGAATTGTTTTTATGGTCTGTGATGAGTTTTGAGAAGTGGGCTGTTCTTGCCTTTTTTACTGCATTGTTGTATTTTTTGAGTGAGTCCTGTAGTATTTCGAGGTGAACTGTTAATTTGGTTTTTCTCCATTTGCGTTCGGCACTCCTGCATTTTCTCTTTGTTTTTCTGATTTCGTTGTTTTTTCTCCATGGGGGTAAGGGTTTTGTTTTAATAGTTTTAATTACGGGTGGAGCCACTGTGTCCAATGTGGTTTTTAATGTTCTGTTAAAATGGTCCACAATAAAATCGCATGGTGCAGGTAAAATTGCGGCAGGAGTGCTCTGTAAAATCCCAATAAAATTTGCAGCCACTTCGGGGGTTAGGTAGCGTTTCCTCACCGTTCTCACCGGGGCCTCCTGATGGTTAAAACTGGTGATATTAAAATACACACAGTAGTGATCCGACACAGCCAGGTCGACAACAGAGGACACACCAGTGGATAGGCCGGAAGTTATGACCAAATCCAGGGTGTGCCCTCTGTTGTGAGTCGGCTGTGCCACATGCTGTTTAAAATCCATGCAATTTAAAAGGTTTAAAAACTCCTTAGACATTGGATCAGACGCTGTATCAATGTGCAAGTTAAAATCACCAGTTATTAAAATCCTGTTATGGGTAGTATGTAAAATGGATAATAGATCAGAAAATTCGCTGATAAAAGAGTTGGAGTAGTGGGGTGGTCTGTAAATTGTAATACGGAGAGTAGGAGGACTGCTAAAAACAAATGCGTGGTATTCGAATGATGTAAAACTGTTAAAAGAAACTTCATTTGGGCACAATTTGTTTTTAAATATTGAGGCAGTGCCTCCTCCTTCTTTTTCTACCCCCCCTTGTTGAAAATAAAAAATTAAAATTAGGGGGGCAAGCCTCGGTGAGAACAATTGAAGCATCAGTGCCAAGCCATGTCTCTGTTAAAAGGAGAATGTCTAAATTATTGTCTAAAATCAGATCATGGATGATAAACGACTTATTTAAAAGCGAGCGCACGTTCAGCACGGCCATATTAGTGTTTGTGCCGAGCGTACGCTCATCCTCAGGCAGTGGAGAAATGGGAGCCAATGTGACTGGAGTTAAGTTGATGGTCCGTGAAGGGAATGTTCTGTGGGCTCGGTGTGAGATTCTGACTGGGATGCAGGATATGGGGGTGAACTGTAAGTGAGGTGTTGGTGAAACTGACTGTATGCAGGCAGAGGATGAGATTGGAGGAGAAGTGGCAGTGGTATGGTGTAGTACTGGGGGTGGGCGGTGGGGGGGCTGGTGGCGGCGGTAGTGGCTTGGGACAGTGACACAGAGGAAGAGGGGGAAATCAGTCACGTGTGTGTGTCAGGTGTGTGTGGGTGTGTGTGTAGGTGTGTATGTGAACTGGACAGCATGTCGAATGTTGTCGCCGAGCACCCTGCTGCCCAGGCGAGAGGGGTGGACTCCGTCAGCCCTATAGAACGGGGATCGGTTCCAAAACAAGTTAAAATTGTCGATAAAACGGAACCCGCAAGGGCAGGCGGAATGGAGCCAGGTGTTCAGGCTGAGGAGTCTGCTGAAGCGCCCCATGCCACGGTCGAAGGAGGGGAGGGGCCCCGAGATAAAAACAGACTTACCGCAGTCGGTGAGAACCTTAAAAAGTTTCTTAAAATAGTCCTTGGTCACTTCAGACTGACGGGAGGAAGTGTCGTTAAAACCCAGGTGTAAAACCAGCCTCGTGATGGAGGATGGGAGTGAGCCCAGCAGCTCCGGGAGTTTATGGAGGAGAGTTGGGACAGTGGCGCCTGGGAAGCAGTGGGTTACTGCGTTAAAAAAACGGACGTGCCTCACGATGGAGTCTCCGATGATTGCCGTGGTCGGCGGGAACAGTGGGCGAGGACGCGGCGGTGGCGGTGGTGCGCAAGTGGGGGCCGGAGAACCTCTGTTCCCAGCGGAGTGCCTTCGCAGAGGTTCCCTGAACGGTTTGCACCGGGTCGAGGAGTATGCATGACGGGGGGGAGGAGGGGGGCGCCGAGGCCCCGTGTGCATACCTCCGTTCACCTCCTCGTTCCCAGCAGAAGACGGAGGTGAGGCTGCGCTTCGTCCGACATCAGCTGGGCCCGGATCCGGCCTTCCTGGCAGCGGAGGAAAATCCGCAACACTGAGTACATCGTACCTCGAGGACAGCTGGAGATCGAAGTGGGATTTCAGTGGTTTCAGGCTGGTCCTCCTCTTTGCAGCCGCTGTTGACCGTGGGGTGGAACTCCGAATGTTGAACCTCGGGTGAGGAGTGAAGTCCAGTGCGGGAGCCGGCACTCGCTTTGGCCTTGCCCCCTGAGTCAGCCAAGGTTCCCCGGGTTGAGGATGAGCCGGCTCAGCAGGAGCCTCCGCGGTGGAAGGTGGAGAGCCAGAGGCAGCAGCAGCGCTCGCTGGGGCCGGTGGAGCCTGCGGAGCAGCGGCTGCCGGGATGGTGGAGTCCAGCTCGGCTGGGTTCACAGGGAGGCCCGCACCCAGCGTCAACATCGAGTCCAGGAGTGACTCCTCACTGCGGATCCAGTGGAGGCTGGAAATACGTCGTTCCAGCTCAGCGATAGTTTTGGATTTTTTGAGGCAGCTGTTGCACTCGTGTGAGGAGGTGAGTGTTTCCATGGTTTAAGGTTCAGTGAGCAGAGGTTAGCAGCTTTAACCGCCGGCTACATAAAAAAAACGGCGAATCAGTTCATTTAAAAGCAGCTTAAAATCCGATTTAAAATTCTTGGCCGGTTAAAAGATAGAGTAAAAAATAAATAAATAAAACAACTGAATCCAATGATTGTAGCACAGTTTTTGTGAGATTTTGGGCAAAGTTTTCGAGAGCTGTCAAAACCGGCGTCTGCTCACCAACCGGCGTCACACACAGGAAGTCCGTCCTCACAGGAAGTAGGACGGACAGACAGACTCATATACTGAATGTTCTCTATCAGACGCTTTGTCATGAGCTGTAGGTTCTTACGGAGAGAAAACTGCTGCTGTCAGAGCCAAAGAAGTCAGCAAACATTTTACTGTCTGGACATAAAGAGATAATTCCACTTTTTAAGAGCATGTTAAAATCATAAACAGTCATTGAGAGGACTTGGCTGCCTGTTTACTTGTGTGCAGAAGTGCTTCTGTGGTGTTTAACATGAACATGATGAAATACAGCATGGAGGTTGTTTCTGTCAGGCCTCATGTTCTGGTTTCAGATTTTGTGTGACCCTCAGGTGCTAACAGAGTTAATCCAGTGAACAAGCTGCAGCCTTAAATCCCTCAAACTCACGCGGTCTCGCTGTTTTTCGTTGTGATGTTTTTTTTTCATGTTTTATGCTGCAGCAGAGTCCGGCCTTGAACAGAAGCTCTAAATCTGACCCTGTAACTCAGACCCACTGATATAAATCAGGACTCGTGCCTCTCTTGAGGGACGTTCACTGCTGACTTACAAGCTCTGAGGAGGGAGAGAGAGAGGAATTAACACTGCCATGACGACCAGTGTGTGTTAGAAATATCACATCAATGCCTGTCAATACTTCACTTTTAATATATGATGTCAGACATGAGTCTTTATGACAGACAGTAGATACCTGCTGAGATTTTAAAGATCAACACTAAACTTCACTTCACACTGCAGCAGGGATCTGAGGGGAGTTTGTCTGTACTGAAGGAAAATCTACATTTCAATTGGTCTGACTGCTAGTTTCAAGTTTAGATGGAACTTTAGGAGGAAGGCAAGAAAGAAGTTGAATGGTTGTTGAGCTGATATTTCTGTCACTTCTCATTTATACTCATTAAGACTTCACCACATCCTATTTCCTACGCAGCCTGGTGGTGAGGACGGTTTGTTTGTTATATGCTACTGTTTCACCACAATAACTACATGTTGCTGCACGTCCAAAACCTACGACTGGGCTAAACTTTTGTTTTTAAACACATTGCTTATTTATGATCTTAAATATTTTGTTTGATTTTGAGTTTATAACCCCAAATTTTCACCGCATCTGGAGCAGCTCAGATCTGGAACAGCCGTGATTTTCACCGTCTGCCAATTCCTACTGGATCTGTTTGTGAGGCAAATTTTGTGGCGGATTACGGACAGCTGGAATCGCGAGAGCTCACAAGAACCCGCAGATTCACGTTCAGTCACACGATAACGAGCTGTCTCTAGCCACAGAGGCTAACCATATAAGCAGTAGATTGTGTTCTTCCAGAGGAGGAAATCTACTTCTAGACTTCTAGAATCAGCATCTCCTCATCCATGGTGTCATCGGGGTGAAATGACGTCTAAAAACCTTTCACTTGTTCGTCTCCGCCCGTTTGCATGGTGTGAAATACGATCCTCCTGAAACACGGAGTGTTTTATTTTGAAAAGAAGCCAGATGTTTTATTTTGTGTCTGTTCCCGACTTCCTTTCCAGCACGGGTTAATCTGTGCTGAATTTATCCGCCATGCTCCGGCGTCCAGAAAAAATAGAACTCTTGCGATCAGCTGAGGAGTCCGGCGATCCGCAGAGGAACGGAAAGAAGTCGGTGGAAATTGACACGTTAACTTGAACGGCTACGATCAGCTACGATCGGAGGATATGACCTTTTCGAAGCCATTCCGGATGGGGTGGAAATTGGGGGTAAGACATGTTAGCAACAAAAAGAGCATTGAGATCAAAGTACTTGAAATAGGAATAAATAGTGATTTATTTTCTTTAACAGCAGGGGGCGCTCTGAGCAGAGCCATATACATGACAGCAGTTAAAGATTTTGCTGTTTCAAAAATAATCTCTGTATTTCCCACACATCTATAGACAAAGCCTCCTTTTATTCAGCTGTTTATCCCATCTTCTTTGTCTTGTTTTCCACTTAAATTGACTTATGTTTCTTCTATCAGGGATATAAAACTGTAAAGATGAAAACATAGAAAATATAAAAATACAGTATGTTTGTGTTTTACTGCTGTGTGAGCTACAAAGAGAGAGAGAGAGGGCGAGAGACCAAAAGACAACAGTGTGTCTGTCATCGACTTAAGATTTAAAGTCTGCAGAGGAAGAGCTCATTAATACTAAAGTACACAACGTGACTTCATCCAACACACACACACACACACACACACACACACACACACACACACACACACACACACACACACACACACACACACACACACAGGGGATGACCTCATGCTGAGCGTCAGTTGGTTGATGAGTCTCCCTGTCACTCACTGTGAGTGTTTTTACCATCTCAACATTATTTATGACTCCTGACGTTATTTTCAGATGCTTTTGTGTCAACACTGAAACACCATCGTACTTTTTTCCTTTGGTACACAATCCATTTGTGAGTAATTACTAATAAAATACTGTTGTATTCTAGATTTTAAAGTACATAATCATGTGGGAGACTTTATCATCTTATCTCTGACTAGAAAATACAATTGTCAGTGCAAATCAAATCACAATGACTGAAAATTCAAGTGTGCACCAATTCACAGCGGTAAACATGTGATGGTCTGAAAGTTCAGTAATAAATATATTTGTGTCATGAGTTTTTACAGCAGCAGGGAACTTCACAAACCCTCTGCGGTGTCATGTCGCCCTCTAGCGGCTGAATGAAGCACCATCACAAGCATCGGCATTGAACTGTATTGATGGTTCTTTCAAGGTATTCGGAAATACCAGCTTCACAGGGATGCAAAATATTCACAGAGAAGAAAGTAGAGTTTGACCCCACATTATAACCTGGTTAGGACATACGTGTTACCAACAGGTCAAACCTTAAGTATCAACAGTTCAAGCACTGTCCACTAGAACATCTCCAAAGACTGATGTCGATCCAATAATGATTTTGTCATCAAGTATGTCAGCTTCAATAATAATAATAATAATAATCATTAAAAAATCTAAATGTTTCTCTTTTATTATTTTATACCAGCTAAAGAGTGGAGAAGACAGCGCAGGGCTTGACACTAACTTTTTTCCACAAGGAGCGCATGTTCTCCTGAGCTGAAAAAGTAAGAACTTTAGGAGCACAATGAGAGTTGTTTGAATAATGTTTGTCTTATTGGTCGACATAAGTACTATCATCTTATATCAATTTGAAGTCTTTTGGTCACATGACATGGAAGCTATTGAAAAAATGTTCAAAATTTGCCTTTAAGTTTAACAAAATAAAATTAAGAGGACAAATTAGGGAAATAAAGAAGTGTGTCTTATGGTCCGACTTAAGTACTATTACTTAAAAATCAATTTTATGTCCGTTGGTCGCATGATATGGAAGCTATTGAAGGAAAACAGCCTTTTTAATTTATTGACGGTCCCTTTTTTAAGACCCGACGTTGACAGCGAGGATGTCGAGTAGATTTAACCGCGCTGCTGTTGTTATTCCCGGTTATGGAGAGTGAGAAGACACCGGTAGATCCTCAGTGAATGTCCGTCGAATATCCAACCTAAAACTAACTTCACCGCCGTATTTACATGAGAAAACACTGAAACGGGCACACTGTCGATCCCTGCAGCGGCAAAACGTACTTCCTTTAGCCGGATAGCGGTTAAAGCTCAACCGGAGAGACATGATAAACACCAGAGCCAATGACACATGACAAAAGTATCGGACTTTAAGCCCATTAAGGTAACTTACAGTTAAATTGTCGTTTTCCAGAGGTCATCCTGATCTTTGTCCTGTTTTCCATCACCATCCTCCTTCATTTTGGCCGTAAAGACGTCGTTACTTAGTTAGCCTTAGCTAGCAGTTAGCTTCTTCGATAGTACTAGCAGTTTAAGACCACCGTTACATTCTCAGCTTTTCCCGAAAAAACAAACACGGTCCAACAGCGGCAGTTTATAAAACATATTTCTGTTCATAAAACCTGAACAAACTGTTTCACTGTGATTTCAGGAGGCCACTACTTTCATATCAGATTTCAACGTGAAAAACAGAAAAGGGTTAAAACGCAACGATTCTTTTAAACTCCAACGTCAACGGTCAAGAAGGGCGTTGCTTATACGTCATCACGTAAATTCTGTATTTTTTTTTTTTTTAAGTTTTTTGGGCGCAAGACAGTTTCAGTGTGTTGGAAAGAGCGAAATGAGCGTAAAAAAACAAAAAAATATTTTAATAATATCCAAGTCTTCTGTCCCCACTTTGACATGGGGGTAAACTTTTTAAATATTTCACTGATTTAAAATAAAAGTGTCTCAATGCACTTGGTAGTAGTTGTAGAGGTAGTAATAGTAAAAATAATTATTATTTTTATTACACCAATAGAGTTTATTTGTGAAGTGTATCGTTTTCACCCGACATTATGAAATAATTATGGGTTGATTTTGATAAAGAATAATCGACATAACAACTGATAAAAAAAACTCAAATTCTACAGCCTGTTAAAAAACATATTTTCAGAAGAAAGTTCGTAGCTTTTTCTGATTTCTGGTAAAAACTTCAGAGATGAACTGACACGAGTATCTAGTAGGGGTGAGAGAAGAAATCGATACATGTAAATATCGTGTTTTTTTGTTTTACAATTTTTAAATCAAATTTTAAATTCAAATTGAAGAATAAATCTTAAAAACTGACATGTGATGTGTTTTTTGGGGGGGAAATATGGTTCCTGGAATAGTCAGTAGAAAATTAGTCATTCAGCTGTTTCACTGGTTTTAAAAATGCAGACTAAAAATCGAGAAAATCGACAATATCGTAGAAATGCAATTTGAATCGAATCGCTACCTAAAAATTCATAGAAGGATCAAATTGTGAGAAAACCATATCGTCCCAGCCCTAATATTTAGCATACCGACTTGTTGATTTCGTCGTCAATATTTTACCTTTACAAATTTCATTGCTACTTTTCTGCAAAAGGAGACAGCAGATCAAAATTTAAATTGGAATTAAAAAGATTTATTTACAGATTTATCATTTTATTCTCCATTTAAATAAAAATAAAAAACACAGGTTATGCTGTATGAGTCATATTTACATCATTCCTTTTACCTTTCGTCACCACAGATTGCTGTGTGCTTTCACGCTCGGGTGAAAGAGTAGGAAATAACCTAAAAAAAGTCCTATAATTAAAAAATAACAAGCAGGAATCGACTCAGATCAGGTCAGTGTTCTTCCCTCAAATTCTGACACGATCAAATGTATTGAAAAAAAAATTCAATAGTTAAAGTAAGTCGTGTTTTTCTGTCTTTGGCACCAACACCAGAGCAGAAACTGTGCCATATCTTCTCCAAGGTGGTTTCTTTCTTATGAGGGACGATAAAAAAATTAATAATTTAATAATGTCTTTTTTCATTTTTTTAATATATCGTAGTGTTTTATGACCAAAAAATTATAAAAACACAATTATTCAAGAAGTTGACTTATAAATTAATTGTAAAACTGAACTTTGCACAGAAACTGATTCAGACATCAATAAATCTGAAGGCAGTAAGACACTGATGTTGCGTAAGACCGCGGTTATTTCCCACACTCGCCCTACAAAACTCTCTCTTCACTTCTTTTCCTTTCTTTACATTTCTTCTCAGAAAAAGTAACAAAACGCTTTACAGTATAAAAAGAACAAATAGACAGAATGTACCAGAGAAGAGCAGCAGATGACAGAGAGAGCTTCACAAAGAAAAAAGATCGGTTTTATGTCTACAGGTCAAATTCAGTCGAGGGAACCTGCCGGGTTTCGCTCAAAAATCTACCAAAGAGCCCTTTTTAATTCACCGACTGACACCGAACATGTGTTTTTCTCATCAGTACAAAAATCCAAGTAAAAAATAAGTGTCCACTGAATTTTAAATATGTAAAAAATTAACATTAAACTATTTGATTGTCCCCCCACTTTCTTCATTTTTGCATTCTGTCGCATTAAATTGGGAGTCTGCTTGTGCAGAACTCAGATAATAAACTTTGCTCTTTAAGTTTCAAGCCCAGGTTACAGAAGAGAAATCCTACATTTACCATGATGCTTTGCAAAGTGATTTAAGATTCATTAGATGGTTGGAAAGAGCAGAAGATCCGAAGAAGAAAAAGATCAGAAAGACGAGAAAATCGAGTATCTGCTGCGAAGTAAAGGAAAGCATCAGGTTAGAGGAGCGCTGTTATTTTGTGTTTTTGGCAGCAGTTCATGTTCCGAGAAAACCGACTGTTTGACGAAGTTACACAAAGCTTCTTATTTATTCTGTACAATAAAAAAATCTGTTCACGCCTCTATAAATATGTTTAGGATATCCAGAGTTTACACCATGAGTGAAGCTGGTTGGTCCACTGAACTGAACACAAATTAAAACAGTATAAAAAAATAATAAACATCAGCAGTATTTTTCTGTTTTTAATCCACCACGACCTTTTTACTGTTTTTCAAACTTTTATCACAAGACAAAATAAAAAAATGAGAAAAGGCGACAAAAAAAATATCTACAAAGTGAAAACTGATATTTACAAGTGTTAAATAATCCCAGTTCAAAACCAGAACATGAATTTTCTACAAAAACATAAACACGGACAAATCTGACCGACGACACATGAAGTTGGATCCACTCGACTTCTTATCCTCCAAAAATCCATAAATTAACTTTCAGCAGGATTCCATTACCTGCCAAAGTTGTTTGACTGTTACTCGCCCGTATTTATCCGAATTTTGAGATAATTTTGTTATTTTAAACCTTAAAAATGAGAAAATGATCAGGAAGGTTCTGAAGAGACTTTGTCTTTTGGTTTCTTTGTTCACTTCAATTCTTCTGTGTGTTGAAATTTTACTCAGAGCAGGTTTTTGGAGCTGTTTTTATTCAGTAAATGAGCCCTTTAATGAAATATTAGGTTTGTGAATAAAATCACAGATTTATAAAATCTGTTTTTAAAGGCACAAAAAATGAATTTGATGTTTGAATCTGATGGACTTTTTCACAGAATCACTTTTCCATGATAACATTTTCTATTATTCTCCAGTTATGGGTGTTAGTTTCTCTCATTTCCGTTTGGTTTGTTTTAGTTCTGACTGTTGAAGAGTTTTTTTTATCATCGGGCATGTTGGGCGAATTTTACGTTAACAGTCACTGATGGTTTTGTTTACGTTTGATTCAGCTAAAGACGAAGATCCAACTTCAGGTGGGGTCCGTCAGCGCTGACAAATCAACGTTCTGGCAGCTGTTTTTTTTATTTTTTTCACTCCTAACATGAAGTCTGACGAGGACAACACAAATATACAGAAAACTCAAACTCAGACGATAAGAGGCGGCTGGAGATGTTTGTTCTGCTGGAGCTGCACAGAAACATCTGATCTTTCAACATCAGCTGCTTTAATTTTCACACATGAAAAGTATGTTTGGAGCTGACTCTATAACCTCTGTATTTGTGCAGCTCTGCAGCGCCTCCTGCTGGTCAAACTGGGTACGACACACAGAGGTGAGTACTGTCAGTTGACTGGGGGGGGGGGGAGGTCAAATGGACTTCCTGTCTCTCAGCTCAGACGGCTTTTTATCAAACTGTACATTTTCATCATTAAATATTAAAAGGCAGCACTGATTCTAAGTGCAGTGTGCCGCCATGTCTGCATACCACTCTCACTTTTACAAATAAATTCTTTTATATTAGGACTTCTTTTTTAACCGTTTATACAGAGAGAGGAGGAGGAGGAGGAGGAGGAGGAGTTCAGTAACCGCTCTGTCTGCAGGATTTCGTTTTGAGCTTTTCCAGGAAGACCGGTCGTGTTTTTGTTACCTGTCAAAGTGGCGATGGAGATAAATTCCAGGTTTGGACACTTTCAACTTTTAACAAATATCAATATATTCCTGATTCGATCCTCTTTTCCTCCCTCCCTCATCAGACTCCTTCTGATTGGCTGATAAAATATTCTGTTGTCCGTCGTCGGGCAGGTAACGGTTGCCTGGGAGGAGGTGTTGATGAAGAGGATGATGAAGAGGAGGGGTGGTGATGCTGGTGGCGGCCCCGTAGCGATGTGTTGTTGCCGTGGTGATGGTGGTTGTGGTGGTGGTGAGAGGGAGGCGGCGGAGTAGGCGGGTCACGGAGAGACGGGGGGACGGCGGACGCCTTGATGGGGACGATGCGGGTGTCCATGACCTCACAGTCGACCTGCATCATCATCTCATAACCCTGAGAGGAGTTATACAGGCTCTCTGAGGAGGAGGAGAGAGAGGAGGAGGAGGGAGAGGAACAGGAGGAGGAAGGAGAGGGAGAGGAGGACAAAAAAGAGAGAGAAAAAAAAGCCAAAGTAAGAAAAAAAATCTTGTTTTTCTGTTTTGTCCGACATTTAACTATTTCATCCACCAGAACAAGTTTTGTAAAAATCTGGTGACTTTAAACATCCACATTATTCGCTGTTATATTTATTACTTTTTAAAAACAAACAAAAGTTACGACAGTCCAACTGGAAAAACTGAGTTTTATCTTTTTAAGAAAAGTCTGTTTTAAACTTTTTAATATTTGAAGCTCAGACTGTCTCATCTTCTGAAATTAAAACTTGTTTCATCTTGACTGACTCACCGTTCACAGACATGGCCGGCATCACCAGAGACATCTTGGGTCTGCTGGTTTTATTGTGGCTGATGGCTGGAAGCAGCAGGTGATCCTGAACAGAGAGACAGACTTCAGTTTTCATCAGGAACTTTACTGAGGTCAGTGAAATGAGGTTTGTTTGGAGTTTTTAAATCGATAAAACTTTTAATCTAAACAGCATAAAACAAACAGCACACAGAGGTGAATACAGAAAAGTGTGAATGTTGGACGATCGTGAGCTGAAAAGAGGAAACAGAAACTCAAAGCTCGGATCAGTTTGTCGTCACTCTTACTCGTCTGAAGGAAACCACGTAGAAGGTGTCCTCTCGGCGGTCGATGGCGTCCAGGAAGTCGCTGTAGGTGACCTCAGGACCAGGAAGCACCTGCAGCTGACTGCAGACAGAGACGAGGGACAGTTAAAAAAAACTAAACTAAAGTTCAGTTTTCTGTTTCTTCATTTTGTTGCAGATCGTGATGAAGAGTTTTCCGGACCTTTCTATGGAGCGGTGAGTCTGGATGGGCAGATATCTGGAGAAGTTTGTTTTCCTCAGCTGAGCTTTCTGCAGGAGAAGGACAGAAACGTGAAACAACTGTCATGTCAGCGTCTCTCAGGGACAAACAGTCAAAGGAGCAGAGAAAGAGAGGGAGGACAAAAAAACAGCGTTCAGGAGAAGAGGATGAAAACGTCTGCTGCACCTGAGCGATTTTCGCCTTCTTGGCGACTTTTGGTTTCCCTCCAGATTTCTTCCTGTCGATCTGGTGTCGATGAACCCAACCTCTCAGCTCGTCGGCCAGCCTGAGAACCCCAAAACAGAACAAGATCAGATCAAATCAAGTCATTTTATAACGAAGAGGGAAACTTCAAAACTGAGATCAGATTCAATATTTTCAAACAAATCTGAGATCATTTCTATGAACAGAGAAACACAGAGGAAAAGACACCAGAGACTAGGAGGAAAGAGGAAGGGAAGGAAACATGGAGGAGGAATATGAGAAAAGAAGGAAACATGGAGGAGGAATATGAGAAAAGAAGGAGGAATATGAGGAAGAAAGGAAACATGAAGGAGGAATACGAGGAAGGAAGGAGGTCAGAGGTGTCAGACTGACCGCAGAGACTCGGAGCGGTTGAACTGTCTGCAGTCTGAGGAGGTGAAGTACCGATCGATGTCCTGAAGAACCAGATCCTTCATGTCACTGAAGACATCGCTCAGGTTCCTGCAGACACACACACACACACACACACACACACACACACACACACACACACACACACACAGGTTAGGATGCTGACTCTCAGATCAGCTGATCCTGTTTCTTCCCTCTCCTGCTCCGACTCTCTCACCTGAACTGAAAGGTCTCTGAAGACTCTTCTCCTCCGTCCTCCTCCGTCTCCGTCCTGTCCTCCACCCTGCTGGACGGAGGCGGGGCCGCGGCCTCCTGCTGCTGTTGTTGTTGTTGTTGTTCAATCTCCAGCAGTCGTCTCCCCGTATACGACACCACGTCGTCCTGAAGTCCTGACAGCTTCCTGTCTGTGATGCTGCAGCGAGGTTCAGAAATATTAGAGACTGAGGATGACGACTTTTTATTCAGCTGTAACTCCACCTTTGAACACTAGGTGGAGCCCAAACTCATAGGATGTTAGAGCAAAGGTTCTGGATATGGTTTGAGAAGAGACAGAGTGACATCTAGAAATAAATTATCTTTCTGGTCTAGTCTGTTTAGAGACATCTGAACAAACTTTAGTCTGTTTTATAAGAAGAAAAAACTCCTCACTGAAGCTTTAACTCCTTTCATTTTTTTAAAAACTGATTTTTTCTGTTGTTTACAGAAGCTGTCAGCCTCTTCACGGAGGGCGTAAAAGTAGGCGTGACTTTTCTGTGAGTTTCCAGAACAACAGCTGAAGTTAAACAAAGATGATGAAGATCGTTCTGGTCGCTCAGTAAAACGTGAGCGTGGGATGGAAAGCGTGCGGGATACCTGACGGGTCCGAAGCTGAAGGTCATGAACAGCAGGACGGCCATGACACACACGGCTCTCTTGTTGCTCGCCGAGTCGTTGCCCTGGAAAAACAGAGGAGAGACAGTTGAACTGGGTGACCACAAACAGGAGAACCTCGGCAGGAGGAGGGTCCACCTGAGGAAACAAACCTCTCTGAGGGTTGGACCTGATCTACAGGATTACTGCTCAGGTGCTTTCAAGGTCGAGTTCAGCTCAGTTTCATCTACAAACACACGGACACATCTTTGGTTATATAAACAAACTCCTTCTGTGTATGAATGTGTCGCATATTTCCATCTGCAGGTTCAGCAGGTTTAACCGTCTTCACCTGCTTTTGTTCCTCAGAGGTTTTCCTCGCCGTCTAACCTGTCCTTGTTACTTCACTCAAAGCCTGCTGGGAAATCCGCCGTAATCACAGATCTTCAGAAGACTCAGAGGGACGGAAACCTCGACTGTTTTATTGATTTCTCTCTCCATGAAGGAGGAACTCTCTCTGTCTTTACAAACCCCATGGTTCAGAAGATAAACAAGCCCCTCCTCCCCTCCTCTCTCCTCCTCCCTCACCTCCTTTCCCGCCAGCCTCTCCCTCAGCGCCTGGTTCTCTCTGCGCAGACGCTCGTTCTCCTGCTGCGCCTCCCTCAGCTGAGCCTCCAGGTTCTGCAGGTACTCCTTCTTCTTCTTCCTGGACTGACACGCAGACTCCCGGTTCTTGATCATCCGCTGCTGCCGCTTCAGAACCTTCATCTGCAAGAGGAAGAGGAGGAGGAGGAGGAAGAGGAGGAGTAGACAGAGAGGAGATGTAGAAATGGAGAGAAAGAGAGAAAAAAAGAAAGTTAGGAGGAGGAAGTTAAAGGTGTGTGTGATCTAATCCAGGAGCCTGAGGGTGAAAAAATCGTTACATAAGCAGCAGCAGGTGAAGCTGAGCAGGTTCCTGCAGATTCAGAGCTCGCCGTTTCTCGCCTTCTTTCAGATTTGTTCACTCTTCCGCTCTGATTCATGGATCACTGCGGTGTTAATGTTTTTAAAAGTTCTCCTTTCCTTCTAATATTTTCCTTTTTTTAATCCGGTTTACTCACGTCGATGTCGTTTGAGCTGTTGCCTGGAATCGTGGTCGTCGCCGGGACGATGGGTTTGCTGGTGGGCGGAGCTGTGGGACTGGAGCAGTGCTGGGGGATGCTGGGAGAGACGGGCTCCATTTTGACGATGGCCGGAGCCGAACCGAGGCAGACGGACTGAGACAGGACGACTGACGGAGACAGACAGAGACCAGAGACACCATCACTGACGGAGCAGGAGTCACGGGTTCAATAAAGAAACTCTGAGGTCGAGTGGAGCTGGTGTCAGACCCTGAACTGAACTTAACCTGAAATAAACCCTGAACTAAACCTGAACTAAACCCTGAACTAAACCTGAAATAAACCCTGAACTAACCCTAAAATAAACCCTGAACTAACCCTGAACTGATCCTGAACTAAACCCTGAACTAACCCTGAAATAAACCCTGAACTAACCCTAAGATAAACCCTGAACTAACCCTAAAATAAACCCTGAACTAACCCTAAGATAAACCCTGAACTAACCCTAAAATAAACCCTGAACTAACCCTGAAATAAACCCTGAACTAACCCTGAACTGATCCTGAACTAAACCCTGAACTAACCCTGAAATAAACCTGAACTAACCCTGAAATAAACCTGAACTGAACCTGAACTAACCCTGAACTAAACCTGAGTTTTCACCAACAATAACCACAGAGAGGAAGCTGACAGCCCAGGGTCCAAATTTGGAGTCATTTCTTTATTTTACTGGCAGCCTTTCACACATTCGTTTTTAGACTTTATCATTTCTTTAGATTTGTTGGATTAATAAGCAGATTAAACTACGGTGGAAGTAATCAATAATTTGAAGTGATAAATGTCTACAAATCTGATTGATACTCATAAAAATATGAGTTAAACTTTATATCAAACCCCCTGATACGGAGGATCACGTGTGACGTTTCCCTTTCCCACCATCCAATCACAAAAGAGCATCAAGTTTCCCATGCTGATCACATGACGCCGACAACAAACAGAACAGATTTACATATGAAAAAAAAATTCAAAACCCAAACACACACCCGCGCTCACACACACACACACACACACACACACAGACACACACATGCAAAGTTACACAAACACACCTCTCTTACCAGGTCTGGTCTGGTCCATGGGGGGGAGGCCCTGCAGTATGAGGGTCTTGGCGGGCGTGGGGGTCTGAGAGACGGGGAGGGTGGTGACACAGACCGGTTTGGGCTGGATGGGGGGTTTGGCGCTCAGGATGGTGCTGGCCTTCAGCGTGGATCCGGGTAAAACTGGAGAAAACATCAGGTCAGAGTGGGTTAGTGAACCCGTCAGAGTCAGTCTAGGTCTTCAGGAGGACTCGAGTGTTTTCAGGGTCCTCATGTGAGTGCTGTCCCTGCAGAAACCTTAAAACCCTCACATGACCTCAGTTATCTTCAGGATAAAGTTCAGATCTTGTTGATTCAATGATGCGCTGATTTGAAACTCAAACACAAACAAACACTGATCTCATCAAACACCCGGATTTACACCAGGTTTTTTTCTTTTCCTGTTTGATGGAGAAAAAATCTCTGTGTCGGGAAATAAAGCTGATGGAAACACAACATTAAAGGGATATTCCGGCGTAAAATTAATTTAGGATCAAACACACCGTAACACCGAGTTAGACACCCCGAGAGAGATGAATGTTGCCGACCACTTACTTCTCTAGTTATACCAACTTTAGTAACGACGTTGGAATTTTACGTTGGAATATCCCTTTAACATTATTACGATTATCACAGCAGAAACCAACACGTCCACAGGCCGGGATAAAACAAACTTGAGTCTGTAAACACTGAAAGTATTGAAACTCAGAGTCGTTGAAACATGACTCAGGGTTAACATACAGTACAGTGAGACCCCCTCCTCCTTTTACAACTGTATTGTGTTGGTCCGCCTCCAGGGTCCTTTTGTAAAGACCGGAGCACAGATCAGGGTGTAAACGGAGAGTCTCCCCCTCAGGCCTCGGTCTAACGTGTCATTACAGATCTCTTCTCATCTATCCGACTTGTGGACCCTCATAGAGGAGAAAGACCCGGGGACACCGGAGCTAATGTCAGCCCCCGCAGAGGGGCGGAGTCAGAGAACAGGGACGATTTCAGCAGATTCAGCTCAGATACAGAGGTGGGACTCAGAGGTGGAGCTGTGACCTGCTGACAGGCTCCTCTAAGCCCCTCACTCCTGATTCGTGTCGCTGAGTCAGCACAGGAGTCGGGGGGGGGCTAAAGAAAAACCAGAACCTCATCAGAACCCTCCTGCAGTTCCTGTCCTCGTCCCCTGAACCCACCTGCAGCCTGTGTCTGAATCCCGTTGATCACCGCTGGGATCTGTGTCGTCAGTGCCGTCTGTTGCGAGGGTACGGCTGTCGTTGCTACGGTAACCTCCATGGACCCCAGAGGAGGAGAGAGCACGTCTCCGTACATGTAGGGAGGGGTGGGAGGGTTTTCTCCTTTCACCGTGATCTGGAGGGGAGGATGGGAGACGTTAGGACACGGTTTTGTCCTGTTTGTGTTTTTGAAAGTTTTGGACTCTTGATGAGATCAAATCGGTTTTATCTTTTCATGATTTTGAGCGAGTCATTCATGCTTCTTGCTGCTCCAAAATGCTGCTGCTTGTCATGATTTCATGATTTTGAGCGAGTCATTCATGCTTCTTGCTGCTCCAAAATGCTGCTGCTTGTCTTTGAACAGGTAAACGAAAACATGATCACGTCACCCCAATTCTGGCGTCCCTCCATTGATTTCCCGTTTATTTCAGAATTCATTTTAAAATTTTATTGTTTGTTTTTAAATCTTTAAATGGATCAGAACCACAGCACATCTCTGACCTCTTAAATGAAAAGACTGAATCAGAGAGAAAGAGCCGAACACTCACCTGTGGGTCGGGTGAGGACGCCGAGCAGTCAGACCCGAGAGAGGACGCAGGAGAGAGAGGCTCCGACTTCACCTGAAACACTGGGCAGAAAAACAGGAGAACCAAAGACAGACGTCAGTCAATAAAAGACTTCAGAGTATCACAGAGAAAGGTTTTTAAATCCACAGATGACTTCAGGAGGAAACTTACACATCTCCACAGGTAACGGCTGAGCAATCGTCATTTCATTTTTAATCACCGGAGTTTCAGCTGAAGGGAAAATAAACAGAGAGAGAGAAATCAACAAGAATATTCATCAGAGGAGATAACAGAGTTAGACAACGTTCGTTTGGTTTCCACTGAGCTGCACCTGAGTCTGACTTTAGTCTTACACCGTCTCCAGAAGATTCACCAAATACAAATGTCGTTATTTAAACAAATCTCTTGTGTCTGATAACTTTGAGAAAAAAAACAGTAAAAGCAGTTTGAAGTTGGACAGAAGTCATCATCGGAGGTTAAAATAAACACGTGTCTCTGAGTTTGTTTTGTTTCTGCTCTGTAGGACTTTGGAAATCTGACACAGATTTTACATCCAAACAAAGATCTGAGCAGCTCTGACCACGACTGAAGCGTTGACCCGTCAGAGACCAAAACTAACATTTGACCCAGAATCGGACTTTACAGTGGGTCTGAAAACAGCAGCTGAATCACCGGGAGCCAGTCCAAAACTTCCGGTCTAAAGAAAACCCGCCTGCTCTCAGACCGACCAAAAACCTCTCAGGTGTCAGGGACTTTTCAGCCGTGACAACAAAACGCTGACCCGAGGCGCTTTTAGATCCCGCCAGGGGTAAAGTGCTCCCGGTCGGCTGCTCTGTACCTGAGAGAAGGTTGTCGTCAAGGTGTTGCCATGGCGACGTGGGGTTGTCAGGATCGAGGGTGAGCACGAGGTCGTTGTCGAACTGCAAGAGGGAAAAAAAAAAGGAGTCAGGTGGAAAATGAGGCCGTGAGTTAGTGTGTGTGTGTGTGTGTGTGACGATTAGCCTGATTATCCTCTGACCCATCAGCGTTACTCACTGAGCGTTTAGAGACTGATTGTTGATTTAAAGGAGCAGTTCGTAGAATGTTTACGATAAAACAGCCTCTATTCAGTGTGAGGAGCCTGCTGTTAGAAAAGTCTAAATTATGGAGTTCCTTTAAGAATTTTCATGTGAGCTTCTGTTTTATGTCTCCTCTAGAGAAGTGGAGACATCTTTAATACGACTGCTCTCATTTTTTCATCCACGGGAGAATTTTTAAAGATGCACAACGATCCTGTTTGCCTGTTAAAAAAAAGATTTTCTGCCTTCATTTCAATAAATATGAGTGAGTCCATGGTCTCAATCTTTGGTTTCAGATACTCAGTCTACTAAACACCATCATCCTTGTTCGTCCAGCATTACCAGAACGAATGGATCTGATTTTAATGATTGTAAACTAGGTCTGACTCGGAGCATGCTGATTTATCTTGATCTCCAACATGAAGAAAGAGCCGTCTATAGACTCTGTCTGGTTAAACTGGTTTATAACCACCAAACTAGAGCGATGAATGCAGAACCAGCGCAGGTGAGTGAGAGGGCGTTCATCTGCAGAGAGATCGATGAGCTCTCAGAAAACCAGCCTGCAGAATCTAGAGTCCTGTACCCGCGTTAAAAATATCTGGATTCATTTCTGGAAGTTTTAAACCCTTCAGTTAATCAGAACTTCTATTTTGGTAAATTTGTTCCTTTGTAACGTCCTGAGTCCCTTCTGAGAGACGCAGATGTGACATGAGACAACTTTAGCACCTGAACGCAGATGAGACGCTCTCTGAGATTCAAACTGTCCAACATGAAGTGGACACTAAAGACTAAAGAAGTTCTCCAGAGTTTGAATGAGTATCTGAGCTGTAAACAAACTTCACTGTGAGACAGACAGAGTCAGTTTCACTCTCAGATCTGAAACACAGAGCTCTGTCTCTCTCTCTCCTTTGTCTCCGTACCGCTGGTTCGTATTTCAGCCCTCGGCCCAGCTCCCCGTCCTCGCCCTCCTCCATGCTCTCACACTGGTACAGGCAGGCATCTGAGGAGACAAGAGGACAGAAGACACACCTCGGGTTAGAGACGAGGACCATCATCGAGTCACAACAACCGTGAACATGTTCAAGTCAGCCTCGTTTCTGACACTTTCAGCCATCTGAGGGTTAAAACGGCTTTAAAGGGAAAGGACAGACTGGACGCCATTGTATCTCCCATCATGCTTTGCCTGGTTTGTTGATCCATAGGTGAAAAAAAAACAACCCTGGACTTTGGAGCGAGGTCATTTATTGAGGTTAGATCCCGTTACACACCGAGGATGGGACTGGAAGGTGTTTTATAGACACGAGGTCAAAGCAGCGAAATCAAAGAAGGAGGAGGGAGAGGAAAGGGAGGAGAGAGAGGAGAGAGGATGAGAAGAAAAGAGAGGAGGAGGTGAGGAGAGGACAGAAAGAGAGAAGAAGAAAAGATGTAGTTTAGAGTCAAACTTGATGTTTGTTGGTTTTTGTCTTAAAAACAGAGACATCAGAAATCCTCTGAAGATAACTTCAGTCAGTGATCTGCTGTTATTAACAATAACAATAATAACTTTATTTACATTTGTATTAGGAGCGGACAGTTTCAAAGACATGAATTCACTCCCTTCAGTTAATGATTTAATGTCTGTTCGTTTCAAGTCTCTGTTTGAACTCGTTCAGGCGTTTCTCGGACCGCCCTCGCTGCTGATGAGGTCATAAAAGTCTTGAACGCTCCTCGCCCTTTGACTTTACGACTCCTCGCCTCTGCTCTGACCCAGTTTTCTGTCCAGGAATCAGTTTGATCAGATCTGCTCTGACAGAGTTCATCACCTGTAATACAGATAAACAGGTACAGAGGAACGCGACAGACAGACAGACAGACAGACGGACGGACAGACGGACGGACGACACTGTGGATCTGAGAGCGTTATAACCTCGACTATTGGACGATGTGGACTGACACACGAGTGTGAGGGCCGTTTAACGGTTGAAGAATTACTGTGATTATTGTCCAACAATCATAATAATTCAGGGCCTATTATTTCCTATTGTTTTAATATTATAATCTGAATTAAAGGGAGTTTACTGTCATTAAGACGAGGAAAAGCAGTTAACTGTCTGATTTATGTCATAAAATTTTTTGGTATTTTTTTCTTAAATTGATAATAAAACTTGATGTTGGTTTATGTTTGAAATATTTACTCATCTAATGCAAAAAAATATACATGTTTTTAAAGTCAAACATGTTTTCAACAAAAGTAAGAAAGCACAACATTCCCACAGCTCGATTTATTTATTATTTATTTTTATTTTTTTATTCTCCTGGTTTGTAAAAACTTTAACTTTGTATATTTATTTATTAGAAGAATTAAATCAACTGAGAAAATCAAACATCTGTCTTCGCTGGAGAGAAAACTACAGGAGAGGACAGGATGATTGAGAAGACTTTCTATGTTCTGCTCTTGAGAGATGTAACATATTGAAGTACAAATATTTAGGAGTTAATAAGAAGCTTAATAACATAATTAAGTCAGCCTTTACTGTGGTTCTTGGTATCATGTAGGAAACCCAGCTGTGCATCGCTAAGATTAAATATTGAAGAGTAAAATGTTCGACATGAACTCCTGAGATGAAGTAAGGTGAAAATAATAAGGTGGGATTTGCTTTTTTTTAAAGAACCATCACCGACCTGTATGATTCAGTTCACCTCTGAGCAGCAGAGCACTTTCATACCCTTACAGAACGTGGGCTCAAATTTGCCCAAACCTGATTTTACACAGGAGGAGGAATTCAGCCAAAAGAGAGTTTGACAGGATTTAAACAAACAAGAACTGTAAAAGTGAGTTTGAGGATGTCACTGAAATCCAAACAGGTTAAACAGATAAACTGTGTTTGGGTATCCCGAGTTCAACCTCAGCGATGGGACGTTTAAGAAGAATAAACTAAACAAACTGAGTCAACAGTGACGATTTTCATACTGTATGTGTGTGTGAGTGTGTGGACCAGAACACAGACGGCCCGACCCGACCCGGTCCGGTCTGCCCGCCAGCATGTCTTTGTTCTTTGATACTGAACCCGCCGCCGCAGCAGCAGCGTAATATCAGGCTGCTAGAGTTTATTCTGCATTGTGATACAGTGTCATAAGAGGAAGGCACACAATGGAAGCGCCATACACACACACACACTCAGACACACTTACACACACTCAGACACGCCACACACACTCAGACACACTAACACACACTCAGACACGCCACACACACTCAGACACACTAACACACTGCATTGCTGAGGGACGATGTTACAGAGGCAGAAATATTCGGTCTGTATGAAAGAAACCTTCTCAAACCAAAGTGTCGTCTCTAAAAGTGCAGCTATTTTCCATTTATGATGTGTTTACATGATTGTTTTTCTTATGAAGACGTTGTCTGAACCGTTTTTATTCCCTCTTTCATTATTTTATGTTTTGTTCAGCCCATCTTCTAACTCTTTATTTGGTAAAACTCACTGTTTAATTGTATCTCCCTACCATTTTATCTGCTTTATTTTGTCCCCATCATGATGGGAAACCAAAACTCTGACAGAAATAGAAATTCAAATACTCGCTCAGCCTTGTGTGCCGTGTAATTTGCATACAGACACAGACCTAAACCAACCAGACACAGCATTATGGACACCTGGGCGACCTAATGCAGCACAATCCAACAGCTCTACAATCAAAAAATCATCTTATTTGAGGTCGGACCTGAAGCAGAGTAATGTGTACTGTAAATTATGTCGAGAACATGTTCAATTTCATTTAGGAGTAACAGGGAACATTTAAGATTATATAGTGATATATTGATATCGACTGATATGAAAATATATCGTGATTAAACTTTTTCCCGTATCTCCCAGCCCTAAATCCACTGTATATAGTGTAACTATTGCCTCAGCCTCTTAACGAGGGATGACCATGGCGGACGGCAGTTCTGCCGACCGTGTTGCAGAGATTTTCAGCTGTCAAAGAAAACAAAGTCTGAAGTCTGGGCGTTTTTCGGCTTCTACAAAGGGTTGTCAGGAAGCTTTTGTGCATCCCAACGACCAGTGTGCCATCCGAGAGGATATTCAGCACCAGCGGGAACATCGTTTCCCCTCACAGATCACAAACCAGATCAAGTAAATCTGCTGACATTTTTATATTTCAATCTGAAGTAGTGAACAAAGTCGGCAGCAGCACCTTATGGTGGAGAAAACAGACAATCGGTTCATCTGATTTATTTACATATTTGATGTTATTTTAAACACCTGAACTACACATTTGTTTACATGTGGTTGTTTTGTTTCATACTGTCGTGTTGCTCAGTTTTATATTTGTAAGAGTCGATCTTTTTGAACACTAAAGATTCTTATAATTTGCACAATAATGAATGTCATTTTATTTAAATGTTATTTATTTATTATGTTCATGTTTATGCCACTGACACATCACTTTGTACTTTGTTATTACTAGTGTCGATGACCTCTGACTCTTTTAAGGCCTCATCTTTAATTTTTTAGGTTTATCGTTCCTCTGTTATCTAAGGTTGAGGCATGTTATTTTGATTGTTTTTTAAAATTAAACCTTGTTAAGTGATTTCAGGGCGTGTTTAAGTACTTTTTAAACATTTTGAACATATTTCAAAAATACCGTGATAATATTGATAACCGTAATACTTTGGGTCACAATAATGTTAAATGTTCTTATCGTTACATCCCTACTCTAAACACCATCTCTCCACCTGTTACAAGTCAAATAATGTCGAAAGAGAGAGAGAGAGTCTAAATAAACACAATGGGTGTAAAGAATGAATTGTAGTTGTAGTAAAGTGAAGATAAAGAAAGGCTTTAGAGTGTGGTTTATTAGTGTTTGCGGTCACGCTTCCACCCACTGTGTGTTACAGATAAACTGACATATCCGGGTCTGCTGACTGAGGAAGCTCACACTTACACGCTGGAACCGCGTGTTACCACTATGTTGCACACAATTTAGCCTTTTTTACATCAAAATAATCCAGAATATTCCTGTAATTATGGTTGAAAGAGGAAGAAAAATCGCCGTTTTATTGACTTTACGCCCCTGCTCCGCCTGCGGGGAGGGAGGCTGAGGGGCATCCACACCGGCCGTTATCTCACCCTCTCTGTGGGCTCTGCATCGTCAAAAATACACGTTTATTCTCTATAAAAAGACGTTAAATCAAAACTCACCCCAGTCTTCGCTCGTCAGGAGGTTATCAGCGAAGAAACGAGTGTCCAGATCAGAGAGTAAATCCGCACTCATATCCACAAAGGAGGGCTGCAGTCAGATAACGACGTGATAACAAACAATGACACTAAACTGACGTTTAATCCCGCATTAAGGAACCTCTATGATATCAGATACAGATAAAGTTCATAACTGTAACCTTTCAGACAGTTACTGAAGTGCAAATGTGTTATTTTTATTCGGCTTATCTGACCGGTCGGTGTCTCTGCTCTCCTTTCGCTTCTTCACATATGACAGACAAGGAACCACAGATTCTCCAAAACTAACGCCCACTCCTGAGCAAACAGCCAATCACAGCAAATGATATTTGACTGACGTGGCTAAAAATCCAATCAAACTGTCGGCAGACATCGATTGGGGTACTTGCTATCCTATTAGTGCTGGAAATGAAGGAAGAGGGCGTTTAGGGTGATTCGACCCAATCAAAAGAGCGTATTTTGAGCGACAGGGAGAACCCGCCAATCAGCACGCAGAAATTGCGGGTTTGCGTTGTTATTGACATGCGCACTGGCTAATCGGAGTGTATGGGGATACCAAAAAACATTTGGAGTGAAAATCACGTTGATTCGGGCATTATCACGAAAATAACACGGTGTTATGTAAACAGAGACGAAAAATACAGAAGCTGCTTCACACGTCCAAACCAGCCTACGACTGAGATCCTCATCTATGGTCCTGCTGCTGGATTATTTCCATTCCGAGAGGTTATTTTAAAGATGAAGAGTTATTACATAACTCCAGTGAGGGGCGTATGGGGACAGACTGAACCTCCGCCTGCAGACTGAACTCTGTTTTCGAGCTGTGGGCTTTTCTAATGAATGACAACTGAAGACTGTTAATATGAGCACATACCTGCAGGATTTGCTCCTCCTTTGAAGGACAGTAGAAGCAGATGTTGAACAGAAGACTAACCCTGACTATTTCACTGCATTTTAGCTATACACTGGTGCAACTTACAAATAGAACCTAACTTTATTCTAGTTTATATTCCTGATGGTAATGCCCCCTGTGTTTGAGTGTACGAAGTAAAAATACACCTGAAATCAGAGAAATGCAAAAACAAAATACATCCAGCTCTTTGTTCTCTTTTTATTAAGCGTGTGCCTTAAATTTAACCGCCATCAGACACTGATTCAATAAAGACAAGTAAATAGAGATTAAAGGGATATTCCGGCATAAGTTTAATTCACTCTACAGCAACAAATAATGCTCAGAACAGCACCTAACTTCATCAACAGGACATATAGGGTCACAGCCATAGTACTAGACACCAAACATCTTTTTAACTTTGACTCATTTCTTTAGCAAAGAGGCTAAACACAACTCACCTACTCTCTTCCAGCAGACGCTTGTTTGTAGCGAGACCTCAGGCCAGGCCGTGGTCCTCAGTTGGAAAAAGGTAGATTGCCTTCTCTGGGTCGGAGGGGAGGTCCTGCCTCAAGTGGAGGAGTTCAAGTATCTCGGGATCTTGTTCAGGAGTGAGGGCAGGATGGAGCGGGATGCGGTAACTTAACCGATCTGTCGTGGTGAAGAAAGAGCTGAGCCATAAGGCGGGACTTTCGATTTACTGGTCGATCTATTTGCCGATCCTCACCTATGGTCATGAACTTTGGGTAATGACCGAAAGAACAAGATCGCTGATACAAGCGGTTAGAACCGCTGCTCCTCCACGCCAAGAGGAGTCAGCTGAGGTGGCTCGGGCATCTGGTTAGGATGCCTTCTGGATGCCTCCCGTTAGAGGTGTTCCAGACATGTCCCACCAGGAGGAAACCTCGTGGCCGGCCCAGGACCAGGTATTACCAGGGATTAAATCTCTCGCCTGGCAAGGGAGCGCCTGGGAATCCCCCCGGAGGAGCTGGTGGAAGTGGCTGGGGTGAGGGCCGTCTGGGCTTCCTTCCTGAAGCTGCTGCCCCCGTGACCTGGACCTGGATGAAGCGGAAGAAAGCGACGATGACGACCTTAGGAAAATGTTTTTCCTTGAGCTGCGTCACCCCGCTGTAGTCCGTAATGGACTGGCCTGAGGTCTCACTACAAACAAGCGGCTGCTGGAAGAGAGTAGGTGAGTTGTGTTTAGTCTCTTTGCTAAAGAAATGAGTCAAAGTTAAAAAGATGTTTGGTGTCTAGTACTATGTCTGTGACCCTATATGTCCTGTTGATGAAGTTAGGTGCTGTTCTGAGCATTATTTGTGGCTATAGAGTGGCGTTTGGTTGAGGTTTGTTTATGGCTCCTCAGACCACTGTGTATTACTATCCTGCGGTCGTTACTAAAGTTGGTATAACTAGAGAAGAAAGCAGTCGGCAACATTCATCTCTGGAGGGGGGGTCTAACTCTGTGTTACTGTGTGTTTGACCCTAAATAAAAAATTTTATGATCCTTTTAAAGCCAAATTTAAACTGGAGTTTCTTTAGTTCTGTTTACTCAAAACTGTTAAAAGTTCCTCCATGACAAACCTCATAAATCAGGTTAAGTTAAAGATTACATGTGCTGTGAATGACCACAAGATGGTGCTGTTTGATCTGCTGAAACATGGCAAACCAATACAAAGGCAGTGTTGAACCTGGAGCTGCGATGCATCTTAAAGAGATTGAAAAAAGAAATAAACAACAGACTGATATTTCAAACATAAATGTAAAACCAGGGGAAAAACAGACCTTAACGTAAAGACCAAAGAAACAGAGTGAAACAGATCCCTAAAGGAGACTTTTAACGGCTGCTACGAGGTTTCCTTTAGTCCTCCGTAAAGTTACACTGAGACCAGCTGGACCATGAACTGATAATTAGGGTAACTTTGAAAGTGACCTTAAAACATACAAGAAACAAGACAACAGACCTGAAAACTCTCCTTTAGGTCATGGGAAACTTGACAGTCAGGACAGATCATGGTCAGCTCAGAGGAAGACCGCTGACCGCTGAGTTCCTGTTCTCTCTTCTCTCTAAAAATCTTCTCAGGTGGAGTCAGTGTGAAGATGGAGACCGTTATAAGCAGCTGTCTGTTAGTCTTCATCCTGGGCTGTAACCTCTCTGAAGGTAAGACTTCAACAATGTCTAAAACCTGAACAGAATAAAAAGTTAAAGTTAGATGAACTTTAAAACTCATTAAAAACTCTTTCAATTATACGCTGAAAATGTTATCATAGTTGTTGGTTTATAGATAAAAAAAGATGTATTTAACAAGGTAACCACCACTTTTTGAATATTTGATTTATAAATGTTAAAAATCTGATCAAATTGGTTTTCAAATCTTTACTTGTGTTTCTCTTGCAGCAGTCAAACATGAAATAGTCCAGGAAAGGACATACATGTCTCTGCACTGTCCTCAGTCTGTGGTTGGTGAAGTGACCTGGAGCAGAGAGAAGGATGGAGTCAGAACTGACATCCTTACAGCTGATAGTGACAGGGACATAAAACACATTCATGACCCGTATAAATATTACAGTTCAGGGGCAGATAAATCTCTTCTAATAACAAAAGTTCGGCTCACAGACAGTGGACGATATTTCTGTAACAGTGAAGCAGCTGTGGATCTGACCGTGGTCCCTGAAGGTAACATCAAACTTTCTTCTTCTGTTTCTATTTGTTTGTTTTTTATCTTTGACTGATGACACTTCAGGTTTAGTGTTTAGTACAGATGTTATTCTGATTTTTCTTGAGGTTTAAAAACTGAATTCACTGACCTGATCTTTTCTCTCTCATAAACCTGAATCTTTCTTCTGCACAGGAACTCTTATTCTCGATGCTAAAGAGAGGACCGATGTCACTCTGAACTGCTCTTCTGATGCTGGAGGATCAGCTGATCCAACATGGAGCACAGGCTCTGGTGAAAAAAACACAAGGGGACGGTTTTATGTTTCATCAGCTGACAGGACTTTGAAGATCAAAAGAGTGAAGCCCGCTGACTCTGGACTTTACTACTGTGATGGAAAAGCTGCTGCTTATCTGAGAGTGATGGAAGAGGATCAGTCTGAGGGAGGTGAGAGACCAGAACTCAGAGAGGAAATCAAGTTTCTACAGTACGAAACAGTCATTTCTGTTTTCTTCATCCTGTTTTATTATTAACTTTAGGTAAAAAGACAGAAACCAAGACAACAAACAGAGAGAAAACAGAGAGAATGACAGAAACTGTACCAATAAGACCACCACCAACAGACGGAGACAGGACAACAACAGAGGAAACAGAGAGAACGACAACAACACAACACACAGACAGTAAGTCAACCCTGGTTTTAATATTGGAGAAGTATTTATTAAAACATGTTCAGTCTGCTCAGATCTCAGAGAGGAAATCAAGTTTCCGCAGCACTAAACAGTCATTTCTGTTTTCTTCATACTGTTCTATAATTAACTTTAGATGAAAAGACAAAAACCACGACAACAATTCAGCCTGAGACAAAGAGAGAGGAAACAGAGAGAACGACAGAAACTGTACCAATAATTACACCACCAACAGACGGTGATACGACCACGACAGAGGAAACAAAGACAAAAACAACACAACACAAAGACGCAAAGGACACCAACAGTAGGTCACTACTGGTTTTAATATTGGAGAAGTATTTCATAAAAATGATCAGTCTGAAGAGAAACACTCAGAGACACCGTCTGAGTTCAACTTGTACTAAAATAAAACTGTTGAGGTTTTTGTCAGATATGGAAAGTCACACATCTCTGCGGTTTCAGCTGTGAGGAACACGCTGCTAAACAATTAACCACAATGCATCAGTGAAGGACTTCTGAAAAAGTGACATTTAGTTCAAGTTTTGCAGTTCATGATAACTGTACTTTAGGAAATATTTAGTGATTCGCTACAGAAGATTCAAAATCTAAACATCATTTTTATTCATGAAATGTATGAATTAAACATACGTGAACAACCTGCATGTTGTTAAATTTTCGGAAGACAAACATCTACAAACCCGACTCCACCGTTAACATCAGAGGGGTCCTCAGAGACCTGCTGTTTGACTGAATAATGACACTAAAGTCACTCTGACTGTCTGATGGTGAATGTTTCTTTGTCCTTCAGATGCTCCTCACCTGTTTCACGTACCTGTTCGTCTTGGGTTTGTGATTCTCTATTTAACAGTCCTGATCGGAGTCCTGGTGTTTACCTGGATTAAAGGTGAATGTGGTTTGTTGTGAGTCTGAAATAGTTCTGTATTCCTAAAACTAGAAACATACTCATTAAAAATGATTAAATTTGGGGTGTTGGGCACTCTGGTGTCCCTCTGGCTTAAGTCTGACTCAGAAGCATAAACCGGTCTTCCCTGGCCCCCCTTCTTTCATAGTCTTCCCCCTTTCACTCTCTCTTCTGCTGGATTCAGCTGGGCCCATGTAAACAAGGATTTAAACTGGATCACTTCATTTTAAGTTCATGTATACAGGTCACATCTGATTCACTTAAAACGATTATTTTTAATCGTATTGGGGAAAATGTTGCTTATAAACGCAGATATTAACAGCTCAGTTCAAGTGTAGAGCTGACAAACTACACAGTCTACAAATGTCCACTAGATGGCGCTGTTTCTATTGGCACAACTTTACCGTCAATGAAAAGAAAGGTGTCTCCTAAAATGATCACTAACTTAGATACTGACCCTGTATAAGAATAAATAAGAGAAGAAAGATGGTTACAAAGAAATCCTCCATGTTTGTCTTCTGTCTTTCACAGTTGGACAGATGAAGAAGAAGAGACTCAGCAGAAAAGTCTCCACAGAGTCTCTCTGAAGCTGCTGCTGCTGCTCAAACGACCATCAGGCTCTTCTTCAACTGGGTCAGAAGATTTCAAGACTTCTGTGTGAACTTTGTGGACCAGGAGAGGAAGAACTGGAATCAGCTTTTCTGCGTCTGCATTTGTATTTATATCTGCTTTTATCTGAGTCTCTTGTATTCCTTTAATCCGTTGAATCCAAGCTAAGAGGATTTTAAGACCAATAAATGAAAACAGTTGATGCAAGTTTGGAAATGTGTTTTTGTATAAATAAGCACAAACTTTGATTTCAGGTGATTTATAAAAGATTAAATCGTGTTGGACGTACCAACCTCACTGTGAAACAAACAGACACCTTAAGGGTACCGAGATTCAGATGAAACAAGTCTTCTCCAAATAGATGCTTCACTGAGGTTTAATTAATGAAATAGAAAAACCTCTAAACTCTGGGTTGAGTAACTTTTATGGATATTTATAAATGTGGTTTGAAACAGAGCAATGAGAAAGTTTAGAAACTGGTTTGTGGTCCACAGAAACAACTCTAAAAGATGACCTTTAGGGGCGCTGATGGTCTGGTGCCTAAATTACATAGATAAAAAAAAAAGACAAAAATGCCCAAAAACAACTTCAGCTGATGTCTTAACATTTTCCTGGATTGGTCAGTTGTGACATAGGTAACTTTAATACTGAAGCACTGAAAAGTCCCTTTACTGTGGAAAACACTTTAAAACCAGAGCCAAAGTTCACCTGAAACACCCACTTCAGTGAAGTTTGGTGCTTAAAGGTGACTTAGAGAGTCTGAACCGAGTGCAGGTTTCACTGGTCTTAAAGAAAGAGGTTAAAGGGACCTGACTGAGACTCAACAGGGAAGTGAGACGGGCATCTAAGAAGCTTTAACCATCCCTGCACTGTTGGCAAACAGAGCGTTGACCAGGAGCTGCTCTTTTATCTGTGCCGTGACTGAGAGACAATCATTCTGCAGAATTAGAGGAAGCGCCGGGGGCTCATTAACCACAGGATGAAACAGACACAGTCGCTGATATAAAGCGACAGTGTGGCTTTTCGTGTGAGAGGAACACACGCTAACAGTTCCTGTTCACGCTGAAAAAACTCGAGTCAGTCTGAAGATGGAGACGGTTTTAAGTATCTGTCTGTTAGTCTTCATCCTGGGCTGTAACCTCTCTGCAGGTAAGACTTTAAAAACATCTAAAACCAGTTTAAACCTTTGAATCTTCTTTAAAGATACGATTATAAACTTCAGTGAGTCACAAATGTTCACAAGAAATTCAGCGGCTGATGTCAACGAGGGAAAAGTGTCTTCAGAAGTTTTTAGATCGTCCTCAAAGATTGAAGGTTTCATCAAAAATGTGCAATTAGGATAAAAATCCACAGGCGATCAGGGTTGAGTTAACTTTAGCTAAACTTTGAGGATGATCAAACAAATATGGGGACGGTTTTTATCAAACTTGTTCATTTCGATAAGAAAATCTCACTAAAAGGAACAAATAAATCCATTTATCAAGATCTCAGTCTGTGAATCTAGAGGATAAAAACAACTTTAAGTTTGACTTTAACAACTTTTTCCAGTTCGTTTATAAAAGCTCATACAGATGATGTTTTTTAATGTAAACTTGTTTTTCTTTTGCAGCAGTCAAACAAGAAATAGTCCAAGAAAGGACATACGTGTCTCTGCACTGTCCTCAGTCTGTGGTTCGTAATGTGACCTGGAGCAGAGAGAAGGATGGAGTCAGAACTGACATCCTCACAGTTGATGGTGACAGGAACATAAAACACATTAATGACTCACATAAATATTACGATTCATTGGCAGATAAATCTCTTCTAATATCAAAAGTTCGTCTCACAGACAGTGGACAATATTTCTGTAACAGTGAAGCAGCTGTGGATCTGACGGTGGTCCCTTCAGGTAACATCAAACTTTCTTCTTCTGTTTCTATTTGTTGTTTTTTATCTTTGACTGATGACACTTCAGGTTTAGTGTTTAGTACAGATGTTATTCTGACTTTTCTTGAGGTTTAAAAACTGAATTCACTGACCTGATCTTTTCTCTCTCATAAACCTGAATCTTTCTTCTGCACAGGAACTCTTGTTCTCGATGCTACAGAGGAGACCACTGTCACTCTGAAATGCTCTTCTAAAGCTGGAGGATCAGCTGATCCAACATGGAGCACAGGCTCCGGTGAAATACAGTCACAGAGACGGTTTTATGTTTCATCAGCTCACAGGACTTTGAAGATCAGAAGAGTGAAGCCCGCTGACTCTGGACTTTACTACTGTGATGGAAAAGCTGCTGCTTATCTGAGAGTGATGGGAGAGGATCAGTCTGAGGGAGGTGAGAGACCAGAACTCAGAGAGGAAATCAAGTTTCTACAGTACAAAACAGTCATTTCTGTTTTCTTCATAATGTTTTATAATTAACTTTAGGAAAAAAGACAGAAACCACGACAACAAACAGAGAGGAAACAGAGAGAGCGACAGAAACTGTACCAATAAGACCACCACCAACAGACGGAGACAGGACAACAACAGAGGAAACAGAGACAAAAACAACACAACACACAGACAGTAAGTCAAAACATGTTCAGTCTGTTCAGATCTCAGAGGAAATCAAGTTTCTGCAGAGGAGGAAGTCAGACAGAGCTTTTCACACTCTAGGCCTGTGCTACCTACAATGCAGCCCGACCTTTGTAATATGGTTGCATTGAGGGTAGTGAGGTCGCTGCAGTAACTCGACATGCATGCATTCAAAAGTCATAGTTTGAGGTCGTCTTCACGAGGCTCATGTTCAATAGTATAAAGACTGAGGTATTTTCCATCGCTTGTACTAAACTCTCTGAGGAAACAGTCATTTCTCTTTTCTTCATACTGTTCTACAATTAACTTCAGGTGAAAAGACAGAAACAATGACAACAACTCAGCCTGAGACAAACAGAGAGGAAACAGAGAGAACGACAGAAACTGTATCATTAAGACCACCATCAACAGATGGTGATACAACCACGACAGAGGAAACAAAGAGAACGAGAACGACACAACACACTGAGGACACTGACAGTAAGTCAACCTTGGTTTTAATATTGGAAAAGTATTTCATAAAACATGTTCAGTCTGTTCAGATCTCAGAGACAGTCTGAGTTTAACTTATATAAAAATGAAACCGTTGAGGTTTTTTGTCAGATATGGAAAGTCACACGTCTCAGTGGTTTCAGCTGTGAGGACAACGCTGCTAAACAATTAACCACAATGCATCAGTGAAGGACTTCTGGAACAGTGATAAAGAGTTTCACACCCTCAGATCATTTTTAGAAGTGTCTTCTTTCTTGACCTTGTTCTCAGGGTCTTTCATGTTTGTCTCGTTTGCTTTTTTTGTCTCATATCCTCAGTCTTGATGCACCTCAGTAAATCTAAATAATATAATCACATAATATTGATAAATTTAAACTTACTAAAGATTACCCTTTGTTTTTTCTGTTCCACGTAGAGGGGAAGAAGACAACACCAACCACACCTTTAGGTAAAGAACCAAAGCAGAAGAGTCCTCATGCAGATGTTAATGCTTATTCTTACTTGTTTTATCTGAAGTTTTGCTGAAATCTGAACTATTTGCAGGAAAGTGTAAGCTGTGTTTTCTAGTTAAACTCTGAGTTTTGTGTCTGTAAAGTGTCTCACACTGCAGTCATTAACGTTTATTAAATATTTCCAGTTTGTAAATTCTACCCTTTGTTCCAGTGTTGGGAGCAGCTGTCTCGTTCTTATTCATTGTCTTCATCGTTATTATAATTGTCTTCAAAAGACGCAGATCTAAAAAACAAGGTGAGTAAACTTGATTATTTCTTTGAAATGAATCTAGAAAGGCGTGATCAGATGTTTAGTCTTACTCGGGCTGCTGTAATCCGATATTCTCCTCATAATTCTGGCATTAAATCGAGGAATAGGATTACTTTTTAATCATTAAATGTGTTCAGAATGAGGGCGTGTTTCTTCGCAGCAGGATATGTAATCGTTGAAGTCCCTAACTGAGTGAAGGTCAAACTGATCATTTCTCAGAGTATCTTCAGATGTTCTGAGGTAAGGGCGGTTCGTCTGCAGGAAATGGCGTCTTTTCTCACTTTGATCTTTATCTTTGTGGTTGTTGTTGTTGTTGTTTGCTCACAGGCAAAGATGAAACTCATGTCTACGATGAAATACAGGAAGGACTGGTCTGTGGACCGAACCAAAATGACCCTACATACTCCATCATCTCTGACCTCCCACTGACGGGAAAGATGAACGGTAAACATCCACCGTCATCATCATCATCATACATTTGAGCAGATACAGGAAGTTCATGCTTTAAACTTTATCTTACAGTCACAAGCCTGGCAAACGAGTCCCCTTATTCCTTAATCGAGGACACTCGTACTGGTAACGTATTTATTTAGCTCCACATGAGACACCTTTACATCAACACTTACAATCATCTCGAAAAGAAACGGATGTGGTTGGAAATTCGCCCACGATGATTATGAAATGTGACATTTCAGTTTGTCACTCTTTTTAAACAGTTATTAACCCTTAATACGTCCAAAACATCCATACAGACTTATGTTTAAAATAATGAACTTTAGGATGCCTCATGAAACAGGAATTTGCCTTCATTTCTCACCTCTTGAATTTTGGAAACAGCTGTTTTTGCTGATCTATAACGTGACGTGAACCGTGCTGACAACACCTGGTCTCAGCAGGTAGAAGAGAAACGAGGAATTCATTTTTCTGCAACGCTACAGTGTGCAGACTTGATAGTAGCAGGTTATCAGCTTTAAAAGTGTGTTTACAGTGATGATCTGATTATTTAAAATCATCTTATTTTTGTGCACTTAAAAAAAAAAAAGATAATATCTTAATATTTGCCACATGCAATAAATCCTAGTAAGACAGTGAGCAGGACTGCAAACCTGAAACTGCACAAACAGGAAGTACAGAGCTCGACAGTGCAACGGTTTCACTCGCATTTGCGACTAAAAATAGATGTGTGCGAATTGTAAAATGTATTTAGAGGCATAAAAACAAAATCAGCCGAGGCAACAAATGTTTTTTCCTGTAAATACGGCGGTGAAGTTAGTTTTAGTTTGGATACTGGACAGACATTTACTGCCGATGTACCGGTGTCTTCTCACTCTCCATAACCTGAAATAGCAACAGCAGCGGTCAATGTCAGGTGTTGAATAAGGGACTGTCAGTAAATTACCAGTTGATGTTCTCAGAAAAGGCAGTTTTCCTTTAATAGCTTCCATTTCTAATAATCGTACTAAGGTCGACCAATAAGACAAACATTATTTGATCAATTTTCATCGTGCCCCTTAAGTTCTTTGTGTGCTCCTTACTTTTTCAACTTTGGCGCACATGTGCTCCTTGTGAAAAAAGTTAGTGTCAAGCCCTGAAGTACTTTCAAGAGCTACACAGCTGCACAGAAACTGCACATTGCTGACAACCAAGGACACATTTTCACCCTTTCATCATAGAGCGGGTGTTGGGTCTAATCCAAATTTTCTGGTAGTTGATTTTAAATCACGAAGCTGTCAAACGTTCTGTTCACTGAGTTCTTTTTAATTTGCAGGTTCTACACAGACGGCTGAAGGTCCTTATTTCTTACTGCAGAAACCAAAAACTCTTGAGAACAACTGTGACGTGACGACAGAGGTTTGAGTCCTTGGGATAAATCCATGAGGCAGATTTCGATGCTGCTGTGTTTCAGCAGCTGAACAGTAACATTAGCTGTTATTTAGATCAATGACCTGCTCCAAAGATTCATGTCTGTAATAAATTTATAGAAAACTTATTTTTCCTCTTCAAGTTTGAATGTTTGTAAATATATTATATCATTATCTTTAATAAAAAAAATACCAATCCTGTTTTTTTGATTTCTTCATGCACATGTTTAACTTTCTTCTCTGTTGGTATAAAGTTGTAAGCTATGGTTCGATTTCTAACCACGACTCTTTGTTGCACGTCCTCCCCCTCTCTCTGCTCCCCACACATCCTGTCTCTCTTCAGATGTCCTGTCTAACAAAAAAAAAGAGAGACAAAATTATCCCCAAAAAAAAGCTGAGAAGTTCAGTTTGTGTTTGCAAACTTTATCATTCAAGGTTGAAATCCTTTTACTACTAATAAAAAAAAAAAAAGTAAACATTTTTGCAGTTTTATGAGGTTAAATCAAGCGTTAAGGGTTTTGATCCAGAATGAGAAACAATGAAAACAAGAACACAGACCTCGTCACTATTGTACCATACATTTGAGGTTTTTTTGACCTCTTTCTTTCTGATGGTGTGATGGAAAACCAACATTCTCTGTTCCACATTTCACTTCACTTTACAGCCTAACAACACCGGGTGGACCTGAATCAAACCTTTCCCAATTCCTTTACAGTCGAGACGCTAAACCGGCTCTTTTTCTGGTGAATTCTGTGATCTCATGAGTCATTTTCACAATGAGAAGTCTTGACGACACCGCCCAACCGTGAGAAGACGCAGTGTCAGGGTCAGTTCACATAAAACCGCATTAAAATTGTTCCTCTTTCGTGGGTTAAAAAGGTGCATGTTTGGTTGATCGTTGGGTAGAAATAACCGACACGTCAGCGCTCTGCCCTCCTGTCAGAGCCAGGCCCTGTTACTTCCTCTGTACTTCACACTTCTCTTTATTTTGGAACCTGTGATGCAGAATGTGACCACCCTGACCTCTGCATACCTGCGAGTTCACTTTGACGGTCTCCGTGTTTGATCCGAATGTACCACCCAGAGTTTCTTTTCATCACCGCACTGAGGAGGAGAGAGTGAGTCAGAGATGTAATCGATTAAAATTGCATCAGTTTGTCATGAATCATTGTCGTCATACTCAGTAAAGCTTCTATAAGGTTTTTTTTGTTTGTTTATTAATTGTGGTTTTGGTTGGATGCAAAAGAATTTGATGGTAAAATCTTTAAGAAAATGGAGCAAACAAAAAATGGTGGACAGAACCTTCTTGTCCTTAAAGGCCACCGTCACTTGACTACAACGGGGGTGAGCAAGGGGGCTTTGGATCTGGAATACGTGTGCTAGATACTGTTATGAAACCATTTGACTGTCATAAGTCTAATATTATTATTATTGACGACTTAAGCATGCAGAGACTGCTTTGTCCACAGGGGGCGCCAACATTAACACATGACAAAAGTTCCTTACAGGAGCTTTAAAGGTGGGGTAGTCAGGATCGGATGAAGTTCCAGTTTTTAGGAGAAATCTTGAATGTAAACTCGACCCCTCCCAACCAGTTTCCCCCTCAGCTCCTCCTCTCCCCTCTCTCTCTTAAGCCCCGCCCACAAACAGACGCTCGTATCGTTCCAGTTAAATTCAGATATAATGCAGATAAATACTTCAGATCATTACAAATGGGACCCAGTCAAGGTGAAAGTCAAAAGCATTGGTGCTACTGTAGACGCCAACAGACTACCAGCAAACACAATGTTTGCAGGACTTCTACAACTAGGATAAAGTGACATAGTCCAGGACCCGAGGTCAACAGTTAACGGCACTACAACAGGCAACACTTCTGTTACAGACACTTGTCTTACTTTGTTAAAGCGGTTTACCTGTCCAGCAGAAAGGTTACAGGGTCACTAAGATCCCCAAGCGTCCCCCATCGTTTATGTTGACCCGGCTTTTTTAGCTCTTGTCCGGTCTACCTCCGTTTTAAGCGCCCGTTATTCCTCCAGAGTCTCCGGTATTTACTTTGTTTTCTTGCTTGTGTCGGCAGTCGTGGCCAAAGGAGGATTCAGACAATTTTCCAAACTTTCTGGTTGGTTTTTACTGTCCGATATTGTAGCACGCTAACTTTGTTTAGGCTCGTGAATGTTATTAAATGATGTGGAGCGTGCCTCACAACATGAGGGAGCAGCGTCCGCCTCACAACCAATCAGGTTGGGGAGGTGAAGAGCGGCTCTGTTTACACTCAGAAGGGGCGGGCTGTGCAAAAAATCTAAAATGTTGACTACACAGACATAGGAGAACACAGAGATATCGTTATATTACCAAATGTCATCAATAACTAATAACTATTGACTGATATTAGAAGATTTCTTGTATATACACCACAAAAACGATGCTTCTTTAACAGAATCCTGCCTACCCCACCTTCACCTGTGTTTTAAACTGAAAATACTACGTCTTGTCATATTACACTGATGAAGTAAAAATGTGGATTTTCCAGGTGAGCTGTTTCAAAAGCTGTATTTAAGGACAGAAGAGGAAACTCACGGTCTGAGCGTAAGTTTTTATTCATTGTTTCATTGGTCCGGTTGATTTTATTTCTGAGGCTGTACAGTGACCTCCTTTTTTTTCCAGAGTGATGACGCTCAGCTCTTCAGAGTCCCTTGGGAGGAGGAAGAGGATCAGCGACGTGGAAAAGTGTCTGTCAGCCCGAAGCTGATCTTCAGTCTGAGGTTTATCCTATGAAGATGATCCTGCTCTTGGTCCTCTGTCAGGTTTGGATCCTGCACACGGTCTTGATCTTCTGCAGAGAAAACTCCACAGGTACAGCTGAGGAGCATTTCTTTGGTTTGAGTTTTAACAGAGTGATCAGTTTTATTCTGGGTTTCTGATACATGTGCAGAGCTTGTTAAACAGTTATTTTAATACCTTTTAATGTGAGAACGATGCAGAAAAGAAGCTAAATAATGAAACCTGTGCTGAAATTTTTGTGAAAATGAAAAGGAACTATTTTAAATATTTCAAAAAGTTAAAACAATCCAAAGTTTTGACTGAGAATGTGGATATTTAAACACGAATCCCCATTTTTGATGTTGATCCTGATTTTCCCTTCTACAGTTTTATTCTGTTTGACACACAAACTTTAAGTTATTCAATCTAAAATTAAAAGAGTTTTAGACTCCCTGTAGCTATTATTAAAGTTGACTGGATATTTCCTGGTTGTTATTTGGGGCTGATCGGACGTCAGAGAGCGTGTTTCCACGAGATAAAAGAAAAAAAAAAAACAGATCATACAGGAAACGGGCTGAAAACTCATCACTATCAGCAGGACGTGAATAATGCAGTCTACGTCTACATTAAGAGGTTAAAGAGATGTCAAAATGAAACCCTAAAAAGTTTGTACAATTCCTTTAAAACAGAAACCATCTGTTAAAGGTGCAGTACGCAAATTTAAGCTCAGAAAAAATGGACTTTAAAACTCATAAGTGTGTTTTGATAAGTGATTAGTCAAAGTAAAAACATTCATATTTTTCGTGGTTGTTTGGTGTAAAAAACAAAAATATAAACTTTTTAACATTTGACTTGATGTAATGTCAAATATTCAGCTGCATAAAGCAGAACTTTTACTAAAGCTCAGTACCCGGATCCCCTAAACTCTACCGTTGTCTTTTTCATGGCTCTTCCTTGATTTCCTGTAAAGTTGGTCGAAACTAAATCGTCGTTGACACTTTGAAAATACGTGAAACATTATAAAACTGGAGTTTCTTCTGTGATAGTTTCCCTCTCCTCCAGCAGTGATCCGGTTTTCAGTCCCGGAGGATCATCACATCTGTCTGCGGTGTGCTGGTCCTGATGACTCTTATGTAGTCTGGACTAATCAGGACAGGACAGTCTTGGTGAGTCGGCAGGAGGACAATGAGACCAACGAGGACCCTGACCGGTTCCTCCTGCTGTCTGACGGCAGTCTGCTCCTCCTGAAGCTTCAGGACTCAGACAGTGGAGAGTACCGCTGCAATGAGAGGCTGGTGGCTGAGCTGCAGGTGCTCACAGGTGAGCCGGGAGAGGGGCTGGAGAGGTGCATTGTGGGACGACGGCACTGCTACTGAGCCATGAAACCAAAAAGACTTCAGTTTCTGAAGTCTGGATTTCAGCAGCTCAACTTTGTTGTGTTTTTTTACTTCATGATGCTTTAACTATATGTTCTCGGCCACCGTACCAAGACTGGAACGGCCACTGCTGCAAATAAAACAAGAATGCAAAAAAAAAAGAAAAAAAAAAAAGGAAACTGAAACCCGATGCAAATAAAAAAAAGAAACGGTGCAGATAAAAAAATTTTAGAAAGCCATAATGGAGGTTAACGACGCAAAAAAAAAGTGCTGATGGAAAAAAAACAAAAAAAGCATTACTTACTGCGAAAATAAAAAGATACAAATAAAAAAAAAAGAAGCCACAACAGAAGTGAGCTGCCGGGGACAAATAATGATGATGTACCAATGTTTTACAATCTAGGCACAGAAAATGACGGCGAGAAGTCGGGAGTCGGGGCCAGTACCCGATGTATCTGAACAGGTTAGCTTACGAGCTAAAGTTACTTAGCACAGATGAAAGTTAAAACAAAGACATTTAGCAAACTGTTAAAGCACACAAACCATCCTTCAGGTCGTTATCTTTGTAATTCGACCGTGATACGAAAAAATAAATGCCGTAACAACACAGGACGGGAAAAAACGTCGCTGATGTGAACGCTTGTATCGACAGGATACGGGTTCAAAAAAAAATATTGATGCCCGAAATAATCCCACGATAAAAACGGTCCCGGTGTGAAAGGACCTTTTGCCTGATCTTATCAGGTCTTTTACTTTGAAATTCTCTTTTGAATTAAAGTGGATTCACAATTGTTCTTCTTTGTATCTGTTATTTCAATCAGTGCCAGCTTCAGAGAGACCAACAGAAACCCACTGGCAGCCCAGAGGGAAGTAAAACAGTCTGGATGTTGGTGTGAAAAAGCCTTACATAATGAATATCTTTGCTGTTACTTCTGCATTTAAAGAGGAAGTTTAAGGTTGGACTCAGAGTCACAGACTGGGACTCAGTTTGAGAGTTATTCCCCTCCCTCAGATATCAAATCTATAAATGAAGGAGGGGAAAATTCAGAGGTTGTTTAAAGATAGCACTAACAGACTGATTCTCATCACGCCTCCTCAGGTCGTGACTTCTCGGTGTCTGCAGGCCGCACGCTGCTACTCCCCTGCAGCGGCTCCTACAGACCCAGATTGAGGTGGTTTCACCGGAAGAGGGCAGGCGGGAGGCGGGAGCTTATCTTTACCTGGTTTGGAAATGGGACAGTGAAACCAGAGCGAGAAGGGGGCCGGCTCAGTTACAGGAATAATAGCCTACAGATCCAGAACCTGCAGCTGGGGGACGCTGGAGAGTACCTGTGTAACGGAAATCTGCAGGCCAGACTCACCGTCCTCACAGGTGAGAAGAACTGAGCAGAAACCTCAGTGTTAAAATACCAAGTGTCAAAAACTGCAGTTCCTTGAGTGTCCACTGGAGGCTGACTGCAAAAAGTGAGTCAATCCTAACTTGAAGCCTCGGTCTCTACAGATACACTAATGATTTATCTGATTGAAGAGACACTCAGAGTAGTGACCTGTCTTTGCAGAGGAGGATTTAATTTAGTAAATAAAGCAGGAATTGAATCTTTGCAGCAGTATTAACAGAAACTACAGTTTACTGAAAGAGATGGCACAATTTTAAAAAAGGTTTGTTTTTAATTTATCAGATCAGTCGGACCCGAACAGCAAAACTACAACACCTGATGTGACAACGACGGGTAGGACTTTCTCTTCCATCATTTAAAACGTCTAAATGAAACAGGAAAACTTCACCACAACTCCTCTCTCCTCCCAAAACACACTGATCGTCTATTACATTCATTAGTCTTTCTGTTTTTGCATTATTGACACCTTGATAGACCACATTGACCACTTTTATAATAATTGCCCTTTAAATTTATTTTATAGTTTTCCTTCTTGTAGTATAATTTTGAGTCTAATTCAGGATTTTGTTCTTTGCTTTTATTTTTCTTTCTGCTCGTTTTTTTCAGTAGAAACAAAGAAGAAGGAGAAGAGGAGAAATGAAAACGGTTGGTCGGCTTTGCACGCTCCTCATACCTCACGCTGTTTTCTCGTCTGTGGGTGGTTTCATGATGGTTTCTCTTTTCTCTGTTTGATCTCTGTCAGTCCTGCTCATGGTCGCTGTGGTCGGGTTGGGGTTGATGATCTTGTTCCTGGCGGCCGTTTGTGTTTTACTCACCAGCATGAGGTGCAGAAAGGAGAAGAAGTACAGCAGATCAGGTAGGCGGTCTGATGTATGGGACGCCAAGAGGGTCATTATTTCTATACTTGGTGTCCATCAGCACCGAGGATTGAGGTTAAAAAGGCCGGTATGCTGCGAAAAGAGGTTTGAACAAGTCAGTCAAGCTTTATTTATACATCACCTAGAGACGTCTGCGCACTAATACCAATAAAATATATGTAATTAAAACAACAAGAGTTAATCATAAGTTAAAGCATCAAAAATGACATTAAAAATAAAATGATAAAAAGCACTCAACTCAAAAAAGAAAAAAGAAAATGAGAATGTAAGAAAGTCAAAAAGATGATAGGGGCCTGTTTCCACCGACGATAAAAGGGTCCAACTTTGTCTGAAACGGCGCTGATGAATAATCTAAACAAACTTGTGTTTTCATCGGTGAAATTTCCAGTCCAGAGCTGATGCTAATGCCAGGATGTGTTTCCTTTCCATCACTGAAAGTAAAGCAAAATTAAAGTGATTAAAAACAGACCGATCAGTCAAGACAGTCAGTGGACACGGGCCCTCAAGCGGACATGTTTTAAGGACGTTGATAATCTTGACTCAGAGAAAAACTTTCCTTTTCTGTATGTTCATACCTTTGGTTTAAGGATTGCTAAAATAATTACTACTTGCTTTAAAAAAAAAAAGAGTGTAAGCGATGTTTAGAGTCTCTAAGATTATTTCAAGTTTTACTTTGACACAAAAACTTCTAAACTTATATTAAAGGATTATAGAGAAAGTTCCAGAAAGAAGCTTACTCAGAGAATCAGAAAAGCTGTCCTCACCTGTATGTTCACCTTCTTCTGTTCCAGCATCACAGCGGAATGAAGACACCGAGCTGCAGCTGTGGAAAACCTCCGACACACACACCGGTAACTCCATCTGACTTCATGTTTCTGTGATCCTCAGGAGCAGAGCCGACTCGAGAGTGTGCTGGGGCCCCAAGCAAAAATTCTCAAGGGGCCCCTCTGACAAGCATTAAACATATAAATAGGGCTAGGGTTCTTCGTCGATGTAGTTGATGTGATCAACTTCGAAAATTCATTGATGCGTCGCATGATGACGTAGACAATTGCTACTTTAGGTAACGGTAGAGGCATGGACAGAAAACGAGCTACTTTAGCAGAAAACGAGCTACTTTAGCATGATCTATGAGCAGCTCCTCTAAATCAGTAGTCTTCCAGGCTTCCTCATTCACATTTCCAAGATCGCGCTGCTTTCATTCAAGAAGACATGCAGTGACCTGTCAATCAAATAACCCACCGCTGATGCAGCAAACGCCAGAGTGGACGCTACATCATACGCCCTGCATCTCATATTTAATTCATTCACTTTAAGCAGTTAGCTCAGAGTTGAAGCATCAGTTTTATGCTCTTGTTTGTCCTATAACTCACTAATTAATCAGCTGTGTGATCGCAGACGATAGCTCGCTAATCCTAATACTCGGCACACGTGAGCTCCGCTGCACATATGTATACTGATACACAGGTAGAGCCACGTAAGAAAAAAACTAATTTTTAAAGTGTGGTGGCTTTTATTTAACCGTGGCGGTGCACCACGATCAATTGCATAAAGGGGAAACTTTTTAAAGACACGTTTTTAATTTTTATTTTGGTTAAATTCATTGTTATATTAATTGGTAAATAAAATAATAAAAATCATTAGAATAATCGATAAATTAGTCAATACATTAGTCAACTAATCAGTTAATAGAAAATCGTTAGATTAATTGACAAAATTAAAATATTCGTTAGGTGCAGCCCTACATGTAAATTATCTTAAACTAACAAAAGAGGTTAGAAACTGAAACTTAAACTGAAACAATTATCATTATTACAACATAACTTGAAATTTAGCTTTAAAATAGCGACAACTCTGGTTTGTTTTTACCAAAATAGTCAGCGCTTCACCTTTGTTCTAAGATTTGATGTCTGAGACTTACTTCAGTATGTTAAATGCTCCAAAGTTGACAGTATTTCATGTAGAAACTAAGCACACTGTCTTAATTGAGATCTACATTTCAAAGCATCAACAGTGTAAAAGTTAAGCTAGTTAAGACACAACTTTCATTAAAAGCATGTCATTAACAGTGAAAGCTTTCATCTGGGTTAGCTGTTTTAGCTGTTATTAGCTGTTTTCCCCTCCAAAACCCTCCATTACTGGTGTTCTAGTAACTTAAGTGATATATCAGCATTGCACCTTACAACTTCTTACAACTTTCTCTTTGTCAGCTAACCTCGCAAAACAGTGCGGGTATGTCAACACACGGTAACAGTGAGCTAACGAAGCGGGAAACCCGAGGCTAGCGTCTCCTGCTAAGCTAACACGGCTAACTACCTACCAAACAATTAACATCCAGACTTAAACCTTATGCTAATTAAAGTGTTTACCAAACTTCGCTTTCTGCTCCACTTACCGATGTTTTGCTTTCTCCTTATTTCCTTCTCTTTCTTTTCTCACTCCCCGATGAGTCACTCCACTCAATTTGATTGACAACTTCCGTGAAGATGGGCGTTGGTCACGTAGCAGTGCGACCATAGATACATACGTAAACGCTAGAGGGCTTACGTACGCTGTTAGAAAATGGAGACCGACGTCCGCGCATGGCGGCCATCTTGCTATGGGCAGCTCACCCACTCATAACATGACAGTCTATGGTGCATGTAGCATTTAAATAACCATAGATTGATTAATTTTAAAACGATTTTCAAACAGTTTGGTTTGTAACAAACCTCAGAGTTTAACTTATGTTCCTGCATACTTAGGAATTATTTTAACCATGGATTTTCATAAATAAACATCAAGCAGATAGGTAGACCAATAGCTATAGGCCTACACACACAGCAGTTATATTAAATCATTTGAAACATTTGATCATTTCATGTATGTTATATTAATAATATTTCTATTATAGGGATAACTACAATAGCATTTGACAATAACATAACATATATGTATTTATTTAAAATAGGCTATCATACAAGAAATTAAAATCTCGATTGTGGTCTCACCCTTGACAGCTTGTGCAAAGAGACTCAAAGTTAACCCTTGCGTGCAAATAGCCGTGAAACAACTGTGCTGCACGATTAAGTCTTTTTTTTTTCTCAAAGAACATCTGCCATTTCAATATTTCCAAGCATCCCGACCATAGACTGTATAAAGAATAGAGTATAGTATATACAGTCTATGATCCCAACTCATAGCCACTTTATTAAGGTCTGTAATGAACAAAAACATTTGTAAATCTGTCAAGATTTCAGAAAGTTAAGACGATTTTTGATCATACAGATTACTCAACCTTTGCAGCTACCATAGAGCGTACCAGTCATCTAGCCTTTCTTATATATATATCTATGGGGGTATCCGTATAAGATGTTATTGCAATATGACCACTGGTTGTTTAGTGGAGTTGCAATAAATTAGGACATTTTTGTCTTGGGGGCCCCAAGTAACTGCCCGCCTTATGTGTTTTCTTTTCAAACAAACCTGCTCCATGTCCCCCTGCAGACCGTGAGGCTGCTGAAAACCTGCCTCTGCCTGAGGAGACCATTCACTACGCCTCTCTGGGCCGACAGAACTGGAGGGACAGACCCTGCAGGACCCCACCAGACCAGAACCAGCACAACGTGATCTACTCGTCTGTCATCACCAGACCTGCAGCGAGATGACAAACATGTCGATGCTCCAAATTCATGCAGTGTGTTTTATTCTCTTGCCATCAGTTTTATTGGAGAGGATCCCCTTTGGAAAACACTGGTGATATAACAAGAAATCACACTGCCATCTAGTGTTTGGGCAGAGTATTGCAAGACACTTTCACTCAGTATAAACCAGGCTTCAGTATCTTCAGACCGAGACAAGCTGCTTTTTTCTGTTTCCAGTCTTTAAGCTCAGCGTTCATGCAGAAGGTACGGATAAGAAATTAAATAAAACATGAAAATAACAAATATGGAGTCCTGCTTTTTCTCAAGTTTGCAGATATTTTTAGAGATAAAAAAAACAATTTATTCACTTTAAACTAAAGCTCTTAACATGACAGTATCAGTATTTAATATATTAATAGAAGAGTCTACATCTTATAGAGTTTATTCCAAACAGAAACAACTTATTGATTGAATCACAGTGTAACAGAATTCATACATATCGCTCCATGTGGAGGGTGTTCAGCTTGTTAACAGTCACAGTTTTTACAGGTTTGAGGTTTTTTCGTCTGAGGAGTAACAGTGAAACTTTATAAAGTGGGAAAAAAGCATAAAAACTGGAGATTTTTCACAGAAACAGAACAGATGCTGACTTATTTTTTTAAGTTTTTAAGGAAAAAAAAGAAATGAAATAGTTTGAAATGACTTTAAAGAACATGAACCAGAAAACATCAGCAGTCATATGATCTGATTGGCTTCTTGTGAGGGGCTACTGTGGAGTAAATGACTTCCTTTTTGACCAATCCCGCCTTCCCGACTCCGCCTCCTCGGCCTGAGGGGTGGAGCTGATCTCTGTGCCTCAGACTGGAATAATGCAAAGAGGCGTCCTGCAGAGACAGACAACAGATTAAAGTTCAGCAAGCAGCTGCAGGAGATAAAAAAGGATATATGCTCCATTCCTATGAGTCTGTTACTCATTTAAGACTATAAAATATATTCATGGTGATATAGACAACCTCGAAAGAACAGTGTCCACTTTACTGGACAGAAACTGGGACTCCTTCAATAAAAACTGTCCAAGTTTCATAAAGGAAGTAATGATCTACTCACCTCTTTGTTCTTTGGACTCCTGTTGGTCCTGCAGCAGCACACACCTGGTATACCTGCAAAGATAACAGGAAATACAGAGTCAGAATAACCTGAAGTAACTCATAACTTCACCATATTTATATCAGCTATTATTATTATAGCTTTATTTTTTCATTTTATTCAAGAACTACTTTGCTGTATGTCATATTAACATGTAATATTTGATATAATTAAAACATTTCAAAAAACTTTAAAAAAAAACCTAATAAATAACATTTTATTTATTTGTAAAGTTAAGTTAATAAGAAAAATATTTAATTACTGAGATAAAAATGCAAAATCACCTGAAAAGACAAACTTATGAAAATAAAAAGATATAAATGAATGAATATAGGTAAAAAAATTCAAATCATAAGATAGAAAAACAAAACATTTCAATTTTGTATCTTGGAATAGAAAGTTAATATTCTCATGTATTTATAAAACTGATCCAATAAAAAAATTACATATATTCCTTTAACCCTAGGACACTCTCGCCGGGTGATTTTCATGATGTTGTGTTTGTCTGAGTATCATGGGGTTCTGGGTAGCTTCAACATTCCCTTTGACATCTTTGAAGACATATTTGTTTCCCTGATTTTCCAAAACCTGCTTTTTCCTACAGACACGTGTTCACAGGCTGATTTTAGTGATAGAGGGTAAAGTAGGTTTGGGTGGGTTTCATAGCTGCATGTAGGGAATAAGGTCAGTAAGTGTGGTCCTGGAATGTACATGCTATCTCTATTTAGCGCAGTGGTTATGAATAACTATCACAAAGTCGTGATTTTCAAGGGAATTCAGATGGTGATAAGAAATATTTTAGTCATTTTACTCCAAATCTGTCATATTCTGGTTCTCTCTCCTGCAGCTGTTATTGTGCCCAAGACCCTGAGTCTGAACCAGGGAAGACTCTCATGCTCCAGTAATGGGTGCATTTTTACATGGTCCCCTCATGGCACTCTCCAAATGTGGACTTAAACTTACAGTTTTGACCTCTGCCTTATATTTGATGCCAGGCTTGTTTTTTTTTTCTCTTTATTAGGCGTAGTTCCTGTTCTCTTCTTTGTCATTGGTGGAAACTGTGTCTGCTGTAAAGATAGCAGCCTGATCTCCATATCAGAGCAGGTGGTGACTTACTGGAAGGAATTCCTCCGTCAGTAAGAGAAAGTGAAAGTATGTCAAGTGAAACCAGAGCGAGTTGTTTATGAGGGAGCAGCCGACAGACACTGACTTTCAGCTCGTCGTTTTTCTACCATTACTTTGAGATAAAAACAACTTTGCAAACTCAGGAGAGGAAACACAGATTTGACTCTTGAAGGAAGATCGACCGCTCCTCTTGGACCATGCCTAACAGTCAGCTGTGTTTGGAGGCCCTGTCGGCTCTCTGCGGCTGTAATGTGGAGCAGACAGACGGAGCCTCCCAGCTCACCCCCCAGGACTTTGTTACCGTCGTAGCTCTGAGGGAGTTTTACAAGCAGGAGGGGTTTAGGGAGCTGGAGTACCCCAGTTTAGGGAGTCTATCACTGCAGGATGACGGGGACCTGTACAGCTCCCCCCTGTCTCTGACTCAGGCCCCCCACAACCCAACAGGGAGCATCAAGGCCACAGTCAAGATCAACCCTCAAGACTTCTTCCACCCAGAGTTCAACTACGACTTCACCAACATTAAGGTAAGAGGTCATGTGACTCAGGCCTGCACACAGTTTATGACCGGCTCTAGTTTGATACTAAATAAGTCAGCGGGCGAGTGAGTGTGTAAGAGAGAGGCGAAGGAGTGGGTGAAAAGAGGAAGAGAGTTTGAGGAGGAAAAGAGGAAAGAGAGAGCCATTAAAAAACAGCTGATGGTCTGTATAGGAGAAGAGCTCCCCCTGCTGGCTGACTGCAGTAAATGTCACAGCACACGTTTTTGTCTCTATTGTTGTTTAAATTCCCTCTGTTCAGATTCATGTCCGAGCGTTTCATTAACATCTCTTTTTCACTCTTAAATATGTGACCTCAGGTCTGGACTCTCAGGTTTTGATTTTATCTCCATTTTTCAAAACTCTGAATGCTGTTTTAAAGGGATATCCGACGTAAAATTAATTTAGGATCAAACACACCGTAACACGACTCTCCCGCTGAATGTGTACAACGCGACTGCGCAATGTTGGTCTCAGGAAATAAAGAAAGATCGTGGAAATACAGATAGTTTTTCAACGTCAAATCTGTATACTGGCGGAAGGTGGAACCAAGTTGTCCACAGTGTATACGGTCTATGAACACAAACTAAACACAACTCACCTACTCTCCTCCAGTCCATCGACTGCTGCGGGGTGACACAGCTCAAGGAAGAACATTTACGATCATTTCTTTATCAGTTCCTTGACGTAATAATCACCATATTAATCTTTTTTCACTGCAGACGCTGTAGTTCTTCTACCTTAGCGTCTCGGTCTGATTGTATTTCCATGAAGAAATGATCATAAATGTTCTTCCTTGAGCTGCGTCCCCCCACTGTAGTCTGTAATGGACTGGCCTGAGGTCTCGCTACAAACAAGTGGCTGCTGGAAGAGAGTAGGTGAGTTGTGTTTAGTCTCTTTGCTGAAGAAATTAGTCAACATTCATGATCGGCAACATTCATCCTTCGGGGGGGTGTCTAACTCTGTGTTAGGTGTGTTTAATTTCACGCCGGAATATCCCTTTAACTGTGTGGAAGTGATCAGCTGTTTGGTTTCTGACGAGCTCGTAGCCTGTTAACATCTCCCCATCAGTCACTCTGTCTCCTCTCTGCTCCTCTCCAGGACGGGAATACAAAGTTCCTGCGGGGTAACGAGCCCTACGTCCGTCCCTGCGGGTGGGACCGTGCCGCTCTGAGGGTCGTCCAGAAGTATGATGACGGGGACGCCTGGCTGGGGACTGGGAAAGGTTCCTGGCCCGTCTCCTACCACGGAACCAACATGGACGGCTCCCTTGGCATCATCTGGACCCGCGGAGGGACCCCCAACGATGACCCCGAGTATCTGGATGCTGCCGCGGCCTCTATGGTCAACGTGGAAACCCGGGGCCGTGGGGCGTACTCTACACCGGACATCGAGATGGCGGGAAAATACTGCAAGACATTCAAGTCCAGAGTAGATGGGAAGGTATACAAAGTGGTCCTCCAGAACCGGATCAACCCGGAGAAGAGGGTGAAGTGTAAGAGAGAGGAGGTGTGGTTGGTCTACATCCCTGAAGGCATGAACGACGTCCAGATGAGGGCCACCATCCATGGAGCGATCCGCCCGTACGGGCTGCTGCTGAAGCAAGCGTGAACGAACTAAAAATACCTCCTTAAGCGCCAACAGGAAGAGAGACTTCACCTCAACTCTTTAAATAACGAGCCGAAACGAATAATTCTAGCTGTTCAGAGTTCATCGAGAACTCTTAGGAGGTGATGCTTCCTGTCAGTGTGTGGTCGTAGGCGAGCGAGGTGTCAAAGAAACTGCTTCTATCAGAGTCTGTGTTCACTTAACCGCATTTATCCGCCTCTTTTTAAAACTCATTTATCAGTTTGGAACTTTTTGAAAAGTTCCTGGCACTATTTTTACTATTTTTCAGGGAACTAATCACACTCAGCGGTGTTGATTTAGGAAAAGTCAAACATCTCCACACTTTTGGGTCAACGTTAAGCCCGACTCTAAAACCACACAGGAACTGAATTTAACCACCTGACCATTTACTCCGTCTGTGAGAGTTTCCTCGATGAGTTTACAGTCATCCTCAAAACACAGTGATGTTAACTGTCTGTAAACACGGAACAGATATTTGCAGTTGTGGTTTTTCTGGGAAAATAAAGGAAAAAGAGACACACAGCTTCATGGAGCTGGAGGGTGATTTCTGCTGCCATCTAGTGGTGAATAATGGAACTCCCCTCTATAATCTGAGTAATCCTGATGCTTTATACTTGAGTTCTCATTTAAAAAAGGCATCGGAGAGATTTCGTGTTATTTTAATGTCCTTATTGCACAAAAGTAGTCTTATCTCTGATCGTTTTGTCTGATGATTATTTTATGATTGAAGCTTCAGCACATGTGAAGAACGTTTGTCTGATCCATTTCTTTGACTCATTTACTAATCCTCTGTTTTTTGTAGTCCATGCTGTTAATAGGACTACAATTCCCAAGAAAGAAGGACATACAGGAGTGGTGTGTTTTTCTTTCCTTTACGAAGAGGGTTTATGATGGATTGTGTATCAATAATAAATATTTGTGATCAGATCCTGGTGTGGGAATGTTCTTTACAGATAAAGTTGAACACTCTGGCGGCTCTTTTTTCTCTGTTGTTTTTCAGTGTTTACAGTAAAATACTGACGCTGGTCCTTAACTTTAATGTCTCAGAGCTCTGGGGTTTCTTTTTTATTGACTCGCCCATCTGAGGATTTTCTTTCTGTTCTCATAAACTGATATCTCACATAAACCAGAGCTGGTTAGACTGGTTTAATACACGACAGAGCCAAAGATCAGTTTGGAGGTGCAGCGTTACATAATCTGCAGACAGATATCAGAGACAAACGTGATTCCTTTCAGATAAAAGTTTTATATTCATTAAAATTTCAGTATTTTATTATATTTGCTTGAACTTAAGGAGAAGATTTCGAACACAATGAAAATCGAACAACATCTCAGAATGACCCTCAGTTTAAACTCATACAATTTTCAAAGTCAAAGCAAACTTTTTCAGCTCTGTAAACTTGTTTGTTTCAGAAGTTTTGGACTTTTAACAGATTTCTGTCAGAATAAAAACCAAAAGCTTAGATTTAATTAACTTTTAGGAAGAGTTGGACTTTGGATAGGTCTGTTTGAGAAACTCTGTCAAAGTAAAGAAAAAAAAAATCCCAGTTTAACCACACCAGCTAAGCTACATTATGTAATTTTATAAAGCTTCTACATAGTTCTACAGTCTATATACCATACCTATTTATAATTTCATACACTGAATATATAGACTGTATATAATTCTATATACTGTCTATGAACCAAACCCATCAGTCAGTTTATTTTCATTCTAATCAAACCCCTCCTCAGTGTCAGGTATACCGACCCAATCACAGCCCTTCATTTAAAAAAGGGGGCGGGTTCTTTGAGATAATGACACGGGAGCAGCAATTTAAGTCTACGTTCACACTGCAGGTCGATTCAGATTTTTTTAACCATCTGTGACTCATATCTGATTTTTTCATCTAAGTGTGAACAGGTCAGTTCTGATTGGTTCTAATCCGACCCAGGCCTCTTCTGTATGTGGATATAAATCAGATATGTATCTGTAAATGTAAATGTAAATGTAAATGTAAAGCTTTTAGATCCAACTCAAGCTTCAGTGAGTCAGTAATAATGTTTGGTTTCCCACAGGAGAGTGAAGTAGTTTTAGTTTTAATTTACATGTTCAGATTCACATGTTATAATAAAAAAAATCGTCCCTAATATCTCTCTGATATCAAGTGTGCTCTGCACAAACCAGTTTGTGTCTAAATATCTGTTTAAATGAGCATCACTAATCTTTACAGAGAAAGACGTACGGAGGTCACAAACACACCTAAGTAGAGGCAGAGTCCAACGATGACGATGAAACAGGACACGAGTGAAGGTGGGAGAATATAGATCCACAGACTCCAACATGGCTGCTCGACTGAGTCCTTAGAGACTCCTGCAGACACACATAAAAAAGGAGGAGTCGTTCATTAATAAGTCATTATAGTTTTTTTTTAATCAAAGATAAAGAGTTGTGTTTGTGTATCTTTGCTGTAGAAATTAATAGAATAAAATGCAGCTGAATGTTGAACACCTGTCATGGAATTGGCTTTTAGAGACTCGTGTTGGGTCTGAACCAAGAACTTATACATCCAAATACATCTGAATTAATTCACTCACATTCATTAACCTGACAAAACATGACTTTTTACTTTTTAAAACTCTGTATCGTGATGTTTTTATTCCTGTAATTAAAATGAAACCTCAGTTTCATCTCCAGGTTCACTCTGCTGAAGGATCCAGACTCACCAGGATCAGATGAACAGGCTCCACTGTAGAGGTTTAATGGACTGAAAAATGACAGGGTTTATGATGCAGTTAAAAAATATAATTATAAACTTTCCTGAAAACCAATCTTCTTTAAGTTCTGGCAGCTCTAATGACTGTCCTGCACACAGAGAAATTTATTCTACAGTTGAATCTTGGATAAAGATTTCGCCTTCAAACTGTCTGAAAACATAAATACCTAATCAATAAGTTCTTACCATGAAGAGACAGATGAATCCCTTTGTTCACAGAAAGTTTTTCTGCACATGACCATGAGCAGAAATAAATCCCAACATCCTCCTCCTCGACCTGCAGGATCTCCAGAGTGACTGATCCGCTCTCCAAACTCCCTTTACTGCTCATCCGGCTGTTGTCTTTGTGGAAGTTGACTAAAGTTGACCCTAACTTAGTTTTTGTGACTGTCAGGAGAGGCAGCAGCTGATCTGAGCGCAGCAGGTACCAGGTCAACTTACTGCTGGATGTTACATTACAGGTCAGAGAGATGTTCTGACCCGGCTGGACCACCAGAGGTGAGGCTGAGGAGAGGAGAGGTCCTGCTGCGCCTGAGGGTGGAGAAGAGAGGAGAGGAGACAGGAAGAGTTGATGAAGATGATGACAATGTGGCTGTGTGTGGATGATAAATTTAGTTCTGCTCCAGAATCAAAATTTACGTAGGGGAGACCGGGGCTTGTTTTGTCACATTGCAACTATCTTTGCCACCAGAGGGCACAACTAAAAAGTGGAAAACTAGTTTTCTTCCGATACATGGTCAGGGGTCGTGTCCTGTCTGAGAAGAGAAGAGAACATCGTGAGCTGAGATGAGCGCCAATTAACCATTTCACACAACCCTAAGTAAAAAGTTTTAACTCTATATAGTATAAAATCAGCTTCTTTCAGATCAAAATCCTAGCAGTGAAACATGTGGACTTGTTAGAGGAGAGATTAAGACATCCTGTCATACCTCAGTCACTGTTCTGTTTTAAACTAACTTAAATCTAGAGCAGGAATTAGCAGACATGGTAGTTTGGGCCAACATGTCTCAGTCATTTTGGGGTTAGTTATCACATGTTTAGAAGGGATTAAAATTAACATAGAGAGTCTGTTTATCAGCAGTTGTCCTATTGAAATTTTGACTTTTGTTTCACAGAGAACAGAGTGATTTAAAGGAGAGGAGAAAGAGAGAAGACATGGTCAGGAATCACAAAAGAAAAACAGAACATGTCAGTGCAGTTCCTGACGTGATGCTGAGGGCAGTCAGACAGGTGATCTTAGCTAATAAATCAATCTGGAGGACAATAAAGGACTTGAACGTCAACTATCATACCTTAACTCAGTACTGTAAAACATTCACCCCAGCCAAAATACAGAGTCAGACAGATCTCCAAACTCCAGAGCATGTTGATAATATTTGATGTTAACGTTTGTTTAATGACTTTTTCTTTAACTCAATGATAAACATTTTCTGTGTCTGACTTTAATGTTCACTTTTAAGTAAAAAAAACGATAACAACAATAATTTTGTCCTTGTTTTATTTGCTCTAAAATCCACTGTGACATCTTAGCCCATGTAGTGAGACAACTTACCTGATGGTGGGGCAACATGTCACATGTTCACACTCTATATTTAATTGATTATAACTCTGCACTGACACAAGATATGAAAATGACATGAATACAAAATATATACCTGAGACTTTGGTCTTTCATCTGGTTCACATTTTGTTTATATATGATGGATTGATTTCTAGAAATATAGAAGAGTGTAAAAAGTGTGACAACAAGCCCTGGTCTCCCATATCTGGAGGTTTACGTTTACCTGCGTCTCACATTCCTATCACAGTTAACTCTGTTTATCTAAAACACTTCAAATCTTCTGACACCTGCTGCATGAGTGCTTCAGTCAGGTCCCTCCAGGATCCAGCATCTTCATCACTAAGTCTGATTATTATCATCATTATATAAGAATTGTGAAAGACTGTGCAGGCTCCATTTCTTTCACTTTAGTTTTGACTTTTTAGAAGGTGTGATCTCACTACATAAATACTTACGATCACACACAAACCTGTCATTAACAGAAACAGAAACAAAAGGCAAAGGTTTGAACAGCAATCAGCTCTAATTACAGACACACCCTTTAATGAAATAAGTAAAACCTTCAAATAAACTCAGAATATAAAGATAACTTACAAAGCACAGTGATGATCCCTGCCAGAAGTGCCATAATCTGAAGAAGAATGGTTAAAAACAGAGAAACTCTGTATGTTTCTAAGTTTGTCTCAGCAGCAGTGATGGAAACTCTGTTTTAATCATGTCAGGAAGTGAGTGGGGACTTTATTTAGCAGGCACAGAGACCACCGAGATTTTTCTTTAGTGCAGAAAACGGAAGGTTGAAGTTGTTTGTTTGACCACAAACCTGAATAACAAATTCAGCACTTCTGTATTCATCAGAAACTCATCAGACAGTAAAGTTTCGTTTATAGAAAAACAGGCATCAGATCAGAAACTCAACAGCCTCACTTTAAGTTTCGTTTCTGGAAAAAAAGGAAGTAAAAAAAAGCACAGAATTTCAATAGAAAGAACATTTTCAAAATAAAAGCACAATATAGATATTTTTATCATATAAGGACGAAACTGACATAAACGTCCCAGTAAAAGCATTTCAATGATAGAGATTTGTTTGTAAACTGTAGTATAACCGATTTTACAAGGTTATTATTAATCAGTTTAAATGTCATTAAAACTTTTATAAGGATAGTTAAAATGTCTGTCTCATTCTGAAGATTAGTTTTTAACTAATTTAACTAAAATCAAGTAAATCATATCATAGTTGGAGCATATAATCGTTTTTTAATTAAATGTACAGCATTACATGATTAAGAAAAAACACAAAGTAAATTAACTTTCATCAGACTTCAACATAAGATTTTAAATTTAAATCAATATTGTAATTATTCTTCTAATAAAGAAAATATTTTTTGAATCACTTTTTTAAAATTAAATTTACTACAATAGAAGACACTAAAAATGTAGACGATTATCAATACTTTTATTTTGAAAAACAACCGGAAGTCCCGTTTAGACTGACCTGATAGACTCTGATAGACTCTGATGTTCTCAGTTTGATCATCAACAGTCTGATTCAGAGCTCAGCCGAGGAGAGAGGAGAGGAGAGGACTGATCTGGATCTCCAAACAGCAGGCAGACATGAAAACTCCAACACTTCTACGACGGTAAGAAAAGACAAGAGAAGAAAACACTATTTTTATAGTATTATTTCATTTTTGGTGTCAATTTTTTTTCTCCTGTTTCGCATTTTTCTTTTTTATGATGCATGATATTCTGCGCGAAATAATCACAACCTTTTTTGTAAGGGGCATGCGTCTAAATGTAGTCCCTAAATAGTAGATATGAAGTATTTGTGGAGTGAAAACTGCAGTTAAAGTCATAGTTTGTAGTTTTTCTCCTGTCAGCTCTGTGTGTGTAAGAGAGACCTGCAGGGAGGGGATGGTTTCATTTCTGAGGAAACCAACATGAGAATGAATGAGAAAAGAAAACTTAGAGGGACTGTTGAGTCTAGAGTCCACACCCAGCTCAGGCTTTAGTCTCATCAAAACTCTGTCAAACTCTCAGTGTCTATTCATTTCTAGATTTTTCTGTTTTATTTTGACGTTTTCAGGGTTTTTTTGTACTTGTCAGGGAAGACAAAATAATAATAATAATAATAATAATAACTTTATTTTGACAGCACTTTTAAAAACTGAAGTTTAGAGTGCTTTGACAAACAGTCGTAAATAAAAATAAAAACAAAAGACCTCCGAATTAAAGGCCAATTTTATTTCTCATAAAAAAAACAGACAATCCAAGAACCCTACAACATAAAATGAGACCATGAGGACCAAAATAAAAACATAAAATAGAAAGAAATGTAAAAAAAAAGGGAGGATAGAAAGCAGGAAACACGACAGTAGATATAAAAAGATTATATTAATAATGATAATAAAACCATAATAAAATAAAAATGATGGTTATATTAAGGATAAAATGGAATAACAAAAATGATCAGGAAAAAAAAACAATAGAACCAATAAAAGGCCTAAAAGGTTATATAATAAAAAATAAGTGTAACAAAGGCTAAAAAGACAGTAAGTGGAAATAAGATAAAAGAGGTAAAAGAATAAAGACGGCACCACAGAAAAGCAAGTCTGTTACAGTGAGTTTTTCAGTTTGACTTAGAGTCAATATCATAAAAATAACAATCCTCATTTGCAGAAGACTTTACATGTTCTTAAAACAAACCCTAAACCACATGTCTCTCAGTGTTTTTTTTGTCATTAACCAGAAAAACTAATAAACTGAACTCAAAAACAACAATAATGATGATGATGATGATGATGATGATACAGTCGGAGAGGGAGGAGATTTACTGTAACACTTTACAGCAATTGTAACTTATTAATGGTAAAAAGACCATTTATAGATGGTATATAGATAGTTTATTAGTGTTTAATCATCATTTATAAATAGCATATTGACCAGTAATGAATTGTATATTTTACAATTTTAAAAACCTAACCCTAACTTTACAATAACCATCTAAGTAATTATTATAGATGATTTAAAAACCAAATATTAACATTTTACAAAGTGCTGCTGACACACATTTTAATCTAGATGTTTTACAACCAAATTTTAACCTTTTATAAACCTTTAATAAATAGTCCATTAATAATTTTATAATTTTATCGCTTGTTAATGATAAAGAAACTATGAACTAACATTAATAAATGATCTATTTGCCATTTATAACTGGTCTATCTGCTGTTTTTAAATGATGATTAAACATTAATGAACTATTTTACATTTATAAATTATGGTTATTGTAAAGTGTTACCAGATATTCATGTACCAGATTTAAAAATCATGTTTTTATGATCCCTGTTATTCTTTCAGGATTTTCATACACCTACCCTGTTTCCTGATTAGGAGTTTAGTTGGTAAGTATTATTCTGTTTTTGAATCTGATTGGTCGAGAACAAAGTCACCAGCCTGAAATATCACCTTCGCCTTTATTGCCTCTTTTGTCTCCAGATTCCTCTCCCCTCTCCTCATCCCTAAACCCCCTACCCGTCACCTGTGAGGTGGGAAAGCAGGCGGTCCTTCCCTGCAGCTGGAAGTCACGTCTGGGGGAGGTGAACCTGCCCACCTGCTACGTTCAGTGGGAAAACCCACCCGAGACGGTTTTTGAGAAGCAAGGGGAGAGGCAGTTTGAGGCGGAGGCGTTTGAAGGCCGGTTGGAGGTCCCCAAGGATAAGCTGGAGTCTGGAAACTGTTCTCTGATCATCCATGATGTGCAGATGCTCGACACTGGGAGATACGAGAGCTTCATGGTCGTGGACGGAGTGAAGTCCACCAAAACCAGGGTCTTCATTCAGAGCGTCAGGCTGTCTGTGATTGGTCAGTTCCTGTCGTATATCTTCTTTCTTACTCAGTCTCTGAATTAGTCTTCACGTTTATATTTTTACACCTCAGACTACAAGTCCCATCAGACTCGAGCTCCAGGTCAGGATCTGGTTCTCGATCTCCACACATCTCAGTCCATGAGGGTCGTGTTCATGAACAGGTCAGTGTTTGCAGACAAACAGAAGTTTATTTCCCCAAAACTAAAACTGTTTATCGGTTTTTTGTCCACACCATCGTCATCTTGTCTAATCCTCAGTTCTCGGCATATTCCGATCCTCATCTCACACCTTGTTTTCCTCTTATGTCTGTTCCCACGGAAACGGTCTCTTCGCATTAAACTGACTCAGACTTTCTGCGACGTCATCTAATAAGTCAAAAACCGTTTAAACAAAAAGGAAAGTTTGAAAGAGTCTGGATTTCGTCTCCTCTGTCGGTTATTTTGTCATCTACTGACTCAAACTGGAACGTAATTGTTTGAGTCATAATCGAGCTGCAGTTTCAGGCTGTTAAACAGGAAGTTTAAGACTGACGCTGCTGAAGACCACTCCTCGTTTCTCTGCAGACTTTGTCGTTGGGGGAAAACAGGCGATCGGTGCAGCGACAGTTGAGTATGTAATTGATCGCACAGTCTGTTAAATTAGTTTTTTACTTCCATAAATTAAATGATTCCACTTTTGTGCCCCGCAGTCTCGCACCGCCTCTGATGGAGTTGAACCAGAAGACCCCCGCGTGATGTGACGAACACGTACGGTGCGTTAAAGGGAAATTCCGGCGTAAAATTGATCAAGGGTCAAACACACAGTAACTCCGAATTAGACACCCTGTCAAGAGATGAATGTTGCCGACCGCTTGATTCTCTAGTTATACCGCTGTGACCGCTGTGTATTTCTATCCTGCGGTCGTTACTAAAGTTGGTATAAAACTAGAGAAGCAAGCGGTCGGTAACGTTCATCTCTGGAGGGGGTGTCTAACTCGGTGTTACGTGTGTTTGACCCAAACTTAATTTTACGTGGAAATATCCCTTTCAGCTCTCGTGCCCCGCAGTCTCGCACCACCTCTGATGGAGGTGAACCAGAAGACACTAGCGTGATATGGCGAACACGCTTAAGGCGCGTTAAGGGAAACTGGAGCAGAACGTCGACCCGGAAACCTGTGGTGCCGTTTGATCCTTCACCCAGAGGGAGGCCCAGGACAGAGCTGCCCCCGAAAAAAAGACTTTGAAACTTCCAAGACGCGCAGCGATGACGCATGGTCAGGTCAGATGTGCGGACCTGCAGAGTCACCAAACCTGCCAGCGTGACCACGAAACATCATCGTGATCGTGATCGTCACCGCCACTGCATCAGAAGGATGACACACCCGTTAAAAAGTCAGGAAGAGAGGAGCTCACCAGTCAGCAGATGGTCCCATCAGGAGTTGGACGGGGATTCTTCATCAGGAGGCACCGTACCTCCAACACATACAGCCTCAAGATGAAGAGGAGCCACTGGACCGGCCCAGCTGACCCAGCAGTGCGACTCCCTCAACGCCAACCGCCACAGACACTAAGACAGGTGCCCGCGATGAGGAAGTGGGTCTTTAACAGGTTAATGGGTCACTGGGTCCCCGCTGATTGACTTAGGGAAGCGATGGCACATCCTCGTCTGCCTCCCTGCTTCCTGCTGGACTGAACGCCTTTTGTTGATGTGTTGAGTTCATGCCAAGCTTGTGCAGTACTCATCTTTAAAGTGTCATTATTGTGAAAGGCTGCTTTGTGACCGTCGACCTCTTAATGTTGGAAGGTGTCAAACGTGGGACGGCGAAAGAAAACAGAAGAGCTACGAAGAGTGGAGGACTTCTTCGGAGTGACCGTGGGCGTGGCTTTGTCGCTGGAGGTTATCATCAACGTGGTCATCTGTTGGGTTACACCTACATTTCCAGGACGCTGCAGCACTTCTACGTCAGAGACACGGTAGACACCAGACTTCATACTGAGACTTTGGTTTGGTTTTGGTCCTCATGAGCTGCCGCCTTCGTTTGTGTAGTTTTTCTCTCAGTGATTTTACTTTCAGCAGAAACAAGACGAGAGATTTTTCGGACTAAACTGCTGAGAGATCGAACTGTTGTTGTTGTTGTTGTTCTGAACGATTGCCAGAAAGTTGGGTGTAGAAAAGACCCAATCACACAGATGTTGACAACTTCAACACGAGACGTCGAAAATGATCCGATTTCTTTAACTGGCCTTTTAAAATCGGTGACACGTGATTTATTTCTCTTAAAGCTCCAATGAGGAGTTTTTGGATGTTTAGGATTTAGACTAAAATTCACATTTCAGGGGTTAGGGGTTAAATGACACATTTGACTATGAAGAGGACAAGAGAAGAGAAAACCAATTTGTCCACAAGGGGGCGCCAAATGACAGAGAGAGGAGAGGAGCTTTAAACTCGACCATCAGTGAAGAAATTAAACTTCGATTTAACTTCAAATAAAAAAAAAAACCACACATTCCTGCTCCCAAGAAGATGAACCATTTTTGAGGTTTTCCACTCGCACTTTTAAGACGGTCTGATTTGGCGAATTTCACCGAACAAATCCTGTTGACGCTCATTTATCTTGCTCTCCAGAGAGCGAACCCTGAAATAACTCGCTGAATCATTTTGATGTTTTCTTTAACCCTTTTCAGATTTTGTATTCTGTTTTTCTTTTTTCAAAGTGAGTTTTTGTCTCATTTCTGATCTCACGGTTTTCTCCAGGACCAGGTCTGAGTGGGCGGTGCTGTGGATGAGGGAGGACGGAGACAATCAACGTTTCCAGAAACATCCGCTGAGAGAGGAGCTGGTGATGACGGGTTTAACGCCCGCAGACGAAGGGACGTATAAAGTCGTGGATAAACACGGTCTCGCCGTCAACACTGTGCAGCTCTCGGTGAAAGGTCAGAATCCTGTTTTACTGAATCCCTTTGGTCGGATCAGTCAGATGAAATGAAAACCTTCATTCTTGGAGAAAATCAATGCTGTATTGATTTGTTCCTGTCAAGAGTGTTATTCAATGGTCAGGTGACGATGAGTCTCTGCGCTGATAAAAGTTCAGATGTGAACTTTTCCCTCAAAGTTTGAACAGAAACTCAAATCCTGGATAAAAAGTGATCACACTGAGATCTTCATCTGGGATCCAAACTCAGGGTGAACAAACTTTTGCCTTTTTATCTCCTATCAGGAACTTTAGAGAGTTGAATTTAAACGAATAAAGTCACATTTACAGCGAATACTGAGTCATTTGACTAAAATCGAAACACAGAAATATGGACATTTCTGCAAATTTATGAAAGAACAGAAACTGAAATTTCACAAGTTTTCAGACCTTCGAGTAGAAGCTTCCCTTTGAGCTTCAGAGTCCTCTTAGGAATGAAGCAACAAGTCCTTCACACCTGGATTATTTGGGGATCCTCTCCAGTTCTGTCAGTTTGTCTTAAACCAGGTCTAGCATCTCAGGAGAGACCTGAAAACGTTCACCATCCAACCTGACAGACCTGGAGAGGATCCCCAAATAATCCAGCTGTGAAGAACTTGTTGCTTCATTCCTGAATTCTTTGTCCTCTTTCACAGAAGGCTTATCATTACCTGGAACATCCCAAAGGCAGGAAAACCGAGAACTAACAGGTGAGAGAGTTCAAAATGAAGAATGGAATCAGATGGATTGATTGAATCTGTATTTACCTCTCCGTCTTCTCCTCCTCCTCCGCGTCTTTCAGGTGGTGCCTCCAAAAACTTCAGTTCAGCTCTTCTCTTTCTGTCGGTTCTGGTCACAGTTTTCCAGAGAAAATATAATCTTTAAAATAATAACCACTTATGAATGTGAACTCTGAGTTGACTAACCTGATTATGAGTCCATGTTAAATGCACTGTCAGTTACACCACTGTGTGTCTGGAGTTGGGTCGGGATGATCGTTCAGACGAGTCAGGTAAGCTCAGGTGTGTTCAGGCGGCCTGTTCAAGAGGATTATCTGAAGATGTTAGTTATTATTAGTACCTGATATTTGGAGGTTTAAGGTTTCCATCAGGTACAGAAAAGTTCTCGATTACACGTCTAAAAAGATCAAATCAGTTTGAAATTATTTTAGATGAACCGCTGCAGGCTGAGGAAGTCGATCACAGCGGTTATTAAACCTTCTGTACCTGTTGGTCATTCAGACCCACAACAATCGTTAAGGTCTTTATTAAAGGAGGAGGAGCCCGAGTCAGAGAGGTAGATTTACCATCTCAGCAAAAAAAGAGGATGTTTGAGGAGTGTTGATTTTGTGTTTGTGAAGATGTCGGTCTGTTCTGGGAGGAAAAGTTTGACATGTTTTATGTTGGTGGGGTCAGTGATGTGACAGTAAGACGAGGATGGAAATATACAAGCTGGCCTGACTTAATCTGTAGTTCAGAGATGAACCAAGAGGCACATTTTTCGCACTTTATTTTCCTGTTTTGTTTGTATGACCGCGGAGGTGACGCTGGTTTCTAAAGTGGGATTTTGTGTTTTAGGAAACAGCTGAACTTTGAATCCTACAGAAGAGGATTAGGGCCACTGAAACAAACAAAAAAACACAAAACAAACAAAAAAACACAAAACAAACAAAAAAAAGGTCAGATATAATTTTTTAATAATTGTAAAAAAAAATATATATATATATATATATACATATATATATGTATATATGTATTTCTATACAATATATATATATGTATATATATATATTATATTTCTATATACATACATATATATATACATATATATATGTATATATGTATTTCTATACAATATATATATGTATATATATATATATATTATATTTCTATATACATACATATATATATATATATATATATATATATATAATAAAGATTGAAAAAAAATTCAGAATTCCGAGTTTAAAGGGACATTTCAACGTAAAATTAATTTAGGGTCAAACACACCGTAACACTGAGTTAGACCCCTCGTCAAGAGATGAATTTTGTCGACCGCTTGCTTCTCTAGTTATTCCGACTTTAGTAACGACCGCACGATAGCAATACAGAGAGCCACGCGCTCAACCAAAACGGCACTCTATAGCCACAAACCTCCGAACAGCACCTAACTTCATCAACAGGAGACTAAACACAACTAACCTACTCTCTTACAGCAACATGTTGTTGCTGGAAGAGAGTAGGTGAGTTGTGTTTAGTCTCTTTGCTAAAGAAATGAGTCAAAGTTAAAAAGATGTTTGGTGTCTAGTACTATGTCTGTGACCCTATATGTCCTGTTGATGAAGTTAGGTGCTGTTCTGAGCATTATTCTCTGGAGGGGGGATCTAACTCGGTGTTACGGTGTGTTTGACCCTAACTTAATTTTTGGCCAGAATTTCCCTTTAAAGTCAGAATATTGACTTTAACCTCACAATAATATTTTTAAAAATCATATCTGACCTTTTTTTTCAGTGGCCCTAATCCTCTTCTGTAGAATCCGCCGATTATTCCTGCTGTGTAAATAAATACTCCTCTGTTTTCTAAATTCTACGCGGCTGTTTCTCTTGATTTTAAAATAATTAAATATTTTAAAATGACCTGAAATTCGCCACACAGTGTCGCCTGTGGATGAGCATGTGACTGTAAGATAACCACATGTTTGACCTCCTGTACTTCCGAATAACTGTGATGAACGAGTTTGTTTTTTCCTGTTCTCCTAACTCAGAGACACTCAGTTGTGTTTTTTAAGGTGGATGAACCGATATGATGGATGTTTAATGTCATGTTTTCGGTTTATTTGTCTTTCCTGCTGTGAAATTGTTATAATATTTGCTTACTCCTGAGATTAGCATGCTCTAATAGTGTTTGAGTTTTCCTCTATGAGACCGACAGAAGAGAAGTATAAAACTCTATATGCTCTCTAATAAAAGTGATTGGTGTCCATGTTCTGTAATATCTCTGCTTTTGATCAAGTTTAATTATTCCTGTTATAATAAACTGTTTGAATGAGAAGCTGCCTGACCCCGATGAAATTGAAGCCTCTGAACTTCTTCACGTTGCAATTTCCTCAAAACCCAACATAAAAATAAGAACATCATACGAATCCTGAGCCCCTCATGAACACAATGATGTGTTTTTAATGTCTGTACTCTAAAAAATGTGGCCACAACAGCGAGTTAAACAGTGTTGATCCTGAGCGATGAACAGGATTTTCTGGGAGAAAGATTACATTACAGTCAATGGGCAGAATCTCTGCCCAAATTGGACAGTTGGTCACCTGCTGGCCAAGGGGTAGGATTTAATGATTTAAAACCTCTTTTCTGAGAAGCAGGACACATATACCTCCATTTTGATGTATTTTTTATGGCTGTGGAGTGAAATTTGTGGGCGTGGGAGCGATATATTCGAGCGAGGTTCTGTCGAAAAAAGACGAGGTCTGCACTCTAGCGATGACATCATCACTCTAGCCTCTCCAATACACACCCATTATAAAGCCTGGAAATCTGCTGAAAACCATGAGGTGCTTAAAGTTAAATTGTGGGAAAACTGTAAAAGATATCAAAAAAGTGAGTACAACATTAATAGTCGACAAGTGAATGAACATTTTAAAGCAAAAATGAGGTCTCTAGGTGAAAGTATGCTGAAGTTATAAGGCTTCGAAGGTGGAAGAATAAAAGGAAGAATTTGAAGATTTCCTCATTGACTTCAATGTTAAAATTTTTGCAAAAAAAAAAAAAAAATTAATAAAGGGTAGAAAAAAAATATCAGAAGCTATCATGTCCTGAAGGAGTGGAATAGTTTAAAGTTTGAACGGTTGAAGGAGAAGAAGCGCGTCAAAAATCGGTGGAAGAATAACAATGAGTTTAATAATAAAGAAAATGGCCGACAGGAAATCAGCATTTCCACCTAATAAACGAAGCAGATACACAAAATGTGCATTTTCACTTTTTCTTTATGCGACATATTTATTGGAGCGACAAAGAAACACAAGAAACACGACACACACTTAAATCAGCAAAGGCACAACACAACCCGCTTCCTGTCTTCATCCTGAACACAGGACGGCACCTTTAGCCAGGAACCAGGAACAAGATGGATTCAGAGTTAATTAGTGAGATTTAACGACTGTCTGAAGGAAACAGAGTGCAGTTTTATGAATGCTTCTTCTTCTTCTCACCCGCTGAGGTTTACGGTCAAAAACACGGCAGATATCGAGTCATGGGTTCACGAGAACTTCTGCAACTTTAATTCCTTCTCCTGAAATTTAATTTTGAAAAGTAAAAAAAAAAAAAAATCTGCTGCCTTCAAACTTCATACTGAAGTTTTTACATTAAGTCATAGAAGGTAAACCGTAGATCTGTGTTAGGATTTTAAATGTCCGTTCAAGCAGCTGAGAGATGATCTCCAGGACTTCACAGGGTCACTCGATTTCAGTGCAAATGTCAAAGTCCGCCGACGTGAACACGTGATATCCAGTGGATGTGCGGTTGTGGTTTGGTCCTACTTGGTCTTGAAGCGGCTGCTCTTCTTTACTGAGCACGAGCAGAAACTAACAGAGTCGAGGTAAAAGGTTCGGACTTTAAAGGTTCAAGTCAAAGAAAAGTGACCCGGAGAGCAGACGGGAACCCGGACTAAAATCTAAGGGAATCAGACTTTACATGCTGATCTGTGGAAGTTTATTATGTGTTTTATTTAACGTCTGCGTCCCCGTCTTTGCAGAACAAACTGACCTCTGATCAGAAAAGTGGAGAACATCAGCACCTCCTCACGTCTCTCCACGCTCCTCTTCTCAAGAACTATCCGTCTGCTTAGAAGTTGGGTTTGTGCTTCTTCACCTCCACCATGAGGTGGTGCAGGTTGATGAGCTCGGAGCGGACGGCCAGGCTGCGGAAAGTGGGCTGGTTCAGGATCTTGTGGAAGCCGTGGTAGTACTGGATCAGCTGGGTCAGAGCGCCCTGAGGGAGAAACAGGAACGATCACTTCCTGTTATTCAGAAAATGAAACACGACTCCTCGCTTTTCCAGGTTTTCTTTCTGACGTTTTAGAGGTTTGGGGTTCGAGACACACGTTAAAAACACTCTGTTCTTTGTCGTTACTGGGACTGAGTGATGAACCTCTAATCATGATGTTTGTGAAGGTCAGCAGAAGGTCACCTGTAACCCGCCGTCTCACCTGGATGATGCTGGTTCCATTCTTGAAGTTGGTGAACGACCTCATGACGTCCTGACTCATCGCCTCCACCGACTGTTTCCATGTGCTGGAAAAACCCCGAACCAGCTGAGTGATCCGGGCTGGGACACACACACACACACACACACACACACACACACACACACACACACACACACACACACAGGTTTAGATGTGGTTAAATTCGGTCTCTCATTTTCAGATTGTTGTCTTGACCCTGTAGCAATCAAGACAACCCTGGATGTGAAACCCACACATTCCTTACAGGAAAGTTTCCTTATCTGGTCCCAGGAAACAGGATATAAATCTTTCCAGACGTGTTTGCCCTTTCAGGTTAAATAAGTGACCCAACCGGAGGTTGACTAAACCTCTGACGCTTCAGGATTGGTCAGTTCGGCGAACAGAGACAGAGTTTTTATTACCTTTCAAACTGACTCCATTTGCTGACCATCTAAATAAACATTAACCTCAACCCAGATCTCCCATTTGAGATTTAGCGTCTTAAAGTGTGTGAACATACGGACCCCAGGATAAGGGGGGACACTGACCTCCAGACCTCGGTCGTAAAACCCTGCTCGACCATGCACTGATAAAGACTACATTCCTTTGGTGAAAGAATACAAATGACTGATCATGACATCTTATGCATTCAGCAATGTACTAATCTGTCTAATCATGAACTTTGTGTTAAAATGAGATGTTTTCCGTTTTTCTATGTGCTCCAGAAGCCGAGTTACAGAATAAATCCTTTATTCTTTAGTTTCTTTAGACCAACAGCCTTTCAGACTGTTTCATGAACTTTTAAGAGTTAAATTTATCGACTATGAATCATAACTTAACTCTAGGTAACAGAAACAGTTTAGAAATGTTTGGTTTATATTGTAGATGTTTATTTAGTATTTTTAACCATTAGGTGGTTATAATGTCATTGAATAATCTGAATGTGAGTATTTAGAATCCATTATTAATCATGATGAAGTTCATTCACATGTATTTACTCTTTTGTTGTTCACAGTTTCCATGTGTTACTATCTGTTTCATTTCAGAGTAATTTAGCATGTTTAATGTGATACTTAAAACATAATGAGAATGTTTGATGTGATCCTACACTTCATTCATATGTGTTTAGTATCAAAATATTTATCATGAAACCTAGCATTCAATGATATTAATCATAGTGAGTGAGTATCAGATCTGACTCTTTTACCAGCCAAAAGAATAAGTTAGATCAAATAATCAAAGACCACACGACCCTCCTCTGTCTCACACACACACGCCGGAGCCACTCCCAGTGTGAGAAGATAAAACCAGTGAAGTGGGGTTGCTCACTCTCTTATTATCTCTCTTATGCTCTTATGCTCTTATTCCTCTTATCGCTCTTATGCTTCTGCTCTTCTGCTGACTCTCTTGTCCCCGGCTCTTATGCCCCTTCTCTTCTGCCCACACCCTTCTGTGGTGCGTTTCTTTGTTTTCTCTTAGAACTTTTTCTTAGTCTTCTAAGTTTTACGCCACGTGTTGATTCACGTTGATTTTCTTTAACATCGTCTTAGTTCAAGTTTTGAAACTTCAACTCTTTGTGCACATAGCAATCCAAGATTAAGCCTTTGATTGATTTTTCTTTAATTTCGCGAAGCCATTTTTTGAAAGTTTTCTCTGCTCTTCGAGCCTCGTTTTTCTGAGTTTTCTGCGTGATTTCAAAGTCACCTCTGAACGCAACCCAGCAGGCCCAGGTCATCCTCTGTGCCAGAGTTTTTGAGTGAGACCAAAGAAGTACCCAAACGAGCATCCACAGGATCCACAGGCGCTGGCTTTGCTTCGGGCCCGAGTGCTGCAACTCCTGGCTCATCCTTCGGCTGACTTCAGTCGTCTTCTGAGCTGAACCGCTCGAACCGCCAGTAGCCCCGGACCTTCGGAACCTGCTCCATCTTCTCCAAGGACCAGTCTCACTTAAGTATGCAAACCTCCAGAGCTCCAGACAGGGCTGATGCTGTCTCACGCGTTCATAACTCAGATATCCACCTATTTCTGGTGATCTTAGATTCCTCCAAATCTACACCCGAGTTTATCTCGACACCAAAGTTAGTGTAGGTTAATATGTTAGCGCATATTCACTCACTATCATTAACTTTAGTGCTCCTAGCCTGACTCAGAATCTTTATTTATTCACCTATTATTATCTATCTTCATTATCTTATCATCATTTATTGCATGTGTGTTGTACCATCATTTATCCTGTAATAAACAGATCATTATTTTTCTAAGTTCCTGTCTGTTAGTGTTCTTCCAGAAGTGGAGTCCCTGAAATTAGAATTTCGACTTAAGATATGAGACTGATTAATTAAGACTGATTAATTAAGACTGATTAATTAAAACTGACTTGATGTTTGATTTCTGAATTAAACTTTTGTTTTCTTTATTTTCCCACCATTAAGGGTGGGTGGTGCCCCTTTCAACGAGTGCATAAATGTCATAATTTGAGATTATTAATCTTCAGACATTTATTATAAATTCCAATCGCCAAGTATTATTTTGGTGCGGCCTTGTGAGGCTCATTTCAAATCGCTACATATATTTTGGTGCGACCGTATGAGGCTCATTTCAAATCACTACATATATTTTGGAGCCCCTGCGTGAGGCGTTTCAAACAAAACTTCTGGATACTAACAGACAACCTAAAACTTAGCCTTCCAAATTGATGAGAGAAACTTATTTTCAGGCTGTTTTAGACTTAATCACAATCAATGCTATGCTTGCTGAAGTTGCTTGACTAAGTTCTGATGTTTTCCTGATCTATGCATAAAACCTTTATGCCCTGTGTTTCACACACTTTTGTACTACATGCCTGTAGTCTGTGTTTGAGCTGGACAGCGTGAAATGTTGTTCTGAGTAGCAGTGAGACTGCTTCTTCTGCTCTGTCTAGACTGTCCAATATTTAAGTGCACGATTGTTGCGTCGCCGTACGCTTATATTTAAGGCCTTTGGCTGAACCCAGTGTTCGCGATGCTCCGAGCTGTGGTTTCAAGCCCCTGAAGTCTCTGTAGTCTGCTACGAGGTTCTAGTAACTATATGGGATTCAGATTTCCTCCTTTCCCCTGACAGATTAGCTACCTGTCACAGGAAACCACTGTAACAGTGGGAGGTTGTTGTTTGATTGAATTCAGACAAAATTTGTGTTCACAAATCGCCGCATTTGTGATTTTTAAGTTTGCAGTTGAATCTGCTGTTGAGGGAATTGTCACTTTGATTCTTGTCTCTATAGTCGGCTACGAAGTTCTAGTAACTATATGGGATTCAGATTTCCTCCTTTCCCCTGACAGATTAACTACCTGTCACAGGAAACCACTGTAACAGTGGGAGGTTGTTGTTTGAATGAATTAAGACAAAATTCGTGATCACAAATCGCCGCATTTGTGATTTTAAAGTCTGCAGTTGAATCTGCTGTTGAGTGATTTGTCACTTTGATTCTTGTTCCTGTAAATGATTCTATTGAACCAATCTGCCTGAGCAGATGGTGTAAAGTTCTATGTTTGAGGGTGCAGACGCAGCCTGCTGTGAAATGTTAACCCTTTGTTGTCAGTGGAGAGACTGACCCTTTGGCCTTAAGCAGATAAGGTCCTTCAAGGAGGCAGAGTCTAAAGGCCCCTTCCTTCAGACTTCCCAACACCACACAGCCACAAGAGGCTAGTTGGATGACTGTTTCCTCTTTCCTCTTCTTCTCCACTTGTGTTGAGCTTGTGCAGTTCTCCCAATTCCATACTGCCCCACATGGTTGCTTTTGGTATTGAGCTAACACTGTTATCACCTGCCTGCAGTATCAGCCAGCTGTACTGCCTCCCTGTAGTCAGTGTGTAACACTCTACAGACATAATTCAAGTGATTGACTTGGTTGATGAAGTTTGATGTGCTTATTCTAAATCATTGATCATTGATTTTTGATTTTTATCTTTGTTATAAGAGCCTACATAATGTATTGATAAAGTAACTCCTTGAATCAATCACCTGATCTTGTTGTTACTTATCACATCATTGAGCAGTTTTACTGTTCCCTATAATACATGAATGTATTAACCCTCCTCGTAAGATTAATTAATTAATGAACAAATTAATTAATATTTGAAATTTCTTTTAACATTCCAGATAGATTTGGTAGTTGAACCTTTGGATTCATTGCAATTTGTGAATTAATTTCAGAGTTAATTCCTTAAATTGACAATTTCATCGATTTTTCCAATTCATCCAACTGCACCAGGCAGTTTATTTAAGCTTTGCTGATCTCTGCAACACGGAAACAAATTGAACCCTTTATTCAATGGTTCTGTATCTGATGTTAAATTTAATTTAACATTATTTCACCTTGTTTTTCTTTCAATTTTCATTGAAATGAATTTAACTTTATGGTTTTTCTCTCCATTAGAGATCTACTCAGATAGGCTCTTCCTCTTTATCAAGCACTGATAAATTAAGTCGATTAACTCACTTAATTTGATATTTTGCTTCTTCCTTTCATTTTAAGTCAACTCAAACTCATCAACCAACCACCTTCACCTCTTTACCAAAACCAAACATGCCTAACACAAAAGAGTCCAGCCAGGGAGACCCCCTGAGGGACATACACACAGTGTTGGCAAACTTGACTAGTCAGCTGATACCTCAGTATATGACTAAGATTCAAAAGGCCAAACCCTCCAATCCGGAGGATGCAATGGCTGACTTACTGGAAACAGCTTTAACCACGACACTTCGTGACAAAGAGCTCACTAGATGCATGTCTGTCGTGATGTCTTCTCAGCTTGAGTATAAAGACTACTTGCTGGAATGCGCTTTAGCAAAGATAAAGGCGCAAAAAGACGAAAACAGCGCTCTGAAAAAGACGCTAGAGGAGACCAAGAAGTCTCTAAGTGTTTTAGAAAAACACAGTGCCAGATGTGAAGCGTCAAAGCTTCCCTAACTGATAAGTCATGAAGAAAATCTTGATCTTAAAGACAAGATTGAAAGACTTAATGAAACCCTTTACAAAAAGGAGAAAGAACTTGATGACACGAATAAGCAGCTTGCTAAGACCACAGAGGATCTGATACAGTCAGAATCCCTGCTAGAGCAAGCAACAGAAGATGTAAAAGCTTTGAAAGCACTGGTCAAAGTGCGTGCTGAAGCTCTTGAAGTTAAGGAGAAGCAAACTTCTACCTTACAGCACCAGCTCCAGATAGCTCAAAGACAGTTAATTCTTTGTCAAGAACGGCAAGAAAAGACAGACAAAGAACTTGAAGATGTCCAAAGAGAGTTACAATGCTCCCTCCAGTCAGGTCGAGCCCAAAGAGAACGCATGGAGCAAACGTTTCTTGAAGAAATGATAGGTGATCAGCCTCCTGAGAGAGCGCCATCACTTCCTTCCAAACCAACTCTTAAGTATCTCTCTCAGCATCATGACAGGACCCTGCTTGACCCTGAGAGGTCATCCTTAAACCAAGAGTCCTACTCTCCTCCTCATGATGGCTTTTTACCATTTCCCTCAGACAGGGATCTTGACAAAATTGCTCGCATCATAGCACGCTTTGAACCTGAGCACCAAGGTGCTACTGACACCTGCACCTACTTGAAAGACATTGACTTTTACCTGCGGAAATTTCCAGGTGCAACCGTTGATGACAAAATCTACCTCATTAAGGCGACGTCAAGTCGAGAGGTTAGCAGTTTCCTTGAACGACAGCCTTATTATGTCAGAAATAATTATGACTTGCTCTGCCAAGCATTAATCGAAGAGTTTTCTGATCATTTGACCCAGACAGGCCTCTCTGCTGCTCTGTCTATTAAACAAGGGAGATCAGAATCTCCCCAACATTATTACAACCGCTTACGCGAAGCTTACTTTGGTTTCCGAAATGAACCAGAAATGGAGGAGGACTTGAACTTCAAAACGCTGTTCGTCCAGAACCTCCACCCTACCACCAGTCATCACCTTGGCGTCTTAGCTTGTCCAAACACTTCGACTAGCCGACAGCTTCGTGAACTTGCTGTAAAAGGTTTTGCCAAACAACGACAAACTTTGGCTAAGAAAGCAGAGCCCGTTACTCTCTTGGCTATGGAGACAAAATCACTGCCCATGGAGCTGAACGAAGCTTCAGACTGTGTTTTTTCAGGCTCCGATAAGCCTCCAAATGAGTGGTTAACCAGGCCTCCAAAACCTTTTCGACCTCAACAAACTCACAAAGGTCAAAGTTACACACCAAGGCCCAGGTCTGACTCAGACCAATGCCAGGTAAACTTTGAGACCAACTGTTGTTATTCAGACTCCCGTCACAGTGGGTTTTATCCCAGACAAAGGAAAAACCATCAACACCGCCAAAGGGGGGTGAATGACTGGGAGAATCAGAGTAAATCACACTCTCAGAAACGACGATCTTATTATCCACCTCAATCGGTTTCATCCACTTTGAAGGTGAATAAACATGACTACTCAGCTAACCACTGAGATTAACACTGCGGAGCCATGAAGGTGTGAGTCCTGCGAAAGCAGAAGTCACTCAGCCAAAGCTAAATGACTCCAATAAGATATCCAAATGCTGTGGTGATACATTGATGACTGCAATCCCAGTTGCTGCTTTCTTTGTTAGCATTTGTCTCTCCTCTGTCAATATGGTCAGCTAGTCAGCTGTCAAATATCCTATGAACAGATCAAAACCAGAAATTTCTGTCATTAAGACTCAGATTGACAAATTTCAGACTCAACAGCAGATAATTAGTCAAACTGGTAAGAGCATCATCCCCAAGTTTAACAGACAAAGTTTAAGAGAAACTCTGTGCAGTAAACTTTTGATGTTTGTGATTCAGGTTGACTATGCTCATACACAGATGGTTAATATGTCTATAGCAGACATTTCTTTTCCATCTAAGTCTTAACCATTTTTGAAACTGAAATTGAACTTTCAGACTTCTCCAGCAAGCATGAAAAACAGCTATAGCTTTAGATCCAGTTAGCATTCAGACTAAAGAGTGCTTTTCTAAATCTCATTAATACTAAAAATTAGGAGATTTTCTTTCACATTAGTCTACCAATAGTTAACTGAGAAAAGTCTAACAACTAGACGATTTTATTTGATAGCTTAATGCATGCTTGATGTTATCTTAAAGCAGATACTAGTGATTCACATAGTGATAATGAGACGCATCAGTCCTATTTGCATACACCTGCTGCTGCTGCTGCTGCTTCATGGTTGTCTACTCGTCGTCCCGATGCTCCATGGACAGGACCACCGTGACGAAGGGGGGACTGTAGCAATCAAGACAACCCTGGATGTGAAACCCACACATTCCTTACAGGAAAGTTTCCTTATCTGGTCCCAGGAAACAGGATATAAATCTTTCCAGACGTGTTTGCCCTTTCAGGTTAAATAAGTGACCCAACCGGAGGTTGACTAAACCTCTGACGCTTCAGGATTGGTCAGTTCGGCGAACAGAGACAGAGTTTTTATTACCTTTCAAACTGACTCCATTTGCTGACCATCTAAATAAACATTAACCTCAACCCAGATCTCCCATTTGAGATTTAGCGTCTTAAAGTGTGTGAACATACGGACCCCAGGATAAGGGGGGACACTGACCTCCAGACCTCGGTCGTAAAACCCTGCTCGACCATGCACTGATAAAGACTACATTCCTTTGGTGAAAGAATACAAATGACTGATCATGACATCTTATGCATTCAGCAATGTACTAATCTGTCTAATCATGAACTTTGTGTTAAAATGAGATGTTTTCCGTTTTTCTATGTGCTCCAGAAGCCGAGTTACAGAATAAATCCTTTATTCTTTAGTTTCTTTAGACCAACAGCCTTTCAGACTGTTTCATGAACTTTTAAGAGTTAAATTTATCGACTATGAATCATAACTTAACTCTAGGTAACAGAAACAGTTTAGAAATGTTTGGTTTATATTGTAGATGTTTATTTAGTATTTTTAACCATTAGGTGGTTATAATGTCATTGAATAATCTGAATGTGAGTATTTAGAATCCATTATTAATCATGATGAAGTTCATTCACATGTATTTACTCTTTTGTTGTTCACAGTTTCCATGTGTTACTATCTGTTTCATTTCAGAGTAATTTAGCATGTTTAATGTGATACTTAAAACATAATGAGAATGTTTGATGTGATCCTACACTTCATTCATATGTGTTTAGTATCAAAATATTTATCATGAAACCTAGCATTCAATGATATTAATCATAGTGAGTGAGTATCAGATCTGACTCTTTTACCAGCCAAAAGAATAAGTTAGATCAAATAATCAAAGACCACACGACCCTCCTCTGTCTCACACACACACGCCGGAGCCACTCCCAGTGTGAGAAGATAAAACCAGTGAAGTGGGGTTGCTCACTCTCTTATTATCTCTCTTATGCTCTTATGCTCTTATTCCTCTTATCGCTCTTATGCTTCTGCTCTTCTGCTGACTCTCTTGTCCCCGGCTCTTATGCCCCTTCTCTTCTGCCCACACCCTTCTGTGGTGCGTTTCTTTGTTTTCTCTTAGAACTTTTTCTTAGTCTTCTAAGTTTTACGCCACGTGTTGATTCACGTTGATTTTCTTTAACATCGTCTTAGTTCAAGTTTTGAAACTTCAACTCTTTGTGCACATAGCAATCCAAGATTAAGCCTTTGATTGATTTTTCTTTAATTTCGCGAAGCCATTTTTTGAAAGTTTTCTCTGCTCTTCGAGCCTCGTTTTTCTGAGTTTTCTGCGTGATTTCAAAGTCACCTCTGAACGCAACCCAGCAGGCCCAGGTCATCCTCTGTGCCAGAGTTTTTGAGTGAGACCAAAGAAGTACCCAAACGAGCATCCACAGGATCCACAGGCGCTGGCTTTGCTTCGGGCCCGAGTGCTGCAACTCCTGGCTCATCCTTCGGCTGACTTCAGTCGTCTTCTGAGCTGAACCGCTCGAACCGCCAGTAGCCCCGGACCTTCGGAACCTGCTCCATCTTCTCCAAGGACCAGTCTCACTTAAGTATGCAAACCTCCAGAGCTCCAGACAGGGCTGATGCTGTCTCACGCGTTCATAACTCAGATATCCACCTATTTCTGGTGATCTTAGATTCCTCCAAATCTACACCCGAGTTTATCTCGACACCAAAGTTAGTGTAGGTTAATATGTTAGCGCATATTCACTCACTATCATTAACTTTAGTGCTCCTAGCCTGACTCAGAATCTTTATTTATTCACCTATTATTATCTATCTTCATTATCTTATCATCATTTATTGCATGTGTGTTGTACCATCATTTATCCTGTAATAAACAGATCATTATTTTTCTAAGTTCCTGTCTGTTAGTGTTCTTCCAGAAGTGGAGTCCCTGAAATTAGAATTTCGACTTAAGATATGAGACTGATTAATTAAGACTGATTAATTAAGACTGATTAATTAAAACTGACTTGATGTTTGATTTCTGAATTAAACTTTTGTTTTCTTTATTTTCCCACCATTAAGGGTGGGTGGTGCCCCTTTCAACGAGTGCATAAATGTCATAATTTGAGATTATTAATCTTCAGACATTTATTATAAATTCCAATCGCCAAGTATTATTTTGGTGCGGCCTTGTGAGGCTCATTTCAAATCGCTACATATATTTTGGTGCGACCGTATGAGGCTCATTTCAAATCACTACAACCCCACACATGAAGCGGTGAGGCGGCTCGCATGGGTTGCGGTGAACCTTCAGAGAAGCACCATATTTTGAGAAGAAGGAAGTGGTCAGCTGATCAGAGGAAGACGGCGGACGCTTTGACAACCTTAGCTTCAGTTATTCTGAAAACAAAACCTGACCGAGAAACGAAACCGTCTCGCCCCTGTGGGTTTTCATGAGCGACTCAGGAAACAATAAATGAGTCAGAGGTTTGGATTCATCTGAGAGGAACTTTTGACTCTCACCTTCTTCGTTCTTCAGGCGGTCCAGCTGCCCTTTCTCCATCAGACCCTCGGCCTCCTTCACGAAGGCGATCATCCCTCCGAAGGGGGAGGACAGGATCTCCTCGATGAACTCCTGAACAGACGACAGTGTTTCATTGTTTTTTCTTATTCTATGTCTTTATTTGGATCCCCATTAGCTCCTACAGAGGCAGCAGCTCCTCTTCCCGGGGTCCACAAGAAGACGGTAAACATTCGTACAGATTAAAATGATTAAAGTCCAAACAGGAGAATTATACAAGATGTTAAAATCAGAACTAAAACAAGAATTATGATGACATTACATTTCCAATAGATAAGTGTACTACTCATCAAAATCTCATTGTCCTAGTCTAGTGTTTCTTATTTCAGTGAGTCGGGGTCTTTAGATTTTGGTATACCTTCTTTTTTGGTCAACCTTGTAATAACAGATGGAAGATTTTTCCATATTTTCAGACCTCTGAACACGACAGTACGCTGTCCAGAGTTAGTGTTGGCGAGTGGAAGTGTGAAATAACCATTTGATGTTGAAATTATGACCATTACGACTGAACATTTGGTCTTTTATACACGAAGAAGAGGGAAAGCAGAGACACTGTAATCCTCTCTCTCACCGACGACCAGACTAATGTCATGTGCTTTTTGTTCTGGACTCGTTGTCATTTTTCTAAATCTGTACTTGATGTGACGGTAGTCTAAGTGAGTCCTAATGTTCGTCTAACTCTGGAGATCCAGTCCTGAGGTAGAAATTTAGCACATCTTTTTATTCCTGTTAGACTTCTCCTTATAACTCCAACAGTTTTCTCAGTCTGCTGTCTAAAACCAAGGAGTTTGACTTCTTCGACTCGCTCGATGGACACGTCTTTAATTAACAGGTTTATGCTCTTTGTTTTAGACGAATTAAGAACAAGCTTATTACACCAAACCCGATTAAAGACTTCTTGTAGTTCCTTATCTAAAGCACACTGATCTTTCTGGTAGATGAAGGGTTGTATCATCTGCGTACATAACCACTCTAGCTTGATTAAAAACTTGATTGTTAAGGGTACTAATGATGTTCAAACCTGAGCCGTAGTTTTAGAGAATAAATGAGAGAAAGTTTTGGATCCTGACGCCGTAAAGTCCTCAAAAAGTTCTAGTTTCTGTCTATCGAGGTGAAATTGTTCTTTATTTTCACTCTGATCAGCCCTCTGTGAACGATTCCCCTCACAGCTTCATGATCAAATTGACTGTTTCAAAATAAAATCTCTGAGCTCCTGCGTTTACCTGCAGGTGTTTCAAAATAAAAGCTCTGAGCTCCTGTGTTTACCTGTGTCCGTGCCAGAAGCAGCTGCTGGAACCCTTCCACCTCTTTACTGTCGTCTGCCGCCCTCTCCTGGACAAACAGGAGAACAACAAGCAAACACAGATTTCTTCTTCAAAGCGAGAATTTAAAGGGAAGCAGAGAAGTTTTGTCTTCAGTCGTCTGAGCAGAAAGGAAACAGGCGAGCGACGGCGTTCAGCTCACCATGAGGACGCTGAGCATCATGTCGTAGTTGTTGATGAGGAAGATGAGCTGATCTCTTCTGGAGGGAAACTCCGCCGCCATCTTCAGCACAAAGTTTTCCACCTCCACCTGGAGAACAAACATCGATGTTTTCATTAATCCGATAATTTTTCCATGAGATTCACGATCAAACCAAAGTTTCCGAAGTTCTTTAAATTCTGCTGCATCTGAAATGAGTCTAAAATAAAAAGTTATTTTTGTGAAAATTTGGTTTAAAAAGTGACAGAAAAAAAGTCCTCATAAACTCTGACTGAGAAACTTATTTTGTAGACTTTGGCGCCCCCCAGTGGACTAAACAGTTCATCTCATTCAGGCGTCCTCTGAGTTTACACAGAATATTTTTATGATCTTATAACAACCCTCACGAGTTTAAAAATGTCCTAAACTGAGTTTAAAGCAGGTCTGAGTCTGAGCAACAATAAAATTTAAACTGTTTTTATGTTATTTTTTTATTCTACCGAGAAAAGTTAAAAAAAAAAAAATTTTTTCAAAGTTTTTCTGTTTTTGAATTTCTTCACTTTTTTTGTCTTCAGGTGTTTTTTTTTTTACTTTTTTTAAATTATTATTTGTTCCTAAAGTTTCTTTTTTTTCCTTTTACTCTAAAATTTCTTTCACACATTTTTTCTTTCTTTATTCATTTTTACCACTTTTACAGTTTTCTTCTTTATATCTTTCTTTGTGTCTTCTGACAAATATATTTTTATTCATATAAATCTTTTGTTCATATCTGTATTTATTTTTACTGTCTTTATTCCTTTTAGTTCAGTTTATTGAAATAATTTGTCTTTCGATCACTTCCATTCCTTTATACCTTATGGCTTTTATTGACTGTCATTTTTTTTTTGTCTTTTTACTTTTTTATTGTTTTTCTTTTCATTTCTTGGAGATCTATCTTTATTTTCTTTATTTAATCTAAATATTTTCAGTTTTCACTGTTCTTTATTTACTTTTGTTGCTCTTAACTCTTATATTTCATTCTTCTTAAAGCAATTTTTCTTTGAATTTCATTTCTTTTAAAACGTTGTTTGTTTTTCTGGTTTCATGAGTTGCTTGTTTGTCAGTGTTTTCCAGTTTGTTGTGAGCGATCAGACTCTTTTCTTTTTTTAGGTCACTGTCACTCGGAGACTGATTTATTGATGGATTAAATGAACTTAAATCTGTTTAATTGCTGTAAAGTCACAAATGACTCTGTTATTATCATACTTTCAGACTTCGCTGCTGAGCGACTATCTGGTTGAGTTACATTCACACTTTATCCCTGAGGGTGTCGCATTTTTACTGTGTTCGTCATAGAGCATTAATTAAGACACCTGTGCGTATGTGTGTGTGTGTGTGTGTGTGTGTGTGTGTGTGTGTGTGTGTGTGTGTGTGTGTGTGTGTGTGTGTGTGTGTGTGTGTCATACCTGCAGCTGTCCCAGCAGTGCGTTGGTTCTCTCGTTGGGAAACGTTTGGTTGATGCTGACGATGGCCGACGAGAACTCTGCATAACGACGAGTGATCTGAAAAAACACTCGTCACACTCAAACCTGCGACCAGAAGAGCGTGCTCATGGTGTGTGTGTGTGTGTGTGTGTGTGTGAGGACCTACATAGTGAGGTCTGGTGTCCAGCACTCCCAGTTTCTGAGGGTCTGTGTTTCTGATGCTGTGGATGTTCATCTCCAGGATCATCTCAAACCTGGGCCACAGCAGCTCCAGCACCGCCTCCCAGTACCTGAAACCGAGAAGATGAAAAATAAAGTCACCTTAAAAACCCACTCTCCACTTTAAAACCGTCCCTCATCTCTGCATGTGTGGAACACAGCGAAGCAGCTTTTGAAATCGTGTTTCAGAGACGTGGAGAGCGAACGCTGAGCGTAGAAACCTCCTGGTCTTTAATGGAGACTTTCCACCAACAGGTCCAGTTAGTCCAGAACAGTCCACTACAGTAAACCCAGATCTTTCTTGCTCTTCCACAGTCGACTGAACCCGACTGTGGCGCCTCAGCCGAACTCACACTGTTAACTGTTTCATCTGTATCGACCAAGAAAAGGTCACAAGTGTGAAAAATAGACTCTGACTGGAGTTTTTCAAAACAAAAGCCTGATCTGATTCTCACACAGTGCTTTTATTTTGAAGTCCAGTAACCCGCACAGCTCTTTAATTTAAGTGTTCTGGCTGCAGGTTATTTAATTTAAATGATGAGTTATTATCGTGAAGCTGCTGGAGATCGACCCTCTTCTGTGTGTCTACATAAATAAGTGGGATGGCTCCGCCCCTTTACTTTGGTACCCTCCCCATCTCTTGACAGTACTGAACCAGACCCCTCCATAGTTATCATATCTGTGTGAACATGTTAACACTCAGGGTTAACATCATGTCGGGTCACTGACTTGTCCAGGGCGGGGATGGTCCTCTTGGCCGTGATGGCTCTGAAGCGGAGGATGATGTGGATGCAGAGGAAGACGGCGATGCTGTCGTAGCAGTCGGACACGTACGTGGACATGCTCTTCTGCGGAGACGGAGGACATAAGATACGATAAAGAAAAGTCCGTTTGTGGTTGAGATGAGAAGAACAAACACTGATCGTACCAGGAACATGCTGAGCGTTTTCCCCATGATGCTGTTGAAGAGGTCGAGGGCGGAGTTTCCAGCCACCATGAAGAAGTCGGAGAGGAAGAGGAACTCTCTGCAGCCGTTATCCAGCAGGGCGTAGTGCTGGCTGCGAAACAGGGTCTCATACGGATACTAGAGGAGAGAGAGGAGAGAGAAGAGGTGAATCCTGTTAGTAAAGTTTCTTCAAAGTCACTCGTTCATCATCAGAGGAGCGACTTCATCCTCTGACGTTCCCACCGCGCCTCTGACCATCTGTCCGGCTCTTCCTGTGCCAGCATCTTCCTCCAGAGCGTCCACATGTGGTGATGTGGGACGTCCTTGTGGTTGATGTCCATGTGTCTGCAGGAATGAGCGGCCAGCTTCATCCCCCTGTGGTCGGCACTCACATCGCTCAAAGACTCTCAACTCTCAACTTTTCAGCCTTCAAGGCGAGGTTTGATAAAAAAAACAACCTCAGCAAGAATCCACGAGGTGTCAGTGTCGGTCAACTGACGGCTTCGACGGCTCGGTGCATGCTGGGACATAACCTACAATCTTAGAACAATCCAAAGAGCTTAAGAGCAATTATGGATGTTTGTTTTTGATCATCTTGTCCTAGATTCACCCAGGATCCAGCAGATCTGGTTTCTTCATTTCGTACCCCTTTGAGCACGCGTGTTCCTCTGATCTGAGTCATTTCACTCTGGATTAAAATACTTGACACAAACACACACATACGGCGGTTCACGTCAAAGGTGATCCAAAAATAGACAAAAGAACTCCAAGGCCTGAATACGAGGACGGTCGAGTTTTGGACCACTTTGAGAAAGACGCAAAACCGACTGAAAAAAGACAAAAAAGCAGGAAAATACAGACAGAGCACAGAGCCACACCCGCTTTATCGACCTGAGTCATCTTTCTCTTGTTTTTAACCCCTTCAGGTCCATTCATCACATGTCAAAACTGGACTGTTAGAACCAAACAGAACCAAACAGTCCGGACGGCTCACTGCTGTCCTTCTCAGACTGACAGGTCTGGAGAGGAGGAGAAGAAGGGGACACACCACGTCAACAAACCCCAGGGGAGAGGCCCCATCCTCTGCAGGAGTCTGAGGAGTCAGCCTGCAGGTCTTCAGAGACCCCCTCTCACCTGTCTAACTCCCTCTTTTCCTCCCTTTAACCACGGGTTTAAAACCGACCTTTAACATGGTGGGAACGCAGTAAAAGCGAACACAGGAGGAAGGTTAAAATGTGTCCATCACTTTAACACTCTGGATCCTCTGTTTGTGTCTCTGGGCTGTAATTTAGTGTTTTTATCGCTCTGATCGTTTCCTGTTTCTCCTCTTTTTTTGACCTTATGTGACCTCTCTTAGTGGCTCAGGAGGAAGAGTTTTAGGCCAATAACTGGAAAGATGGCGGTTCGAATCCCGCCCTATCCCTCCTTTGGGAAGACACTTAACCCACCTTGCTCCCAGTGTGTGTCCTCCACTGGTGTGTGATTGTGAGTGTTTTGTGTGGTGGTGTTAGGAGAGGCCAAACTGGCGGCCATGTTTCCGTCAGTGTGTGACTACTGAGGTAGTTTACCACCGACAGGGTGTGACTGTGTGAGCGAATGAATGATGTCTCTAATGTAAAGCTCTTTGAGGTCACTGACAAAAAGCATTTTAAAAATCTGATGCATCCTAATTATTTTTTATTGGTATTTGTCTCACCCTGCTGTCTCCTCTCTGAGCCGTATGAGGGACCAGGATCGGCCCCTCCAGCTCCACAGGACTCAGGATGGCGCCCCTCTGTCCCAGCGTGAAGATGGTGTTCCTGCTCTTCAGAGACGGTTTGGAGAAAAAACCTGCAGCAGGAAGTCAAGGAGTTCAGCGTGGCGAGGATTAGTTAACGTGGCGGGGCGTTGGCAGGGCTGAGGAGCTGATTGTTGCCCCAATTAGAGTCAAATTAGCTCTTCTCACACCCTGATGTACGGCAGAGTCACACCCTAACTACTTAATCAGTACGTATGTGAAACCGCCTGTCCTCACGCGCTCTCTTTCCTCTAAATCTAAACATTTTCTTTCATTGTGTGCCAGGTCTGTGATCCACCGTCAGATCTTGACCTCATTTCTGTGTTTACCAAAACACCTGATAAGGAAATAAAGGACTCGCTCACACCATCAGAGTCAGATTCCTCATATCTGGGGGATTAAGTGTCCTAACGTTAATACGTTTCGGGCAGCAGGTCATATTTTCAGATGGAATCTCTCAGATCTTCGCCTCTCATGTTCGTCACATCGCTCTGAGGTGTTGAGCGGTCCGTTTTAACTTCTGCCAAAGAGTTTGTTTTCTGGTAAAGACACCCTTCCTCGTTTTGGCATTTCGAGCACCACCCAGAGACAAACACTCGTTTTAAAGGATATCTTTCTTGGCAGTGTCTTCTACTCCCATCAGGTCGTCTTTGTCTGCCACCTCCTCGTACTGCAGAGAGGACAAACAGGAATCAGACAGAGTTGATGAAAATTAGGGCAGAGAAGGACGGGGACAGTTTTAGACACTTTAGCCTCTCGGTGGAGATCGCTTCATCGCTGCTGCTTTATTCTCTTTATGGTCTCAGTCTCATAAACTAACTCTCCCCGTCCATGTTGGCGACATCTTTCTTTACAATAATAATAATAAGAAGAACTTTATCTATATAGCACTTTTAAAAAAAAGAGCTTACAAAGTTCTTTAACGTGCAGGAAAACAAAGAAGATAAAAACAACAACAAGAGAACACTGAAGGAAATGACACATTATAGGCAATAAAGAAATAGAATAAAATAAAATAAAAACTGGTGGAAACAAAGACGTTATAACAGCCTGTGAAACACAGGAACCAAATCACAAAAACCTGAGACCAAGGCGACGATTATAAAACATGAATGAAGAGTAAAAAGTTTTAAAGAAGACAAAAATCACAAAACAGCAAGTCCATAGAAATGAGTTTTAAGACGTGATTTAAAAGCAGTGATTGTTTCTGCACACCTGATCTCCTCGGGGAGGTCGTTCCAAAGTCGAGGGGCCCTGATGGAAAAGGTTCCGTCACCTTCAGTTACAAGTCTCGACTTTGGAACGATCAGGAGGATCTCAGGGTGTGGGCTGGCTCATAGGGGGTTTAATGCCTTAAAAGTAACGAGTAAAATCTTCAAATCAATTCTAAAACTAACTGGAAGCCGATGTAAAGATGCTAAAATAGTGGTGATGTGATGTCGTCTGTTAAAATCAGTCAGAAGCCGAGCTGCTTCATCCTGGACAAGTTGAAGGCGGGGAAGAGATTTCTGTGTAACGCCTGAAAGAAGTGAGTTACAGTAATGGAGGCGGGGGAAGATGAGGGCGTGGATGACTTTGTCCATGTCTGACTGGGAGAGGATGGATTTTAATTTGGAGATAAATGGAAGAAGTGAGACTGTGTGATTTTATTGATATGAGCTGCAAAGGCGAGGTTAAAAAGATTTCTGATGATTTGATATTATTTGATGAAAATGGACCGAGGCTGTTACTGATCGTGGTCGAGGAGTTTTGTAAATTGAACATGATTATTTCAGATTTGCAGTTGTTTAGTTGTAGGAAGTTCTGTGCCGTCCAACAATCGACATCACTCAGGCGGTCTGTATCAGCAGCTCGGCTTATCTATCCAAGACACTTACTGTTGTTTCGGCATGACTCTGCTTACCTGCACTTTGAGCAGCCGGCCGCTGTAGGACTTGAAGTAACTGTAGTAGATTTTGCTCATCGTGTCCACGTACTCGTCTCTGATCTCCTTCGCTACTGTCCTCTCATTGGCCAAAAGAAACTGGTAGAAAAACCTGTGAAGGACATTAAAAGGAGGTCAGAGCCTGACGGTAAAGAGAGAACAAACAGGAACAACAGGCGGGTCTTTGCTGACCTGTATTTGAGCAGAGTGTTCTGTGGGATCTGATAGTTGGTCATCGGCTTCCTGAAGGAGTAAATCTTCTGCAGGATGAACTCTCGGATCTTTGACACCGCCTGAGGAAGTACCGTAGGTGTTACAGAGCTAATGAACACCTGTTCTCAGAGAATGTGAAGATAACTTAAATCTCTCCTCCGAGTGTCACCTTGAGTTTGAGGCGGTCCACGATGTCCTGGATGTCGGAGCAGGCCAGCGTCTCTCTGAAGCTCAGCTCTTTGGCGAAGTTGATCTTGTTGTTGAGCTCGTGCAGCTGCTCCAGGAACTCCTGCTCTGTCACGGGACTGTCCAGAATGGTGGAGATCATGGCTCCGGGAACCACCAGCTCGTCCACCAGCTGGCTGAGGTGGCTGCGTACCGCCTGACGGTTCTTCAGCCGGACGTTCATGCTGACCGACTGCTGCTGCAGAGTCTGGATCTCACTGCTGATGGAGGACAGGTCGCTCTGGAAGCCGCTCAGCATGCCCTCCATACGCTGGGAGGAGGAAGTGATATCATCAGGGGTGTTAAGGGCCAGGGGTGTAACATGCCTCCAAAATATCATGAAACCTGACAGCTTGAGTGGACGAGAATTCCCACCTCTAAATCTACATCTTTGGGATCAGTTTGAGTTCGTCTCATCTTACCTCCAGGATGGAGTCACAGGCCGTGATCTGGTTGTGCAGCAGAGCGATGTTCTGACTCTCCTTAATGTCTGACGGGTGAACAGTCAGGGAAACAACAATAATACATCAACATAACAGGGAAAGGTGTAGATGATAGAAAAAAGGTCCTGATTTGGTTCTTCAGGACCTTTTACTGGGACAAGAACAACTTAAATGACATTCTTCAGGTTTGTGCAGGAAGGATACAGTCTTTGATGGAGGCCTGTTCAATCCTCTGCAGCTCTGACTCCACCTGCTTGGAGTACTGCCGCAGGTCGACCCCCTGAAAGCAAAACCAGCTTCATTAAAACCAGATCACAGACACAGAGCTGTAAAAACCCTCAACCAGCTTTCATTCCTCTCCTCAAATCTAACCCTCAGTTAAAGAACTTGAGCTCTCACCGTTTTCAGAGCCTCCTTCACCAGATCGTCCTCCAGATTGGCCTGAATGTGAACTGCAGGAGGCAGAAAGAGAATTCATGAAAACTTGAACTCCTTTGGATTGTGAGAACTTTGAGTTAAAAGTTTGATAAATGTGAGTCTAAACTTCACAAATTGTAAATTAGTTCATTAGCGCACAAATGAAAGTTGCCATGTCAGTATTTTGCTGCATTAATGATCAGTTTTGAAGAGGTTTCTCAAACATGACGACTTTTATCTAACTGTGGTGTGAGACACATAAACAGTAAATGTTTAACTTACTGTCCACTTCATCCAGGATAAACTCATCAGTGGTGAGGTCCAGCTCACCCAAGTTGAGGTTCGTCATGTCTCCATCAGTCTTCTGGAAAAAACAGACGAGCACTTTCACTTATTTTGAATTATTTAGTTGAGTCCATCGTAGCCAAATAAAAGACAGGAGTGTTCAGGGTTGTAAGAGCTGGTGATGGACTTCTGGAGGAGCAGGAGGCCCAATATCTCCATTACTATCCACGGGGAAGAGGTGGACACAGTGGACTCCTACAAGTTCTTGGGGGCCTACATTAACTCTCCCCAGGTGCAGAACAGAAAGGTTCAGACGCTCCCACAGCCATCAGACTAACACATACACACCTAGAAAGGTGAAGCACTTTGACTTTTAGGTATTTATTTGTTGTCAGCTATTTATTTTGACGATACCTCTTGTGTGTCCTGTCGTATCTGTTGCTGCAACAATATGAATTTCCCCTTAAAGTTTTATTCCATTCTTCTATTCTATTCTAATCTTTTACGAGTGATAACTTGTAGGTTTGTTCAGTTCATGCCTGAGTTCCTTTAAGAAAAAAAATTAAGAAGGTACTCCTGTGTTTGTGATTTGATTGAATGATATTGAAGCTTTTTGTTTTCTTGATTTTCTCCAAATAATAATCATTCAATTTTCCTTTGGGGATCAATAAAGTTCCTCTAATCTCAGCTTATATAAATTTAGAAACAGCGGATTCCCAAAGAGCAGATCTTGGTATCAGTAGATATTCGAAGCACCTGATCTTTGAAGTAACAGTGATGTTTAGACAGTTAGAGGAGCTATCAGACTGTTTCTGAGCTCTGACAGCTACAGTGGTTAAAAACATCATTTTAACAACCCTGTGAAACACACATCACGCCTTTTCTTTGCTTATCGTGGCTAAATAAATGTCTTTTCTCAGTATTATAGCGTTACACTGCAGTAATTAACTCTAATGTTACAGCTCATTGATAGATTAGTGAGATAGAAACAGGATGTAGGACTATAAGGGCGCGTAATGACATTAGATAACCGAGTTTTTCACTTTAACCGGCTCAGATGAAAATGATTAACAGTTACCTCGTCTTGTAAATACGCCATGGAGATATCTGTCTGTTTTTCAGCCGTGTTTACATCGACTCCAGCTCCAACCACAGCCGCAGCCTCTTCCGCCATTGCTGCGAATTGATGCTAAATAACTACAAATGTGACGTTCCGCCACGTCGTCATCCAAAATAATAAAGTTAAAATCTGATCGATTTTTTTTTTGTTTGATAGAGAGATAAATGTAAAACGATAACTCAATCAAAATTTAATCATTTAACGTTCCGTGTCGTGTCTAAGTTAATTTATAATATATTTATTCGTGTCTTCACCGTTTATTACTGCTTTCCGGATGGCTTTTAACGACGGACTTACTTCCGATCAACGGCGGGCTCAACTTCTCGCGAGATATTCACCGCTTCCTCTTCGCTCGGAACCTACTTCCAAGATGGTGAGTGTAATTTTTATCAACACGGATAAGTCTAAAATCCGTCGTCATCTAACGTTTAATTCACACTTTGATGACATTAAAAGAGCCCCTGGTGTTCATCGATACTTTAGCGAGCGGGATGATGATGAATTATTGGCACATTAAGCGCAGAAATACACGAATTATTGTAGTTATGTGTCAACGTTTGGTAGGGGTGTACCGACTGACTGAAGCTAACTAGCGCCGATGAATAGACTTCATTTTTCTTTCTCTCTGTTGTTCATTAGTTTATATATTTATCTATAAGGCTTAGAGTGAGGCTGAGCTTTAACTTAACAAAGGATTTAATTTTTTGGTTTGTGTTTAGCAGCTACCTGACACTAAAGGCAGCTGCTCTCTGTTAGCTGTGCTATCTTTACAGCATGGTGGAGACAGCAAACCGGCAACTGAGTGAATGTAGATCTGCTGTAAATATCTAGAGTTTGGGTAAACTAAAGTTGACTCAACTCTGCATGTTCGAGTCTCTGTTTCGGTTTTTATTCTGTGTAGAGTTGATGTTGAAGCAGCAGCAGCATCTCTTGGAAGTTGGAGCCAAAAGTGTTGGCAGATACACGAACAGGATATTTTAGAGTTTGGGACTCCTCAATCTGGGCTCAATCTTCCTGCTAATCTAGAGCACAAATGCTTATTTTACAGATTGTGTGAAGCATCAACTGCAGGCAGCATTTCAGGGTCTGGATTAGAAGGAGATGGACATTCAGGAGAGAGTTTAAGGACAAAGATAATTAGTTAATGTCACCTCTGTAAAGTAGAGAACTAGATCTGGTGTAATTCTCGAGGAGGAGCTCAAAACAAGCTCATGTTAGCATCGATTCCTAATATTAGTGTTTACTTGTATTGCTGTGTGTTGATAATACATGGCACAGTTCCAGGTGATCTTGTGTTATTGTAACAGATGATGTTTGGTGATGTGCTCTGATCACCCTGCCTCCCTGATGATGTGTTTGTTTGTTCTGTGTTTCAGTCTCTGGTCATTCCTGAGAAGTTCCAGCACATTCTTCGTGTTCTCAACACGAACATCGATGGTAGGAGGAAGATCGCCTTCGCCATCACTGCCATTAAGGTAAAGACCTTGGAGGAAATGGACGTAGATGTTGCGTCAGAGCACCGTCCATTTTTAGTGTCTGTAAATCTTTAGTGAACACGACAACGCTGATATGACTCTCATGTCCCTTCAGGGTGTTGGCAGACGTTACTCTCATGTTGTCCTGAGGAAGGCCGACATTGACCTCAACAAGAGGGCAGGAGAGCTGACTGAAGAGGAGGTGAGAAAGAGCTGCTGCATACCTGCCAACACTCCCGTTTTTCCCGGGACTCTCCCGTATTTCAGACCTATCTCCCGCCCACCTCCCGTATTGTCATTTCTCCTAGAATCTCCCGTAGTTTGATAGTCCACAGACTAAATAAGTTCAAGGCATATCGTAGCTATTATTTTTTACTATTTGTTACTGTTAAAACAAAACAAAAGTGTGCAGCTTCACTTAGACTTATTTGGATGAGCAATTTAATTACAAATACTCTCATAATTCACTCATATCCACCATACAAGGTAACCCCAAAACAGCCCAGAGTGCGCCGCAAAAATCTCCTGGATTTTATAACCTAAATGTCGGCAGGTATGAGCCGCTGTACAGTGATGAGCTTTGCGGCGTTCTCCTGTCCTGATGTACTGCAGCCCCAGCAGACATAACTTTAAAGATGTCTTTGTGTTTTTTTTTATAATTGCAGTAATTTTCACTTAACAGTTTAATTAGCAGATTGCGTAACTGAGCTCATCAGTGTGGAAAACTTGAGCTCTCATCATTTTTCTTTTAGTACAAAAAGCATATCGATAGACTTGTTATAGACTTGTGTTTGTAAATAATGATCTGTATTTGTCTGTCAGGTGGAGCGCGTGATAACCATCATGCAGAATCCTCGTCAGTACAAAATCCCCGACTGGTTCCTCAACAGGCAGAAAGACGTCAAGGACGGCAAATACAGCCAGGTAAGGAACCAGAGAGCTCACCTGAACTCTGACAGGGATGAAAAATGTCTGCCTGGAGTTTTCAACACCCCCCACGTGTGGCTTCTCCTCTAAACTTGCATGCCTCCCCAGACAGAAGCACTTCAATCGCCCTCTCTGCAGACAATGAGTCAAACTCTAAATGAAGCGCCCTGATTGGTGAAATCGATCCGTGGGTTCACTAAAACTTTGAAAACTGGGATCGGCCCGTTTGTTGATTCACATAAATACAATGAGAGCATAACTTTGGCCAATTATCCACCTGTTCTCAAACCACAGAAATGGTCCAGAGGAGACACGTGTTTCTCTCCTCATCAGAGTAAAGGTTTCCTCCCTGCCTGATTGCCTGCAGGGCGTTCCCTCTGCATTCACAGATTTAACATTCTTACTCGATGACGGCGGCGTTGGCGGTGGACCGCATTGTGTAACGTGTTGTTCTGTCAAACACCATGAATTCTGTTCCTGTTGATTTTTCACTGAAGCGGTGCGTCTGTCACTGCAGGAATGAGGCTCAAAGTCAGAATGATCGACAGCTTATTAAACACTGAACAGAGAAATTAACCGATCGTATCTAGACCTGCTGTGATCTGGGTCAGACAAAGTCACATTCAGTGAGACTCTTGTCTTTGTGGTTCCTTCAGAGTTTTCTCAGTTTAGATCCTGAAAACAGGAGTGGACAGGTTCCTCAGTCAGAGCTGCGGTCTCAGTTCTGCACAGTCTCAACCGAGTGTCTTTGCCATTTCAGGTCCTCGCTAACGGTCTGGACAACAAGTTGAGAGAAGATCTGGAGAGGCTGAAGAAGATCAGGGCTCACCGGGGTCTCAGGCACTTCTGGGGGTAAGAGATCCAGATCCACATTGATCCTGGTTTGAAGTCTTTGCGTCGATTCTTCTGACCCGTCACGCTGTGATCCAAAGGGACTGAAAATTTGTATTCATGTAGTTTGACCACAAACAGAGTTCAGCTTCAGCTTCAGCGTCTGCGACTTCTCCATCGGAGGAGAGCAGCTCCTGGTTGATCTCAGATTTAGCTGTAGACAAATCCAAAGATTCAGTCCCTCACAGCTGTTGAGTTTCGACGCAGAGAGAAAACCTTGAATCCAAATTTGAGTGGATGTTGTTGGATGTTTCTGTCCTGTTATGATGTTTGACATCTCACACTTTCCTCTCTCTCCCCTCCAGTCTGCGTGTGCGCGGTCAGCACACCAAGACCACCGGCCGTCGTGGTCGCACCGTGGGTGTGTCCAAGAAGAAGTAAACTCCCCTGCTGCCCTTTGTTTCAATAAAACGCCACATAAGTCCACATCTGTCTCTCTGGTGGTTTTGTTCTCGCTCAGCTTAAGCGTTTTGGGATTCAGAGTCGGACACAGTGATGCTCAGGCTGAGAAGAAGACTCACCTTTAGTTTGTCTCCCAGATCAAATTGAGTAGAATGTGACCTGAAGGCTCAAACATACAGGATGTGTATTTTAGAGCGTGGCAGCATTGTCGCGGGGGGGGGGGGGGGGGGGCTGCACTACGCTCCAAATACACTGATCCTGTATGCAATACCGAATGCGCTAAACACGGATTTTGTATGTTTTGGGCTTGACAGTCGGTACTGAAGTCCAAAAAGTTCCTTTTTTTTTTCTGTCAAATTAAGATTGGATCCTGTCTGGACTCACACCTACATGTCCATCAAAGTCTGCGTTCACACTGCAGGTTATGATGCACAGTTCGGATTTTTTGTTAAATCCAACCTTTTTGTGCGGTCGTTCACGTTACAACAACGAATGCGTCTGTGAAGTGACCCGCATGTGCACAAAGCGCCTGTTTGTGTTGTCAAACAATGGTGATGTTTGTTGCATATTGATGACGTAAAGGTTGGATGAACACGACCTGAGGGTCCACACTGCAGTCACATCGGATACATATCTGATTTATATCCACATACAAAAGAGGCCTGGGTCGGATTAGAACCAATCAGAACTGACCTGTTCACACTTCAAAAAATCAGATATGAGTCACAGATGGTTAAAAAATCGGAATGACCTGCAGTCTGAACGTAGCTGAAGTCGGGGCTGCAGGTGTGAGCGGTTTAGGAGGGTACAAATGTTTTATTTCTACCATCTTCATGATCATGTTTCAGATTTAAATAATCAGAACTGTAATCCGACACAAACACTCTCAAACCTTCAGATGATTATTTTTTTATTGTGCTGCAGGACTGAAGAAGATCAGAGTATAATACAACAGAGGCTGAAGGAAGTATTGCATTATTCTTCATATGCAAGGAGTCCATTATTGAGGTAAAGCGGGAAATGTTCATGGCTGCAGAGGAGTTTAAAGTGCGTAGAGACAGAAGAGGAGCTCGGGTTCGATCTCGCTCAGCGTTATGGCTTCTCAAAGAGTTCAGGAAACGAAACGTTTGGGGAGGAAATCTTTTTTCTTATTTTAATGTACATCTGTTAGGCTCTTACTGCCTGTTTCAGGTCAAGATCTTTTATCTCCGACACTTTAATCAGAGTCCATCGGCAGCAGAACAGGAACCTAAAGTCGACCCTCTGTGTCCCGGCTGCATTTGACCCAAAGGTTTGAATGCAGCACGCAGTAAAAACAGTCTTCAAAAGGAAGGAGAGGAATAAAAACAGAAGGTAAGCCGGGTGTTCAGTCACATCACTGCGGTGGAAACATGGAAAACGAAAACATACAAGAAACTGGATGTTACTGAACATTTCTACATCACTCATGAGGACCACAACAGAGAATCAAAGTTTGATAATGAGGCTGAAACACGAACTGTTCAGTCACTTCAGCCCTTACAGAGGAGGGATGACGGAGACACGGTTTGTGGAGCCGTGTAGAACCCTAAAAACAGAACCTGCAAACCTTTTAAAGCTGCAAAGAACTTAAAACATCAAATACAGAGACTGAAATCGTTGTTTTGTCACATTTATCGGCAGACACTCATCATGAATTTGATAAAAACACACGAGGAGGAACATCTCCAAACTAATCATGTTCATTTTAAAACTAGGAGGAGCAAGAAGAACCCGAACCAAGACTGGATGGTCCTGCTCTTCAGGCAGCACTTCATCTAAATCAGACTCTGTAGTGGAAATCAGCCCCAAAAACCAGTTTGTGTACACAGTTAGTGATTGGATCAACAAATGATGAAGCACAGACTCGTGAAAAAGCATCTGCTCATATTTAACAAGCACAAATTTTGAGTTTCAACATTAGGCTTGTCTTTAAATGATCCGTAAACCATCCGTTTGTTCCTGAACCAACATCCCCCACAGCGTCCCAACTCCTCCAGAACACGGCCGCTCATCTCTGTCTTATTAAAGCTCAGCTGAAGCTCGAGTACTAAAGGAGGAAAGCTAAAAAAAAACACCATCAACACAAAGCTTTTAGTGCACAGCTGTCTCACACCGCTCCTGTCCTAATCATGAAGCAGCAGAGCGCTTCAGTCATCACCTTTAAAATCAAACTCTAACACACAGAGGGTTCATAAACAGACCTGTTCGAACGGGAAATCTGCTTCACTGTTCTACTGTAAAGATCGAAAAGCCGAGTACGATTGTTCGGGTTTAAGAAACAGTCTGAAAATCAGGGACACGTTTAAATCCTCAGAAAGACGTTTATCCTCATCTCTAAGAAATCAAATGACCTCTAACTTGGTGTGTGAACGTTTTTCCATGTTTAAGTTTGAGTCACATCCAGAGCACCAAACCCTAGTGGATAAATAAGGTATATTACAGTCAGAGATGAAGAAGAAGAAGCACCCAGAATCAGTTTGTGACAGTCTGTACACTTCTTACTCATGTGTAACCATAACTAGCACTTAAGTATAAGATGTCTCTTTAACGCAGACAAAACTAGAGTTATCAGGATTTTAAAAAAGCTGCAGAACTTTTCCCTCGATCTCTGCAGACGGTTTTGTATTTACTGTCTCTTTCGTGTTTGGCGTGGATGATAGCGATGTCTCGTAAACGCCTACCTTCTCTGACAGCTTACGCCTCACCTGGATGCTGCATCATGGAGCTCTGAGGTTCACTGCTAGCTTTAAAGCCCTCCCTGTCACCTCTGTCTGCTGTGTGAGCATGTTGGTCGATCTATCTTGGTTTTTATGACGAAGCAGAGCATATAAAAAAAGAGAGAGAGAGAGAGAGATCCACTTTAGATCTTCGTGTCTCCTCTCTATCTTACAGTGGGGTACGTCTCCACATGCTGTTAATAACACAAGCAGGAGAGCTGCTCTCTTTTCAGTGTTTTGAGGAACCTCTGGGTTACTCGACGTTTATAAAGATGTAATTTGTGTTTTTTCTGGTTCATGGAGGGGAAACAAAAACATGTTGATTGTTAAAATGTGTCAAGAATCCGCGTTGGGGCTTTTTTTGTAGCCTCCGACTTCGCACAGTGTTTTCTTTTGTAGATAAAATAGCTCCAAACCTCTCGTTTTGTCGTCTCCTGGTCCACCTCCTGCACTAAAGAGAAAAACTCTGATTTACCAGCTGATACCAAGTGCTTCTTTCCTTCTCTTCTTGATTAGGCCTCCGTCAGAAATCTGCTCTGAGGACACATGAAAAGTAACCAGAGAAAAACTCTGCACAGTAACCTCCGTTTCCAGGAGAGGATGTGTTGGTTAAAGAGGAGGAGGAGGAGGCGGGAGGAGGAGGAGAGGACATCCCACTTCTCTTCCTCACCCTTCTTTCTGGGGAGGAGCGGGAGGAGGAGGAAGAGGAGGAGACTTCTGCTGTGGCGTCTGTTGCTGAGGTTGTTGTTGGTCCTTGGTGGGAGCGTAGTAAAGCTCCAGAGGCTTCCTCACCTTCCAGTACTTCTCGTTGACCAGCTCCAGAGTCAGGGAGCCGTTCAAAGTCTGACGGGAGAGAAAGAAAGGAGGAGAATGAGAGAAGGACACCAGGGAGAGATTTGGCTGATATCTCTACATGCTGAAAGATTTTGGTCCGTTTGGACACTGATGGAAGTCAACGAGGAACTACCAAATTATGCAATAGGAGTTTTTGTGGATCTCAAGAAAGCTTTTGACACGATTAATCATGACATCCTGTTAACGAAATTAGAGAGGTATGGTATCAGAGGGGCGGGGCTTAGCTGGATCAAAAGTTATACTGAAAACAGACAACAGTTTGTACAGACAGGTGAGAACAAGTACATATCTAACCTGTGGAGTGCCACAGGGTTCAATACTGGGACCAAAATTATTCATATTATATATAAATGATCTTTGTAAAGTTTCTAGTGTTTTAAAATTTGTTATTTTTGCAGATGATGCTCATAATTTTGTACAGGAGAGAATCTAAACCAGCGACGGCAGGATACCTCAGTGGAGTTGAAACTCTCCTTAAATATGACGAAGACAAAGTTCATAGTGTTTGGAAAGAGACCAATTTAACCAAATACAGAGGCTGAAGTGAGAATTGATAATACTAAGATAGAGAGGGTGTCTGAGTGTAACTTTTTTAGGGGTGAAAATGGACCATAATCTCGGCATTTTGGGTCGGACAAGACACAAATTAAACCGTAAAACTTTAAACTTATTATTCAATACGCATATATGACCGTATCTGACTTATTGCATAGAACTTTGGGGAAAAACATACAAAACAAATTTACAACCTTGATTTATTATGCAAAAAAGAGTAATAAGGATTGTTAACAAGGTAGGATTCTTCCATCATACTAATTAACTGTTTCTGAAATTAAGAGGATTAAAATTTGCCGATTAGAGCTGCACAGATAAGGTACAAAGCCAGTAACAATCTACTCCCTAGTGATATACAGAAAATGTTTGGTGAAGGTATGTGTTAAGAGGGGAACGAGATTTAAAACGACCAGGCGTTCGTACCAAAACTGAAAACGTGTCTTCCTGTTGTGGGGGTGAAGTTGAGGAACAGTTTGTCTGATGAACTTAAAGTAAAACTATCGAACAGTTTAAAAGTAAATTAAAGCAGATTAGGATTGAAAAATACAAAAGTGATTTTCTTTTTGCCACACTTATTACACTGTATATGGGTATGGAACAAATGAGAGATTTGAAGTATTCTAGGTATATAAAGTGCATATTTGTGTGTATATAGGTATGAATGCATATATGTATATATGTATATATAAGGTCTTTGTTTCAGTATTAATGATAATGATTTGGATCTTTGATTAGTTTTTGGTGACATGTAAGAGACATGTAAAGAGTAAACGAATCGGAAAGAATGAGGGTAGGTACATAAAAGCTAAATAGCTTCTACCGACTCCATTTCCATCTCCAAAAATAGGGAATTTCTTGTCTACAATGGTACTGTATGTATATTTGATTGAATAAACAATCTCAAACTAAGTCAAGGCCTGAACAGTGTGGCTTTCTAGAATCAGTATAACGGTTTTCTGGACAGGTCACACTCGACAGGTTTTAGATAACAGCATCCACGTCTCTCCTAACCCCCGTAAGTGTGCCGTTTTCACTCACAGAGAACTGTCCTCCTCTCGTCATGATGTAGATGGTGTACTGTTTCTCACTGACGCTGTTCAGACTCGAACCCTCTCCACTCTCTCCACTTCCTCCTCCTCCTCCTCCATCTTCTCGGCCTCTGTCTTCTTTCTCTCTGTTGGTCTGCCTGTCCTCCAGAGCGATACGCAGAGCCAGGTATTTGGACAGGTGGTCCACTGTGGCGTTGGCGGTCGTCTTCACGAATCTGTAAAGGAAGATTGTTTGTAAAAAAGAAAGGTAAGAGGAGATAACGGCAGAGGAAGATCGTTTTTTTCTCTCGGACCCCCCTGACCTGGTCTGATTGTAGTCCTGTGCGTGGACGAGCTGTGGGTGTGGCCTGAACACCAGCTCAATCTCTGAGGCCGACCCCTCTTTGTGGCGCCTCAGCGGAGGGGTGGGGCTGCCGCTGTTCGCTTCGGGCCCAGAACCGTCATCTGACGCTCTGGGGCGCTTTCTGCTCGGCCCCGCCTCTGAGGGGGTCTGACCAGGTGGGTGAGGGGCTTGTGAGGGGGCGGAGTCGTGAGACAAGTGTGAGCGTGAGTCGCCGTTGTCCTCCCCTCCGCTGAAGGTGGTGTTGTCGCTCTCCTGAGTCGGCTTCTTGACCCGGTTGTTCCTGCAGAGGTGATAATTGTGACTCTTTATCTGGTTTATCTAGTTCTAGGATTTCTCTCAGATATCTCATATTTGTACCGTTTCTACAGGAATCTCTGATGTTGGAAATACCATTTTCCTCACATTCCCCCTGTTAGAACCCAGAAAATCCCTTTTCTCTCCTCCCTGGTTTAAGAAATCACTCTCCCGCCTCCAACTCGTTCTGAACGCAGCAGCTCGGCTTTTAACTGGTTTTAGTCGACGGTATCACATCACTCCAATTTGAGCCTCCCTTCACTGACTTTCTCTCAGTTTTAGAATTGATTTTAAGATTTTATTAATTACTTTCAAGGTTCTTAAGGGACTTGCACCAAGATACATTTCAGAGCCAACTCGCAGCCTCAGATCCTCTGGTGAAGTCCTCCTGGTCGTTCCAAAGTCGAGACTCTAAACTAAAGGTGATCGATCTTTGTCCATCAGAGCTCCTCGACTTTGAAACGACCTTCCAGAGGAGATAAGGCGAACAGCAGAGACAGTCGCTTCTTTTAAGGCAAATTTAAAAACTGACTTTTACAGACTTTCTTTGACGTGACACCATCTTTTATCTTTTATCTTATTTTGGCTTTACTGTCTTTTTAGATTTTGAATACTTGTTCTCTTTTCTTAAGGAACCTTTTTGGGTTTTTATTGTTTTATCTCTCGCTCATTTCTGTTGCTCTATTTCATCATTACTATCATTATCAGTATTACCTGTTATTATTTTATTATTATTGTTGATATTGTCTTTTATATTTACTATCCTGTTTCCTCTTTCGACCTCCATTTTAACTGCATTTCCTTTTTTCTTAACTATGTTATGTTTTTATTTTGGTCTCATTTTCTGCTACATGGTTCTTGTTTTGTCTGGGTTCCTTATAACATGAAAATGACCTCCAGTTCCGTTTTAGATAAGCTTTGTGTTTTTATCTGTCTTTTTCCATGTGCTGTATGACTATATGTCAGAGCGCTTTGTAAACTTCTGTTTTTAAAAGTGTTATACAAATAAAGTTATTGTTATTATCATTATTATTTTCTTCTCCCCACCTCTCAGAGCGGTAGCGGGCCTGCTGCCGGAGCCCCTCCTCGATGCTGGAGCTCAGCGCCTCCGTGTTGTGCAGCCGATTCAGCCTCTCGATGACGCGGCGCTGGTGGGCCTCATACTCGTCCCGGCTCGGGTAGATCTTTGAAATCAGCGCGTCAAAGTTCGAGTCCCGGCGCAGTGAACGCCTGGAGACCAGCTTCTTCCTGCAGGTCGGACACTCTTTGTTTCTGTGGAGGGGGGCAGGCAGAGAAGCTGGTTAAATCTGGTGTAAAGGATCTATGCAGTACTCCGTTAAAAAACACAGCAGTAACAAACAAATCTGGTTCGATGATTGCTTGTACCCTGGTGTTGCTTTTGTCTGCGAAAATTATGACAAAATGCCGTCAATGAATGAATCTTTATCACGTGACAAAAACAAGATGAGACAAAACGTAAATGGAGGTCTTGTGACGATAACTATAACTGAATATATAATGCAATATTGTTGACGAATAAAAACGAGGCTAAATAATTCACAAAATAAAAACTCCGCTAAAATGTCTCTTCACTTTCGTTGAATAAAACAAGACGAGACAAAACTGTTTAGTCACGTTGTCGTTGTTTTCTGTTTCCTCGGCTGTGCGTCGCCCTGCTCAGACACAGGCGACGTCACATCCTCAATTTTAGAAGCGGTGGGCAAAGACGTTTTTGGGTGAGTTGGAGTGAAGGCCGGGTTGTCGGTGAGAAAATGAAGAAGTGATGTCTGAACACACTTAAAAAACAACACTGGCGTACCCGGATCGCAGCGCGGTGACGATGCAGTCAGAGCAAAAGCGATGCAGACACTCTTTGGTCGTCATGGTGTTCTTCAGCATGTCCAGACAGATGGGACACATGAGCTCGCTGTGCAGAGAGCGAGGAGACACGGCCACCTCTGTCCCATCGATGATCGCCTCCTGAACACACACAAACACACATTTTCATACACACGTTACCTCACTTCGATAACTCCATCTGGTCTACTGTGATTTTATTTTTAGCTTTTAGATATCCCAGAATGATGACACACTGTAGTGGTTTTCCAGTCATCCACCCCAACCCCCTGGTTTACCTGCGGGCTCCTGTGAAGCTCATACAGACTCAGCTCCCAGGTCTTACTGGGAGTCTGGATGTTGACTGGAGCTGCCATTGCTGCCGGGTCTCACGATCGTCTCTGAACTGAAGCAGGTGGAGAAAACACCAAAATTTATCCTTTTAGTTTAAAAAGAAAAGCATCTACAGTTCTGTGATACGCTGGCAATGTGAATTAGAAATCTGAACAAACAGAGGAAGTTCATTTCTTTTACTTCCTCTTGTTTTACGGCGGAAGGCAACCATGCAGGAGTGTGAGCCAGAGGAAAATAAATTCATATTTACTTTATCAATCAATCAATAAATCAGTCTTCATTTATACAGTCATTTTCATACACAATCATGTAGCACAAAGTTCTCTACACAGAAAAAGAAATAAAAGAAAAAAAGAAAACCCAAATCTACCCCAACCAAACCCTCATTCCCACCCCACGATCTAAACGCACCAGAAACAGAATTAAAATGGATGAACTTAAAAAGGGTTTGATTTAGTGGACACAGGAGTGTGCGCACTGAGGAAACGTCATTTTGAAACTCAAGATAAGGAAACACTGGAGGTTTATGTTAAAACCTAAAAAGAAAGAAACATGTAATGTCCTTGCTTCCAAACTTTTGGCCTGTAGTGTACATATAACATGTTCCAGTTTCATCCTTAACTCCACAGCCACATCTCCCTGTTGGATGTTTTCCTGTTAAATGCATAGTTTTATTTAATCAAGTGTGGCCTCGTCTTAATCTTGACATCACTGTTTGTTCCCTGATAGATTTTCCAATCATTTCCATTCAACCCACTTTTTGCTTAATCCTATTAAAGATGTCTTCCTGTATTACCAACCTCCACACACTTTCACTCAGGATTCTGCTCTTTATCAATGCCTTGGCTTTGACGAACCAAATGTAATTACAATAATTCTGTCGTGTTTCAGAGTTTGTTTTGGAGAAAATCTTCCATTTCCCTCTCCTTCACCTCAGTGTGGAAGTTCATTTCTGAAAACCCTGAACAGATTTGTTCTAACTTCCAACAGAGAACATCCTGTCAACGTTTGGACCGATAAAGAAGTTTAAAAAGTTGTTTCCCGTGATTGGATCATGGATTAAGAAGCTAAATCTGTGTGATTGTTGGTCAAAGCTGCAGAGTTAAAGGTGTAAACAGCAGGAGTAAACTCACCTGACGGACAGCTGACTCTCTCTCACACCCTCAAAAAACAACTCGATAAATCACAGCGACGACCCGCTTTTGAGCGGATTTGCAGCCAGGTGGTTAAACTGTCGAAAGGAGGTTTTTAGCAGCGGCTGTGTCTCACCTGGAGAGAAAAATTAAAGACAAAACGACCAGGAGCGCATCATCTCACCGACCTGCTAGCTAACGTTAGCGCTGGCCATCTTTCTTCTTCTCCTCCCCGGAACAGCTCGCATTGTGTCTCCGTCTGCCGAGTACAGACGCATCGCCCCTCACCCAACGGTAGAGACCCCAAGCGGTCGCTCGGTGTACTACACACGACAATACAGATGGTCGGAGAGGTGTAATGCAAGGTTTTAAACCGTTTTAAGGGATATTCCGGCGTAAAATTAAGTTAGAGTCAAACACACCGTTTCTCTAGTTATACCAGCTTTAGTAACGACCGCACGATAGCAATACACAGCGGTCTGAGGAGCCATAAACAAACCTCAACCAAAACGCCACTCTATAGACACAAATAATGCTCAGAACAGCACCTAACTTCATCAACAGGACATATAGGGTCCCAGCCATAGTACTAGGCACCAAACATCTTTTTTTTTTTATTTGCGGATTTCTTTCTGCGGGGTGCCACAGCTCAAGGAAGAACATTTCTTTATTGTTTCCTTGAAGTAATAATCATCATATTACAGTCACTTTAAAGGGATACTCTAGCGTAAAATTAATTTAGGGTCAAACACACTGTAACACTGAGTTAGACCCCCCCTCCAGAGATGAATGTTGCCGACCACTTACTTCTCTAGTTATACCAACTTTAGTAACCCCTAACTTTTTATTACTCATGTGCTATATCAATATCATCATCATCATCATCATCATCATCACATCCATACCTGTTTTTTTGTTCGCACTGATCTATTCTCTTTTTATATTTCTTATACTTGTCTTTAATACTGATCTTCCTTTGCTCTGCTCTTTCTTTTTTCTTTATCTTATTTATTTGCTCTTGTATGAATGTGTTTGTTGTGTTTACCGCTGCTGTGAACAATTTAATTTCCCCACTGAGGGATAAATCTCATCTAATCTAACGGCCGCAGGATAGCAATACACAGAGTAGGTGAGTTGTGTTTAGTCCCTTTGCTAAAGAAATGAGTCAAAGTTAAAAAGATATTTGGTGTCTAGTACTATGTCTGTGACCCTATATGTCCTGTTGATGAAGTTAGGTGCTGTTCTGAGCATTATTTGTGGCTATAGAGTGGCGTTTTGGTTGGGGGCGTGGCTCTCTGTATTTCTATCCTGCGGTCGTTACTAAAGTTGGTATAACTAGAGAAGCAAGCGGTCGGCAACATTCATCTCTTGAGGGGATGTCTAACTCGGTGTTATGGTGTGTTTGACCCTAAATTAATTTTACGCTGGAATATCCCTTTAAACTGCAGTTTACTTTTAAATGCAGCCTCTTGATTCATTAAGATTAATTGCATCTTTTCCTATTCTTAAGGCTTATTTATTCACTCATCCACAAACGCCCTGCTCTTGTCTTTGATTTTCTTTTTATGTTATTATATTTGTGTTATCTGCTCTAATCAGTTCAAGATTAGACTATTGTAAAGCACTTTATGTTAGCATCTGCCAATCATCTCTTAGTCCCCTTCAACTTGTCCAAAATGCCGCTGCCAGTCTTTTAACAAACACTAATAGACGTGAGCACATCACTCCTCTCCCTAGCTCCCTTCATTGGCTTCCCGCCTCTTATAGGATTGATTTTAAACTTTTAATGTTTGTTTTTAAAGCTCTTAACGGCCTCGCCCCCATCTATTTTGGAGCTTGGAGGTGCCCAGGTCAAAACACAAACACTGGGGTAACCAAGCCTTTTCAGTTGCTGCGCCCGGGCTCTGGAATAAGCTCCCCACTGAAATGAGACTGATTTCTGACCTGGGCCTGTTTAAATCTCGATTAAAAACATACTTATTTACGCTGGCTTTTAATACCCAGTAGTGTGGTGACACTTTATTTAATTGCATTGTATTTTATTATTTTTTTAATTGCTTTTATTGTTTTCATTTATTCATTTTTATTTTGGATTGTAAAGCACTTCGGTTCACCGAAAGTGTTGTTGTAAAGGGTTGTATACATAAAGAACATTTACATACATTTAAGCTTACGTGGTCATATCAAAGCTCAAATCAAAATGCCCACGCAGTCAGGAAGTCATGGCGATATCATATTTTTGGACTGAGGCTGGTCCTGGTAAAGAAAAAAGCTGTTTGAATGTTGAAATGATTCCTTTCCTGCTGTATAATCTTTGTCAGGGATGATAAAGCAGCTAAAACTTGCCGATTAGAGTTGTAACTAAGTGGGAGACAACCTTGTCAGCATTTTTATTAATAATAAGAAGTTTAATTAAGGCTACTTGAACCACTGATGGTGAAGTTAAACATCCCCTCTCAATGTTTTACCACTTTATTGATGTCAGGCTGTATTAATATGAATTTTTCCGAGTTCAACATGAGCAATAACAAGTTTTACTGTCATTTATTCAGTTTCTACTTCACTTACTGTTTACTTTTGAATTCAAAAAAAGCGCAATATTTAGATATGGATGTACATCTACGGTACATGCTGTACTCACCTTGCTTTCAGTTTTTTAACTACTTTTTCTGTCATTCTGTCTGTGTTTTTTATCTATTTTTTATTTGCACTACTTGTCACTTTTATGCGTTACCTATTGTTTCTCATCTCTCATCAAATTTCTTCAAGTTTTTCTCCTCCAGTAAACAGTCGCTGTAACTCTTCCTACTTTAAAAAAATACTGGTCTTACACATTTCTCACTTAGATGTTAATCTGAAAATTTTAGTTTTAAAATCTGAATGAAACTTTGGCAACTTTGGAACATTTACTGTCATTTTAAACCATTTTTCAATGGTCATCAGGGTTAAAGAATCAGAAACAGCATAAACAGTTATAATCCATCCATTTATTGATTAATACATGAGCATATTCTTTCACAAACAAGATTAAGTGCATTTGCTGTAACTGCAGCATTAAAAACTTAACCAACTAATTATGACAATTGACTGAGGTGCAAACAATTTGATAAATATATGAGGAACTTCATTTCATGATAAATCAAATTAGTGATATCTTTTGCATACACACAGACACACAGGATTAGTACAATAGCTTGACTTGAAATCAACCCAAGGATCACTGTTTGTCATTCAAGTAAGGTACCAGAGGATTTAACATGCACACAATAAATAGGGACAATAAATAGAAAGTTTACACCTATTTAAAAGAGTCATTATCATTATATCGCCTTTGCAACTGTGTTTGATTAGTGATGATAGCAATTGTTAAACTCTAATCACTGTATCTAGAGAACGGGGAATCAGTGAATTTCTTCTTACTCTTTGCTTCTAAATCACCTAAAGATAAAATAAAACATTCCACAATGAAAATATACACAGGATAAGTTTGACATGTAAAACAATAAATATACCTCAACATTCTTGGGTTAACATGAGTCCATCCATCATGACACACAAGTAAAAATGTGGTCTTCTGGTCTTTATAGAAGCATCACAGCTATGATGGCAACAGTGACAGAAATAAGGCTGATTTTGTTATTCACTGCATCTGCAGTCGCTGTGGTTGTTGTGGTACTATTTCCAGTACCAGTATCGGTACCAGTACCAGTTCCTGCCCCTGAACTTCCATCTGTTTCACCTCCGGTTCCTGCACCGGTCCCTGCACCTGCTCCACTTCCATCAGTTCCTGATCCGCTCTCTTCATTTGCATTTCCATTTGTTGCTCCTGTCTCGCTGTTGGCACTTGACACTGCAGTGTTCGCAGCGTCTGCTGCTGCTGCAGCTGCTGCAGCAGCTGAACCTGCTGATGATTCCATGGTTTGTACCAATTCTGCTGCCTCCTCTGCTGATGGTGCTGTCATTGCTTCTGATGCTGTTTCTATTGCAGCCTCTGCTGACAATGCTGCTGCTTGAGCCATCGTTGCCACAGCCTGTGCCTCTTTAATTGGCTTAAGCTCCTGAGCTGTTTGGCCTGTGTTGTCTGCTAACACGTCCTTTAGTGTTTCTACTGCCTGAACTGCTTCTTGAGCAGCTGCTTCAGCATCTTGTGCAGCTGATCTCATAGTGTCTGGATCTGATCTTGCAGAAGCTACCTTTGCTGCTGCATCTGCTGCTTTTTTTGCTGCTTTTGCAGACTGAGATGCTGATGCTGCTATCTGAGCTACTCGAATTGCTGCTGTTTCTGGTGTTGCGGAAAGTGCTGCCTGGTTTGCTGCTTTTGATGCTTCATCTGCTGCTTCAGCTGCTTTCTCTGCTGCATCAGTGGCCAATTTTATTGGTGCTTTCCCTTCTGCAACCAATGCAGCAGCTTTTGCTGCTACTTTAGAAGCTTCTGCAGCATCTTCTGCTGCTTTCTGGGCTGCAGGTCCAGCAGCTTTAGCAGCTGTTGCAGCAGCTGCAGCCGATGCAGCTGCAGCTGCTGTTGCCCCAACGACAGCCATCTCCTGTGCCTTGGCATCCACTGAATCAGCTTCCTCTGGTTGTGGTGCCTGCACTCCTGAATTTGTTTCTGCCACAATACCCGAAGTTGTTTCAACCGTTGTTGCTGTTCCAGTAGTTGGTGTTACTGCTGCATTTCCAGTTGTGTCTTTGGGTGCTGCTGTCATCAAAGCTCCTGCGGCTCCTGCTGCTGCTTCTGCAGCTTTTGCTACTGCCTGTGCTGTAGGTATCATCAGATCTGTAATCTTTTCTGATGCAACTGTTGCTGATGTCTGTGCTGTCAGTGCTGCTGCTTCTGTCATATCTGCAACGGACAGTGCTGTGTCGACCACTGCAAGTGTTTCCCCTGGGATTTCTTCTCCCCCCTCTTTTAAGTCTGTAAGTGCGGTTTTTGCATCATTTGCTCCGGCTGCAACTGATTTAGCAGCCTCCAAAGTGGCCGCAATTGTCTCTGGTGTTGTCCTTTCAGAAGCTGCCTTTGAAGCTGCTGCTGCTGCTTCTTGTGCAGCCTTTGCAGCCTTTGAGGATGCCTGTGCTATTTCATTTAATTTATTTGCTGTGGATGCTGGAGCTTTTGCCGCTGCTTGTAATGCTTCTAGTGCAACTATTTCTGCAGCTTCTGCAGCATCTCTGGCAGCTTTTGCAGCTATTGTTACTGTTGATTCTTCTGCTGCTACTAAAGAGGCAGCTTTGGCTGCTACCTGTGCAGCTTCTACTGCAGCTTCTACCTCTTTGGAAACTGGTATTCCGGCAGCTACTGCTGTTGAGGCTGCTACTGCCGTTGCTGCTGCTGCTGCTGCAGTGGATGTTGCCACCAGTGCAGTTTGTTCATCTGTAACTGCTATCTGTGCATTGTCAGTTAGTAGATTCATGTCACTAACAAGGAGTGCATTTTCCGCTGCTGAAACTGACGCTTCTGCAGATGTTGCAGCAGCCTCTGCAGCTGTGGCCATTATTTCAGCCAATTCTTTGGTTCCTGCTGTTCCAGTAGCTATTGATACAGTTTGTGCTGTTGCTTTTGCCATTTCAGCTGCTACTTTTGCCGATGCCAATGATAAATGTAGAACTGGCTCACTGGAGTTTATTTTATCATCCAAGATGATTGCCGCATCCGTTGATGTTTTAGCAACTTTCTCTGCTGCTTTGGCAGCATCTGCAATTGCTGTGGGTTTACCCAAGGCTGCCATTTCTGCTGCAGCTGCTGCTTTTTCAGCAGCCTCTGCTAAAGCCAATGCTGCATTTGGCATTTCTGCAACAGCTTTTGCTGAAGATTCTGGTGCATTATTTGCTTCTTGTGCAGCTGCCTCAGCTGCTTGTTTGGCAGCTTGAGCAGCTTTCGTTGCAGCCTCTGCAGCAAACTTTGGTGGCTCTTGTCCTGATAACACTAAAGAGGCAGCTTCAGCTGCTTGTTTTGCTGCAGCAATTGCTTTTTCTGCATTTGGAAAGGTTGTTGCTCCAACAGCAGCCGAAGTAGTTGCAGCTACTGCTGCTGCTGAAGAAGCTGCTGCTGCTGCAACAGAAGCTGATGCAGCTGTCACTGCGGCTGCAGCAGTTGGGCTGAGTGGTGATTCATCCTCAGTATTAACCAACAAGGCAGCTGCAGCTTGCTTTGCTGCTTCTGCAGCATCTTTAGCAGCAGCATCGGCTTGTGTTGCACTTTCAGCTGCCATTTCTGCTGATGGCGCGTCTGCAGCAGCAGCGGTGGCTTTTGCTGTTTCTTTAGCTTTGGAAGCTGCTTCGACAGCCAATTCTGTGACTTCCTCTGCAGCTTGCAGGGCCTTTTGCACATCCGGGGATGTGTTGAGACCAGATGAGGGGTTTGCAGCTTGTTTAAAAGCCTCTTCTACGGCTTTCAAGGCCTCCTCGGCAACTCTTGAGGCATCTGCTGCAGCTTCAACAGCTTCCTTTGCAGCTTCTGGTGTTTGTGCATTTGCAGCCTTCTCTGCTGCGTCTCCAGTGTCTTCTCCTGCCTTTGTGGCAGTATCAAGCAAGGCGTTGATTTGGTCTGCGAAACTGGCCATTGGTGCTGGTAGATTTTCAGAGGCTTCTTTAACTGCATCTGCTGCTATTTTGGCTGCCTCCACTGCATTTTTGGTAATAGCTGCTGCGTCTTTTGGTGACATTGATCCATCCTTGACTGCTTCTGCAGCTGATGCTGCCTCTTTTGCAGCCTCCAAAGCCCTTTGTCCTGCATCTGCTGCTTTTTCAGAAAGTGGTCCTGTGGAGACTTTGGCAGCTACTGCTGCTGTTGCGGCTGAAGATGCTGCTATGGCTGCTGCTGATGCTGCTGCTGCTGCTGCTGCATTTTCTGCAGTTTTCTCAGGGGACAGTCCTGAATTTGGGCCATTTGATGCAGCTGTCACTGTTGCTGCAGCAGTTGGGTTGAGTGGTGATTCATCCTCAGTATTAAACAACAAGGAACCTGCAGCTTGCTTTGCTGCTTCTGCAGCATCATTGGCAGCAGCATCGGCTTGTGTTGCACTTTCAGCTGCCATTTCTGCTGAAGGCGCATCTGCAGCAGCAGCGGTGGCTTTTGCTGTTTCTTTAGCTTTTGAAGCTGCTTCTACAGCCAATCCTGTGACTTCCTCTGCAGCTTGCAGGGCCTTTTGCACATCCGGGGATGTGTTGAGACCAGATGAGGGGTTTGCAGCTTGTTTAAAAGCATCTTCTACTGCTTTCAAGGCCTCCTCGGCAACTCTTGAGGCCTCTGCTGCAGCTTCGACAGCTTCCTTTGCAGCCTCTGGCGTTTGTGCATTCGCAGCCTTCTCTGCTGCGTCTCCAGTGTCTTCTCCTGCCTTTGTGGCAGTATCAAGCAAGCCGCTGATTTGGTCTGCGAAACTGGCCATTGGTGCTGGTAGATTTTCAGAGGCTTCTTTGACTGCATCTGCTGCTATTTTGGCTGCCTCCACTGCTTTTTTGGTAATAGCTGCTGCGTCTTTTGGTGACATTGATCCATCCTTGACTGCCTCTGCAGCTGATGCTGCCTCTTTTGCAGCCTCCAAAGCCCTTTGTCCTGCATCTGCTGCTTTTTCAGAAAGTGGTCCTGAGGAGACTTTGGCAGCTACTGCTGCTGTTGCGGCTGAAGATGCTGCTATGGCTGCTGCTGCTGCTGCTGCTGCTGCTGCTGCATTTTCTGCAGTTTTCTCAGGGGACAGTCCTGAAGTTGGGCCATTTGATGCAGCTGTCATTGTGGCTGCTGAAGAAGCTGCTGCAGCTGTCACTGTGGCTGCAGCAGTTGGGTTGAGTGGTGATTCATCCTCAGTATTAACCAACAAGGCAGCTGCAGCTTGCTTTGCTGCTTCTGCAGCATCTTTGGCAGCAGCATCGGCTTGTGTTGCACTTTCAGCTGCCATTTCTGCTGAAGGCGCATCTGCAGCAGCAGCGGTGGCTTTTGCTGTTTCTTTAGCTTTGGAAGCTGCTTCGACAGCCAATTCTGTGACTTCCTCTGCAGCTTGCAGGGCCTTTTGCACGTCCGGGGATGTGTTGAGACCAGATGAGGGGTTTGCAGCTTGTTGAAAAGCATTTTCTACGGCTTTCAAGGCCTCCTCGGCAACTCTTGAGGCCTCTGCTGCAGCTTCGACAGCTTCCTTTGCAGCCTCTGGCGTTTGTGCATTTGCAGCCTTCTCTGCTGCGTCTCCAGTGTCTTCTCCTGCCTTTGTGGCAGTATCAAGCAAGCCGCTGATTTGGTCTGCGAAACTGGCCATTGGTGCTGGTAGATTTTCAGAGGCTTCTTTGACTGCATCTGCTGCTATTTTGGCTGCCTCCACTGCTTTTTTGGTAATAGCTGCTGCGTCTTTTGGTGACATTGATCCATCCTTGACTGCCTCTGCAGCTGATGCTGCCTCTTTTGCAGCCTCCAAAGCCCTTTGTCCTGCATCTGCTGCTTTTTCAGAAAGTGGTCCTGAGGAGACTTTGGCAGCTACTGCTGCTGTTGCGGCTGAAGATGCTGCTATGGCTGCTGCTGCTGCTGCTGCTGCTGCTGCTGCATTTTCTGCAGTTTTCTCAGGGGACAGTCCTGAAGTTGGGCCATTTGATGCAGCTGTCATTGTGGCTGCTGAAGAAGCTGCTGCAGCTGTCACTGTGGCTGCAGCAGTTGGGTTGAGTGGTGATTCATCCTCAGTATTAACCAACAAGGCAGCTGCAGCTTGCTTTGCTGCTTCTGCAGCATCTTTGGCAGCAGCATCGGCTTGTGTTGCACTTTCAGCTGCCATTTCTGCTGAAGGCGCATCTGCAGCAGCAGCGGTGGCTTTTGCTGTTTCTTTAGCTTTGGAAGCTGCTTCGACAGCCAATTCTGTGACTTCCTCTGCAGCTTGCAGGGCCTTTTGCACGTCCGGGGATGTGTTGAGACCAGATGAGGGGTTTGCAGCTTGTTGAAAAGCATTTTCTACGGCTTTCAAGGCCTCCTCGGCAACTCTTGAGGCCTCTGCTGCAGCTTCGACAGCTTCCTTTGCAGCCTCTGGCGTTTGTGCATTTGCAGCCTTCTCTGCTGCGTCTCCAGTGTCTTCTCCTGCCTTTGTGGCAGTATCAAGCAAGCCGCTGATTTGGTCTGCGAAACTGGCCATTGGTGCTGGTAGATTTTCAGAGGCTTCTTTGACTGCATCTGCTGCTATTTTGGCTGCCTCCACTGCTTTTTTGGTAATAGCTGCTGCGTCTTTTGGTGACATTGATCCATCCTTGACTGCCTCTGCAGCTGATGCTGCCTCTTTTGCAGCCTCCAAAGCCCTTTGTCCTGCATCTGCTGCTTTTTCAGAAAGTGGTCCCGAGGAGACTTTGGCAGCTACTGCTGCTGTTGCGGCTGAAGATGCTGATATGGCTGCTGCTGATGCTGCTGCTGCTGCTGCTGCATTTTCCGCAGTTTTCTCAGGGGACAGTCCTGAAGTTGGGCCATTTGATGCAGCTGTCATTGTGGCTGTTGAAGAAGCTGCTGCAACAGAAGCTGATGCAGCTGTCACTGTTGCTGCAGCAGTTGGGTTGAGTGGTGATTCATCCTCAGTATTAAACAACTTCGCCTCTGTAGCTTGCTTTGCTGCTTCTGCAGCATCTTTGGCAGCAGCATCGGCTTGTGTTGCACTTTCAGCTGCCATTTCCGCTGATGGCGCGGCTGCAGCAGCAGCTGTGGCTTTTGCTGTTTCTTTAGCTTTGGAAGCTGCTTCTACAGCCAATCCTGTGACTTCCTCTGCAGCTTGCAGGGCCTTTAGCACATCCTGTGGTGTGTTGAGACCAGATGAGGGGTTTGCAGCTTGTCTTAAACCATCTTCTACGGCTTTCAAGGCCTCCTCGGCAACTCTTGAGGCCTCTGCTGCAGCTTCGGCAGCTTCCTTTGCAGCCTCTGGCGTTTGTGCATTTGCAGCCTTCTCTGCTGCGTCTCCAGTGTCTTCTCCTGCCTTTGTGGCCTTATCCAGCAAGGCTTTGACTTGGTCTGTGATGATGGCCAGTGGTGCTGGTAGACTTTCAGAGACTTCTTTGATTGCATCTGCTGCTATTTTGGCTGCCTCCACTGCATTTTTGGTAATAGCTGCTGCGTCTTTTGGTGACATTGATCCATCCTTGACTGCCTCTGCAGCTGATGCTGCCTGTTTTCCAGCCTCCAAAGCCCTTTGGCCTGCTTCTGTTGCTTTTTCAGAAAGTGGTCCTTCGGTGAATTTGGCAGCTACTGCTGCTGTTGCGGCTGAAGATGCTGCTATGGCTGCTGCTGATGCTGCTGCTGCTGCTGCTGCATTTTCGGCAGTTTTCTCAGGGGACAGTCCTGGAGTTGGGCCATTTGATGTTTGGGGACCAATAGTTGTTGGACTGGCTGTGGTTGTTTCATCAATTGTTATTCCAGGACATTTTTTACGCAGGAGTCCCTCAGCAGGCTGGCTTGTGGTTGCTGTATATATTGAAGAAGTTTTACAGTTTAGGTATTTGTCTCTTTTAGAGATTTGAAAATTATGACATCTTATATTTCATACTTACCCATTAGAATAATGATGGCTATTACAGTCTTCATGATCATCATGAACTTTGTCTGATCTCCTCCACCTTTTCCGAAACGATTTTTGTTTACCGCCTGTTAGAAGGGTTGATATACATTGTTACAAAATATTAACTTGCTTGTGTTTCATCAGGGTACAACTGCTTCTGCAAAAATGAAATGATATTTTTTTCAGCATCTATATTGAATTGTCCGTCAGGAAATCATGCAAGTCTCATCTAATTCAATCCTTTTGGGGATCAACAAAGTTCTTTTTATCTGATCTTTTTTTATCTCATACACTTTGCAGCTTAATAATGTTTTAGACAGGAAAAAAGATGAGCATTTAGAAACAGATAAGCACTCTATTATATTCCTTGAAATATTAACACCTCAGTAGTGAGTGCTATCACAACAGCAGAAACTCAGAAACATGTCATACACTGTGTCATGTCCTGTAAAAACTTGTTGTGAACATTGAAAAAATCTGACATTACCCCACAGATATAAAATATTAATCTAAAAACATCAGGAGGTAAACTAACCTTAAACAATTTTGCATCCAGTGAAAAATGAAACCTTTAAAATTCTTAAAATCTAAACAAAGGCTTTGATTAAAACTGGAGACCAATTGAAATTTTTTATCCATCTGTCAGAAATACCTGGGGACAAAGATCACCAGTTTTCTACAGTAGACAATGTGGACATGGCATCCTAAAAAAGAGTTGCATTCAAATGCAAAGAAAGCCACAAGCAGCAGGCAAAAAGCAGCAGCCCATAAAGTTGACACACAGTTCCTCCATCTCACCAAACCAGCAGCTAACCATAACTATGGATTTTGGGGTTGCACAGATGGACAATCAGATATCAAGTAAATAATGATCATAACTATGCATAAAATTTTATATAGGGCTTTATCAGTCAGAGCTGTGCCAATGTCACTCCATTACACTGCTCTGGATGAATCCCTGACCCAGAGCATCAATGAAGATGTACTGTAAGTGTCAGCGTTTAAAAAAAGGGGAAAATCCTTCAAATTTCTTCACTTGAGAAATGTACAAGCACACATCGAAACTCAAAACATTTATCCCAGCTCGATTTCAATCCATGCATGAACATTGCTCTTCAATGAAACTGAATTCAACATGCTCCCCTTCTGTTTTTGTCTTGCTTCATAACACCCCCCCCTCCAATAAATAAATAAATAAATAAATAAATAATTTGTTACAAAAAAAAATAACTCCTCTCCTTCAGACTTTAACTGAATCCAAGCAACAAAATCAGAAAATCAAACACAATCTTTAAATAAAACTATAATAACTTTGAAAAAAATAAATAAAATAAGCTAGCAATCTTAACTTAGAATGGTTAAACTCTGAATGGAAGAAGAGCCTTACCTGAATGATGAAGTGAAGTAGCAATTTGTGTCCTCGCCTTTTCCAAAATTTATTCTCTCCTCCTTGAGCTTGTCTTTGCTTTCTGCCTTTTGGCATCTGAGTCTCCTTCATATATATTTGGATTACGTCAAATAATAAATTAATGATGATTATAGGTCTTACTCGACCCACCCATTTAGGCGTGTTTCCCTCTCTGTGCGCTGAACACCCGATGGAGCTCCAAACTTGTTGAGTCACATGCTGTGCAGTTTGGTCACATTGCAACCCGTAATTAAGAAATGCATTGTCCGTGTCAGTTCTACCTAATGTGTGTAACTTTAGGCGTCACAATGGGCTATTTAAATTTTTGTAAAATGATTTATGCAAACTTATTCTGTTCGACACAAAACAGTTCTACATCACCACAAAACACACCCTTCAAAGAGACCATAAGGTGAGAACCACGCCTGTTACACAACAGAACAACAAAGAAACCATTTTAACTCTTGACAAGATTTTACTACAAAACTATTGGAATAACTACATTTTTCAGCTTTGTACACAATGTTCCCCGATATATGATGATCAACTTTTGAAGAGTTGTTTGCTGTTTATTTTGTTTTCACAATCCTATGCTCATTCAATTCTTTGTCTTGCGAGACACACTAAAACTTAGGGGCCCATCATACAAATGCCGAGCAGAAGGAACCCTTACATATTGAATCTGTTAACACCTGTCTTTATGGTTTCACGTCTCACCTCAGCGAGACTTTTTACAACTCAGAAAGTCATTTTAACGGTTGTCCCTAGAGTCTGTTTCAGGCTCTTCAGCAATATTTGGCATCTTCTAAGTCTGTGTTCTGCCTTTCCCAAATGAGGCTAAGAGTAAACAGTCAGTTTGGTTCATTTTTGTACTCTAAATTGTCAAAGGTTAGAAAAAACAAACTGGTGTGGATTAAAACTTTGTCAGTATCATCTTTTTGTTTCCAACAAATGGGCCCCAGCTTTGCTTGTCTGGTCAAAGGTCCTGCAATAATGGACCAAGCAATCAAATCTAACCCTGCATTCATTGTAGCCCATCAACTCCCCTGGTGAAACACTTTGTATGTTCACATGATGGTGAAATGATTTAATGGGTAAGTCCACCTGAAAATGGTTTACTTTAATTGCAGAAATTTGTAGTCCGTAGTAAGACAGGGAAAACAAATCACTCTGACAGTCTGTTTATGGGTTTTATTTGCTGAAACTTCTCAAAATCAGAAACCGATTGGAAAGAAAGACAAAGAGCCAAAGAAGGTTCAGCAAACTCTGAGTGTAGCCTCAGATCACAAACTCTGGGTTTTCTGCGTAGGAACAGCTGATCTGATTTAGTTCAACTCAAGGAGGTTCAGTCCAAGTTGAACTGAGCGGGAAACTGTTGAAAGTTTGAATGTTGGTTTAATCGGCTCGAGGAGGTCAGGTCACAGGACGGCAATCTAACCCCCAATTTCCACCGCATCTGGAACAGCTGCTTAAAGGCCATCTGTGTCAATTGCAGCTGATCGTTTCCATTCAAGTAAATGCGTCAATTTCCACCAACTTCTTTCCATTTCGCTGCGATTCAGCGTACTCTACAACTGATCCCCAGAGTTCTATTTTTTCCGGACGCCACTGCATGCTGCATAAATTCAGCACAGATTAACCCGTGCTGGAAAGGAAGTCGGGCACAGACACAAAATAAAATATCCGGCGGATCATATTTCACACCATGCAAACAGGCGAGGACGAACAAGTGAAAGGTTCATAGATGTCATTTCACCCTGTTGACACCATGGATGAGGAGATGCTGATTCTGGAAGTCTAGAAGTAGATTTCCTCCTCTGGAAGGACACAATCTACTGCTTGTATTGTTATATGGCTGTCTTTATGGAGACAACTCGTTATCGCGCAATTGCATGTGAATCCGTGGGTTCTTGTGATTTCTCATGATTCCCGGTGTCCAAAACCTCCCTCACAAACACATTCCCTTTTCCCAAGTTTGAAAAGCCCCCCTCTTGGAAATGGGAAACCAAGAGTTTCCCTGATTTCAGGGTAAACAGACTTAGGGTTTGTGCTTACCCTGACCTTTCTGGCCCTTGTGTATTGGAGTGAGTGTCATCCCGAACATTTGGAGTGTAATCTTGACGTCTCAGAATCACAACAACCCAAAATGTACACTGTCCACCAAAGTAAATTAGGTTTAAAGTTAATAGAAAACACAGATTAGTATTATTATTTTAATTGAACAGACTGTTTTGGGGCTTTCAGAATGAATCTGACTTGGCTAGGGTGACCATATGTCCTCTTTTATCCGGACATGTCCTCTTTTTTGGGGGGCTGTCTGACCTTGTACGGAGGATTTTATGAAATCCTTCAAATTTTCGTGGTTTGTATGGAAGTTATCAGTTTGTGTCACGTGGACTAACTGAGTTAGAAGCGCACAAAAAACAATCGACCCGCCCCGAAAAACTCTCAAAATGTACTACACATGACTCCGCCCCTTGTGGTAGTAGTAGTCCTCTTTTTGGGGATTCAGAATATGGTCACCCTAGACTTGGCAGACTCTCTCATTACTAACCTGCTGTTTGTTTGTTTGTTTGTGTGTTTGTTTGACTTCATGAGTTCGTAAAAGAACAGCTTAGCTCACACTGTCGACATGCCACTCCTGCTTGCTCCGGTCTCATACACGCAAAACCACTTGGTTGGACCGGATCCAAGTGCTCCTCTGCGTCCAAAGGGAGCTGATTGTTACATAATTAAGTCTAATAACTACTATTCATCAGTGCACCGCACCTCACCTGCAGTGAGGCACGACATTCCTTTCAATGAACAGAATCAGTTCAGTCCCTTTGACATCCTCATCCAACATTTAACCCCACTGTTTCAAGAAAGTCACATAAAAAAAAAAACTGGAGTATTGTTGGTCTGGATTTCCTGAACATTTAGTTGTGATGTTGGTGTTTAAATACTTTTACCGTGAAACCTAAATTGAGGTAAATGACAATGTAAAGCAGCTGCTATTTAAGGTGTGGAGGAGACTACAGAGGAGGAAAAGACCTCAAAGTAGTCAGCCTCACAAGAAACAAACTCAAAGCCACTCCCCAAGGACAAGTTCAGGAGAAGACATTAAAAAGGTATCTATAGCAAACTGTACACACCTGTTCTTATCTCCTTTACTGTGCTGACCCCA